TGCTCATCACCACCACAGCACCGCAGCACCGCAGCACCGCAGCACCACAGCACCACAGCAAGGACAATTCAGTTGAGATTTTGACATTGTCAGGCCCTTCAGACAGCTGTTTCACTCCAACAGAGCTCATCAGTGGAGGTACTTCTACATGTACGAGTAGCAGATATTGAATAAGTGATTGAGGGAAGGAATGATATGGTAAAACTGTTGCAATTGCGTCCTTTACATAGAAGCGTGGCATGCCCTAGGGCACCAAGGTGCGCAATTCCACTGCTTGTGAAAGCTTTGCCCCATATAACATTCATTCACCTCAAACAATCATCTACGTGTATCATCTAGACTAATACCTCCACTGATGAGCTCTGTTAAAGCGAAACAGCCAACTGGAGGGTCTGGCAATATCAACATCCAAACAGGATTGTCCTCACTATGGTCGTGATTGGCGAGTAGAGCGGGATGGTTGAGAGTGCATTGAGGGAGCACTCAACAAGCCACTAGTCGAGAGTGTATTGAGGAGCACTCAACGAGCCACTAGCTAAACTCCCATACCTGGTCTGCTTGACCCTGCCAGCGTCGAGGACGTGTGTCACACCATCCACAGTGATACTCGTCTCGGCAATATTCGTTGTAAACACAACCTGCAAATATCCAAGCATACATAATCCAGTGCACACACACACACACCATTGGACCATTGGACGCCCATCGCCTCCGGCGATGATAGCGATGCTACAGCAGAAGCCATAGCAGCTTGTGCTGGGATTGCAACATTCAACAGCTTGCAAGGCTGAAGAATTGACCGCCATTATTCAGCCTGGTCTACACCACACAGCTATGAAGTGGCTTTTTCTGGCCAGTGAATCCCTTTGGGTTTTTTCGTTTTTTTCATCATTTTTTTCACACACACACACACACACACACATCACACCACATACTCCGGCATGCACTGGCTGTTGGTAACCACCCGGCCAGGAGAATGAAAGAAAAGCCAGGAGGAGTCTGAGAAAGAGAAGAAAGACGTGTGCGACCATAATCGTCGGAATCGAACCCGCAACCTGTCGATTGGAAATCGCTGCACATACCACTGCACCATATGGGACACACACACACACGCACACACACACACACACACACACACACACACACACACACACACACACACGCACGCACGCACGCACGCACGCACGCACGCACACACACACACACACACACACACACACACACACACAACCACAAACAGTGATAATGCAGCAATGCGTCCAACAATGTCACAAACACCAGTTCTTCCGAAAGCAAGAGTTTGGAGTTTGGCATATAATATCAGTGTTCCAACTTGTTGCAGCTTTGACAGTAGAAGAAAATAGGATAATCTCACCTTCCACTTGCCTCGTGGAACTGGCTCAAATATTCTATGTTGCTCGGCGGGAGACAGGGATGAGTGCAGGGGAAGTGCAAGAGCCTGCAGCCACACAGGAAAAAGCAAGTAATTGCAAAACATGAAAGCGTGAAAGCTTGGACCGAGAGAGAGAAAGAGAGAGAGAAAGAAAGAGAGAGAGAGAGAGAGAGAGAGCGAGAGAGCGAGAGAGCGAGAGAGCGAGAGAGCGAGAGAGCGAGAGAGAGAGAGAGAGAGAGAGAGAGAGAGAGAGAGAGAGAGAGAGAGAGAGAGAGAGAGAGAGAGAGAGAGAGAGAGAGAGAGAGAGAGAGAGAGAGAGAGAGAGAGAGAGAGAGAGAGAGAGAGAGAGAGAGAGAGGTGAGAGGTGAGAGGTGAGAGGTGAGAGAAAAGATGAGAGGACTAGTAGGAAGGAGGAGATCACATAGTTCGTACACAATCTCGGCTTGACCACTATATTCACGGCTTGACCACTATATTCACGGCTTGACCACTACATTCACGGCTTGACCACTACATTCACGGCTTGACCACTACATTCACAGCTTCTCCTTCCAGGAACATAGCTCCGGAGTGTAGTCCACTTGGTTCCCGACCAGCCATTCCCGTACGCCCACTACCAGTCTGCTATAATAAACATTTTTCCGGGGCTAAAATGAGTGGAATCATCTGTTTCCAGGGCATACCATGAACAGGCTGGGACACGACCAAACCAGCACCTGCATTACACAGCAGCTGCGTAGTTCTATCACTCACTAAAGCGCACAGTCGCCATTCCATACCTGTGCAGCGACACCACCGTTTGACACCTGCGAGATGCACTTCAGGATTTCCGCCAAGCCCGGCAGAAAGACGAGCATGACACTGGGAGGCTCATGCTCCACCAGATACGACACGCAGTGTACGACGGCATTCAAATCTAGCGGAGGAATATTACTGCTGCTTGTGTTGCTGGCAGATCTGCACAAGACAGGCACAGGTAAGCGGGCAAAGTGGGGAGTACACACAGTCATGTACTCGTAGTTACGTTCATGTGTGCGCAGAAGAATTTTTACAAGCATCACTCATACGTAGAGCTGTGTGTGTGTGTGTGTGTGTGTGTGTGTGTGTGTGTGTGTGTGTGTGTGTGTGTGTGTGTGTGTGTGTGTGTGTGTGTGTGTATGTATTTGTATTTTGTATTTATGGGTTCTCCACAGGCCTTAGCCTAAATCGAGGGAGTCTCCGTGTGTGTGTGTGTGTGTGTGTGTGTGTGTGTGTGTGTGTGTGTGTGTGTGTGTCAAGGTCCACGCCTTCGGCTCAAGGACCGTGTTCATCACGACCTACGCTCCTTGGATACACCATGGTTTGCAATAGCCCAGGATCGACCTTTGTGGAGATCGAGTGTTGTTGATGTTGTGCCTCCACCACCACCATCTAAGCCAACTGTGCACTGCAGTGTTTGCGACCGCCATCTTAGTGCGTCTGGGTACAAGCAGCATAAGTGCAGTGCGGCCCGTCAACTTCCTGTCAGCCAACAGCCTGGTGCAAAGTCGTGTCAACGTTGTGGTAGATGGTTCAAGAGTGCTGGTAGGCTGAAGGTACATAAGTGCCCTCTCGCAGGTTCCTCCCACCAGCCTTTGGACTCTGTCGATCCTGCACCTCGCCTTGTGCTTCAACACCAACATTGTTGCCCATTCCACTGGTCAAGGTCAAGGTCAAGGTCAATGTGTGTGTGTGTGTGTGTGTGTGTGTGTGTGTGTGTGTATGTGTGTCTGTGCGTGACTGTGTGCCAAACAAATCAAGCAGTGTCGCGTTCGAGTACAAAGCCCAGTGTTCATAGTGCTATGGCCACACTACACCCAGCGCTACTGTATTCAAGGGGGAATTTTCACTGGCAAGTACTGTGTTGCTACTGGGTGGGAGAGGCAAACTATAATTATTACTACTGGGTGTACTCATCACGAATGCGAATACGAAAAGGGTTTTAGCATGCAACTCAGTCCCTACCAGTAGCATGTCGATAAAACTCAATGCCAGTATTGTACAACCGTAGATGCTTGGTCATGTGTGTCACAGTGTAGTCAGTGGTCCATTACGGACATAATGATATGCACATAAACCATGCAGGAGAACTTACTTTGATGCACCTCCAGATGATGCATAGTTCTACAGGAATACATCAGAAGAAACAAAACACTCAGCTACAATACACAAGACTGACACGTACAGCAGAGGAGTGAGCACTAACAATTATACGCAACACAGCTAGAGAATAAAGATTCGAAACAACAACGTGTGAGGATAGAGATTTAAAACAACAAGCACACAGGCATGGCAGCACATACCACATACCTTTCTTCTATCTCCATCTTCCTGATCATCCACATAGCGCGTATATCCCTTGACATCCTCCCAGTAGAAGATATCGACGGGATAGGTGAATCCAGGGATTTTCACTACTTGCGCGGTCGAGTGGGCTTGTGGACATCCGAGAAAGAACTCGGAGAGCTGCTGAGTGTGCAACGTGGCACTCATCAGTACCACCTTCATTCTGGAACACTCTGTGGATATAGACCAGCAGCAGTAGGCAATACCACAAACAGGCAGGCAATGGCAGACATGTATCCATTCCATTCTCTTTCCTAGCATGTCGGAGCACAGGATAGTACTGTGCTACAGCCTGAAGCAGGTATGCATGTACAGGTTTCAGCTGGTCAAATCTTCTTTTTCTCCACGAACAGATTGCAAATAAAACTAATCATGCGCACACATAGTATAGTAACAATCACATTATGTGTACATGTAGTTCCAGTCAGATTCTCCAAAGCTTATTTCGTGCAGGCTTGCATGGAAACATACCACTGTTGTCAGGGTCCAATGCAGCCATACATTCAATGCTGTCCAGTGCTTACATTCTGATGCACTCACAAGAAGCAACAGCACTAGCAACAAATTTAGGGGGCGTTCGAATTGTCTTCATCAATTGTTCGAACAAATTTTTAAAGAGATTAGTTGAAGTGTCCCATTAGAACGGTTTCTATCATTTTTAGAGTTTTTCAGTGGAATTGTCATGGCGATGATAACGTCCGATCAGATCGACCATCTCCACGTACTACGTGACGTAGCTATTCCAAACTCTTCGGAATTAATCCACCTCTCCCATCGGATGAGGTTGTGGAGTTTCGAGGAGTTTTCTTTTTCTGAAGAGGCCAATAAGGCCACCTCTTCAGAAAAACGAAGCTCCTCGAAAAGTCAATGAGCGACAATTCGAACGCGCCCTTAAGGTGTGTGGAGGGGGGGGGGGGACTTACCATGCTGCATGCGAATGCGAATGAGTGCCAGCAGTGTGTCCATGTCATTGCTTCTCTCGTGCACTTCATCCACAATAAGATGAGAAATGGCCTGAAGGCGGCCAGGTTCCTGACACCACCTCAGCAGCACACTAACACACAAACAACAGACAGGACTCAGGAGGCAACAAGGCAACAAGGTAACAAGGCAGACAGGAGGCAACAAGGCAACAAGGCAGACAGGAGGCAACAAGGCAACAAGGCAACAAGGCAGACAGGAGGCAACAAGGCAACAAGGCAACAAGGCAACAAGGCAGACAGGAGGCAACAAGGCAGACAGGAGGCAACAAGGCAGACAGGAGGCAACAAGGCAGACAGGAGGCAACAAGGCAGACAGGAGGCAACAAGGCAGACAGGAGGCAACAAGGCATAATATGAACCAAACAGTCAGTAAAAGAGGCAGACGGCAAGCCATATCAAGACTCTACAACAAAGTCAACAATGCATTCATTTACAGGTGGAAAGTCCAAAGTTCATCTCGCTCAAGTATTACAGCGTGCTTGCTAGTCAAAGAACTCAGCAGAAAGCCGTACGCACACCAACATTAATAATGCAAACAGGCAAGACAGCAGCAGCAGCAGCGGCAGAGGAAGAAGAAGCAGCAACAACCCCTTTAGCCTTACCCAGTTGTGCAGAACAGTAGTCTTGTGTGAGAGGAACACTTGCTCTCCAGACGAACACTGTACCCTACGTATTTGCCAACCTGGACAATAGCAATGGCAAATGGATCACGCAGTAGAAAGGTGGTTACAATAGCAATGGATCATGCAGTAGAAAGGTGGTGGCTTGAAGCCGGAGAGCAGTACAGCTCACAAGAGATCTAGCCAGGTGTTAACAACACAATGACTGGACTACTCTGGTCTGGACAGCATGTGCTCGCGACCAACAGCAGCAGCGAAATTGAAACACCTATCCAACATCTACAGTAGGCTTGCAGCGAAATCAAGCAGGCTTGAACAGACAGATGGAAATGAATGCGCAAGTATCATAGTCGGAGCAGAGCGGTGAATCTATTTAAAACAGCACAATTATCTGTAAGCGTAGACAGAGTCAACCACTGGGAGGTAAAGAAATAGTCCTACACTGAAGTAACTGCTCACCTTCTCACCGCGCTCAGATGCTACTCGTTCCGCCACGGCCATTGCTGCCAGTCTGCGCGGCTGAGTGACGACAATGAAGCAACTGTCGCCCCGTCCTGTTTTCCACGCATTGTCCAGGACGAACTGAGGAACCTGAATAGGGGAAACACATACAAATAGGCACCACTGGTTGTGCACTGATCTGCGATACCAAGAGTACATAACCCCCCAGAGTGTGCAACGATGATCCAGGTCTGCATAGGGTCTTGGTCGAGCGGAATCGGATCTTCTGATGTCATGCGTACGCTCCACACCAGCGCAAGGCCGGTCTCGAGGCAGGGCACCATTGTTTTTGATCCGAGATTACCCGCGACTCCCCGGGTTCCTCTCAGATGTGTACGGTATTATGACGCAAAGATCCGATTCCGCTCGACCAAGACCCTATGCAGAGCTGGATCAGGCGTTGCACATTCTGGGAGGTTATGAACTCTTGGCGATACTGATCAGCGACACTAAGTGCGATACTAAAAGATGATTCTACATGAGCACGACATTGCGTATACAACAACTCGCAAATAACAACACAATCTCCAGACCTAGTGATCATTCACCTGCATACTTTCAACTGCATACTTTCAACTGCATACTTTCAACCTCGCATTCACCTGCATACTTTCAACCTCATGAATAACAACTCGCCAGTAACGCCACTTTCCTCATGCACGAACGAGGGTCATTATCCACAAGGTTGACTGTATTCAATGCGTGTTGTGAACAGTTCCGTCAAGGAAATAGCATACGTACTTGAGTACTTTTACCGCAGCCTGTTTCACCCTGGATGATGGTCACTGAGCTTTTCTCCACCACCTGAACAAACAAACAAAGCAACCGGCAAGCACTGAGTCATTTCTTCCAGCACAGACACAGCTACAGAGAGCTAATGTGTCGACGGTCCTGGAGCAATAAGTTTGGCTCACACAACAGTTTTAAAGCACAGTACAATATCCGAACGCCGCACGCAGCAAGACTGCAAAGCAAACAGCAAGAAAGCTAGACTGTGGATGCTGACCTGCACTACTTCATCTTCATATTTAGAAGCTGGCAGGCGCTGTCGCTGTGGTAGCATACGCTTGTAAGCGGCTTGCGTTTGCCGACGTGTATACTCTTCTTCCAAGTTCCTTCGAAGCTTAGCGGCTTCAGAGGAAGACGGCTAGGTAGCAACAGGAGAGAGTGAAATGGAAAAGGGGACACACACACACACACACTTAACATACTCTGGTTGATTATAATTGCAGCAGTGGAACCTCTCTAACCAGCCACCCAGGGACTGAAGGGTGTGTGTGCGTCTCAGAAATACACTACAGTGAAAAACTACACGTGGGTCCAGTGGAAATATCCGTTAGGCAAATGTCTCCACTTTGAAGTTTCATGCCACAGTGCTATCATCAGGAGAAAAACGAATGTGAGACGGAGATTAAGCACAAGATTCATTCAAAGTAGTTCCCGGCTATATATAGGCTCTACATTACTGGTAATGTCCATAGTAAAATAACACTGCTGTGTGTCGATAATTGGCGGCGTAACCTGGTTCCCGGGCATGTCGGCATGCGGAAACAAGCAGGTAGGGCGGGCTGGTGCGCGAGCGACAAGCACCTACCGGTTTTCTGAACGGAGCAAGAGAACCGAATTCCTTGCCCGATGTGCCACGACTGCTGGCGCTGGCTGATGCTGCAGCACTCGCTGTTGCACCACCATCGCCATCACTCTCCTCAGGACTGGGCGATCGGAATGCTGGCAGCTGATCTGATGCGTCCGCACTGCACATCGACAAACAGGCAAAACGCAGCAATCACCACGTTAATGAAGGGATGATTATATTCACAGAACATGCACCTCAATTGTACATTGCATTTTTGTATTCCATGTACAAACAACAACCAGACCAGTCCACTCGTGCAAACAAGGCTTAGCTCTTGTTTAGATGGAGAAGTTCAACTAAGAATAAAACAGAAATGTGCGTGTACAAGGACATGCATACCAAAACAGATCAAGACACACCGGTGTCACCGCATACGGCCACGGTATTTACAGCATACAGCTTGGCACATGCCCATCGAAGAAGCGAAATGTCTCATAGAAGAACCGTTAACTGCAAACACGTTCAGCCAGAGAGTTTTTTAAAACTTACACATCATTGCCAGTTCTCAGGTAGGACAAGCTCATGAGTGTGGGTGCAACCTGCGACAAGACGGGTATCTGCTCCTCCAGCCATGTCACTACTTCACTGATGAACACCATTCCATCGGAACGGGCGGCCAGTTCCTCAGCATATCTGCCGGCCGCTTGCACAATGTGCAGGCGCGTGTACATTGGCCAGGTTTTGTTGTGAACCAGAAGGCCGCTCGGGGTGCCGTACGGGTACAGAGAGTCCGCTGTGTGGTAGATTTCCAGAACACATTCCTCACGTTCTTCTGCTCGAGGTGCTGCGTACTTGGACTTTGCACTACTGGATGTGGTAAACGAGGGTGTGCTAGATGGTGGAAGCTCTAGTTGAACTGTTGCTGGACGACCATCATCACCACCAGAACTATATCTACACACATGAACAATACGTTATACAACACCATGTACGATGTACGCCCATCGCAAGAGAAGCAAGCAAATCTGCAAATGCACTGGATGTACCCCGCACCGATTTTCTCTTATAGCAATGATAGCGGTCCAGATCGCAATATACAACACACACACACATGCACACACGCACACACACATGCACACACGCACGCACATACACGCACACACACACACACACACACACACATGCACACACACACACACACCCTCGCATGCATGCATGCACGCACTCACACTCACACACGCGCACACACATACACACACACACAATGGGATAATCCCGAAGATGGGCCTTGCCCGAAAAAAATCTTTCTCTTCTAGTGATTGGTGTAGCCCAGAGACCGTTTGGAGAGTGTTGTGAAGATGTATGGGTTCCCGACCAGACGGAAACATTACCCGAGAACCCATCTGCCGATCTGAGCGCACAGTTACGATCTACAACATGATGGGAGGAATTTGTTCTAATTCAATCACAGTGGTCACGTAGTTAAAACTAACACACATACCTATCACCAAGAATGGCTTGCAACACCATCGTCTCTTCTAAGCGCTGCTCAATAGCGGTACTCAGCTCTTCAGAAGAAAATCTAAAATGAAGAGATAACACCGCAAAGGAAGACGCAGAACAGACACTTCGCACAACGAAGACAATGACAGTGACTATGTTGATGGGAGCATTTTTCAGAGATGCATCTACTCTTCATTGTCATGGATACGGAAATCACTCCAAAATTGAAACATTTCGGAGCCATTTTGCTTCCACATGTCACCTACTCTTTGGGAACAGGTGGCTGCCATCCATCCGACCCTGTCACGATGCACTTGAGCAAAGAGCACCTGGCTTGAAGAGCATCGCCGTCACAGCTGTCAATGGCCTGCAGGCATCTTGGCACTGAGAAACTGAATATCAACACAGCACACACAGCACACACAGCACTCACACACGCACATATACACACACACCGCACACACATATACACACGCACACACATACACACATACACACACACACGCACACGCACACACGCACACACACACACACACACACGCCAGCAGAGAGCCGCAAACATGGCTCAGCCTACAACCAAACATAATTCGGACAACAGCAGCAAAAGTGCTGGGCTGTGCCAACAGTGCTAACAAACATGCATATGAACTATTTATTTATTCTTTTCGCAAAAAAACTTCATTGAAAGATGGACTATCATACTGAAAGTCAACAAATATTCGGCGTATATTTATTTATACAAAAGAGAAAGGACCAAGGAACTACAAGTTACGCTATACTGTCCACTAACACCACCAGTTACTAAACAATCAGCTCATGCGATAACATTGCACGACACTGACCGACGGTACTGACGTTCTACAATTAACTGGCTAACAGCTCTAGCACATCTTGGATGCGCACTCCAACAGCCTTCCAACTTGGAAGGTTCTAAGTTATAGAAATAACATAAGGAGGGGAAGGTGAGCGCAACCAAGATAAGCACGAGCTGAAAGTCTCAGCTGTGAAGGACGCTGGCGGATGTTCATGCATGTCGATGACGATACTGGCAAGACCATTGGACAATACGGTCAAACCACGATTCAAGAACGCAAAGCAACATTCCACACAACTTGTGTGGCTCAAAAGATGCGAAGATCAATAAAAGGGGAAGCTATGCGAACAAGAATCATGAAAAACCGAACGCCTCAGTATAACAGCACTGTACTTCGACTATGACAATTTAGATGGACAATAACCAGCGGTAACAAGCAGCAGTTTCACACGACAATCGTTTCGCCGTATAGATAAAGACGGCTCATCAGGTGTGCAGGAATGGACTCGGATGGAGAGCCAAGAATTACTTTATCTCTTAAACTGTCAAATCCTATATATATAGGATTTTTTGAATTTTTTCCAATAATCATGACCATGCTTCCGCCCGGGATACGTTGTGTGCCTAAATTGTATTTTAAGGTGTTAGGGCAGTATCAGTAGGTTCTCTTCAGAAGTTTTCAAGAGTGCCAGTATTATCACTGCTGGACTTATAGAGGTGTTTTAGAGAGGACATGTCAGTTTTTTGTCGGATCCTATATATAGGATTTGAGTGTTCTGCATTATCCAGAGTGTTGTAATGGATGCAGATGATGATAGAACTGGCAGGGAAAGTAATATAAAATGCTTGGTATGCTGAATAAGAATGCAGATATCATGAATAGATGTCTATGATTGATTGGGGAGCACTGCCACAGGTTGGCATATCTAGTGCTTTTATCTGTACTACAGCTGAAGTTTCACCCCGAAAATTTGCCGATCAGCTTGAAATTTGGATTATTCCTATGGAAGTGTATGGAAAACAGTTCTATACACCTCATGAAACCCATTTCATCAATTTGCATAGGTTGTTTAGCGAAATCCTTTAGCCAGGGAAAAATCGAATTTTTGATTTGAGGTTTTAACTGTGATACTTTTCTGATTGGGGTAGCCACAAAGCATTAGAATTTAAAATTTTGGGTCAATCGGTCCAGTGGCTCCGGAGATAGTGGATTGTAAGTGCGACAATTACAAAATTGAATATGAAATAAATTGCATGAAATTGCAAAAACAATTAAAATTTTCACCAAAGTCATTTTTGTGCTATTTTCATCAATTTCGATCGTAGCGCTCTAATTTTTTGACGCGAGCTAGCGGGCCTCCTCTGTGATCCGTTGCCGTGGCAATCATTTCCAAAATGGCTGCCCTTCATGACGTACGCGTGGTAGACAGTCAGCTGACATCAAAAATAAATTTTGTCAGCGAAGTGTCAGCAAAGCAAATAATTGTTGTAGCTTTGTTTCATCAAGCCTTGTCAGTTTTGACATTGCTGGAGACGTAAGCCGTGGTGGATCATCTGCCATGGGTAACAAACGCAAGAGCAGGGTTCTCAGCAGGCCAAAGAAGTGCCTTCCCCCGCGGAAAAGGACTGTCTTGGCTCGTGAAGAGCCCACAACTGAAGATGGTGATTTGGACGTATTCGTCGCAGCATCTGAGGATGTTGCAAATCAATCTTCCGTGGCATCTGATTCTTGTACTGGTGATTCAAGCGATGAGGTTATGTCCAGCGACGAGTCTGATGATGATGATGATGATGACAGTTCGGACGAGCACAACAGTGGTAGCAGAATCGTCCACTTGCCATCCCTGACACGTCTTCTTGGCTCATCATGTGTCTGTGCCAACTGCAAGACTGGGTCATTGCTCGTCCAGGAGTCGACTCGATATGGCCTAGCCCCAATTCTTGAGCTTACCTGCGATCATTGTGGGCATGTATTTGAGGGCAGCCTTGCTGAAAAACATACACCAATGCGATTTTATGATGTGAACAGACGTTCAGCAATGGCCATGCGGATGATTGGCAAGGGAAGAGAAGCACTGAGGATGTTCTGTGCCATCATGGATATGCCTGAGCCCATGTACGGACGGTCGTTCCAGTCTCACTGTTCAGCATTGCATGATGCAGCAGTTGAAGTTGGGACAAATAGCATGCGGTACCATGCTGCAGAGTTACTGGCTATGCGGCAAGCGAGTGGATCTGACCATCCGTCACACGTGGCCGTAAGCACTGACGGCACATGGATGCGGCGTGGGTACTCTTCTGTGTTTGGTGTCCAAACAGTAATTGCGTACGACACACTCAAGGTGGTGGATGTGGAGGTGTTATCGAAGCATTGCAACCATTGCGAGGTTTGGGACAACAAACGCGACACGAAGACAGTCACGGCAGCGGAGTTTGCCACCTGGAAGGCTGCACATGCTGACAGCTGCGCCATCAACACCAATGTCTCATCGCCAGCCATGGAGACTGCAGCAGTAGTGAAGATTTGGAATCGATCTGAGGCTCTCAATGGCCTTCGCTACACATCCTACATTGGCGATGGTGATTCGAAGGGATTTCTTGCTGTGACTGAACAGAAGCCGTACGGTGACGTGATGATCGAGAAAGAAGAGTGCATTGGACATGTTCGAAAGCGACTGGGAAAAAACCTTCGAGATCTTCGCCAGCGTCTTGGTACCAAGAAACTCAGTGATGGCAAGCCAATTGGGGGACGAGGCCGGTTGACAGAGAAGAGGATCGATTCGCTGCAACATTATTACGGTGATGCTATCAAGTCGCATGCAGGTAGTGTTTCAGAAATGGCCAGGGCCATCTGGGCATCACTCTGCCACAGTTGCTCAACAGATGAAAAGCCCAGACACGAGTTCTGTCTCCCTGGCCTCAACTCGTGGTGTGGCTGGCAGCGAGATAAGGCTGGGTCAGGGAAAGCCTACGAGCATCATGATTCCTTGCCGAAGGCGGTCATGGATGAGCTGAAGCCCGTGTACCAACGACTGACGGAGAAGAACCTACTACAACGGTGTGCTAGATCGGCCACGCAAAACGTCAACGAGAGTCTGAATGGCATGATCTGGGGCTTGTGCCCGAAGGAGTCTTTCTGCGGCAAGCCCACAGTGGAAACAGCTGTGCATCTTGCGGTTCTCATCTACAATGATGGACACGAGAAGCTTGGCGATGTGCTCGCTGCGATGGGTTGTGAGCAGACCCCTTCATCAGCTGCCTTCCTGCAAAAATTCAATTCTGAAAGCAGGTACCATGCCAGGAGGAAGTCCTCAGAAGACCAGAAGAGTGCCAGGAAGAAGAGGCGTGCCATCAAAAAGGGTTATGCAGACAAGGCCAAAGAGACGGAAGGCGTTATGTACTGTCCTGGTGGTTTTTGAGTGCTAAAAGTTGCCCTTTTTGGGGGGTACCGTGTGACCTTTGGTACACCATATCTCCAGTTTGGTACTTGGTATGTCCAAATCCAGTAAACTATATATGTATTCATATCTACGTCAAATTTGCAAGGTGCTCACGTCTCTACTTTTGAAGATTTTGTCACATCTACTGACGTATGGGCACAGAAAGATAATTGGACCAACGGCGCGTTCTTTACGTATTTCTTTATGTGTGTGTCAGCCAGATTCTTTACATCTAGAAGCATAAATCTCTTCGTGAGCATCTAGTATTGAGCAAGAACACTCATTATGTAACATAAGTATCTGGCTATTGCTAAAATCCTTGCAGAAAACTTGTACCAAAAATTTGTTGACCGCATTTTTGCGATATTCTTGTTTGGTGTGTCCAGCATCCTGTTCTCCAAGTCGAAATGCATGTGTGGTGGTTGTTCAAGTGTTCTTTATTATCTGACCAGCATGTGTAGAAAATTTGGTGCAAAAATAATGAGGGATGCCAATGTTACAGACATTTGAATGCATGTATGTTATCGGCTGGCGCCGAAGGTAGCCTGCCACCTTAAGAGAGACGAAAGAGAAAGGACCAAGAAACTACAAGTCTAAACAGTACTAAAAAAATCTGTATGCACTAGCATGACAATTAGCCTAGTACATACCCAAGTGACTCGGCTATCCGCCGAGCCTGATATTCCCTGGCTAAACCAGCTTGGTCGCGATGAGATGCCGACATTTCCCAGGACGCAGCTTGAAAGTTGTGTGGCAAGTCGGCCTCTGGCAGATGCAGGCTTAACCAGTGGATGATGCCTGGACATCTCAAAAGAAGAACAGCAGTTGACAATTGACTTGACATGCATCGTCCGTACCATCCGGCGATGAGAGCGTAAAGTTCAGACATGGACAAATACACACTTTCATTGAGTAACAGATAAGTGAAGCAGAGATTTTATATTCAGAGAAAGTATGCAGGAGAACAGTCACATACAAAATGCATTTCAAGGCTGAGTTCGAATGGTACAAGCACAGGCATTGAAGTCCTCATACAAGCCACTTTACTATTACCAACATCTGTACATTCGTAGAAGAAAGGCAATGCAATGCACGGCATGCACAACATGGTCTGCGTGACGAGAACAATCATGGTGGTCTACGTGACTAGAACAATCATGGTGGTCTACGTGACTAGAACTATCATGGTGGTCTACGTGACTAGAACTATCATGGTGAAGCGCAGGACATTATTTCCGTCTGCGAAGTAACAAAAGGAGTTGACAACTTCAAGCCAATCCACTTGATCCCACCAGGCTGAAAACAAAACAAGAAAAGCCGCTTTCAAAGACACCTTCAACTGTCCCCGACTCCCCGGATTGCTGTCACTCTGGGTGTGCTTTTTCACTTTTCGCAAAAGGTTTCCAAATTCGAAAAACACGACACGCACATGCAAGTTTGCGCCATTATAAGAATGCAGCCTAAGACCACCACTCCCCCCACCATCACCATACACACATGTGCACACATACGTTCCTCACCTTCTCTATCCGATGCATTCTCCGTTGCTTCTCTTACGTGCTGAGGATGGAATCCGAGACGACAAATGGCGTCCATGGACGCCTGCACAACAATGCACATGTTGGCACAGTGCATGCTTTCATTACACATATCATTGCTAAGAACAAAGACCAAACAAACAAATATCAAAACAAATCCTAAACCTGCTGAAGCCCTTTTTAAATAGGCAATGTGCCTATAGTCTTGGTTTGTAGTGGAAAGTGACATGGCCAGGCAGCCTCAAAACCATAAACTAAGAAAGCTGCTTGGAGCCATCAAAAAGCAAAACTACTCCAAAGTCCTCATCTAATTGTTTCCAGGTCTTCCACATGTTGAGTCACTTGTCCACAATGCATATCTCCATTTCGCCATAACAGTTCCCAGGTCTAAGAATTACCTGATGAGATCCAGATGAGGATGAAGATGAAGAAGCAGAAGCCACAGAAGCAGCAGCAGCAGAAGCTTCATACTGTGAAAGCATGGTCACAATCATTGCCCGGGCCTGTTCATTCATTCTGACAATAGAAAGAAATGGTGGTACTTTTCTTGCAGTCTCATGCCTTCGTTCCGCCTTCTTCTCCTCAACTAGGAGCGAAGAAAAAAAACGCAAAATAATGAACAACCGAAAGACAGTGATGAAGAAGGCAAGGAAAACTTAGTTCCCAGGACACAATGTTAGCTGTGTGAATGGTGCAGGTAGCTAAAGACCCACTGTGAGATCGTGTCAAAGCAGTAATAGAAGTATCTGTTCATGCATATGCTAAGTATGCACCAATGTAGAGGAGGCCTCTGGCAAGATTTCATGAGCTGTATACAAAGGGCGCATGTATCAAGTTGCACAAACCTCGGAACACAAATGATCGAATATCAAAGTCACTGTGAGTTTTGCATCAAAGACGTTGTGCTTGTCAACCCACCTGGTTTCTTAGCGAAAGGATCGCTGCCGGGGACAGGGAGAAAGTCAAGTTTTCCGGCCTTGCGTTCCTTGTCCAATTCTATCCAGTAGTCCCGGTAGCCATACGGTAGGACAAGCTGCATTGGTTTATGGCCATTGACTGCCTGGTCGACAGAGACACAGGAGAAAGAAACGAGGGAAAAGAGCTTGAACCATGCAGTCAATTGGACGAAGTACTTGTGACTGGTTTTAATTGCACAAAGTACTTGTGTGAATTGCAGGACACCTAGTAGAGGATACAGGTGAAATCATTTGGATAACCTCCAAAGTGCTTGCAAGGTACCCGTTCTGAATAAAGCCAAGTCTGTGTTGGGTACTTCTTAAAGGGGAAATCAACCCCACACTGTCCATCTGAAACAAATTTCCCGAGAATGGGCAACGTCTACCAGCTCACACAATTACAGAAATACCAAACATGGCAAATTTTAGCAACAAAAAAAAACAGTAGTTTGAAGGTGGTCAAACTAGTTTCGCAATCTATTACTAGCGACTTCAATCATGTGACCAAAAGGCAGAAATCCTTCGTCGCACGAATGTATGGTGCAAGCATGGCGTGCACAGAACAATTTTTCTCTCGACGATCTACGCCTGCCTACGCGTTATTCATGTGCCCAGCGCCTTCGATTTTTACATGATGGACAAGCACACATGAATAGCTTTCCAACGGTGTGTCGCATGTCCTGAGTCATCGATTTTTGGATATATCGCTCCGTATTTTTAGTTTTCAAAGCAAACTTTCGGCATCTCAGCTACCTTGCCCGTCAATGACCGAGTCACCATCGTGTTCAGAGCCCTCAAATTAGTTTAGATGGGTTCATGGTAAGGCTCTCCTCCGTAGCCGTTTTTAGCAGTTTGAAGAATTAATATTTGTGCGCAGCGGCTGAAGTCGGCTATGGAGTGCACTATTTGACGGGCTCTGCGTGACGGAGCGAGCAGACCTTTGGCTTGTAAATCCGCTAATGATTATGTCCTTCACGTCAAGATTCTGGAGGTGCTTGAGCAGTGAGGAGGTGATTATTTCAATCCATCGAAGCAGAGCACGTCCCGTCCAACATCTGCATGTACGACGGTTTCTCTGTCACCCTCCAAGAACACCAAAAACCCGCATACCGCGCATACATTCACTGTGTATGCATGATAATCATGAGGTCCGGGAAACCCACTTTTGTGCCATTGCTCTGCATACAATTGCATACATGGCCTCCGACGATTGCATACCAACTTTGGGGGCTGATATCTCCGGTTTGGGACAAGATATACCCATGAAATTTTCTGTATGTGTTCTACAGAGGTTTCTCTTTCCAGTCGTGCAATTTGTTGGCCCTAATTCCGATTTTAGAATTTTGGACTGAAGTCGCTACTATTACTTCGCATGCAAAGATGCAAATCCACCCAATCAAGTAGACATTTCCTTTCATCTATCAAACGTTTTCTTTCTCTTCTCTTCAGGATAGTACAGGGAATGGTGGAAAATTGGAAAGACGCATAACTATATAGTTGTTTGGTGTCACACCTCCTGAAGGTGTGACCAGTGTTGATATTTCCAACGTTTTTGTCTACAACTTACAGCTTTTGTTTTGGAGTTAGCACTCATTTCTCACCAATGTTGAAGTGTTGTCTCTTTCATTCTTTCTTTCTTTTTCAAACTCTATAATACATGTATAGAGTTTGAAAAAAGAAAGATAATTATACTTGTGTGTCTTTCAAAATGTCCACTGTTTCCTGTACTATCCTGTAGAGAAGGGAGAAAAAACTGTTGATAGATGAAAGGAAGTGTCTACTTGATTGTGTGGATTTGCGTCTTTGCATGCAAAGTAATAGATTGCAGGGAAAAAAATACTTTTAAATGGCTTAGTACTAACAGCATACCGAGAGTGATAACGTTAGAACAAAAAGAAAGTACTTCTCAAAGACTAGTGTGGTAGATGTGCCAAGCAACAAGTGCCAGAAAGACATGAACTCCGTCCCATACTCACCTGCAGAGTGAAGACAGACGAAAAGTGCTTCGCATCTGTCAGGGTTCGAAAGCCCTCCCGAGGCGCGAACGACACTGTCTCGATGGCACTGGTCTTCTTCTCACGGCGACTCAAAGTTATCCTGCACTGCCAACCATCAATACCCCCGCGGCCTTTAAACTACAACGAGAAAGAAACAAGAACAGCAATCCAATCACAACATGAACAGGTTAGATATAATAATTATACTAAAAAGTCATGGGCTTGTCATCCATGTTGCAGCCATCACTAGACTGCTCAGAATAAGTTGAAAGTTGTAGCAATGCGGTTCAAGCACAGGCAGCTCTACATTCATAATCCATCACACTCCAAATAGCCTCTACATGCTACATGCCTGCACTCACAAGTAAATACGGCAAGATTACAATCTCCAGCATGAGAGTTATAACTAGGAGAGTCTTACCACGTCAAACTGTGGCTTTAGCCAGGCATTACGCTGGCATAGCTCATGAAGCTGAGTGAGCGGCGACTTTCCTGTCCAGCTCTTCAGGTTAGGCGACTCCCGTAACTGTAAGCATCCAATGGATGGAATCAACAAAAGGATCAACAAGGTAGCTCCAACAACAAGCACTATGAATTTATGGAATTGTATTAATAGCACAGCACGACAGGCATATTATGTCATCTTGACTATTGAGTTCATGTGCTTCGAAGTACACAAGCCACGTTCCCCACCGAACGATGAGTGCTCAGCGCCGCAAGGTGGAGCCTGCACATACAACAGGAAGTGAGGAAGTTTAGCTTTTTAACTCATCAGAGCAATATGTTGTTGGCGAACATCAGGTACCTGCTAGCACTCTTTACTTTTGCCGGAACAACTTACAGCTGAAGTACCAGTATGTGTCTGGCATTTCGGATGTAGCACGCAGTTGTAGTTTGGCTAGATGTGCCTGTGCCAATAGGGCAGCATCCGAGCTACACCAGGTTTGCATTCAACAGTCCAACTGTTCTCAAGGACAAGAGAATAGCATCCATGTCGTAAGCCATGCATGTTGTATACAATGTGTACATGTGTACTGGGAATATCCATTTTTAAAGTTGTTTTCCGATCAATAACAAATTAAAAAATTAAAATCCACATTGTAAAAGGGCCCGCAAGTTGGCAGGGGGAACTCAAATTTACAGTAATTACATGGAGGCCCTGCTACAAGGTGTTCCACCTCCCCAGCCTCATCCGGTCCGGTTCTCTGGTCTCAATCGCGACTTGGTGAGAAAGGCGGTACTCAACACGCATGGCGCAGCCGGCCCGTCAGATGTAGGCGCTGAGGCATGGAGGTGGATGTGCACAATGTTCTCCGATGTGTCTGACTCGCTGTGCGATGCGCCAGGAAGCTCTGCTCGACGTGTGGCGACCGAATTTGTCGACCCCCGATCGCTCGAAGCATACCTGGCATCCCGACTCATCCCCCTCAACAAGAACCCGGGGGGGGGGGGGGGGGCAGACCAATTGGGATTGGCGAGGTGATGCGGAGAGTGGTAGGCAAAGCCATCCTGTACGTAATTGTTCAGGATATTCAAGAGGCAGCAGGCACCCTTCAACTGTGTGCAGGCCAGGACTGCGGGATCGAGGCGGCGATCCATACCATGCAGCAAGCGTTCAACCAGGAGGATACTGAAGCGAATGCATTTAACCTACTGAACAGGGCAGCATGCCTGCGCAACATGCGTCACCTATGCCCATCCCTGGCGACAGTCGTTATTATTAGCTACCGACAAACTGCAAAGCTGTTTGTTGGGGGCAGCGTCATCATGTCGGCAGAGGGCACCACCCAGGGCGATCCCATCGTGATGCCCATGTATGCACTGGGCATTCTACCTCTCATTCGTGCTCTATCGGCTGAGGGAACAATCCAGATGTGGTTTGCAGATGACTCCTCTGCGGGCGGCAGAGTCCAACGACTACGCGCTTGGTGGGATATTCTGCGACAGAAAGGATCGGCGTATGGGATAAATCAGTCCTGGTTGTCAAGGCTGGTCACCTGAGGGAAGCTGAGGACGCCTTTGCAGGGACTGGTGTGCACATTACCACCGACGGCCACCGGTTTCTAGGTGCCGACTTGGATCAACGGAATTCGTCCAGAACTATGTATCCCAGAAGGCAAGCAAGTGGAAAGATCAGATTGTGTCCTTGGCCAAGATTGCCGAATCCCAGCCACAGGCTGCCTATGCAGCATTCACGAAAGGCCTAAAGCATCGCTGGTCCTTCTTTGCCGAGTCATGGAGTGTGCTGCTGCAAATCTTGCCCCGCTGGAAGACACCATCACCAATGTCCTCGTTCCTGTCCTGTGCGGTAAGCCGGTAAACACGCGTGAGCGAAGGGTCCTTGCTTTCCCATGCCGTGAAGGAGGCCTCGGCTTAGTCGACCCCACCACCTTGGGCGACCAGTTCCAGGCATCGGCAGAGATAACCTTGGCACTCGTCCACAAGATTCTGGACCAGGACACTCAGATTGGAAATGTGCTGGACCTGGTACGGTCCACTAAGAGGGAGGTGGCAAGTCGTACCCGCAGATCAACGGCCCAAACAGCCAAAGAGTTCATCCTGCATGGGCAAATCGGCAACAGCCTGCTTTAAAGGGGAAGTTAAGGCAAAAATCAAAATTTCACCAGTTGTAGTCTTCGGGGTGCTGAGTCGAATGGTCTTGGTCCGAGAAAGCTGAGACGCTACCTTCCTACTTGAATCCCAATCGAACTCGCGCACTTCCACCGAAACTAGGTGACTGCGCCCTACTAGATGGGGATTTGTATGCAAAATGTCACTAAAAGCGCCATTTCGTTCTTATAAAAGTACGGATGACCGCGATTGGCCCACATGTAGTCTTTTGGACGCTGAGTCAACTGGTTTTGGTCCGAAAAGGCTGCGATGCAGCGTTCCTCCTTTATTCCCAATCGAACATGGTTGAACAAGCGGTCACGTGCTCCTGCGTACACCAGTCACCTGGTCACCGTGCCTGCAGGGTACAACTTACTAGCCTGTTTAACCTTTTTTGGGTGCAGTGCTGTGACTCGAGTTGAACCTTGGTGTGAAAGGTGTCGCCTGCTGGCGTGGTGACCAGGTGATTTGGGCACCCAGGAGCACGTGACCGCTTGTTCAACCACGTTCGATTGGGAATAAGAGCCGAACGCTGCATTGCAGCCTTTTCGGACCAAAACCAGTCGACTCAGCGTCCAAAAGACTACAACATATGGGCCAATCGCGATCATCCGTGCTTTTATAAGAACGAAATGGCGCTTTTAGTGACATTTTGCATACAAATCCCCATCTAGTAGGGCGCAGTCACCCAGTTTCGGTGGAAGTGCGCAAGTTCGATTGGGATTCAAGTAGGAAGGGAGCGTCTCAGCTTTCTCGGACCAAGACCATTCGACTCAGCACCCCGAAGACCACAACTGGTGAAATTTTGATTTTTGCCTTTACTTCCCCTTTAAGCAGGTTGCCGGGCTCCTGTCCAACAAGACAAAGGAGTCGTACAGCAGAGTAATGGCGTGGATTCGCTGCCGACTTGGCTTTGCTCTGGTTCGCTTCAGCATGGTTTGTTTGCGTGGTGCTCGGCGATGCCCCATGCGCGTCAGTGAGGTGGAAGATGCCTCTGCTACCTTGGCCGTTGCCGAGGCCCGCTGTTCTCTATAACTGACTGCAAGTGGTTCCTAAACCAGTTCCTATTCCTCATTTCTGCTTCTTTTTCCCTCTAGTTTTCTTTTATGGTATTATTATTTCACAGAGAAGGCGGAGAGCCCGAACGAGTGCATTTTCATTTGTATTATTTGCCATGGCGACCCTCGTAAGTCCACGTAACTGGCAAGGCTAGGCAGGGTTGGACCTTTTTCTTTTTTCTTTTACATGTGTAGCATGTTAAAAAAAAATAATAATAATAAATAAAAAAAACGCACCTTGCAGCCAGGAAAAGAATCTTCCGGTGGACGTTGGGGCGCACTAGCACTGTCGGCTGAAGCAGCCGCACCACCACCTCCGCCTCCACCACCACTACTGGCAGAATGGTTACTTGAACGGCCGCCACCAGCATTTGGGCGTTTGCCTTTCTTCATGTTGAAATTCGTGGAATTATGCTATAATAGAGTTACAATGAATATTTTAGGGAAATCCCATGGCACGCTTCGTTCTTGAAACCTCCACCCTGACTAGAATAAGAGTGAACCATGAACCACTACAGAACAAGACGTGCAGGTATCCCTCACTGCGGATATTAGACTATCCGTAATGATACACAAGAAGAAACAAAACTAAACAGTGTGTGCTATTTTTTGTTTTCTTTTCTCGACGTCAACGTAATTCAAGTACATCGAGTTTGAACTGCACTAGCCACGTGGACGCTTCATGCAAAGTTTTGCAAACACATGTCATAATGCATACGTCATATGGCCGCGGTCAACTGCAAAAAAAACAGCAAAAATTCAGAAAAATATGGCCCACGTTTCACTGACGATTTTGTTTCTTTCAATGGCATTTTGCAATATTTGGCTCGAGCATTTATGTCAATGTCTTGAGGTGCAATCTCTTCGCCAGCCCATCTGAGACTCTCATTGCTGGGCCAGAATAATGTCCGCTGCTCAATTCCCGGAATTGCTGTCGCTCCTGTCGGAGATCAAGGAGAAGGTATTGTTTTCTTTCATTTTCATGCAGTTGTGTGTCGAGAACATTTGGCCAGGTGAAGAGTTACTAAAAATATGTGATAATCTGGAGGGGTTGAAGATAACGTAAGGGGCTATGCATTGCTGGAAGTCATGATGGCACCGCTGTGCAGTGTTAGAAACCGCTCCATACGAAGAAGAATTGGTTCACAGATACCATCATGTATACCTTATCACCATCCCCTGAAAATGTCGGTAGAATTCTGTTGAGACATACATGTTCCTTGCAATGGCAGGAGGTATCCAGGCCGAAAGAGTACACAACTAAGCCGGAAGTAGCTTAGTTCCAGAGGAAATAACCAAGCTGGATGTGCATCTGATATTCAGGTCGATAAGCAGCAGCTTTCAGCCTGTTTATCATTAAATCCAAGCTCCCCGCCACATGCGCTCTCCCGCCGACCTTGTTCACCACACCAGCAACATGACTCCAAGTTGTGGTAGATACTGGCATCAAATCCTCCATACAGCTGTTTCAATCATACAGGTCTCATCAGTGAATGTTGTGAGAGAGTACTGAATGGCTAGAACTTGTGAATAACACTGTTTTATACAGAGCATTTAATAATAATACTGTGAAAATGAACTAGCGCAATCATGCGCTTTGAGGCAACATAGGCTTACACAGCTAATACTCTGAGAATAAGTGCAGCATCACACGATACGCGTAAGGTACTGGGCACATAGGTACTATACATTGAGTACATGTTAGTGATGTGATAATTATTGTAGGTGCAAAACATCATAACGCGCTACGTTAAAACTCTGTGACAGTTATTCAGGTAACATCTGGGACTTTAGGCTCCAGCCAGAAGTCCGAACTGTCACCTCAATATTTAGTGTGCTGTTGTAACGGGCTATGATGTTAACCACATGACATGTATCTACATGTATATCCACAATAGACACCCTTAGCAAAAAACGTTATGTTGTAACGGTATTATCGTAAGGGGGAAAAATACCGTTATTTGGGTTCGACCTTTAGCAAGATGCACGCTATTTTTAGTACGCTGTTGCCAAGAGAATGGCTTTGATTTCGCGCGGTACAACCATTTTGGTCACCATATACGCGATACTATGTGAAATGCGTACGGACTATGCAATATTTGGCCAAAACACGTACCGTTGGTCACAACGATAAATCAGCCCCCATAACGTTTATACGCTGCAGCTTCAACGCTATTTGGGTGATCAAGGTACGAGTACCGTAAAAAATAGCGTTACCGTTGTTTGCTAAGGGTGTCTAATACCTTATAGTGACATACGGATGGGGGGGGGGGGGGGGGATGGAGTCCGCTGATACTCATGGTCACATACTGGGAAGTGAATCGTTAGCCACCTGAGCCCACCTGTTTCATAATTGGCGGTGATTCCACCATGAAGTTGATCAGTTTGTGAACCTTTTCCGTGCTAATGACATCTATAGACGTCATGTGCACTGTACACCAAACGGCTAGTGACGTCATAAGATTTGCGCAGTATATCGCAGTGCATAGATCAGTGTACGAACTGTCTTAACTCCGTCAAAAATAGGTCCATCGCGACGAACGATACACCGTTGGAAAGGTCCTGAGCTCAGCTTTCCAGGGATATACAGCTCTTCGCAATGGGAGAAAGATTGACAGAGCGGTGGCGGAGTGAACACGGAATTCAAGGCCCGGAGCGCTAGCGATCGTGAATTTTTTGTTCATGCATTCGCAGTTTTCTGTTGCGTACCAGAGGATTTCCCTTCGGCACAGCACATGCGTAATGGATACCAAAAGAAGCTCGTGGATCTCAGCTGGGCAACACAGTCTGAATCGTGAAAATTGGCTCAACTGGAACAAGAAGCCGAAAAAGAATGTGAGATTGAGTTGCTGTGCCTTTCCGAGGCATGGTGAGGTAGTGTCTAGAGGATGTGGGAGTTGCGCTGCCGTGCATATTGAGCTGAGATCTACTAGGATGGATTCGCTTGGTCCTGATCTTTCCAGCAAGTCCAGGATGATGAAAATCCATCCAGGTAAACTGAAATGAGAGAAAAATTCGTTCGGACCTGTGCGCTAAAACGACTCCAGGGGAGTCAGTGCGCTGGAAAGGCAGTTTGCTGGAGAAAAAGGGGTCAGCACTTAACGGTTAATGTGCATGATTGTACTGTATATGAACTTGGATCCAAGTTGTTCATCCTGTACAGGCTGTAGGCATCAGTCTAACACACTCATGTTTGAATGTTCTCAACAGTAGACGTGTGTGGCGAGTCTCCATGCGCCGGAATGTTCTGGAGATTTGGGACTCTGATCTATGCATGCACTTGGAGTTGTGTTCCACATCTCGACTGGCAGTACCTGTGTATGTGTGATTTCTGTGTGCACTGCTGTTATTGCAACGAAAACGCTTTGTTGGTTTGTGTTCCTGTCAGGCCTCTGCGGTGACCCAACGATGCACGGCTGTGAAGAAAGAGAATGCCGGCTCCAGTGTTGATGTATCCAAGGTATGGCAGTTACAGTCATGTGTTGGTTTTGTGTCAAATTTCTTTAGATAAATTCTGCACGAGGACTATGAACAGTTAGTCGTACTTCAAAGTAACTCGGAGTTTGTTCACATTAAGCACTCTGTGGAAGGCCGGCTGGGCTCGTGATGAGTGATGTGGTTAAATTCTGTAGAGAGAAAGGAGTGCTGGGCATTCGCATTGCAGTTTCGAAACTCTATTGCTCCTGATTTCCATCACTTGTCATCACTTGACGAAGTAAGTTGGCTAAGTTTGTATTGTTATCCCTTGTTGTGTTATTCAGATCACTTTCTTAAAGTTTTCTTATTGTCCGCAAACTCCAACGCAGCCATTTACACATTTATGAAACTCTGGCCCGACAATTTGGTGTAATATAAATTTGAATCTGCATTGCCAGGCTCTGTTTTTAGCAACAACAAAAAAAGGAGATTGAGTTTACCCAGGGTTCAGCGCAATCATCTATGAATAGCCACTCTCCTGTTCTTTGCTTTGTGTCCAGGGAATCAGTCTTCTTGACGCTAAAGTGCAGCTGCTCATCAGGTAAATAAGCTATCATGCATTTGGCTCTCTGCTACTGTGGCTGGTCGTTGCGTTGCTGCAAATTCTACTTTCTTACTTATCTGTTGACGCAGTGCATTCTTTGTCTAACTGATCAACTGTGTATTCTAGCATCTCCCTTATCTCATGTCAAAAACTTTCAAAAGGTCACTCATGTTGTTTCTGCTGGTTGTTCGTGATGCAGCTACTTGAACAATGTGTCTCTACTTGTCCTGATGAAGCTGGAAGGCAAGCGTATAGAGGACCACCCTGTGGTGATGCGGCTTGTCGAGTTGCGCACAGTGAGTTAATGTTTCTGCTGTTGTTGGCGTGTCTCGCACCATACCTGTGTTTGTAACAGCGCCCTGAATTGAATAGTTGGAACGTGGTGGCACGTTTTGTGACATATCACGTTTGACTATCCAAGGACTTCTGACTGGTTGCTTTCATTTCTCTATTCGCAGACATGCCAGAAAGCGGGTTGTCTCTGAGAAAGCTGTAGGCTATTGGCCAATGCTTTCTCTTGATCTTTGCAATGCGTGCTTTTAAAAGAGGTGTCTTGCTACTGCTTGTGTCCTGTGCTCCACTGCATCATCTCAGTTGTGATTGTTATGTATTATGCTCTCATCTTGCTATGTTTCCTGGTCAGGTCCTAGAGAAGATCAGGCCAATCGACTTGAAGCTGAAGTATCAGATTGATAAACTGCTCAAGCTGGCCATGGAGCCTACAGCTGGTGAGTAGACTGATGGCATTTGGAAGCTGGATTTGACGTGTTTTGGGGGATGGGAACTCCAGATTGTAGGCCGAATTAAATGCGCCTATGTGCTGATCAGTAAATGGAGGGTAAGCAATTATGCAATCCATGGTGCAGTCTAGTGTGTCTGAAAAGTAACGAAGTCTGTTTGAGAGGAGTACAAGTACAGATATCAAAATTGCTCCTGTACGCCATGAGACAGTTGACGCAGACTTGGTCGACAAGGGCTGCCCAAGCTATTGATCTTGCCCTGACACTCGCACTCAACGCTGGATGGTCCTGAAATTGGGGGTAGATGTGCTTCATCACACAGCACACCCATCGTGTATGCTATGCTATTCTGTGCTGGATGTGCACGTGAGTGTATGCGTGCGTGCATGTAATACGGTATGTTTCCCACCTCTGTGCATGCAAGCATATGACTAATGAGGGTCTAAACATTGTTGTTCCTTTGCTACTTTCCTGTTGGGTTTGGTGTCGTTCATTACAGCATCAACACTAGATCCACTCCGTGCACGGCCTAATCCAAATAACCTTATTAGCGTGGTAAGACCTCACTCTCACAACAACAGAAATTGCTTTGTCAAGATTGCTTCGACCTGGGGCCAATTGTCTCCTTGATTGTACTGCATGGCTTTAGAGTATACAACATGCATGTGTTGTGTGAAAGTAGGAATGTATAAAATTGTTCTGTACACTTTACCCCCGAGCCACTTGCTACCCCGGCCTTGATAGGTCTCATCAGCGGAGTACAGAGTAACTGGCTGAACCAATGGCAGTGCAATCTGGTGAACAATAAAGCATTTTAATTTAAATCTGTGTGCAAAGCATCACAATCAGAGGGCTCTATCTGGTTCCTTGAGAAAGACAGCGAGCTCTGCGCTAAGGCAGATAACTTTGAAATAGTGCTGAACCCAGGCGAGGCAAGGGAGCCTTGTACTCCAGACAGGTAGATGCTTGACCTTGTTAGATCTGATCAGTGGAGCTCGGAGTGACTAATTGTGTTGTCTATGTCTACGCTCTGCTTCCTTCAATAATTAGGACGAGAACGGGCAAGACATTGAAGGAGATGAAGATGGTGACAGTGATGAGGACGGTGATAATGATGCTCTTATCAATGGTGACCTGAATTTCGAAGACCGTGATGCCGAGGCAGCCGCAGCAGGCCTCTACGTTCCTCCCAGGATAGCTTCGATGCCTTATGGTGAGTGCCTACAGTCACTACAATGTTCTGCATTTTGTAGCAGTGGGTGGAGTAAGTAAGTAAAGCTTGAACGTCCACGTTACCACTGGCTGTACAAATACAATTGTGTTTGGAAACGCGACCAGCTTAGTTAGTTTGGCTCGTGCCAGGCCACCACCATGCCTAATTAGTAGTGGTGAAACGAATATTCGAACATTCGTTCGGTTTGTCGCATTCGAATATTCGTTACGTCACATTCGAGTATTCGTTACGTCACTTCGAATGCAGTGCATGTGCATACATGCACGCCGAACACGGTACAGTGCAGTAGGTACAGCCTGCCTGTGACTTTGTACTGCATGCATGCACATGTATGTCCATACTGGACTGCCAATGTTGCACATAACAGGTATGAACTTCGAAGTACCCTTATGTGGCAGTACATTTTACGTGGCACTACCGTTTGTCATACCTAATAATAAATTAGTATTGACAATATCCATCAAATGACTGAGAGGAGGGCATGTGATGTCATCTGTGTTACCAAAAGAATATTCGTTCATTCGTTCGTTAAGCTGAAGAATATTCGACTAGTAGGTTTTGACATTCGTTTCACCACTACTAATTAGGCGTTGGGTGACAAAAGCAGCGCCTTGCGGCGAGAGTGAGAGTGTATGTCTCACAGGGGTAGGTCTGGGGATGAGTATAAGAGAAGGATACGCCACACGTGTGCTCTCATTGCACTTTTATGACAATCGTCCCAAGTGATGTTGCTAACTGCTCAAGGGACCATAGAATGTGGCCCTCGTTCATAAGCAATCCCTTATCCAGGGATTTTGGACTGAAAATGATACCATTTGGTTCTAGTGACCCTGTGGAACAGATGGTCTGCTTGTCAGAGTGGTCTTCTGACAGGGATCACCTACATGTACTTCACTACAATTATTGTAGTACTTGTTTTCCTATGTAATGCTGTGAGTGCCATTGTTGTGACTCGTTTGTGCTGTGCCAGATCTTGATGATCAGCGGAAAAAGAAGAAGAAAGACTCGGGCCAAGATGACAAGCACTATGGGCTCAATCGCGTCATGCTGCAGGAGCTACGAGGTAAATGCATTGCTTCGATGGTGTGAGCACCCAAGAATGCTGGTGACAGTCATCTATTTCCCTTGACGGGTTTATAAGCATTGCCAGTATGGTTGTGGAGCTATGGTGCTATCCTAGCTATTCTATGCTAAAGTTGATGCACTATTTTTGCTGTATATTTTTTGAATCATGAAGTTGGGCTGCTTGACACTTTAGCTTGTGCTTTCTCATCGCTTGAGTTGTTGAAGTCCTGATGGTATCACCTTGGCCTCACCCATGTGTTCTCTACCATTTTCATTTTTCAAACCACGTCGGACTTTTTGTTAAATTGTCGGCGTTTGTGTGGAGTTCGATGCAGCTTCCGAATGTTGATTTGTATTTTTGATGTGTCAACTGTGTGCCGCGAGTACTGATATTGTACGTGTTTTGTTTTGGTTGTGCTCGCCTGTGTAGATCAATATCATGATGGCCCAGAGGAGATGGTGGTAAGTTGTCAGAGGTGGCATCTTGTGTGTGTGTGCTAGCTGAGAACAAGACTTACTTTCATAGGCCTTTCTCACAAACTGCATGTGAGCATACTAGTACGGTGTAAGACGACGCCTTGGAAAAGATCAGGTTGACCCGCCAGTTTCTCAAATGCTTGTCAAGTCTCTCCTAAACTCACTAGTCTACAGCTAGATCAGCAGTGTCGCTGTGGAATAGTCTCCTTGTGTACCAGTTTGCCTTGTGGTGTGCAGTGAGCGGCAGGTCACATTCACTTTATGAAACTGGTCATTGTGCAATTGTTTTCCGGTCCACACGATTAGTGTTTTATCCTGTACGCTAAGATCAGTGACTGATAACGATCTGCAGTGGTCACGGGCCGTGGATATGAGGGAAATGCTTTGTTTCTCTGTATCGCAGTGGGGCCAGTTTCTATGGTTTGGTTCCGTTTGCTGTAAAGCTGTGCGCTACATGTCCACTTTTGAGATTGTGTTTGTCCTCTTGCCTCCAGGACTCGTCTGCCAACAAGTCTCGTAAGCGTGGTCGCGATGAAGAAGATCAAATGAGGCAAGTGACCATGTGTTGTTATATTGCTTTTCCAGATACTACATGTATTGCAACCACTTTAGCAAATGTGCCCTCGAATGACGTAACTTCACTGTTTTTCTTCAAATGTGCTTGACAAAGATCTGCCAATATTGAGACGCCTGCACCAGTGTGATAAATTTGAAGTGTGTTTACTTGAAGTACACATTCAGTCATGTACATGTACCTGCAGTTAGGTTGGACCCTGAACATAGCCAGTTGATATTGAGGATATTTACCACTGTGCCCAATGTACACTGCTCAATTCTGGCATAGCACTGCAGTACACCGTTCAGTCATGACATATCAAGCTGGCGACGACACAGTACTAGTAATCGATTCAGGACCTTGCAATGCCATGGCTTTGGCAGAGCACCATCAAATCTAATACTTCGAAGTATTAATGCGATTAATAGTATAAGTGAAGCGGACATTACAAAATGATGAATGAGAATACATGTATCTAAAATGGTTGTTCCTAATCGATTTTCTTGAGACTATCATCAGGGAAAATCGTCTCACAATAGAGGCTATACGGAGAAACAAACTACTTATAGGTTAATGGATAGTGGGAAGTATACAAGGTGAGGTGTGAAAAAAAACTAAAGTGGGAGAGAAGACGAAAGAAATTAGAAGAAAAGATGTGAGAGTGTTCTGACGGTGTGAGCTACTACAAAAGGTGAGTGAAATGAAGGCGTGGAAGCAGGTGAATGTGATAGACCGCAAACAGGTGCCAGTTGCACAATTACAACAGAACCACACAGTACCGGTTGAACGGACTACAAGTACACAGGTACGTGAGACTGAAGGAAATGGCCAAACACAGGTACGGAGACCAATAACTAGGAGCATGACTCGTACGCGGGTAATAGCATCTACAACCGGACATGGACTGGCAGCGAGCAGTAGCGTGGGATTGTCGTTGGGTGCAGAGGACGGGATGGAAGCGGAGGAGGATGAGGAAGGTGAGAGCAGTGATGAAGAGAGTGAGTTGGACAACCAAGATGAAGATGACCGGACTGAAGGTGAGACCACAACGAAAGGGTCAGCCATTAAGAAACACCTCTTGTCTAGTAGCCAATGCCGCTCAGTGTATGATGATTCATGCTTCACTGTTTTGTGTCGTGCTCGTAGGTTTCGTGAACTTAAGGTATTAGAAGCTGTTTTCATCCGTAAACACAATCCTAATCTATGCATTCAGAAAGAAAATGTCACAAAACTGAGACTCTTCACCTAGCATTCACACACGTATTCATTCGCATACACCTACACCTCACAGTTCCTCACTCTATCACATTCACCTGCTTCCACGCCTTCATTTCACTCACCTTTTGTAGTAGCTCACACCGTCAGAACACTCTCACATCTTTTCTTCTAATTTCTTTCGTCTTCTCTCCCACTTTAGTTTTTTTTCACACCTCACCTTGTATACTTCCCACTATCCATTAACCTATAAGTAGTTTGTTTCTCCGTATAGCCTCTATTGTGAGACGATTTTCCCTGATGATAGTCTCAAGAAAATCGATTAGGAACAACCATTTTAGATACATGTATTCTCATTCATCATTTTGTAATGTCCGCTTCACTTATACTATTAATCGCATTAATAAAGTTATTGTCTCCTCGTCGCCTTTTCATTTACTTCGAAGTATGTTGATGTTTTCACAGCAGCTTTGCGGGCAACTCCGCACACAGGAAAGATCACTTCCTTTGGGAATGTATTGTTATTCAGAATTTGCGGTGTCGGGTGTTGTTGCTATCTTTGTGTAGTTTGCAGAACATCATTTCATATGGGTCTGCTCTTGCTCGGCCATTTCTCCGCGTGCTGTTTACTTTGCTCCGTGCAGATACGAAGAGGATCATCTGACTCGTCTACCAGGGAAGAAGAAGAAAAAGAGCACTGTAAGTGTGTGGACATCTTGCCCATGCTGAGGTGTTGGCGTGGCATGTATCAGTATTTACCTTGCTCTTCTTGCTGCTCGGAGTCCATGTTTTTTTATTTATTTTCTTAGACCCAACGTGTGGATAAAGCTCCTTCCGTGTGGCTTGAACTTCAGCACATTGCCGCTGCATCCATCGCTCTTGTGCAGCAATATGAGACATGAGCAACGTAATGGACGCCCACTGCAGCTTGTTTACCTTTCTCCGTATTTCTTCTGCTGTGTTGTCTTTATTGCAGATCGCGGACGGCCTGTCAGCACTGCACAGTTTTGGAGAGGGGGGCGGTGAAGGCCAGCGGGCGCAGAAGTCGAAGGGCAAGGGCTTCTCAAAGAAGGTCAGTCCTTTGACCCTGGTATTGCGATTGCATCTATGCTGCTATTTTCCGTGTGTTCTATGGCTTTTCTTCGGCCAGGGTGGGCAGCTTGCCGTTCAAAGAACACAAGGCTGTGATGATGCTACTTGCCGAAGAACTGTTACCTGTAGTCTACAGTCCGAGGTGGTATTTTCTAGAAACTCGTAACCAGTAGGAGCTCACAACTTTTTTAGAGCTGTTTCTGACTAAGTTGTGGCTGCTGAAGACGATAAAAGTATCGGCAAGTCTGTGCAGTTGTCCGTTTGTTAGATATGGCGATCTTCCGCTGCATGATGCTACTTGCCGAAGAACTGTTACCTGGACTGTGCCCGGGCCTTTGAAACACCCCCTTTTCTTAGTGACTGGACGGAATGATGAGCATGTTGATGCCAGCACCCCCACCCCCTCTCCACCCCCCCCCCCCCCCCTAAATAATACAGATACGGCATAGCAAGTCATGGAGAATATGGCTCAGGCTGCTACATCTCCCATTATGGTATTAGATAATCCAAAACCAACAACATGTATCTCCCATTATCTACTTGATCACACTGTCTCCTATTGTTTGATTTGCGATGTAGGGTGGTAAGAAAAAGGGATCATTCAAACGCAAACGTAAGTAGCTCTTCCGAAAGTTCTTTTCTTCGTTTTCTAAAAGAATGTCCAAAAACCTTGTGCGATCAATACTATTTTGCTGTCAGATGGATATATGAGTTGCTTTGTGAATAGTGACTGAATACAATGTACTGGTAGGTCCGTTCCAATTAACAGCCAACCCACAACACACAAAACAGTCCTTGGCTACAGCACGCAAACCGATTTATCGAAATCTTCACCCAGGAAGGCATCATCAGGGATATAGGGAGAAGATTGAGAGATGGCTAACCAAAGACAGCATGGGGACAGAATTCACATTACTAGTATGCCGCAAGTCGCAACCTGGTAGTACGTTCGTAACCAAATAATGTTCAACTAGACTTGATAGGGCATTACACACTCATCTTCGCCCATCAGTGTTATTGTCTTGCCCCGGACCTGATGTGGGTGACCATGTCAACTGATGCTCACCAAGACTCTACTACAGTCGTCGCCAAAAAATCCGGCCAATGCCATGATACGTACGCGTTCGCTGACGGTATCTAGCACAGCACTGAACTAAACGGTCGGTAGCGCTGCACTCTGCCTGCATGCTGCAATCGAGTCGAGCACTGCAGTCTGTCGACATGTCGCTGTGTCAGTGCACTGCAGCGCAGAGTGCAGGCCCGGCAGCATGTGCCGTGCACTAGGCTAGTACCAGTACTAGCACGCAGTGGCAGTGCATGCGGCTACGTACAACTACCGGTAGCTAGTAGCATAGCATTGGCAGCACGCAGTGGCAGTGCATGCGGCTACGTACAACTATCGGTAGCTAGTAGCATAGCATTGGCCAGATTTTTTGGGCGACGACTGTACTATCCTGTGGTATGCTTTACACGTGATCTGCAACAGCTCCTTTCTTTTTCTTCCTTTTTGTTTCGTTTTCTTTCTTTGCAGGCCGCTAACATTAATCAGCACCAGCAGCAGAAGTCACATTCCTTTATCATGAAATTGAACTTCAATATATTTGAGAGCAAACAGCGATCATACTATTGTTTTTAATGCTATGAATCAATTCTATGCATGTAAATATACAAGTAATAACGCTTGTACATTATTAGACATGAAATGTTGTGCCGAACTATGATATTCTTTCTCGTGGCACCCACGGTACTCATAGATATGATCAGACGTTTGGCCAGCCATTGAGCTGGGAGACGTGATTACACTTAGATTCATCTGAATAAAAAAATCCGCAAATCTTGCCAGTATTGTGTGGTCACGGGATCCAGTCCAGGGTGTGAAAGTAGGAGAGTACAGTATTGTGTGGTCACAGGAGCCAGTCCAGGGTGTGAAAGTAGGAGAGTACAGTATTGTGTGGTCACAGGAGCCAGTCCAGGGTGTGAAAGTAGGAGATTGTGAGTGAGAAAAATGAAGTTTTACCTTGATGTATCTACATCGCCCTGCATACTGGAACACAAACTCAAAATATGAAAGGCGGTAGGTGTTGAACACCCTTTAGAAATCAAGCAGATCGTCATGTGATGGAGTGCGATCCAAGTCATCAGGGCCAGCTTCTCCCTTCTGGAAGGTCATGATCTCCTCCTCGTTGAATTCATCACCAAAGCCGCCAATCTCCAGCTGGTTTGGATTTGTTCGAATAACAGCCAGCCTGTATTCAATCATACAGCACGCAAATACTGGTTTGTCAGCACTTCCAGGAGGAGTAGTACAGTCATGTGGATGTTCTGCTGAGGGGATGTTGCATACATGTGCCACTGCAATAAGACATATGCTGAGTATACATGTATACATTCTATATCATTCACGCCGGAACTGCTGGTGCATAGCCCCAAGTCTGAAGACTTGGCAACTTCACGCCTGCTCCTGACTCTTGCGCTATGATACCCCTCAGAATTTCCCACCTTGCTCCCCCTTATGTTCAGGCTCCCCGTTTTGGAGCCATCAGTTGCCTGATGATCGTAGTAATACGTGAAACTCTGAGTTGTGACAAAGCTTCCAATCTCTCTTGTGTACATCCCCTATAATTTATCTTTACGGAGTCGTGTGTTGTTGTCACTGTGATTTTCCTCTCAGTATCTGTCTGGCCTCTATGGGATACATTGTACACTTTCAGAACATTTACTGCTGCTTCCAATGCTCACAGTGTGTGTACAGCAATGTGTACTGAGCAGCTGTACTGCTTTAGCAGAAGATACAAAGACATTGCTTTTACAGTGACACCAGACTATGCTACATGTACATTAGTGTGTCAAAGAGAGCCGTACATGCTTGTATGAGCGCGCGTTCACACTGGTGTGAAAACAGTCGGATGAGAATTGTCATGTCGAAATGCCCGTGTGGCGTTTACCGTGGTGGCATGGGCAAGAACCTACACAGCATATCAAGGAGGGCTGGAGACTAGTTCGGGATACACAGCGGAATGTGAGGTTTGGTGCTGTTTTCATCGTTGTGTCCTTTGCGGGTTTGATCCAGGGAGTAGGAAAATACCGGTATTTTATTACTCCCGGGTTTGATCTGCTGCCTCTGATTTACTACAGTGGTCCCTCCATTTTGTCCACTTTGTCATGCCATACAAAATATGGGTTCACATACATTCGAATGGGACTTCGGGTATAAAGACACTTCGCGCATGAGGACACTTCACGACTGAGGACACCTTTCTGATGCCCCGCCGAGTGTCATTATTCGCAAAGTTGACTGTATACCACAATATTGTCTTTGTACTCCTTGGCATGTACCCTGTGTGTGCAGTGTGAGTGGCATTCATGGATTCATGCTGTTCAGTACCGCAGTATATTCATGTCAGTCTGATAATGCTCAAAGCATGCTGCGTAGCTGGCAGTACCGAGGACACTTACTTGGAAAACTCGGCATCTAGATCATTGTCCATGTCCTGCACGCGCACACACACACACACACACAACACACACACACACACACAATCAATCAATCAATCAATCAGGATCACACACTATTACCAGCAGCAGTGCAGACCAATGCATGGCGTAGTAACGGTAGTTGCACAGTTCTTACTACATACTCCTTTCTCTGTTATCAGAACCTCAAAGTTACAGGTACTTTACATGTCCCCTTTGCAACACTTTGCTCTACCGGGCACCACTTTGGTATCAGTTTCCAAGGAAACCACGGGGAGTCACATGTATGATGTGTGATTGTCGAACGCATCCACTCTGTTACATGTGCGTATACCGGAAGTAAACGCACGCATGTTCTGCAGGTCCGGATTATCCGAGCAGCATGCACTCGACCAAACAGCGCAGATATGAGAGATGCGAGTGTATGTTGTACATCATGTATTGCATCCCAGGGTGTAAGTTCTGGGTACCTTTATGCAGCAGAGCTGCACTATGTCATAGAGAAAGCACTACTCTGAAGTAGTAATAAGAGGAAGGAGCTACTAGTATGGTACTCTTGCTAGCAATCGACAGGCAAAGCCAGCAGAGGTACTTGTCAACCTGCAACGTGTGATTCTGCAGGTGAATCCTGAGCGAGGTGGTCAAACCTCTCCCGGGGTATATTGTGGCAGCTTAGGTGATCATTTTGGACACCTCGGTTGGCATTCTGTGCTTGCTTCCAGCAACTTACCCAATCTGCCATCTTGTCCGCCAGCTCATCCACTTGATGGTCTTCCAACGTGCCCGCAGCGGCTGCCTGGTCCCCGACGTCAATCAGGGTGCCTGCGTAGAGTACACGTGAAGAGTTGAGTACAGTCAGAGCATCTGATAGTCTGGCAGATACGATTGGGGGGAGGGGGGGGGGGGGGGTGTTGGGTGAGCACTACAGTACTGTCGGGTTCCGAAGAGCTGAGGGGGGGGGGGGGGGGGGTCAGCCTCGTAGCCTAGACCGTTCTTATTTTCATGTACTGTCGTCTATGCACAGTTGAGTCACCGTGTATACATTGGTATGCGCAGCTTTGCTTGGTGAAATTCTAGCCTGTTCCTTCTTTGGCGCTCCATTCTTCAGGACCCGGCCGTACTGTATTGGCAGTTTGAATGTACCGTAGGTGGATGAGGTACAGCGATGATACTTGCTCAGATTCTCATAGAGTCCTACTGTAGTGCATTATGCATAGCACTTGCAGGACAAAGGTATGTTTACGTCATGTGGCGCACACCTTATTATCAATATCGAACAGATGCTCTGTCTTCAAACCAGTCTACTCGTCGTACAGATACACAAGAAGTATGTCCAGATTTTGAGTTGCCTTTCACGAGTGTAGCCCTCTGCGGGTACCTTCTGAAGGTAGATGTCTATATTTCATGACAAAGATATCTGGGTGCGGCTTAACTCCAGTGCCGCTTATACTCAGGAAAATCCGGTATTTGACATTTGTGACCACAAGCTTGTACTATTCCTTTACATACCTGCTTGTGCTCCAGCGGTTGCTGCTGCTGCGGCTGCTGCTGCAGGTGCAGCTGCACTCTCGGCACCTGCTTGCGGCTCACCGGCGGCATCTTTGGCTTCCTGTCGCTTCTTCAGTGCCTCCATTTGAGCCTGTCGGCGTGCCTTGGCTTGCTATAGTGCAGCACATGCACAATCCACAAAGCAGTGGCAGTTACTATAGTTGCATGGTACATGAGTAGAGTGAGCGTGTGCTCTAAACTCACCTGATCATTACATTAGACAATGACCCGTAGAGACGATGGGGCATTGCACGACTCGCATTCAGATCAGATGTTAGTTCATGCCAATGACCGGTGTCTCTCAAAACATTGGATCGGTGTTCTGTACAAATTAAGGCGGTAGCTACACGTCCTACGCTTCAGGTCTGTTCATATGTTCCACTGTGCAGCTCTATGATGCCTATAGTAGCGTACTATTCTATGCAGGAATGGCCATTCAATCCCTGTATCGGATTCAAGCTGCATAATTGGCACAGCCGATCTGTCTACATGTACTGATAGAAAGCGTTCCAGACTGCTCCGGACCGCAGCGCTGCCAGTTCCACATCTGTTTTTTCACTGCTCCGCATGTTGTGCGTGTGTGTGTACAGTCAACTTCGCTTATAACGACACTCGGCGGGGCATCAGAAAAGTGTCCTTATTCGCGAAGTGTCGTTATACCCGAAGTCTCATTATATGTGTCACAGTTGGATGGGGCTTTGCTCTGGGCATAAAAAATATGTCCTTATTCGCGAATTGTCGTTATATCCGCAGTCGTTATTAGCAAAGTTGACTGTATGTTACATTCATGTGTGTGTACATGCATCCCGTTGCTCATGTGCATACTCGTGCCGTTCTCCCGCAAGTCAGAGACATCAGTAAGCCCTACCTGCCAGGTATCAAAGGCGACATTGAAAGCCTGTGCAACCGACAGGGTCATAGCTTGTGCCTGGAACAAAGAACAAAATTCACAGAGAAAGCCCGAGGACATTTCATCTTTTACACCATCCAGTGCACAGTTGTTTTCCCAGCACAAGCCGGAGTCTAAACAATGGAAGTATTGAATATTTATTTTAAAAACCATTGCATGTCAACTGCGCGCCAAGCATTTCCCACGTGCAGATAAGCCTTACCTTAGACGGACTGCTGCATACAAATGAGTGGCACTCCAGGTCTGGTGCATCTCGGTTTCTTGCAATGTAGCTGAAGACTTTCTTGTTGCGGCCATCGGTGGTGCAGTAAGATATCCTGCATTGGAAAGGTGATCAAACGCGCATCACCGATATCAGCCAATACAGCACCAGCTGTGTGTACAGTGGTGGTATAGATAGTGATAAAAATCATAAAATAATAATAAAATTCACGGTTCGCAGGAGACTCGTTGATAGTAGCACGTGTATTTGTGCGTGTATATGTGCATGTGTGGGGAGGGGGAGGGGGGGGGGGGCATTGATCCTACAGTGCGAATCTACCCTGGAACCTTTAGCTGGTCCATGTATATGGAGAAGGCACAATTCGACCTTGGAAATCGTTTGACCCACTCACCTGTACATAGGTATTTCATCCAGTTTGTTCTGTACAGACAAACACCATGCCACACAATGATGACCTCGCCAAGCAAGCAGCCTAGTAAAGAAGATGACACCGGCAACTATAATTAAATAATTAAGTTAGCACCGGGCCATCGTAATCATTCCCAGAAAAAAGTCACATGTATTCTCAAGCACCACTGAGCACTGTTTCTACTGTACTTTCTCTCTGAATGAACATGGCTTCCATAACGGAGGGTAGAACTCTGTAGATAATAATTATTACTCGCTGTGCAAGGATGTTCTTGTGCGAACTCTTCTTCTTTGACCTTGAGCCAGAACACTGGTTTGGTATGAGAAGCTGCTATTATACATGTAGTTCCTTCTGCTTGCCCATTCTTACTACACTCCTAGAGTTGTACAGCGTGCATTGATCTACACCACTGGCAGTATCGATTGAACCAGTGCCAGCAGCATGCAGTGACTCAGTGTGAGTGACCTACAATGTAAGTAATCGGCTGATTAGCTACCCATACTTACAGCGGTGGCGATTTCAACCAATGTCATGGACTTTGACGACACAGTAAGAGCCATTTTGGTAAGCTTCTGCCCTGCGTGTTTTCTTTGCTTGGCCTGCAGACACAACGCAAAATACGCACATACACAGACTTATGGTGAAACCTTGGTCTCCAACAACCTCAGTCACTGAGACCACAACTCCAACAACCTCACAGTCACTGAGACCACAACTCCAACAACCTCACAGTCACTGAGACCACAACTCCAACAACCTCACAGTCACTGAGACCACAACTCCAACAACCTCACAGTTACTGAGACCACAACTCCAACAACCTCACAGTCACTGAGACCACAACACATAAATGCGACCACTCTCCTGATCCATCACAAGGATCTCCCTGCGCGCCATACGAAATTCATCCGACAACCTCGCAAAGGGGACCACTGAGATCACCTGATCCTGGAGCGTGGTTGTATTTCTGACGCACTTTTGTGCAGTATCTGATAAGAAACTTACAGCGTCTGAAGTTCCAAATTTTGTTTTGAGAATCGAACAATCAAGAATCCTACGATATTGACTTCATAGGTAATGGATAATGGGTCCATGCTATTCATTGTTACTCTGAGTTTCATGCACCGGCAGTGTAATTATTGGACAGCGATGGAATATATCATAGTGGGGTATTTGATCGTGGCTTCGCAGAACAAGGAACCGCTAGACAAACGGCATTGGGACAAAAGTCACTGCGGCGAGCACACTACTTACATGAGCCAGGATGCGTACCACAGCTTCATCTGTGCAACCTTGTCCCTGAGATTGCGTCACCTTCACAGTACCCAAGTACTGGAAACGGAGAACATATGCAGCACAGTTGTTAACAGTACACATAACACTGACTATGGTTACAAAATACATATGAGCTCGTATACACACACATTGTCATGCAGCACAGCTCTTAGTATTCTTACATGTAGCCACGTACAATCGATAAGCAAGAGATCATTACTACAGAATTACATTTCATTCACCATGCAACAGAAGTAGTGCAGTCGTGGCTAGGTTCAGGCGCATTTTACGAGGGAGTATGGAGCTCCTCTCATGGAGATATCCTCCAGTACTGCCCTGGGTCTTGTTCAATGTGCCATGTGCACTCAAACTCCCCTTACCCAGCCTACATGCAACCGGGCCCCATTCGCACATATGAATTTCCATAAGTCCGAACCACATTCAAGTTGCATACATATACACTAAGAGAGTTTTCACTGTGACTCAGGCACATCACGAAGTGTTGTCAAACAGCATACAGTACTGTCGGGCGCTGAAGAACTGGGGCCAGGGTTCTAGCCTAGCCTGTTCTTATCTTTAGCGAACACAGCAGTTTCGTTCTTATTTGCTGGTACAGTTTTACATGTACATTTATGCAGGGTTATGTACTGCATGATCAGAGATCGTACCCGGCATGTGTCCTTTTAACTCCTTTCATATTTTTAGATCAAGAGACTGTGCAGTCAGTGAAACAATCCACGAGAGGGGAGTTTGCGTGCATACTGTGTACAGAGGGAAACACGGCTACTGAATGTCTGAGGGGATAGTCGGTGTTGTCACGTCTTCAGTGGTGTGTGTGTGTGTGTGTGTGTGTGTGTGTGTGTGTGTGTGTGTGTGTGTGTGTGTGTGTGTGTGTGTGTGTCCCATATGGTGCAGTGGTATGTGCAGTCGATTTCCAATCGAGAGGTTGCGGGTTCAATTCCGGACGATTATGGTCGTACACGTCTTTCTTTTCTTTCTCATTCCCCTAGCTCTTCTTTCATTCTCCTGGGTGGTTACTAACAGCCAGTGCATACCAGAGTATGTGGTGTGGTGTGTGTGTGTGTGTGTCGAAAAAGAAAAAAGAATGAGCAGAAAGTGCAACAACTAGGCACAAAACTGGCAGAGTACTGAGACATTCGACGTCCTGACACCTAGCTTCAACACATCTCCGTAGCGCTAACCGACAGCCTTCCAACTTGGAAGGTTCAAAGTTATGGAAAGACTTTGAACCTTCCAAGTTGGAAGGCTGTCGGTTAGCGCTACGGAGATGTGTTGAAGCTAGGTGTCAGGACGTCGAATGTCTCAGTACTCTGTCAGTTTTGTGCCTAGTTGTTGCACTTTCTGACTGTATATAGTATCTAGTTACAGTGGTGGAGAGTTACTCTTAAGTCTTAACTCGTTTCCATATGTCCCTTTCCTTTCTACTTTTATTATTGGCTCAATACCCGAGTTTCAAAAAAATATGAAAAATGAAAAAAGGGATTCACTGTCCAGAAAAAGCCACTTCAATCAGCTGTGTGGTGGATACCAGGCTAAAAAATTAGTGGCGGCCAATTCATAAGCCTTGCAAGCTGTTGAATGGTGTAATCCCAGCACTAGTTGCTATGTCTAACATAGCTGTTCGCTATCATTCCTTCTGCGATGTGCAGGTCTGAGATCTGAGGTGTGTGTGTGTGTGTGTGTATGTGTACAGCAAGCAATGGCACTGGTTAAAGACTTGTACGGCCAATGTTCTTCACTGCTCACTTTCTTACCTTGACATAAAACGTAACACCAGCAATCACTGCATCATTGGAGCTGAACCATTCATCTTTCATTCCTACAACACATCGGCCAGGCGAGGGATCACAGTGGCAGCCAATGGTGTCAAATTCTGGATTTATTTCAACCTTTATAGGTGAGGACTATGTGCATATGGGTGGAGTGCTGCTACTGATAACTACTCGTACCGGTATTTGAACCGGAGCTGCCCAGTATGTGTTGAGCTAGACCATGACTTCTTATTATCTGCAGTCCGAACAAACACTTGTGGGGTCTACACTTGTTATTGTTCCATTTGTTTACACAACCCTATGCTCACGTCCTACAATTGATGGGGAGAATACCACTACCCCCCCCCCCCCCCCCCCCCACAGCGCCAGCACTGTTATTTGTCCGCATTTTTATGGAAATTTGAAGCCCTGTCCGCAATACGGATTTGGCATGAGATTTCCCACAAAGCATGGGAAGATAGTGGTTGAACCATGTCCAACACACTGTAAAGCAGAACCGCGGTAGACAATTTGTGTTTGAGCCGGTCATACCAGTCTTTCATTATTAATTTTGTCACGGTGTGATATGGCGGGCAAACATGACGTCAGCAGTGTACACGTGTTGGTGGTGAAAAAGTTGGTCCGGCGGCAATGACCAGACCAACCGGACCTGTGTAAGTGTAAAGTGCAGTGCAACTAAGCCTACATCAATATTCTCAACTCAACACACACACACACGCGCACACACACACACACACACACACACACACACACACACACATGCACACATACACACACACACAACACAGGCGAAAGGCTGTGTAGCTATAACTGATACTTTAAGTTTAGACCGGCCTTGTTTGTAACGTACATATGTATGTTGGCGAGTATTCCAGGACAACGTACACGACTGTGTAGTTGAGTACACTTGGAAATACAATTTCAGTTGCAGCTACTCATGTAGGTCTAGATATTTGGACTGCCAAAGTCAAATACGCAAATCCATGGAAATTGATTCCGCAAAAATGGCACTGGTCAGAATGCAAAGGGCCAGAGAGTACTTGGCAACACGGAATAGAGGTTACTCGATTACATCATCAGTTGTGATGCTTTGGCAAAGTCCCGAACTTGCAGCGCAGCACTTGCACTAGCGACTCGCGCTGTACACTCAGCGCCCATTAGAAAATCAGCCACTCGGAAATCACCCCCATAACCTCTATACTGTATTCGGCTTGTGGGGGGGGGGGGGGGGGGGGGGGGGATTGGCGCAGATCAGAGCGCCAGCTGTACTGGCATGCAGGTGTTCTGGAGCGCCAGACTCCTTCCACTTTTCCCACAGCGAAAATGCGCAGACCATCCCCTAGGCCCACGACTGTGTTCCTAAAGTAGCCACTTCTTTGTGTACTTGACTTTGGTAATTCCAGCACTGTGTGACAATACAGCATCGCTAAACTCGCCCTTTGCCACTCCTACCAATTACTAAAACGAACTGCGGAGACACCCACCAAGTGCTTAGCAGAATGACCATCGTCCACTTTGTTAGACCGAACACACACGCACGCACTCAGCTTATTCGGCATTCGTACTTTGCTTAGACTTGACCTCCGCTATCTTGCGCTTCACCGTGCGTGGACTGTTCTTGATGGCGCGCCCTGCCGCCTTCAGGGAATCCTTGATATCCATTCTGTTTTATCGCCAATGCAGCCCCGTCCGCGGAATGGCAGATCGGGAATATTATCCTTTGGCTTTTGGCCAGTTTTCTCGTGCTGTGAGGTCTACCTGATCTCAAGTACACGCAAGCTTCACTGTAACGCTAGGCGGCTTCCCCTGTCTGTCTTCTATCTCACAACAACCAAGCTCTACAGGGCTGCGTCTATCGTATCAACGCTCCGAGTAGGAAGAACGGTTTATTTTGCAGGATACACCTCCGGAACAGCCGATTCCTTGTTCATGCCGCTGACAACCTTGGACTACAATGTAGATCTACACTCTACAGCGTGATATGAAGCCGCATACCATAATCATGATACATGTACTTGATAATATGCTGTGCCGTGATCATGGTGATTACCATGCTGTAGACAGTACGAGGTGAATTGCTATTTCTGGACATTGTACATTTCTGGACATTTCGAGTAAAATAATTTTTCGTCGCGTGTAGAGTCAAGTCAGTCAGGTTGATGAAGTTTTTTCTTGTTGTAGTTGACAGCTGGGCTGTTGTAGTTTCTCCTCGTGTCGGTGCCTTGTTGATAGCCTTTTCTTGGGAGGCATTTCAACGAGGTTTGTGGTACTATGTCGCATGAGAATTTTGAATTTTGAGTAAAATAAGAAGTAATGGACGAATTGTTGGCTTCCCCATGTGCGCTTCACTTCAGACGCTGTATAGTCTTGGACCTGTTAGCTGGAAGTGTGAAGAGGCCAACTGCAGTCCACCAATAGAAAATATAACAAAAATGGTGCAGTATAGGATGCCTATTGACGCTATTTTACTTTCATGTCCAGAATTCGATACACTGAAATTTAGGCCAAAAAATTGGCCTGTCGAAAACATCCTGCTATAAAGTCTCTGGGATCACAGCATGAGCAATTGTCACATATTTGGAAAGATGAAGGATTAGGCCATACAATAGATACAAAAAGATATGAAAAATGTAAAACACACAGCCAGTGGGCCTCTATTTTATTTTCATGTCCAGAAATTGCTATTCACCTCGTACAGTTCTGGCAAGGGAAATCCGACCTTCTGAATAAAGACGTGCCCCCACTCAAGTGCGGGGAATGTGTGTTTGGTGCTAGGATCGCGTAGCCACCCGCGCTCTCGGATTTCTCTGGCCAAGAAAAGAGAGGCGTAGATCTACCGTTCGACGTCCATCTACATGATTGTACATCATTCTACTGTCAAGTATTACTACTATTAGTAATACTGAGTATTAGGCTTTTTAGTCATGGACTCATGGTAGACATCATGTCACTGAATGAACGAACAGTCTGTTCTTCTTTTATTTTTGCAGTCAGCGACCACACACCGAACAGCAACCTCATGCCATGGTGAACATCCGGATCCCGCGAATCCTCCGCGGCGGCCGCCTTGATGACACTGCGTGGCGATATATTTTTTTAAATCGCTAACACTCGTTGGTTTGGGTCTGGAACTCTTTTGTTTTGGTCACTGCCTTGTCGACAGACTGAGACCAAGAATCAAGATGCATGACTGTGCAATCAATAAGCTTATTAATTTTTATTGAAGTAGATACGTGTTCCGATAGTGGTAGCGACTTCGGCGATGATTTTTAGGAAAGGTGCTCGCGCTTTTCCGCCGACTGCCTTGACACTTGACTGACTCACGATTGCCATCAAGAGCACAGGAGAAGTCCAGCGAACCTCCCCTTCGACTCGGTGAACTTACTTGCCGGAAAGCGCCACTCCCTGCTCAATGCACAGTCAGTGTTCAACTTTCTAGTGCTCTCCAGGCCAAACCATCACCAGGACAGGCAGGAGCGACACGACTCACGCTACTATCTGGTGTTCACAACTTCCACACAAGGACTTAGGTGTTTGTCGCGCTGGAATCGGAGCGTCTCTGTAAGTAACTTTGTATCCCTGGTGATCAGGTGATAGTTTGGCCTGGAGAACACTATAATATTAAAGGGGAAGTTAAGGCAAAAATTAAAATTTCACCAGTTGTAGTCTTCGGGGTGCTGAGTCGAATGGTCGTTGTCCGAGGAAGCTGAGACGCTCCCTTCCTACTTGAATCCCAATCGAACTCGCGCACTTCCACCGAAACTGGGTGACTGCGCCCTACTAGATGGGGATTTGTATGCAAAATGTCACTAAAAGCGCCATTTCGTTCTTATAAAAGCATGGATGACCGCGATTGGCCCATATGTTGTAGTCTTTGGACGCTGAGTCGATTGGTTTTGGTCCGAAAGGGCTGCGATGCAGCGTTCCTCCTTTATTCCCAATCGAACATGGTTGAACAAGCAGTCACGTGCTCCTGCGTACGCCAGTCACCTGGTCACCGTGCCTGCAGGGTACAACTTACTAGCCTGTTTGACCTTTTTTGGGTGCAGTCCTGTCACTCGAGTTGAACCTTGGTGTGAAAGTTGTCGCCTGCTGGCGTGGTGACCAGGTGATTTGGGCACCCAGGGCAGGAGCACGTGACCGCTTCTTCAACCATGTTCGATTGGGAATAAAGGAGGAACGCTGCATCGCAGCCTTTTCGGACCAAAACCTGTCGACTCAGCGTCCAAAAGAGTACAACATATGGGCCAATCGCGGTCATCCGTGCTTTTATACGAACGAAATGGCGCTTTTAGTGACATTTTGCATACAAGTCCCCATCTAGTAGGGCGCAGTCACCCAGTTTCGGTGGAAGTGCGCGAGTTCGATTGGGATTCAAGTAGGAAGGAAGCGTCTCAGCTTCCTCGGACCAAGACCATTCGACTCAGCACCCCGAAGACTACAACTGGACCTTGAACTGGTGAAATTTTAATTTTTGCCTTAACTTCCCCTTTAATAGTCCGGGAGCCACATCATGGCCAAAAGATTCAGCCTTGCTCCCACCTCTTCCGCACAACCTAAACTGTGGTCCGGGGACAGAGAAGGTTTAATTTGATGTCATCATAATGACTGTGGTGCTCTTCAGACACAATCTTCCTCAGCCTCCTCAAGCTCAACTGCCATGACTGCCCATGAGGGGTGAATTCCCCGAAGCACTGTGTAAAGTGTGTACTACACTGTGCTAGTATTGAGAAGTGAGTGGTGCTTTCTTGCAGGTTTGCTAGTCGAAGGTTCGATGGACTTCTCGTGTGCTCTGGATGGCAGTCGTGACAAGTCAAGTCGGCGGAAAGCGCGAGCTCCGATGTGGGGAGCACACACCATTCCTGAGCTTATTTACTCTTGGTACAATGTTGATGGAATCATATCCCACTTATCGGCAATGCCAGCTACATGTACATGTACACGTAGATGTACGAGTCCAATATTGGATTCAGTAAACCGTGCTCCTAGGTACTTCACATTGATTCAATATCGAATAATAGTGTATGAACCACCTAGCTGGCTGTACTTCTTGAAGAAGAGAAAATCTATCGGGCCAATTTCAGGAAGCACCCGCGAAGTCCCGATATTTGAGTTCCAAACCGAATGAGATTGTCAGTATGGGCAGCCAAGAACCCTGAAAAGAAAGCCCAGCCACTATATTTGGCTTGGCTTGCCTGCAGAAATCACTACTCAGATACCTGAAAGGAAAACTACAACATATAGTCTGAATAATACAACAGAAGAGGCAAAATGCCGAGATGTGTTTTTGTGCAAAATGCTCCAGAATATTAGTACCAGACATTTTAAATCGAGTTCTAACTATGAAGAAGTGTTCCAATCCTTCCCATTTTTCGGGACTGACAATATTCTGGTAGGATTAAAGAGCTGTGTAATTGTGAACAAAATCGATCAGGCCGTTTGTATTTTCCGATTTGAGTATGTTGTGATGAGTTGGGAATGCAATGAATTGAAAATATGGCCGAAAGCTCTGTCGCAATATTTAGTTCTGGGTATGAGCCACCTTAAAGGGGAAGTATACCCTAAAATAAAATTTTCACTAGTTGTAGTCTTCGGGGTGCTGAGTCGAATGGTCTTGGTCCGAGGAAGCTGAGACGCTCCCTTCCTACTTGAATCCCAATCGAACTCGCGCACTTCCACCGAAACTGGGTGACTGCGCCCTACGAGATGGGGATTTGTATGCAAAATGTCACTAAAAGCGCCATTTCGTTCTTATAAAAGCACGGATGACCGCGATTGGCCCATATGTTGTAGTCTTTTGGACGCTGAGTCGACAGGTTTTGGTCCGAAAAGGCTGCGATGCAGCGTTCCTCTTTTATTCCCAATCGAACATGGTTGAACAAGCGGTCACGTGCTCCTGCGTACACCAGTCACCTGGTCACCGTGCCTGCAGGGTACAACTTACTAGCCTGTTTGACCTTTTTTGGGTGCAGTCCTGTCACTCGAGTTGAACTCGAGTTGAACCTTGGTGTGAAAGTTGTCGCCTACGCTCGTACTGGCGCGGTGACCAGGTGATTTGGGCACCCAGGAGCACGTGACCGCTTGTTCAACCATGTTCGATTGGGAATAAAGGAGGAACGCTGCATCGCAGCCTTTTCGGACCAAAACCAGTCGACTCAGCGTCCAAAAGACTACAACATATGGGCCAATCGCGGTCATCCGTGCTTTTATAAGAACGAAATGGCGCTTTTAGTGACATTTTGCATACAAATCCCCATCTAGTAGGGCGCAGTCACCCAGTTTCGGTGGAAGTGCGCGAGTTCGATTGGGATTCAAGTAGGAAGGGAGCGTCGCAGCTTCCTCGGACCAAGATCATTCGACTCAGCACCCAGAAGACTACAACTGGTGAAAATTTGATTTTAGGGTATACTTCCCCTTTAATTAAAGAAAAGAGGAATATGGATGAACACACTCACATACTTTTTGGTGATCATCCATCGCTGTCATTCGGCAACCTCATAGCAAGAGTGTGGTTTACATATTTTAATTATGAAAGTGCACATGCCTACATAGAATGGAGAACAACAACAGCTAAAGAACTAACTTAGAGGAGAGAGAGACAGACAGACAGACAGACAGACAGACAGACAGACAGACAGACAGACAGACAGACAGACAGACAGACAGAGAGAGAGAGAGAGAGAGAGAGAGAGAGAGAGAGAGAGAGAGAGAGAGAGAGAGAGAGAGAGAGAGAGAGAGAGTGACAGAAAGGGAGAGAGAGAGAGAAAGGGAGAGAGAGAGAGAGAGAGAGAGAGAGAGAAGAGAGAGAGAGAGAGAGAGAGAGAGAGAGAGAGAGAGAGAGAGAGAGAGAGAGAGTGACAGAAAGGGAGAGAGAGAGAGAGAGAGAGAGAGAGAGAGAGAGAGAGAGAGAGAGAGAGAGAGAGAGAGAGAGAGAGAGAGAGAGAGAGAGAGAGAGAGAGAGAGAGAGAGAGAGAGAGAGAGAGCGCATGCACATGTTGCACCGTCTTGATCAGACATGAACATACAGAGTGGCAGCCTGCGCCTTGACTTGAGCATGATCGCAGGCGCTAGGCGCCGAACCAGGCGGACTCTGTGCAGCAGCTGCCTCTTTGCTGCATCCTTTCTCGTTCAATTCATCCTCCAATACAAGTCCAATGCGTTCAGGGTATAGTAGTGAGAAAATTGCATGTTTTGAATACACCGCAATGACACATGTACAAGCATAATGGAAGGAACCCGTGCCAGGGAAGGGGGTGACGAGGTAACGTTAGCACCTCCAGGCCTGCAGGGTTTCAGTATCGGTCACAACGTTGGTGCATGCCGGGAGCACAACTGGACACCCTCAGGGGGAGTCGGGTATAAATCAGCAGCTGGAGATACGTGTACAGTACAGTAATTATACGCTGGGAAATATGTCTCCCACTGTCGTCACAATGATTATGTACTACTACTACTACTACTACTACTACATGTAATGGTACTGGTATGTCTGAATACCTGGAGAGGTCGATGAATGCTACTTGCAGAAGAAGGAATGCCGATCCTGCAAGCTAACGCTGGTGCTCAATAAAATCTTTCAGTCTGGGGAATGTGGGATCATCTATTCTGGGTAAGAATGCAGAAAATCCACAATGGGTCCCAATGCAAAAGTAAAGTGACTGGGTACGAGTCATCACCTGCGGTACCCCGAGGCGAGCTAGAGCCAGTAGAGGTGCTAAAATAACGGTCGAGGCGTGAGTAAGTCTGACTCACTCTTCGCACCCGAAGGAACGCCATCACCCTCCAGGACCAATGCGCGGATGCAGCTAGAGCGGTGGGAGGTGAGTTGATCAGACCCACCACAAAGTGGTCGATGACCGAATGTCCCATTTGTTGCATACTGCAAGATAGAGAGCAGTTTTATCGGATATGGCGCGAGTCCAGAATGACAGGTTGCGGAGAATCCCCTGTACAGGCTGTAGCTAGCTGTGCCGCATGCCAGACCCAGGCCCAGGGAGATCCAGATACCGGTACCGTGGATCAAGGCAACGAATCGAGTCCATCTTTCTAGAAAATAATGCCATGACCAAGCATAATGATCTGGATCGGGTTGACTATAAGAGTCAGAGACCTAGCGTATTGGTAGTAACTTAGTAGCCAACGCTACAGCTGCAAGCAAGACTTTGTCGTGGCTTATGAACTATCGGTGCTGTGGACTGTGGTAGCGCTAAAACAATTTAAATTTATTTACATTGACACCCTACATGGTAATTTGACGGTACCCCTGGTCAGGACTGTACTGCACTGGTATGTTATGCCTTATGGTGCTCAACTGCCAATTCTTCTAGATATCAATCTGTCATTGGTAACGCGTCACTTCTGGTGTAACTCACGCTGCAGGTGGCACACTGGCACACTGTCACCGACTGTGACATTGCTGGCTGGTGGTCGTTGCTAGTCACTGTCTCCGAGTGTCTCAAACGTTGACATAAGTCACACGAACGCTAGGAGACTGCAGACTACGGCATTGTGCGACACGTGTTCCGTACCAATGCTTGCAATCGATCCTACCGTAATTAAAATACTCGTGATCAGACTGCAATTATACATGACTTTTAATTAATTGTATTTCGCAATGGTAGAAGTTAGCTGTTAAGATACGTCTGTTTACCGTCACCTGTATTTTATATTTAGGGTGACATGACAATCGACAACTCCGAACTTGTCCGGAACATCGTCTTCCCGTGCAGTCGGTTTGCTCGCGTTGGACGTCGCTTGAACTTCGTTTGGCGGTTCGCACTCCTACTCCTACTGTAGACTTACGGATACTCGTTCTTTGCCGACACACATGTATTGCCAATTATTATAATAATGACAGCTACATGTACATCATAGCTCTGTGGTTAGAGCATGGCTGGCCTCAACTGCTCAAGCGAAGGTCCCTGGTTCGATTTCTGGTGGTGACTGTCAATTTTTTCTTCAGACTTCAACGGTCCCCTTTCCCCAACCTATGAATATTATAACACGGTAGTATTGTTATTGCCCAGACATGGCCTAGCCTAGCGCCTAGAGCGTGTATTACAATCTACAATTACCCCCCCCCCCCCCCACACACACACACAGTCCACAAGTCCTCGATGTGAAAGAGGAGGCCGCTGGGCGTGGCCCGCCTCTCTGCTTGCCACCCGGCACCCGTACCGTCATTCAGCGGCTCAGCGGGGTCCGATCAGGCATCATCGATGTACCAGCCCATTGGCGAGACTTGGCAACGACCCGTGCGCGCGTGCGGCCGCCGATGCTGTTTGGAGTGTCGTCAATGTGATTGGGGCAAGGCTGTTTATACAGACTACCCCGTGGGTCGGATTATTCACAAGCTCAGCAGCAGATCAGGTGCATACTCTCGTAGTCAGTGTACGTCCATGCAGATGATCGACCCCAGCTCCAGGGAGGGTGCGACTGCCTGACATGATCCACACCAAGTCACCCCCACCAACCCAGCATTCCAGAGAAAACGTCTGTCCGCCATTTTGTTTCGCTTCCCCGCTCCTAGGACTAACTACACTTACTTCTACGCGCTATTCTTTCTCCTACATTTTTTCTGTTTGCATTCTTTACTGTCCTTAGCAGCATTCTGTCATGGAATGCCTAGTACATCTAATCATCTACATCATATACATTGTATGAAGAGTCCAGGTATCATGGGCTTTTGTCAGCGTGTTATAGGTTGGTTGCTCGCAAGACTACTTATTCGCACTGTGAGTCTGTTACAGGTAGCTAGTGCCGTAGTATTCGTGAACATTATGCATGGCTGTACATGTTTTCTCATAATGTCAATTGTCGTAGTAATACTAAGAGTAAATGTACCCGCACAACCATGATAACTGCATCACAGAGCACACTCAGCAGTGCAGAGCTACATGTACATTGTACGAGTATTGTAACGCTGCAACGGACATACATTGTACATGCATACCGCCTTTGATTTCTCGATTTGGGCCGTTAATCAGGGCGCCACTTGATGTTTCGCTGATTATGACTGCGAGATGTCAGGAGGCTGGTTCTTGCCACAGATGTACCGGTATGTAGATCTACTACCGGTAGTACATGTGCAATAGGCTGGTGTTCTTTGTTATGTAGGCTGAGCATTGTGAGACGCGCTACGGAGCTATCTGGAGTTGGCGCGATCTCACTCCGCTCCAACAACACTAGTCAGTCATAATCAACATCCAACAAGCGCCACGATCATCTACTACCACCGCCACCATCGACTCATCTCCAGACTACGGTACCCCACCACCATGTAGCACACTACCTTTCATCTAGCAGTGTGAACACGTGCAGCTCTAGACAGTTGATTTTGACGCCACCAGAAACCCCAACTTCGATCACGACAGCCAGCACACATGTGATCATCCACAGCTTGTCGTCCGCCATGGTCCGGGTGACCACGTCTTTGCCGTCATCATGGCCATCGCAAAACAATCATAACGCTGCTGCCCAGTGTCCTTTGATTGTACAGCCCTGGCTGCAGCGCTGACGGACCCAGGCGCTAGGCCAGGGCCATGGCCGAAAAGAGTGATAGTCATGCTGCTTTGGAGCACATGGCAAAATTTGTCTGAACCGCGATGCGCTTGTGGGTGCTGAACTGCACTGATGGGCCATGTGGATTTAAAAATTTACAGCTTGTTGACAAATTATGCCATGTATTGCACGCTGCATCGGCTTTACTGGCTCAGTTAGCCCACAGGCCATAGACTAGCCGTGGATATGCAGCGATTCCCCCATCGTAATATTGCAATAATCTTTCAGATTGGAATACCATGCCGGAGAGAACAATGCGACCGCTGGCCCGAGCCAATGCAACGTCGCTGGCATAAATATTCCGAAGTTTGAAAGCCCGAACAGACCATTGACCTGCTGTACCGTTAGTATTTGGTAGGTTCATCGTTCTTTGTGTTAAATATAAGAAAACTCAGTGAATGACCCCAACTTGGCTGAACTGCTGGACTGTGACCGAGTTTGGCCCCGGCTACATCTTCCTGGTCCTGCCGTCGTTGACACTGACGAGCCGGGAGTGACAAGCGCTCAGAAGAGCTTGGAGTAAAAGTTACTAAAACTGCGAGAGCAGGCCCCAATCGAAGTGAAGTCGTCCCCTTCACGTTTGCGAAGTTGGCGGGCGAGAGATGAGCAGCATGGACAGTTTGGGTAACTCGAAGGTCGGAGAACCGGCAGCGGCGGTTTGCAGCCCTTCCTGCGGCCGCGTGGGTCGTTCTCCTTCAATGAGGAGCGGATGGTGTTGGTGTCTTCTTGCCCTGGTTCTGTGTGCCATCTTCCTCCCAGCGCGGACAAACGAATCGCCGACTTTGGCAAGGGAGCAGTCTTCTCAACCACCTTTGACTTTGAGCCGAAATGGTAAGCCGCAATGCTGGCTAGGAATATTTTACGGTAGGTCTGCACGCCATGTTCCTGCTCTGTACGAGCGCAGGTAGAGCCGAAGTAGGCAAGCAGGTGGCTAGGCTACGCAAGTCACGGCCGGCGGCGGGAAATGATTGCGGACAAGCTTGTTTGTCTTCGTTTGGCGCGTTCCGAAGAGTGGCGACACTGGTCAGCATTCAGGCACTTACAAAGGAGAGATCCGGAGGCTCCGAGAGGAGTAGACCACGCACGAAAATGTGTTCTAGGTTGCTCGACTGGCCGGTGGGCACTGTTTGCACACGTGCTTGCATAGTTCTGCTGACCCTCCCTTTTGGAACAAGTCATAGGCATGCTATTCCGACTCAGCTGGCCAATCCACATGGTCTTTCAATCTGCTCCAGAACAATGAGGCCTGTCGAGACACCTGCATACCAGGGTTTACGAGGAATCTGCCATAATTATGCTTCTTGGTCGTTTGCAAGAATACTCCTAGACTGATCTTTGGCCGAGAATAATTTGCCTGCTTCGGTGTCGAGAGAGGTGGCAATTTTTCACTCATTCTTGCTAGTGCCGATTTCGGTGTTTCTCTCCAGGCAGCTGACAGGCTAGTGTCAAGTGCCAGTCCACAATGTTTCAAGTCCGCACTGCTTTGTGGGTACATAGGAGAGAGAGATTCACCGGGGGTTATTTTCAGCAATGAGCATCGGTTTCCCTTTTAGCACAGCAGATGGCTGGACTTGGAAATAGAATGTCATGGACATTCCATTCGACTCAGGGACATAGCTGCTTTTGGGCAGCAGCGGGGAAGGATTGTTCAGCGCATGGTTTTTCAATCCGTTCGATATGACCGGTATTTGGTGGTGACGGTGTGTGGTGTGTTTACTTTGTTCTGCATCCAGGCTACCTGAGGTCTGAAGTTACCGGCACTCATTCCCAGTATGCTGCTCCAGGCAGACACATCATACTGCACTGCAAGGCACCTATCACGGCTCACTCGGTGATCAGCACTGTGTGGCTGATACGAGAAGAGGTCATCACCCAGCGCAGCCGCCACTTAGCTAGCACCATCTGGCAGACGCTACGCTCCAGGCACTCGCTGCAGACCAGCGCCTTGCACCTGCACGGCATCACAAGCAATTGCAGTGGTATGTACCGCTGCTATCAGACATGTGTCGACACCAGTGGAAACTACTTCCTGTCCGAAGGTCACAAAGTTGTCAGCATCGTTTCGCGTGACGATTACATTGGCCGAAACCGGCTGGAACGCAGCGCGTACCTCGACATGGCGTATGGTCCCGTCACCGTGCGTGAAGGAAGCACATTCAAACTGCAATGCCATGGCACAAGTAGTGGGCTGGTTTTCTGGGACAAGGACAACAAGACATTCCGACCAAGTAATGGACGGGTGAAAGTCAACCATGTTGTCGGATCAGTGACGTTCGATGGAGCTCAGCTTGATGATACTGGTCTATACCAGTGCAGAGTGTCGAATCAGGTTCTAACGCGGACTCAAACATTCCAGTTGACAGTTGTTCCAGGTATGTTGTGTAACTGCTGGCAGCCACTGGGAAAGGCAGATTGCATGCCCGACCACTGCGATGGTAGCGCCAGCGTTGTGTGCACTGTGCACACATTGCCAGTTCGTGTGTGTGTGTGTGTGTGTGTCTGTGTCTGCGTGTTTAACTTCGGCATGAGTACAGGACATGTGTCTGACTCGGTTTCCCGTCCGGAGTCGGGGTCGGCTGACCAGGGATTTCGATGCGTTTCACAAGTAATTAGTTCACCCAACCCAAACTCGTTATGGACTTATTTATCAGTTGCTGAGCCCCTGTAATGTTTCCAAAGATCATGTTTGCCTCCACTGTCCCTTGTTTGGCTCTGTATTTTTGGGAACAGTATCGCAACAGGATGGTGTACCAGCTGTGCCTATCAAAGCCATCGTGCACGGGCCCAGCAGTGTCCGCACAGGTCAGTCAGCAACATACAGCTGCTTTATGTTTGGTGTGGGTGATAGCGAATACAACGTTTCATGGCAAGCAGCTGATGGGTACACGATGCAGGATGCCGGGCAGGGCCAAGTCACTTTGCACAATAGCAATGCATCCTTCGGGCAAGAAACACCGCTCTCTTGCAGTGTCGCGGAGCAAGCTGGTGAGGAGCGCCTTCTGTCATGGGCCACGCGGACAATCAAGTCACAACGTAAGTACGATGATATGCTACTTTTTGCTGGTATGTGTACATGCACCCCTGTGTGTAACCCTGTGTGTAGTTCATGTGCTATCGAATCTCTTCACTTTGGACATAGTTGCTAGCGCTCCGACAGGAGCGCGTGCGGTCATTTTGACAACTTGATTTTCTCTTGTAATTTCGCCATGGCTGGGTATCGCCCTCATGTCTGGTGTTGCTCTCCATACTAGTGTTGTTCTCATATGCTATGGGATTGATTTGAATAAATAAGTAAATAGTACGTAAGTCCAAACCGCAACTCAATCCCATGTACTCAAATTTCAGAAGATTTAGGTGCTCGAAAGTTTGGATACCAGGGTTACAAGTAGGTGAATAGAAATTTTAGGTGCAGAGAAGCAGTCCGCTATTGGATGATGTATGCCAGTGTATGTGTGGGTATGACAATTTTAGGCATGAAAGAGATGCACTATTAAAGGGACCGTACATTTTAAAGTACATCGAACATTTGTGAGATTACTGTGTCCTTCTGCCTGCCTGCTTTGCAGTTTCTGGTAGTTGTACCCGATGAAGCTTCTGTCACATGATATCTGTTGTTGTTGTTGTTGTTGTTGTTGTTGTTGTTGTTGTTGTTGTTGTTGTTGTTGTTGTTGTTGTTGTTGTTTTTGTTGTTTTTGTTGTTTCCAGCGGAGCTTCTACCAAGGCCTCGCATTGTCAGATACAAGCAGGTGAAACACTTCTTACGCATCAAGGCATCGCGATCAACTCCAGAAAGTGTCAGGTCTCGTGTTATTGGTATTAGCTTCCAGCTGTCGACCAGCCACTGGGCATGGAATCAGACGCTCCTTCTGGCGTTTGATGAAATCGCAGGGAAGAAGGTATTCTTCACCGAACTTGTGCACGACCGGATTGAGCTCCTCCAACACCTTTTCGAGTCCGAGCTTACTATAAAAGTGGCGTTCCTGGACAGATACGGACCCGGATTGTGGCTCACTACAAAAGTCAATATTTCAACAGGTGAGTCAGTTTAAAGCTGACATGCACTTTTTATGCACATATACATGTACATTTGCATACTTTCAGGCATCCGACCTTTTCTCTGAGTGTGACTTAACATCAGCAGTCCGTATTTTGCAAATCAGGACTTTTTCTTATTAAAAGGTCCTCACTAGGTTTGCTTCAAGATGTAAAACTGCCAGTATCAGGGGCATCGGAAAGCATCCTAAGGTGGTACGGTTAACAATTTGATGGACTCCGCCGGAGTACCCCCATAACTTTTTTGTCGAATTCTGGAGACCATGCAATCAAATACTATTAATTCACAGGGTACCCATTGCAAAAGGTGCTACGGTCAATACTCTAGTGAATGTTGCGTGTCCGACGTCCCCGGGTATATAATTAAATCCAAACTAGATCTGCTTGGGAGAAGCACACAGGCACCTTTTATGGTGTGTGTGTGCATGTGTGTGTGTGTGTGTGTGTGTGTGTGTGTGTGTGTGTGTGTGTGTGTGTGTGTGTGTGTGTGTGTGTGTGTGTGTGTGTGTGTGTGTGTGTGTGTACTCAGTGCGTTATGCCTACTAAGTGCATGCTGACATGTTATAGCTGTTGCTTTTCCACTGTAACCCTTTGCAGTGCCGATAGCTCCAACTTACATAACGGCATCGCTTGTGCCCAGCCAGCCCAACGCAGTGCGCTTACAGTGGGAGTATCCCGGCGTGGCAAACAGGACACTGACCCTGAGTAAGGCGCACCTGTCTCAACTACATCTGAGTGTCAAGTACAACAACCTGGCGAGCCCTGACGACTTCAACGTTTGGCACACTGCAATCGACAACGAGCTCGTGGACATGTCAACCAGCCGCAGCATCACTCTGCACAACATTCCCGCAGGTGGCGTATACCGCTTTCGGATATGGTGGAGCAAGAATGGAAAGAGGGCTTCGCTTCCTCTTCGCGCCCACAACCTTGTTTCCCTCCTACAGGCGGATATCAGGAAGCGAGGTGCGTTTAAAAAAATCAGTTTGTCGATATCTACTATCTATGCATTCCGACTACTATAGTGCATTGCCCACTTCTCTAAAAGTAGAAGCTGATACCTACAGTTCTATTGGGCGCAGAAGAATGAACAGGCTAGGATATCAACAAATACAGCATGCGGACGCATACGCGGTCGTTCAGCCGTGCTTAGGACATGTAATAATAGTATGCATATTTCTACAGAACGGACCACGCGTCCCGTGGATCCTGGGCCATGTCCCCTGGAACTCATCATACTCTATTGGGACCGTGTTGCTCTCTGTCTGTGTTGGTAATATATTCTGCAGAAACAGCTAGTATGTGCGTGCTATTCGCCATCAACGCCAATCTTCCTTGTCCTGTCCACAACGGATCTTCCGTAAGTCACAGCACAGGCATTTGTTGTGGATCCAATGCACCCCCCCCCCCCCCCCCCCCGCTATTGAATTAGCTTCAGGGTAGGCATGCTCTCTAGCTTCTTACCGTTAGTGCTGCAAGGCAACACAGATCAATGTAGATGCATGCGCATGGTCAGGTGTGTATGGCGTTGTGTGTTACCATGCACGTAATGTCATGTTCTACTGCACTATAGCAGTCTACATACGAAGTAACTTAATTCATCTGACTTTTTTTCAAACCAGGTACAACTCCATGATACACATGACCATGATTGTGGATAGACTTGTGCCAATTATATCTGGGAGTTGTAGCTGGTTTGAGAAAGAGTGTCTGATGCACACTTGTACTTCCTCCACATCATATTGAAATTGTCGCTTCCCAGAGTATTTTTTTTAATATCTATTTTTTCCAGTCGAAGCGAAGAAATCAGCTAGACCGCGAAGCAGAGCATTGTTGACGGACTAAGCTTGGGTTTGTGGCCTCTCGATTCGCTGCACTTGCGGCTGGGGTCGACGTCTCCATTAGAATTTGAGGCAGACCATTCAGCACTCAACAAGACGCTGAACGAGAAGCGCATTCGAATTCAGGTCATGAGACTTCGTTTTCAAGCGATCCATGCCTCCAGGTGGCAGGCGATGACGGCAAGCTAACATATTTTTGAAGTGCACCATAACGCCCTTCCGGCGGGATAGGGTAAGCAGTTCCGCAACTTCTTTCCTTGACAAGCGCTTCGCTGATTTTGTTGGTGTTATCAGACCTGCTACCTTCGCAGCAACATGCGCCACACGTAGTGTTTTTTTTTTAGGAATTTGAGAACACTTTTTTCTTGCCATCGTCAACTTCAGCATTTCAAATTCAGGAGCAATGTCAGGATTCTTAAACTGGAGCTTGCAGTCTTGACACATGTCCACGCGAACGATGTGGGCCGGCACGAACTCCGCTCTGGGGCAAAATAGTGCGGAGTGCGATGAAATTGTTTGGTGTGGACAAGAGCTCTGAGACCACCACGGCTTCCGTAGCCAATAGTCATTGTGTAGGAAGGGTCGTAGCAATGTTCGAACACAGAAAACAGCGATTCTGACAGATTGACTAAAACAAGCAACTCAGAAATATTGCGATGTGCAAAGCGACAATTTTAATGACGCGGAGGAAGTACTAGTACATGGAATGCTGCCAACTCCGCATTCGGAGCTGGCGGTAGACCTACACAAACAAAGCAACAATGTGGTGGGGCTGGTGCCGGCTTCAACCAGCCACTGACAGCACAGGCAGTGATGGACAGTTGTGGCTGACAATTGTAGTCCTTCTCTCCGTTTCTGTTCTGCAGGTGACATCAAGGGTTTCCGCTCACTTCCACGCGCACCTCAACAGTCTTTGCACTGACTGTTACTTCGAAAGCTTGCCACTTTCAGACCTACCATTTCATGTGGGGTCGTGTACTGGCACTCAAACAGTTGCTCGCTACCAAGTCTTGTTACGGACAAGAGTCAAGCGGTTCACCTCGCGACCGGTGTGTGAGGTTCTCAGTGACATCAAAGAGAGATTTGTCCGGGACTTCAGAAGCTCCCAAGCAGTCGTGAAAGATGTCGGGGTGCTTAAAATCTCAACGGTATGCGCAGAATGCCAGGGCAATCACTCCCTCTTGCTGACCTGCCTGCAGGGAGTACTACCTTATTCTGTCCAGGGCTGGTACATTAGCCAGAACCGTAGAGACCCCACAGCGGCAACCTGTCCAGGTGCGGCGTAAGCTTTGCACACGCTGCATCAAAAAGCCAAGAGGTTACTGGTGAGTTGAGTACACAAATATCACTCCATCATCATCATTAACTCAATATCTACCTGCTGCCGCTGGGTCACAGACCCATGCCAGCACTTGAAGCTTTTTTTGTTTGTGTTTTTTTTTACATCTCCCCATAACCTTCCATCAACCAATCAAACTTCCGCCAATTAGCTGTCAAGGAAAGCCTATATATATATATTTTATCACCTGATTGCAATCGGCTCTATCGTTTTTTCAAATTTCTCCAACCCTCGAGACCTAGAGACTCTACGTAGGACGATGTGACACCTAACTTGCTAGTGCCGCAGAGACCTGCCTCTGCCACTGGCTTGCATGGGTGTGGTGAACCTTTTCTGGTCACGGCCATATTTTTGCATACAATCTACTTCGAAGCACTCTGCCAGTTTGGACGAATGAAGTGACTGGGCCTTTAGAAAAATCCTATACTATGTAGTAAGACAGAACCCAGGGAGTCGTCAAATACCGACTCCCTGATAGAACCTATGTAGTAAGATGGAACCTATGTAGTACGTATTCTATTCTTCTCCTTATAGCCAGTATTGAACATGGCCGTCTGCTGCTGCTGCAGCTGCTACTGTTGGCAGTGCTGCTGCTTCTGCTGCTGCTTGCGGGTCATGTTTTCTGTGGCAACTTTTCTCAGGCCATCACGCTGCCCTGTTACCAACCTTTACCTACCCAAGACTTTTCTTCTTCTACTACCTCGTCTCGTCTTCAGAAACCTCTAGCAACATTGAACACCCGTCTATTTACCGGTAGTACTCGCTCTTAGAGTTCTTACATCTGTAAACTGACCAACAAACATTGAAATTGACCCTGCTCTTCATACTCTTTTTTCTTTTATTGTGCACACCGAACTTATTTGATGTACATTCGTTGACTTTTGTTTCCATTACTGGAAGGAGTTGATAGTGAAGGCTTGAAATATACTCTTCTAAGCTCTTGAATGTTCCATTTACAGTGCTGTTGTGTATCCACCTGCTCGCAGTGACGAAGGGTAGCAAGTGTGCACGGACACGTGTGTGTGTGTGTGTGTGTGTGTGTGTGTGTGTGTGTGTGTGTGTGTGTGTGTGTGTGTGTGTGTGTGTGTGTGTGTGATACAGTGACACAGAGATCTCCTTATCCAGGCAGTACTACTACCCGCACCTGTGAATTTCATTCATTCATCCAAAGAACAGTCCCAGGCAGTGAGAGAAGTTGCACACTTTTAGACGCTAACATCGAGAATTTCAGCAAGAGCATTCAATATGAGCTGCAAGTATGTATTGAGGCCTTCACACCACGTGCGCAACTTCACAGAAGGTTGCTCCTTACATCGACTCTGGAAGTGTTTTTCTAGGCACAGATAGGGCAAACGAGGAGATTAAAGACATACTGATCATATTGATAGGTACAATAGAGAAAGCACGATCAACACCTACAAAGCTCTTTCCGGTAGTGCTTCCGTTGCCTTCTGAAAATGGTGGCTCCATTGAATTGGTTCCCGCTCGCACAGAAGACTACAAGAACATCCTTGCACGTTCTTTGCATAACCCTTGGCTTACATTCTAAAACTTGTGTTATTAATACTCTCCCCCCCCCCCCCTCCAAAGATACACGTGCTTTTATCTGGACTCCTCAGATCGGGGCACTCGTACCCGTCCCTTGTAGGCTTGGGAAGAATTTGCCGATAGTGGTGAGGAACAGGTGACCCTACTGTGCTCTGATCCTGTGTAATGCCTGGAGGGGTCCAAGAGTCATTTTTCATGCTTTCGCGCGGAATATTTCTTTGAGCTCACAGCGAGTTTTTCCAGGCAGCGCTCATACGGTAAGACGGCAAATTCCCCGGTTGATCGCCAGGATTGTTAATCTTTTTGAAACTGACTGTAATGTCATGTCCGCTGCCATGCTGCTTAAAGGGGAAGTTAAGGCTAAAATCAAAATTTCACCAGTTGCAGTCTTCTGGGTGCTGAGTCGAATGGTCTTGGTCCGAGAAAGCTGAGACGCTCCCTTCCTACTTGAATCCCAATCGAACTCGCGCACTTCCACCGAAACTGGGTGACTGCGCCCTACTAGATGGGGATTTGTATGCAAAATGTCACTAAAAGCGCCATTTCGTTCTTATAAAAGCACGGATGACCGCGATTGGCCCATATGTTGTAGTCTTTTGGACGCTGAGTCGACTGGTTTTGGTCCGAAAAGGCTGCGATGCAGTCATATTAAACAATTATGGCATTTTCCAAGACAACTACAAGAATCCGGCGGGAAGCCTGAACAGCTGCCCGGTCCTTTCAGGCAGAGCATGGACCCTTGTACAAGGCAACTTCCCTGAATTTATCGTACTTTCACCAGGCAGTCGTACACGTGTACAGACTTTGTACGACTCCATGCTTTCACGCATCCACTTGCACAACTTTGCATGGTCAAAGCTTGCCTGTACATGTACTGTACCGTAATTGTTGAATGTAAAAGGTAGTCTGAATGCAGGCTTATCATTGGCTTGAAAGTACATGCACAATAATTACAGTTGTACTACTCCTGCTTAGGTTTCACTAAAAAAACGTCTTGCCGGGGCAGTATCATACCCACAGCTCTCAGCCCCCCCCCCCCCCCCCCCTCTCCAATCCATGCCCCCTGTGACTGCAGTTCTGGCATACCCGGGCCTTGGTCCAGACACCCAGCATGATGTGACCTGGGGCCACGCTTGACTGAGTACATGTCATACATGTGATACACTGATTACATGTACGGAAGATACACTACTTTTTTTGTATTAAAGGGGAAGTTAAGGCAAAAATTAAAATTTCACCAGTTGTAGTCTTCGGGGTGCTGAGTCGAATGGTCGTGGTCCGAGGAAGCTGAGACGCTCCCTTCCTACTTGAATCCCAATCGAACTCGCGCACTTCCACCGAAACTGGGTGACTGTGCCCTACTAGATGGGGATTTGTATGCAAAATGTCACTAAAAGCGCCGTTTCGTTCTTATAAAAACACGGATGACCGCGATTGGCCCATATGTTGTAGTCTTTTGGACGCTGAGTCGACTGGTTTTGGTCCGAAAAGGCTGCGATGCAGCGTTCCTCCTTTATTCCCAATCGAACATGGTTGAACAAGCGGTCACGTGCTCCTGGGTGCCCAAATCACCTGGTCACCACGCCAGCAGGCGAGAACTTTCACACCAAGGTTCAACTCGAGTTCAACTCGAGTGACAGGATTGCACCCAAAAAAGGTCAAACAGGCTAGTAAGTTGTACCCTGCAGGCACGGTGACCAGGTGACTGGCGTACGCAGGAGCACGTGACCGCTTGTTCAACCATGTTCGATTGGGAATAAAGGAGGAACGCTGCATCGCAGCCTTTTCGGACCAAAACCAATCGACTCAGCGTCCAAAAGACTACAACATATGGGCCAATCGCGGTCATCCGTGCTTTTATAAGAACGAAATGGCGCTTTTAGTGACATTTTGCATACAAATCCCCATCTAGTAGGGCGCAGTCACCCAGTTTCGGTGGAAGTGCGCGAGTTCGATTGGGATTCAAGTAGGAAGGAAGCGTCTCAGCTTCCTCGGACCACGACCATTCGACTCAGCACCCCGAAGACTACAACTGGTGAAATTTTAATTTTTGCCTTAACTTCCCCTTTAAAGGCTGCGTTTACATGAGAAATTTCAACCCGGGTCGAGTTCAGCCCGGGTTGAAAGTCTGCACGATAGACAAAATAGGTGACCGTTTACATGAAGACAGTTGACCCGGGTCAAATACTGACATGCCGCCAAAAGTCCACTTCTAGAGTCCTGTATGGTCACGTGAATCCTTTCGTGCGAAATTTGCATGTGCAGTGCTGTTCAAACCTGGCACGAGATACGCACAGAAGTATGATTTCTCGCCCCGGTTGATTTCAACCCTCCCCCCCCCCCCCCCCCCCCCCGCGAGATTTCAACCGGGTCAAGCAAAATGCGTCATGTAAACCATGTAAACATGGTAAACGCGCCAGTCCATCTGTGTTCATGGCAGGACCCAGTTTACAGCCTCAGTCCTTGACTGCTTGATCTAGCTGCAGCAGCATGCCCTGGCCTAGCGCCTGATCGAGTACTACAGACTACACCTGTCCACGTGATCATTTGATTTTCCGGCTCCTCTAAAAGCACATCTAGCGTTTTTCCTGTTCACACTCACCATGCTCACACCTAGTACCTGCCCAGCTAGCTAGGGCGACGCTACTGTAAAAGTGGCCCGATAAACCGGTTGGTAAAAAAGCGCTTCCATGATAAACGGCGTCAAGAACAACAACTACTAACTAGTCTATTGACCGTGACGGCCGCTTTATCTACATGTAGAAAGCAGAAAATCAGAAGACTTTCTGTTCTGGCTACTGTAGAGTTAACGCATTCCCCAAAAGTATCACCCGCCCGTCGCTAGCGCTACCATACTCCATAGTGCTATTACTGACCTGTGAGGCTTTGGGCAGTGTGGCAGCAGTAAAGCAGCAGTAAAGAAGCTGTGCAGTTGTGGTATTTCCATACAACTAACTTTACAAGCTGAGCCACAGCTTGAGCAGCTACTACGTGTACGTCTATACTCTACACTACTGAAAAACAGCGTTCCCTGCATGCAGCATACAACCACCACCACCGCTACATAACAAGCAGCAAACTCACACCACTCACACCGGCACTCACACCAGTCACACCAGTCACAGAATCAACTGACAACATCACACACGAAAGTAACACTAACAGTTGCGTGAAGTCAAAGAAACTGCGTACAGACTACATAACAGTGTCAGTAAAGACAGTACTCAAAGTACAGTAAAACCTGTAACTTACGACCACCGTGACTAGCGACCGGCCTGGTACTACCGACCACTTTGTCAGGCACGGACGGTCTCACATTCAAAATGCACTGTGACTAGCGACTACCTGCTGAACGCGACCAGCGACCGCCTTTTCTTGTCCCTATGTCGAATTTTCACCTGTAACTAGCGACCGCGATGTAGCAAATCAAACATTGCTTGAAGCCAGGGAGTCGTAAACTATCGTATTTTACGACTCCCTGCTTGAAGCTCCTTCTCGCAATTTTGATGATTTTCCATGGTCGTTTCGATACTACAGCTGGACCAGGGAGTCGTAAAATACCCCGGTATTTTACGACTCCCTGAGCTGGACAAATGAGCGCAGTCTCATTTTTACTGTGGAATCAGTGTGGACTGCACTACACCTGTCATAATTTCAAGTGCTGTCAAGAACAAACATGATTGGAAACGTCTTGGAGAGCGCATCCAAAGCGCTCTTTGATCGATGTTACTACTGGAAGGAGAAACTAAGACTGAGCGGCTCTCTGTCGAAGTTCAATCACACAGCTCAGTCACCAGGTCACACTGACAGTCTGTGCTGGCTGGAGTCGATAGTGACTAGTCCACTGCCTGGCCAGGCCAGCGCTGCTCTGGAAACCCAGTAAGTCGACATACGTGTCAAAAGGTCGTATCGCTTCCGGTGTATAAAAAACTTGATTTTCTCTCTCTCCAAGTGTTGTATGATCTGAAAGAAAAATGTCAGTGCGCAAGTGGTGGGGGATTGTATTATCTGCATTTTGACATACATAATGGGATCCATATATGGTCGCGCGGTGCAAACCTCTAACTAAAGACCACCTGCCACTAACGACCACTTTTCCGGGCACCAAGGGGTGGTCGTTAGTTACAGGTTTTACTGTATGCAGAATCATCGCCTTTGCAGCTTTCTAGCAGACTGGTAGACCTAGGCTAAGTAATAAGTATCCATGGTATCCTGACAGCAGTAACCCACGCGTAGATCTACGTAGGTCTACGTACGTACACCATGTACACGCGCGCGAAACCAGGGAGTCGTAAAAATTAATGGTATTTTACGACTCCCTGCGCGAAACCCGTATTTACAATGCGTCAATGATAGTCGTAGATCTGCCCGGTTTGTGTTCACTTGCGCATACATAATCATTGCGTACATGTGTGCGCGCATTCCATGCGTCGCGCGGGCGCGATATGGTAGATCTACAACAGTACACATGGTACATGGGCTGGGATATTGGCTGGCAAAATGTCGCGAACTGTTACGGCCCTGAAGGCTGAAGAAACCCCCTTCCCTATTTCTTTCTACACTAGTAGTAGCGGGGGCCCTGTGTCAATGACAATGGTTACTTGCGACCAGGGAGTAGTAAAATACGACTCCCTGCTTGCGACACGCGCTAACAACCATGACAACTATCTCAGTATCTGCCACTGCACTGACACCTGGACACTGCACTCAGCAGATCAGAGACAGCTAGCTAGCTACACTGACTGACTCAGTGACTGTACATACCGGTACGCGAAACACTCGATGGAAGAATGAGCAGGACACTGAGTTACAGTGAGTAGATCTACACAGCACACGTCAAGGAAGTGCGGATACAGCCTGCACTGGTTTAGCACCGATACCAATGAAAGGGACTTGTGCAAGTAGTTACTAGTACTTAGTAGTTTAGTTGTGAGCTTTGTGTTTCCTAGTCCTAGCTTTTGCGCAGAGGAATTTTAGTGCTAAGCGTCTCTCGGTTACCTGTATGTCCGTGTCTTCAGCAGGTCGGAGCTAGTGTTGATACTCACTCTTTCTTTGCTTGGTCAAGCGTGCGGTGCTCCTACGCTCTCAGTCGCTAGGATCGCCGCAGTAGTGAGCTGCTGTTCTTTGAAACACTAGTAGTTGGCGGCTGGTTTCAATCACCAGGCATCGAGGAAGAAATGCCTGCGCCGCCCATGAGGCCCGAGAAAGGCCAGCCGCTGCGTTCGCTGGCGTTTCACAAATTTAGAGAACTCTCTGCCTATCTGAACGTGTCGGACCGATGGCGAAAGGTGGTCGACGTGATGCCAGAAGGTGTGTATAGCGTTGTCGATGTGGAGAATTTCGCTATGGCCATGCATCAGCCTGGTGGCAGCCCGGCTGGTGAGCTGATATTGGACATGGGCGTACAGGCATTCACGGTGGAGCAACTGGCCAGCTATCTCCGGGTACTACGCTTCGAGGCACCGCTGTTGACATTGCTACCAAAAGGTAACGTCGAAACCCTTTTATGATGTAGTTCTCAGTCCTCTCTCGTCCTGATGCTGGTCACAGCAGTTTCAATGATCTTTCTTTTCACACTGTATTTTGTTCTTGTGTATGAGATGGTATGCGAGCTTAGCCGTCACGGCCTTGGGCCTTGTAGGTCTACGCACTAAACTATTTTGCAGGGCTTCTTGGCTCAGTAACACTACTAACAGTGACTTCTTCATGCACATGCTGAGACTGGCATCACATGTACAGCCATTAACCTTTTGAGCCCGGTCCCATTGAAAACCTCTGCCACGCAGTAAAAAATTTAAATTCACTCTATGTGAGCAAACTTGATTTCAAACAAATCTTTTATGTATCCTGAGCAATGAACTGTATTTGTTTTGGAAATACAACAAAAATTACAAAAGTTATGACCGTTTTCAGAAAGGTAGTTATACGCGAATTTGATATTTTGAAATGTATGCACGCGCATGAACTCCAGTTCAAACTTACGGAGCGACTCGCATTTTTTGTTACTGTACTCGTACATCCTAGGAGTCCTCTGTGCAGGGGTACAGCTAGACACCACACCACGGAAGAAGTGCGGAATCGACGTAGTTCTGTTCTGACTCGTGACGTTCTAGAACGTCGCGCGTGTCACAATGGCAGTGGTCATGACGTATCAGAACGTCACGCGTGCTCAAAAGGTTAATTTTGTGGTCATACCATACAATGACCATGCAGCGCACTTTGGAAGAAAAGACATACATAACTGACTGGTCTGGGGCTTTGGTATGCGTTTTCCGGCATCTACTTACTAGAAGCTCAGGCCCCACTTCTGTTGTGTCTGTGTGCCACTGTGTGGTTATCACAGTTCATGGCAATCATTAGTGGCCATGATTACTGCATTTTGTTGTAGGGATTTGACAGGCATTTCTTAGTGTTGGCCACATATACAATAACACTCCACGTAGCGTTAAAGGGGAAGTTAAGGCAAAAATTAAAATTTCACCAGTTGTAGTCTTCGGGGTGCTGAGTCGAATGGTCTTGGTCCGAGAAAGCTGAGACGCTCCCTTCCTACTTGAATCCCAATCGAACTCGCGCACCTCCACCGAAACTGGGTGACTGCGCCCTACTAGATGGGGATTTGTATGCAAAATGTCACTAAAAGCGCCGTTTCGTTCTTATAAAAGCAAGGATGACCGCGATTGGCCCATATGTTGTAGTCTTTTGGACGCTGAGTCGACTGGTTTTGGTCCGAAAAGGCTGCGATGCAGCGTTCCTCCTTTATTCCCAATCGAACATGGTTGAACAAGTGGTCACGTGCTCCTGGGTGCCCAAATCACCTGGTCACCACGCCAGCAGGCGACAACTTTCACACCAAGGTTCAACTCGAGTGACAGGACTGCACCCAAAAAGGTCAAACAGGCTAGTAAGTTGTACCCTGCAGGCACGGTGACCAGCTGACTGGTGTACGCAGGAGCACGTGACCACTTGTTCAACCATGTTCGATTGGGAATAAAGGAGGAACGCTGCATCGCAGCCTTTTCGGACCAAAACCAGTCGACTCAGCGTCCAAAAGACTACAACATATGGGCCAATCGCGGTCATCCTTGCTTTTATAAGAACGAAACGGCGCTTTTAGTGACATTTTGCATACAAATCCCCATCTAGTAGGGCGCAGTCACCCAGTTTCGGTGGAAGTGCGCGAGTTCGATTGGGATTCAAGTAGGAAGAGAGCGTCTCAGCTTTCTCGGACCAAGACCATTCGACTCAGCACCCCGAAGACTACAATTGGTGAAATTTTAATTTTTGCCTTAACTTCCCCTTTAAAGAGACCGTGTGACAAAGATGATGAGAAGGGTAAGAAAGTAAAAAAATTCGGAGTCCAGGTACCTGTTCCCCAGTAACACCTATAACATCATTCTGACGTGTACTGCTAGAAGCGACTGTCGAGTAAATTATAGTTTTGGTCCGCACTCAGTGACACTCAGTGACATGCAGTAGCAGTACATGTACTAGCCGGCATACTCTTGGAGACTGCAATAGCATTAGACATGTGTGCATCTATTGGGGTATAGCACGGAACCTATTCAGAGCCGTTAAGGTGACGGGTAACAAATGTTGCTAGATTCAGATTTTGGCGTAACACTGTAAGGCTGATTTGTTTCATCTCTATAAGTATCATAGCAACTAGTAGGACCAACTGTCATATAAATATGCTGCTTGCATAAAGAAAGTCCTGTTCAGCAACTACCTTCAATGATGAGACCCTGCGCCGCAATGGTCGAAACAGCTTTTGGGAGGAATGCCACTGCCAGTATCACATTTCCTTGCAGTGATATTGCTCTACTGAGTGAACGTACAAAATGCACAAACAATCACAGCGGAAAAGGTGCAGGTACATGAACGAAGTGGAAGGAGATGCTACTACTCGAGTACTCCAGTATTGTAGTATGGTTTACATGTACAGTCGTGCTGTGTACAAATCCGCTTCATGCCATATTCAAACGACTGAAACGAGTCCGAATCATCCGACTGAGTCTCTAAAACGTTGTGTGTTGCGTAATCACTAATGACACCATGTACCAGTAGTGGCCAGTGGCCATGGCTATATTGATAGCATGCCACATATGTGCATTGAACCTAGCATTGCATATGTGCATTGAACAACATGAACCCGAAAAAGATATGTCACACTACTGTATATGGTATATCAGTATATAGTAAATTATTATTCTGCGCGAGGAGCTCTGAAATTGAGTCCGAATCCAGAACGGGTTGGCCGAATCTACTGCACGTTTCAAGTTACTGGGTTCCAATGTTGATTTCAGTAGACTGCTACATACAGGCGACGGGTTCTGGATCTTCTCATCGCAGCAACATGGCGTAACTTGTGTTTGCCCCGGCGTCTCTTTGTGTTCATGATCCTGTTACAGAACCAGTATCGATCATCACGCAGCCAGAGAATGTTGTGTGCAGTGTCAATGCGGAGGTGCAGCTGAAAGTGGAGGCTGCTGGACTGCCTTTTCCACAGTACCAGTGGTACAAGAGCATGGGTCCGGGCAACAACCAGAAAATCCGCGGTACGTACATGTATATAGTCGGTTGGTGTTGCACCGACTGTGACTGCTTTGTGCATTATTCACTAGTGCAAGTGTTCTTGACAATCGGAAAATTGGTATAACGGCTGACTCACAACTGAACAGCCCAATCTTCATAATGCCAGAAGAGTGAAGCCAGCATTAAACAGTTGAAGACTTGTATTTCACAAGCGTGCCAGACCAGTGTATCTCTTTTAAACTGTCACCAGCAAATCCTATTATTTATATAGGATTTGGCTTCTGGCTAAAGGATTTGGCTAAACAACCTATGCAAATTGATGAAATGGGTTTCATGAGGTGTTTGGAGCTGTTTTCCATGCACTTCCGTAGGAATAATCCGTATTTCAAGCCGATCGGCAATCACAGACATCTATTCATTGTATCTGTGAACTTATCCAGCATACTAAGCATTCTATATTAGTTTCCCTGCCAGTTCTATTATTATCTGCATCCACAATACCACACTCTGGAAAATGCAGAATACTCAAATCCTATATATATAGGATCTGTCAAAAAACATGTCCTCTGTAAAACGGCCCTATAAGTCCAGCAGTGATAATAACTGGCACTCTTGAAAACTTCTGAAGAGAACCTACTGATACTGCCATAACACCTTAAAATACAATTTAGCCACACAACGTATCCCGGGCGGAAGCATGGTCATGATTACCACACTGCAATAGCTCAGCCCGACACACACTATCAACCCAATACCCAAAGCATAGCACTGCAACCAAGGTCACTAGCACCTTGCCATGCCCCCCCCCCCCCCCCCCCCACACACACACCTCCTTACTGTATATATATACTGGCATGGTCATTAGTATCCCTATCTTGCCTGATGATTGCACTGAGCATGGAATTCAGAGTTGCAACGAATTAGCCTTGCTCCACTGAAAGTCTGATGTACTGTGTTGTGTGTGCATAATATGTGCTCAGCATGATTTATTGTTGTGGCTTGCTGCTTGCTTTCTTGTACCAATTCAGACGCCCGTGACAGCGTGCTTCGGATTGCTCACGTCACAGTGCGCGATCGTGGAGTGTACTGTGTGTTTGTGTTTAATGACGTCAACCACGTCTTCAGCCAGTGGTGCGAGGTTCAAGTCATGGCACGTAAGTGTATTATCGAGTTGCCCCCTCCCCTCCTCTTCTTCCTGCTGCATGTTCTCATTTTCTCCATTGTCGTTTCCCAGATGGAGGTTGACACCATTGTTAGGAATAATGATACACAGAAAATTGCACAGTAAATGTGTGTGTGTGTTGAATTCTTACTCGGACCTACTCTACTTTGCTCTACTATGAGACAGTGTAACATAACTTTTTTTATTGTATCGGCTGCAATAGAACCATGCATTGCATGTCAACTACATCTATTATGACCATTGGGTCCAACATTTGCTGCAATGCATACGTCGGAAGTATAGACGCATTAGATCCCTCCACTTAGCTTCTTTTCCAACTCTTCATCTCTGTTCTCCTTTGCGATGCGCTGACCAAAGGTAATGCTGAGATCTTAGGTTGGTCGTTCTTAGTCCTGCTTGAAACCGGCACATGCTGCCAGAGAACTCCTATCAGTCCCCTGGTACATGGTGCCTTTCCTCCTTTCTTTGTCACTCAGTGTCACTGAGTTCTCTCTTTCTTTTATCTCAGCCATGGCCTCTCGGTAAGAAGTGCAATCCGTAAATGGTCTGTAGATTCTATGTAAGCAGCACGGTGCCATGATGTAGCCTCTTCTTTCTCTTCCCTTTGTACTCAGCACATCCGCATGACATTCAAGGATGGCCTCCAGGTATGGTGTTTGATCATTTGGTGTGAGGACAACTCTGTGACATAAGTGCTTGGAATAAGCCTTTTGTATAGACGTGTTGGCGTGGATGATTTTGACAGCAATGTGCATGCTCGACCTTGGTTGGCAACCAGTCGTGTTTGTACATGTATTATAGTGTTGCTACCATCCCACCTCTGCCAGTGCAATGATCAGCAACTGCTAGTGCGTTGTGTACTGTAGCTTGGCATTGATTTTCAACTGGCCTGGTGACCATTCAACTTAGGTTACTGCAGGAATTCATGTTTAGTTTTCCCATGTGATATGTTGATTGAACCAACGCCCCTTGCTCCTTTATTGGGTGCATGCACATGTGTCTTATGAAAAGTCAACACCAGCAGCAAAAGCCCTTCACTGATACCATGCGTCTCTATACTAATGACTGTGTTGTAATGTGTTGACCAGGACCCCCTCCACCGGACACATTCAAGATCACGCGCCAGCCAGAGCCGCAGCTTGTGTACCACGAAGGCGAGATTGTGAAGATTCGCTGCTGTGCTACTGGCCCGGGACCACTGAAGTATGAATGGCTGATCAACGATAGGCCGTCGCAGATCATGGCTGGAAGCCACAATACTCTTCTTATCCACGGTGCTAAGGTGCGTCTAGACAGCTACAGAGCAGTTTGGCTTAGATCTGCCTACACTCTCCAGCCGATGGGGGGGGGGGGGCTTCACGTGCTATGGCAGTTAAAGGGTTAAAAGTGAATGGTGGTACCGGTATTAAACTTGGTAGCTTACCATGCACAGCAAGGTCAAGATCTTAACTTAGAAGTAGAAAATAAAGGCTTCTTTGCAGTTTACAAAGATACGTGCGATCAAAGAGAAGGCATATGATCTCATGATAGGTTACTATTCATTCTCTGATTTGTTCTGGTAGAAACTGTAGAATCAAGTTTTCAGTCTGCTGTCTCTCTTCCTCTATCCGTGTGGGTGTATGTTGTCAGGTGGATGATACAGGTTCCTATCGATGCCGAGTCACACTACGTGACCAGCCCGACCATGAGCCTCTGTTATCCGGATGTTGCCATCTGAAAGTGGGTGAGTTGAACTGAAGTTACTATAGTGCAGCATACTGGACAGGACTAGGGCCCGGTGTAATTTGCCCGAAACTTTGCCGAAAATGCTTTTGGGAAATTCTGGTAAACCTTGCCGCAAATGCTCCCAAACCTTGCCGAAAATGCTCGGAAAATGCTCACTTTTTTGTAATCCTCAGCACACGCCGTCAAAACCAGGGAGTCAGAAAATACTCAATAAGAGCCCTTGAGTCTGCCATGGTAAACAATTCATGAACTACTCAACAAGAAGCTAACCCACGGAATGCGGAAGTGACGTTCTTGTTTGGGAAGTTTTTCTTCTGGTTGATAAATATGGTGGTAAAGACACACCTGGCAATATGGCGGTAAACACACGCCTGCCCACACACGCTCTCTAGGCTGCAAAGTTCTGGCACAGAGCTCTCCTTCTCACCACCACCACCATCAGTTCGCGCCTGGCGCCTGGTCGATGCATGGTTGGCGGTATCCGGCATAGCAGGCTGGTACATCAAGTAGTGCATGGCACATAGCAGATGACACAGCAACGACATAGCTCGATTGCGACGTACGTTTCGTCCCCGCTGGACTCATCAGGCAATCTTCTTCTTGGATGTCTTCACACGGAGCTTGACTCGGGAGAATGAATTTGAAGACACCACTGCAGCTGTACTTATGGTTGATAAATATGGTGGTAAAGACACACCTGGCAATATGGCGGTAAACACACGCCTGCCCACACACGCTCTCTAGGCTGCAAAGTTCTGGCACAGAGCTCTCCTTCTCACCACCACCACCATCAGTTCGCGCCTGGCGCCTGGTCGATGCATGGTTGGCGGTATCCGGCATAGCAGGCTGGTACATCAAGTAGTGCATGGCACATAGCAGATGACACAGCAACGACATAGCTCGATTGCGACGTACGTGCCATATTGCCAGGTGTGTCTTTACCACCATATTTATCAACCATAAGTACAGCTGCAGTGGTGTCTTCAAATTCATTCTCCCGAGTCAAGCTCCGTGTGAAGACATCCAAGAAGAAGATTGCCTGATGAGTCCAGCGGGGACGAAACGTACGTCGCAATCGAGCTATGTCGTTGCTGTGTCATCTGCTATGTGCCATGCACTACTTGATGTACCAGCCTGCTATGCCGGATACCGCCAACCATGCATCGACCAGGCGCCAGGCGCGAACTGATGGTGGTGGTGGTGAGAAGGAGAGCTCTGTGCCAGAACTTTGCAGCCTAGAGAGCGTGTGTGGGCAGGCGTGTGTTTACCGCCATATTGCCAGGTGTGTCTTTACCACCATATTTATCAACCATAAGTACAGCTGCAGTGGTGTCTTCAAATTCATTCTCCCGAGTCAAGCTCCGTGTGAAGACATCCAAGAAGAAGATTGCCTGATGAGTCCAGCGGGGACGAAACGTACGTCGCAATCGAGCTATGTCGTTGCTGTGTCATCTGCTATGTGCCATGCACTACTTGATGTACCAGCCTGCTATGCCGGATACCGCCAACCATGCATCGACCAGGCGCCAGGCGCGAACTGATGGTGGTGGTGGTGAGAAGGAGAGCTCTGTGCCAGAACTTTGCAGCCTAGAGAGCGTGTGTGGGCAGGCGTGTGTTTACCGCCATATTGCCAGGTGTGTCTTTACCACCATATTTATCAACCATAAGTACAGCTGCAGTGGTGTCTTCAAATTCATTCTCCCGAGTCAAGCTCCGTGTGAAGACATCCAAGAAGAAGATTGCCTGATGAGTCCAGCGGGGACGAAACGTACGTCGCAATCGAGCTATGTCGTTGCTGTGTCATCTGCTATGTGCCATGCACTACTTGATGTACCAGCCTGCTATGCCGGATACCGCCAACCATGCATCGACCAGGCGCCAGGCGCGAACTGATGGTGGTGGTGGTGAGAAGGAGAGCTCTGTGCCAGAACTTTGCAGCCTAGAGAGCGTGTGTGGGCAGGCGTGTGTTTACCGCCATATTGCCAGGTGTGTCTTTACCACCATATTTATCAACCATAAGTACAGCTGCAGTGGTGTCTTCAAATTCATTCTCCCGAGTTTTTCTTCTCTCAATTTTGATACACAACAGCCAAGTGCTCCGTTTCCCCCAAAATGCTGCATCACGAGCCCAAAGAGCTGGGTTCGCGGATTGTACCGAAAATGCCAAAAAAAAATGCCGGCATATTACACGGGGGCCTAGACAGGACGCATGTGTGGAAGCATCCGTGACAAACAGTAAACATGGTTTAGCACATGTACCATATTCTACGGTAGTGGACCGGTCCTGACTTATAATGCATGTACCGGTGATTTGGCCGACCTCCATCTTGGTGACAGTCCACAGCTGCCGCAGGGCAGGAACCCAGTAGGGTATCCCTATGGTTATGCAATGTCCTATACTGTCACCAAGAGTCCTTGATCCCCAGAGTGCGCAACTTCACTGATCAGATCTGGGACGGCGAAATCTGTGTTGCACGTCATAGTGTGACATCATCAGTAGGGGAAGTGTGCTTCGTGGTGGACCGCGTCGACGGAATGACGCAAGTCCGACCCAAAAAATTACGTACGTCGCGGATTACGCCTTCCCGCAACCCCATTCCAGTTGCGCACTCTGGGGGATTGTGGACTCTGGGGAATTGTGGACTCTGGGGAATTGTGGACTCTGGGGAATTGTGGACTCTGGGGGATTGTGGACTCTGGGGGATTGTGGCCCTCTCTTGCTGTCTGTACTCTGCTATACTCTGGTTGCGTTCACTTTCCTCCTGCCCGGAAAGAACTGCTGTGATAGGCATGTGTATAATGATACGCTGTAGTAACGTTATCATGCAGTTTCAATACATTCACATTCTATTTTGTATTGTTCACTGTCCAACCACCAGCTGCTCATGTAACTGGTTGTTTGCCTGACGCATTCGGTGAAAAGTCCAAAGTGGTTGGAAAACGGAGCTACCAAACTCAATTTTTTTCTCTTTCCACGTTTCCAATCTACCCCAAATTATGGCAATAAGTGCCCCTAAATCCAGTAACCGTACCTGCAGTATTGCTTAAGCCAATGAATGCATGATGAGACTCTCACTGTGTGCTCAGACTCATGTGCATGAGCAGAAGTGATGAGTAAGTGACAGAACTTTGTTTTATATGTGCTGCACACTGTATGCAGAACGTCGTCAGTCACTCGTGTCAACGAATGACGGGTTCAACCCAAGCTCGAACAGTGGAGCTTCCCAGTACGGACAACGAGTGCCGTTTGCAGAGGGGACCACACGTCCAGTTGCTGATTCTACGTTCACTGCACCTCCTGCGGCTGCAGCTGCTGCTGCTGCTGCTACACCTCCTGCGGCCGCTGCTGCTGCTAGCTGTATTGTTGCTGCTGCTGCTCTTAGCTCTGCTGTTTCAGCAGGTCATGCAAACGGAAAACTTCTAACTGCGCCTCACCCCACCCTCGTCTCCAGTGCTGTTAGCGTTAACGGATTAGGGGCGAGGACAACTTGTACCACCGGCAGGCCAATAGTCAGTCCCGGTATGAGAGTTTTCATTGTTTGAACAAATCTCTGATAGTAGGATAGGTGATGCTAATCCGTAGTACTACATTCTAGTACACGGGCTGTATTTCCTGCACACGTAGACTTCACTCTTTTAGAAGACCCTGCTTGGACAAGTATACTTAAGACCCTCTAAATGTCCTGTGAAGACTTTTATCCTACTTTGAAACATGTATGTGGCTGGTGGACACTGCATGTTTGAGTGTTGGGTGAACTTACAGAACTTACAATACTGTTTCAATCTACGTGTACATCAAAACAATACTACTTGTGGAATCCAATGTCTCAGGCTCTATTCTCTGTTTCATTTTCGCGTTAGCCGTTTTCTTGCTCTGTCCTGCTCCTCTTTTTGACCAAGTTTGTGTGTACCGGTGTGTTGTTGTTGCTGCTGCTGCTGCTGTTGTGTGTGCGTGTGTGTGTGTGTGTGTGGGTGTGTGGGTGTGCGTATGTGTGTGTGTGTGTGTGTGTGTGTTCGCGTGTGTGTGCATCCAATTTTTATATTCAGAGCATGTAACGCCCCAAGCAAAATGTAAGTGGATGCCGTACTACACACTATGATCCAATCAGGCCGGTATGGCTGCTATGGATTCTTGGGTAGGAACTGGTGTGAACTGGTGGGTGGATGCATGCTTGGCAAGGCTGTAGAAACGGCTGAATGTTTCCTGTGAGATCGTTAAATTTCACTGTCACGGATTTAGTGTTTTTTTTTTGGTGTGCTCTTTCTCCGTACTGACTGTGTTCGTTTCCGTATGTTGGCCATTGTTGTCTGTTGTCTGTTGTCTGCCCTGATGAACACAGTGAAGGGCAAAGTGGCTCTGGTGATCGGCAACCAGCACTACTATGGTGAGCCGGAGATGGGACCGCTTTACCAGACCGAGTCCGATGCCGCCGAGCTTGCCTCCTTGCTGACCTCGATCGACGAAGATTTCCGCGTCGTCAGCCTGATTAACCTGACGGCGCACGAGATGGTGGCTGCCATCTCCTACTTTGTGTCGCTGCTCAGTGAAGGTATCTACGCAGTGTTCTACTTTGCTGGCCATGGCTTTCAGTACAACAATGAGAGCTACTTGCTGCCCGTCGATATCGGCTTGGAAGATGGACCGGACCAGTGCATCCGCGCAGAGGACATCCTCTACAAGATGCAGCAGAAGGAGGCCAAGTTCAGCTTCTTGATCCTGGACATGTGCAGGACGGAGTGAGTAGAGTGTGCCTTCAGTTCCTGTATATTTATGTGTGCATACTGCGTATACTGTACGCATGCGGCTGCATTTAGCCACACAGTGTCTGTGTAATGTGTGCGGATGTAGTGATGGCATGTGTGTAATGTGTGCGGATGTAGTGATGGCATGTGTGCTCCTAGCTGTATTCTGTTTTTCATTGGATACTTCCAGCCGGCGGCCATGTTCTAGTATTCCCTCATTACATGTACCCATGCCATGGGTTAGAGCCGCAGTGCTCCAAGAAATAGTAATTCCGATCGGCTAACAAATCCGTGATTGCCAATGGTGCATACGAGTACTGAAGTAGCATGTATAGTGAATGTTCCTTGCCCGCTTTGTCTGTGGCTAACTCTAACTGTACTTACTCATGTTCTTTACGTCGTCCGCAGGCAAAGGAGTCTGGAGTACTTGGTACGGAACAATCCTCCAGCCAGCCGCGCCAAGAAGGGGAACTATATCGTTGCCCACTCCTGGTACGTGTGAGAATGTGGTCATCAGTGTGCACATCTGTACTGGAAGGGACTGCTTGAAATGTGTTCTGCCAAAGTGGTGCCTATACACTGTGATGAATGCGGGATCGGTTCATATGCTGAGTAGCTGATCAGTGAGGGATGTGAGTAGCTGATCAGTGAGGGATGTGAGTAGCTGATCAGTGAGGGATGTGAGTAGCTGATCAGTGAGGGATGTGAGTAGCTGATCAGTGAGGGATGTGAGTAGCTGATCAGTGAGGGATGTGAGTAGCTGATCAGTGAGGGATGTGAGTAGCTGATCAGTGAGGGATGTGAGTAGCTGATCAGTGAGGGATGTGAGTAGCTGATCAGTGAGGGATGTGAGTAGCTGATCAGTGAGGGATGTGAGTAGCTGATCAGTGAGGGATGTGAGTAGCTGATCAGTGAGGGATGTGAGTAGCTGATCAGTGAGGGATGTGAGTAGCTGATCAGTGAGGGATGTGAGTAGCTGATCAGTGAGGGATGTGAGTAGCTGATCAGTGAGGGATGTGAGTAGCTGATCAGTGAGGGATGTGAGTAGCTGATCAGTGAGGGATGTGAAAGTAGCAGTACACCAGTACACCCGCTGAGTATGTCACCGGTGGTGGAGCCAGGAATTCATATGCATTCAGCTGATAAGCTTTGAAAAGGTAAAGGCAGCCCAAAGTCAATTCTGACTGTAGGGGGGCAGGAGGTGTTGGAGACCTGCTATTTCAATGCCGGGCTTGGCATAGTGAGGATGATGCTCATCTCCTCTCCCCCGTCGCCTTTCACTGACCTGTTACCATATCACAGTACATTGTTTTGTTCCGTTTTTGTTTTGGCTATCATAGCAGTATTGCGTGATGGGATGCTGCTACGTGCCCGGGGAACATAACCTGCAATCTCAATCATTCTCTGCCCCCTTCTCTCTCTTTGTGTGTTTGTAGTATTCCATCGCACATGGCCTTTGAACGACGGTCTGAGGAGAATGGGATATATATGAGCCACTTGAAAAAGCACCTGGGCCTGAATCTGCGAGTCGAGGATGTCTTGATGAAAGTTGCAAACAGTAAGTACTAAAGGCTGACAAGCCCGTGAATCAGGGCTGCAGATTCTACTGTTACGCTTTTGTCATTGTCTAAACTGGGAACTGGTACCAGACCCCGGTGCACGGAAAGCACACTGGCTACCAAGAGTTGACTTTGGAACTCCCTGCCACCGAATGCCATACTTGCCAACCATCCCGATATTGAGATTGGAGCCCAATGTCCCGGCCGACCACCGAAACGACAATCCTATTTTCAAGTCCTGTTCTTACTGATAATCGATACCTGCTGCATCCCGCAAATGGCATAGTTGCTTCATGCCAAAAGATGTGCGCAGAGGCAAGGACGGAATTCACATGAAGTTAGTTAGTTTATGTAAGCCTTGCTTGATAATTTACCAGGTCTGATGATGACAGCACATCACAAGGCGACACCGTAGCACTCTGGAAAACAGTGTTCCTGGCTGCAACCAGAGACCGGGGTTGGTCTTGCGGCCATATGAACCATGTGCCGGAGTTGTGTCCTGGTTCAGACCCACTGTCATGACTTCTCTGGTTGCAGACAGGTTCATAGCTTTCTATACTGTGGTGTCCTCCACCTTCTGATGGGCTATCATCGTTATACTAGACTTTAGTTCAGTACGGCCGCCGGGAAGTGGACGATGGCCATTGGTTTGCACGGAGGGAAGAACGACATGAAGGGGGATCAATTGCATGCAGCATGCCTCAGCAACTTTATATATAATTTCATACATTAGTTCACTGCTCTGATCTCAGGTTTGTAAATGTTGGCAGGTCACGATGATGGAATTCGCTCCTGAGCTACTGTCCGTTTGCAGGCATCTTCATCATTAGACCAACCTCCCCTATTCTATCCTTTCTGAACCACCAGACCAAAACAATTCCTCTCTAAACCCGCAGCATGCTACCCCTACTACCTGGTACGCCTTGTCTTAGCTGTCTTTTGTTCCCCTCTCCTTGAGGATTAGCATGGGGCTGCACCCTCCTCAAACCTCCTCTTCCTCCGCTGTCTCCTCTTCCTCCGCTGTCTCCTCTTCCTCCTCCTCCGCCTCCTCCTTCTCCGCCTCCTCCGTCTCCTCCTGCTCCTGCCCATCCTCCTTCTCATCCTCATTCTCTCCTCTCCATCACGTACACGATAGCATTCAATGCCACCACTGCCCATGGGACTGATGCCATAAACCATGATAATCACTGCATGCAGGACATGTTCGTGTTGAAATAAGAGCTGGTAGCAAACCACTGAGTGGCATTTGTTCTGTGTGTGTTTGTCCGGCTGCCCAGGCATTGGTGAAGCCTACCCGCCATCTGTTCAGCGTCCAGAATATAACTCGGCATGCACCGAGGCTATCTACCTGCATGAGAAGATTGTGCCTGTTGGCATGGAAGATCACAAGCAGTATGCAACGTTGCTGGACAAGTGGCAGCTTGCTCATGGTAAGGGACATTGTCTCTCGGGGTGTACTTTGACCGCATCTCAAAGCGTATACTTCTTGCTAGATGGGGTGAAAATGGAGCCCCCCCCCCCCCCCCCCCCCCCCGCGGATGCTCCCGTCTGTGTTTGGGCTGGTGACAGGTGACGGTACGAGGGGTATGAGATGAGCACGGCCCCACAAGACCTCGCTGTAACAAGCTCATTGGACCAAGAGGCGTCCAACGCCTTTCATGCTCTTGTGCCTGTCGTCAGAACTGACTACCGGCCTGTCACCTTGTGTGGATTTGTTAGTACTTCAAACGCACTGCTTGATCAGACTATGTTGTACATGTGTGTTTGTTGAAAGTGTGCCGGGATATGAACTGTATGTAGCATATTCAGCCACCCTAAAATGTTCTGCCCGCATGTATTCCATGCACACAGCCGATGATTGGGAGAGAACGAAAAACTCAGTCATCTCTTCGCCGGGTCCAAGCTGCATGCCACTGTAAGCTACTGTGGCTACATTCTTTGGCTTGCAAGTCTTTGTTGGTGGCTAGTATGTGGATGGAGCATGTGTGGGATGATGTTGGCACTGATTTGAACAACCTCATGGTGTGTGTGTGTGTGTGTGTGTGTGTGTGTGTGTGTGTTTGTGTGTGCGTGCGTGCGTGTGTGGTGTGCATGTGTGTGTGTGTGTGTGTGTGTGTGTGTGTGTGTGTGGTGTGTGTGTGTGTGAGTGTGTGTGCATGTGTGGTCATGTGTGCGTGCGTGTGTGTATGTGTGCATGCATGTGAATGTGTGCATACATGCAAATGTGTTGGCTCTGCACAGGCGAACCTGACCCAGTGTCGATCTACAGTGAGAATGGCCTGAGTGTGACGCTCGCTTTCTACGCCGAGTTTTCCAATGTGCTGATTGTGTGTATTCACACTAGCATGCAGGAAAAAGGAGAAATCCAGCAGCTCTCAATTGCTATGGACCTTCCAGGCACAGAGGTATGTTCAAGAAGGATTGGCTTCCGGTCTCACCAGTGTTGCCACTATAGTGCAGGTGTTCTATGTGATTAGAAATCGAAAGTCGGTCTATATTCAATGGATCCCTAATTGTGACCTGATCAGGTATACTTATATACCTAGATCCCTACTTGTACCCAATCAGGTATAGATATAGATCATTATCCTTACCGGTATCCGATCTTGATGAGTATAGCCTTGCTGAACCGCTGTGTTTGAAAATGGTGTTACATTGCATCTGTTGCGTTAAAATGTGCTGCAGGACGAGCTGATTATCGAGGACCTCACGGAGAAGAAGCGCGGAAGTCGCGAGTCCTACAAGCAGGTCACCAACTTAAAGCTGCGCGACCGTGTGTCTGCACCGTACTGCTACCGTGTCTGTGGCATCCAGAAGCTGCGGGTGAGTTGTCTCTCTAGGTTTGTATGCAGGAATGTCTTGCACTGGCCGGCCTATATTACAAGGATGCATGACTGCACGAGGCTTTTGTAATAATTATTTCTCCTCATCCAATGGCATGACGATCTTCGTCGGTTATCTATGCATCAATTATTTGTAATTTCGATCGAAGAATTGTTTGTCAAACTTGTGCAGATAATAGCAGGCAAGTACAGTTCTTGATCTATTCGAGCACTGTGATTTGGTCTGCTCTGGCTGGGCCGTGAAAAAAAAGTGTGTGCATAATATCCTTATTTTAAGTACATTCATGTTTACGGTCACTGCTTGCAAAAGCTGGCAGGCAGGCAGGGTGGGATGGTGTAAGACTGTGACTGTGAGAAACAGAGGCTAACTGCCTTCTGGTATTTGACCACTTGGATGGGTCAGTGCCGACTGATCAACTCAAAGCGACCACTTTATAGGAGCTGTATCTGCATCCAGTTAGTTAATCGCTGACGGTTAGTGTGCGTTGTGATCACTGGCGCTAAATACATGCATGTGGTGCAGTTGGTCTTATTCACAATCAGTTGCCTGTGTCCTTGTAACTGTGTGTAGAAAAACCTGGGACTAATCTTCAAGATCAGGTATATTTACAACCGGACGCCGGTGGAAAAGGACGTATGCAAGGAGTTTGGTGCACCGCTCGTGGCTAGTCTCAACCTTCTGGACTACTCAACATCCACACAGCAAGAATAAGCAGCTTGAAGCATATTGACAAATCAAACCGTTCAGGTATGATTGTGGGCCCCGGGTTTATCTTGGTTGATCATGGTTGCCAGGGTTGATCATGGTTGCCAGGGTTGACCATGGTTGATCATGGTTGCCAGGGTTTCTTCTTGGGACCAAACGTAAATACTTCTCTGTGTCATGATGGGTTTTTTAAAACCTCAAACTGATAAAGTAATGGAAGGTTTCCTTATCGATACTGGTCGTCACTACCTCTGATAGTGCGTTTACCAAGTATTTTATGATAGGCTTCTAATTAACCTCGAAAGTGATGGCGTCCAAAGAAAAAGAATACCAAACAAATGTGCCATTACATCGACTTCTGGGTCAGATTGGATCCACACTGCCTATCTCCTATATCGAAGTACAAGACGTGGTGTGTAGGCCTCTCTTGTCACATGTGAATCTTTCTGTACCAGGAGTGTGTCCCCGGCAGGGAGGGCCCAATCCTGTCACTACCAGCGCGTGTTTCACCCTGCTAGGAAGGAAAACACACCTGTATTATTAGTAATTTATTACCATGTGACGTTCATCCACCGTCCGTAGAGGGCTCAACTTGCCGAAAGCAAAGAGCGGAATACACAGACAGAAGACAGTTGTTTTTCATAACTCTGAGTTTGACGAACTGAATCGATCATCAGACGAAAATGGATACTGACCCTGTCCTGAAAGTGCTGCTATATACAGCTGTACCAAGATTGTGGCAAGCCCAGCATAACAATTACCATGTGATATGTAGCGCGATATGGAGTGTGTGAGAAAGTGTTAGTTTTCTGTGCATTGCTACGCAACATATTCTCGTGGAATCGGGTAACAAAGCTGGCAGTTGATGTTATTTCGTGTAGCTGCACCTGCATTATTATGATGTCAGCGTTGTGATGATGACTCCGGGCTGACTGTGACGTAGCACTTTCAAGCCCAATACCATTCTATGGTTTTGGATGCCGGAGTTTAGTGTGGCCGTTTTGAAACCACTGGCATGCTCGTATTTCCATGTGCTCTCCTGCAGGGTATGTATGACAAGAGCGGGTAGAAGCCTGCGGTTGTCTTGTTGAATCTCCTGCACACACATTGCACTGCTGGTGCACGCACACTGCGACAAATGGGACCACCGTGCTTATGGGACCACCGTACTTATCGGTGCGCCACGACAACGCTTCTTTTGTACAAGATGAATACGAAAAGTTGAGCTATAAAATTTTCGATGTATCATGTGTAGCTGCAGGGCACTATGCATATGGCTTGAGATGTTTTGAACTCTTCAAAATTTCATAGGTTATTCACACTACTGGATCTATGGTACTCTGCTGTTTTCATTTTTTCACTACTTATTGATTGCACTTGGTGCATCACCGCCATCAGCTTACTTGAGAATAATAATTTCACAGGTATTTCTCAAGCATGCCATATGAATTTCAGAACCGGCTGGCAATATAATTATAGAACTCGCAAAGCATTTTCTCGTTTCCAACACGGCTCGATTATTTGAAGCAAACTTTTGGTGTGCATGTCTGATGAAAACGGTCTGTACATACAATTTGTCGGTTATTTGCCTTCTTTTCTGCCTGTAGCTACTTGGACGTACATGTATGTAATCATGGCGAAACAAACCGAAGCATTACATAATACCATTCCAAACTGATTACTTATCAGTGAGCAAAAAATCATAGCAAATCTCATCAGAAAATAACAGCAACTCATGGGAGGGAGGAGTGTGAGGGAATGTACAACATAAAAGCGGATATGCATGCTGAAGATAGCAATGAACGGCGGCACATGATTTGTACAAGTAGCGGAGCAAACTCTATGTACAAGCAACTACTCCCGGCGCGAAGTAGCTTGGTCTATGATATAGGCAAGAGATACATATCCATGGACGAGTCAAAACATTACAACTTCATTACTGAATACTACTACCATACTGGAGTACCAACAGGGAAGAGGAAAAGGAAAGGGTATAGCAACACTGAATACACACCAGCACTAAACAAAGCATACAAACAGACACAGCAAGTATGCTTACCGCAGCTAAAGACGCGCTGGCAGATTTCATCGTGCCAAGCTGCGTGATGCACTACAGGCCAGCAGAGGAAGGTGACGCACCCAGCAGGAGCTGCGATTGGATGAGAGCAAGCGCCTGGCGTGTCTCCAGCAGCAGCCTTGCCTTATCTAGCCAGTCCTGGGCAAGCACACGTGGCTGGCCACGCAGCTGATTGAGCACACGGACAGCCACTTCAAAGCTACCTTCTCTCATTTCCCTATCGCACAGGGCCAACAAATCAATGGTATCCATGCTCGAGAGGTCGACGGTATCCAAGGACAGGTTACGGCGTGGAAAGACAAACCAGGAGCGAACGTACGACATAGAGTATGTCCAGAATCCATTCTCAGCATCCTCTGGGACCATTGCAACTCGTTGGCAGTTGCGGCGAAGGGTTTCGTAGCGCTGGCGGAGAATAGGTTCACTTTGCAAGGTGGTGTCCAGAGCTGGTGCAGGTATCGAGTCGAGGGCAGCAGAGATGAAACTATCGCCACCTACCTGCGTGCGAACATCGTCAACGAATGGGCGCAGCGCTGGGCATGCCTTGGCGTTGGCCATGCTGTCGCACAGGGAACTACACGTCTGCCAGAGCTTGTGTGAGCTATGGTTAGACTGCACAGTGTCAGCTGTACTCAGCAGCAGGTCACGGGCATGCTGCACAGTAGAAACAGATACAAAGCGCACATAGGTATACCATGGGCACATGCAGCATACACAGTCATACACAGTCATGTTGATACGTGAGGACATGGTCACATCAACACACAACCCCCCCCCCCAGGCACTAGATACTACAAAAACAAATTGTAGTACACTGTAGTAGATACCCGTCTGTACAGGATGGCCGAGGTTTATAGAAATTTCTACTTGTACATGACAAAAAAAAATAAGAACGGCCTAGGCTCCAACTGTGAACCGCCAGCTCTTCGTCACGAGATAGTACTGTGTCAGTGTGTGACAACTTACCTGCACTTGTGAGGACAAGGCTTGCACTGAACGGTCGTGGTGTACGGCCTGGGCACGCAGCTCCAACTCCAGCTCCCAGCGCCAGTCATCGGTCAACTGCTTGGCCTGGGTCTGCAGTGAGGACTGCAAGTGATCCGTGTGCGCCGCTGCCTGGCGCTTCATCTGCAACTTGAGCTCCTCTTCCAGGCGGTACCGCGCCTCAACATCCTGCACAAGTCATTTATACACACACACATGACATGTAAGACAGAGTTGGCACGGTTGCAGGAAGCACATGCTGAGCAGTATTTCATGGAAGACGGTAGGATGCACTATAGCCATGAAATTATCACTAGCTGAGCTGAGTCGGACATCACAGCCTGCTGAACTGGGTCAGGCAACATAGGGATGATATTCTCAGCATTTGTTCAAATCAACATCACTGAGCAGCAGTCCATAGCATCACTGAGCAGCAGCAGCAGCTCATAACAAAACACATTACCTTGGCCTGTAGGTCTTCAGCATGCTCGCGCTCCATTTGCTGGCGCAAGTGATCCAGCTTCAGCTGCATGACACGTGCATCTTCAGCACGCTGCTGCTCCAGAAGGACAGTGACGTCCTTGGCCTGGCGCTCCTGTCCCGATGAGAGCTTCTGCTCCATGACATCCACGCGCTGTTGAGCGTAAGAGAGCAATGTCTGTACATCGCGTCCGTAGACACTCTGCTGCTGCTGATCATTGGAAGACTCGGTCTCATCTTCAGATTCTATGCCGGCAAACAAAGAGAAAACGATAACGGGACACACACACAAATACAGGCAGTCGAACATTGTACTGTCAAAGACAGGAAAAAGGAATGGGTGATAATCATACAGACACTACGGTGCTGAGAGTGCTCAATGCCGCAGAGCATAGTACAAAAGGAACTGGAATAACAAAAATCATAGCCAGAAGTTTACCCTTTTCCATTTCCTCAACTAAGGAATACCCAGAAGTAGTAGTACATGTACTTAGGGGTCGTCGCAAAAGTTTTCTGTCGTCCCTGAAACGAACATCGTTCATTTCGTACTCGGACCCCCTCCCTTCCCTCTGAAACGAACACAGCTTGCTATGCTGAACGACGAAAATCGCATGCATGGGCATGTCATATGTACAGTGTCGGTCGACTTGCGATTTTGGCTCGCACCCCTCCCCCCCAAATGAATCATGTTCGTTTCAGGGACGACAAAAAACTTTTGCAACGACCCCTTACTAGCCGCTTTGTGCAGGATCTCTAGTTGAGCAGATTGCAGACTAGACATGTGCTGTTGGTAGCGTGCAATACGATCCTTCACTTGGCGATAGTACTCCTCCATCACAGCCAGATCTGCCCGAGCCTGTGCTACCTGCTCTGCTTCGGCATGCAGCGACTTCAGTGCATCACTCGCCTGCTGACTGGCCGCATTCGCCGCGGCAACGTCACCCTGTGCCTGAACAACGGATGCTGCCCGGTCTAAGGCGGCAACCCGGGCAGGCAAATTGGTACAGACATCTTCAACCTTGCTCTGGCAGTCTGCAAGTTCCTGGCGTAGTTGATTGATACTGGCTTCATTCTCTGCCAGGACATCGCTAGCATCGCCCTTCACCATGATCTCAATGGATCTGAAATTACGCATTGTCAGCTCTTTGATGCTGTCAACAGCCGACTTATAGAGGCCCTGAGCCAGAGTAACAACTTCATTCACATTCACCAATGCATCGTCCACGTTCTGTACTGCCTCCTTCTTGGAAGATTCTAGTTTCTGTTTGAGCTGGGTGGCGAGCGCCTCGAGTTCTTGTTCGTTCATGCCACCATGCACCTTGTCAGTCGCAGCCTTGTCGGTCTGGGTAGACTCGGTGACCGATTGGGCATGTGAGTCAGCCGGTGATTCGGATGACTTTCCCGTGTCCTGCTCAGCAGGTGTGGTGGCATTCTCGGACTGCACATACGTGGAGTCAGCGGCGACGGCATTATTTTCGCTCTTCGACTGGGCACTGGAGCGTGAACTGGCGGCGCCACCGGCAGCACCCTTGGTCTCGTCGCCGTCATCGCTGGTAACCACTTCTGCTGGAGCAGTATCAGAATCAGCAAGCATGGCTCCAGTGCTCACTGCTGCCACTGAAGTGGCCAATACCGGCGTCACCTTGCTGGAATTCTGATAGTCGGAAACGGAACGTTCGGAGGCAAAGGTTTCCTCTTCATTCTGCATTGAAAAAATATGAAAAAGTAGAACAAAGAACCCACAGAGTTTACCTTTCCCATCGAGATTGCATTGCCCACAACAGCCACAACAGCCACAACACAACAATGCCACACATCTTCGCCTTGACGGCACACCGAACATATCCCTGGGTTTATAGAGTATGGAAGGGAAACAGATCTGCCCAGGGCTAGAACCAGGATAGTGTTGGGGAACATCCATGATGCACCATTTTTGATCCGCACTCGTATAAACGCTGTTCCATTTACAGGATAAAACAGACAATATTCCAATGCATGTACATTTGTGCCAATAGAGAGAGAGAGAGAGAGAGAGAGAGAGAGAGAGAGAGAGAGAGAGAGAGAGAGAGAGAGAGAGAGAGAGAGAGACGGAGAGAGAGAGAGAGAGAGAGAGAGAGAGAGAGAGAGAGAGAGCACATTTGACCCATATGACCATGATATAGAGAGGCCAAAAGCTTACACTGGATGAGGGTGAGCTTCTGGGCAGGCCATTGCTGTCTCTCTTCTTGCGAGCATCTTGCACAGCTTGGTAAGCAATGAAGTTGGGCAGCACCAATGACACACTGATCACGGCCAGCGTTCCAATGAACAGAACCCGATACCTGCAAGAGGTGATACCAACAGCAGTACCCAATACAGTCATGCAATGCATGCATAACAAAGCAAACAATATGCAGCCAACTTTATTCTTAGCCTTTACTCTGGGCACATTTGACTGACCAACACAAATTCGGATCAGATTCATTGCAGCATTCCGAAATCGGACTAGCAGTTCCCCAATGAAACAGATCAACAAATATTATTGCCAGAAAGAGTGCAGCAATCATTGTACCGCACTTTCATTGGGTTTTGCAACTTGCTCTGGCTGCTCCAGCCACAGGAGGGGTACCAGACTGTTCAGAGCATGTTGTAAACACTCCAGAACCCATGCAGACCAGTCAAACACCCCTGCTCTAAATGATCCTGTTCCAGGTGAGACCAATCAAACGCACCCTAGAATTATTTACTATTTCATACAGAGTAAGAAACAGCATCAAGTAACAGATGTACACAATGGCAAGTCACCGACCTACCTTTCCAAGAGACTGACTTTGGGAGGATCAGGGGGAGGTGGTGGCGCACCACCATTACCACTGTTACCCGAAGATGATGAAGACGACGAGGAGGACGACGATGGGGATGATGATGATGCTGTGGAGGAACTAGGAGCTGGCTGTGGGGCTGGTGCACCTGAAGGCCCATTGCTGTGAATAAGAGAAGTGAGAGAAGCAAACATACAACAACATGTCTATGATACAGGCAAGGCCAGCAGCACTACTATAGTGCATAACAACAAAATGAACCATAGACGATATTCAATCTCTAAGCAATGCAAACTCATTTACAAAAGAAGTACCAATCTCTTCCCAGACAACAAAAGAACCTAATGGTACTACAAGCAAAGCCTATACCGCGTATTATCTCTAATATAAGCACAGTCTCCAATAATAGCATGTCTCCAATAATAGAACACCTTGGGGCGGCATTCAAAAATAAAGTGCTCCGTCTCCATTATAAGCACACTGTGTAAATTCATTATCTGTACCGGCGAAAAAACCCTGAAATGTGTGTGTCTGACATGAATTTTGCATGGCAACATGCCTCTGAAAATGAGGTTGAAATAATAATGGAACAGTCTCCAATAAAGGAACGCCTCCATTAATAGCACGGGGCGGAGGTACATTGAAAAAATAAAGGACCGTGCTTATAATTAGAGATAATACGGTATTCACAAAATCGATACAACGATAGGTTAGCGCGAGAACTGGGCGCGATCAGAGCCATCAATTTTACTACAAAGAAGCACATAACTGTCAATGACACGAAAGTGTGAAGAGTGAGGATATGGCAGCTGCTGTGTTGACCTTCTAGCCCCTGGCATATCAAGAAGTGTTGCACACATTCATGCAATAAAACGACACTCTCTCCATGTCAAACAGCACCTCCCTTTCACCAGACTAATACAATACTTCAATGTAGGAATAAGAATCCACTGAGATTTAAGAGTCATTTGGAATGTGCAGGCAACGTGATTCATTGACAACTCGCACAAACACAACGGCGACCGTGAAGCCGTGGCCATCTGAAGCGAGACCAGGGTGAGCGTGAAATGAGTGGGTACACGGCCACAAGGCATACGAACTGACACAATGCAATGCATCAGCGCTCACGCACATGATTGCACACACACACACACACATAGACACAAACAATACGAACCTGTTTGTTGCTACGCGTTGCGGGGCGGGTGCTGTAGGTGGTGCATCGCCTGGTGACTTATGACCTGTGCCTGCTGAAGAAGGTGGCACTGGCGGTGAAGTTGAACTTGCCAATCGTACACATGAGATTGACTGTGGAGCAGACAATCACAAAAAGGTCATGAAGTTGGAGAAGCAATCAAGCTACTGTCACATGTACAATTGCACTTATGCACATGTGCCTATCCGGATATTTTTGTGGAAAACGGATGTGTGCGGTTAAGCGAGGTCTGACTGTAATGAGACTTCGGGTATAACGGCACTTCGCAAATAAGGACACTTTTCTGATGCCCCGCCGAGTGTCGTTATACGCAAAGTTGACTGTAGGTGCAAAACACTTGACTTGTAATCAGTCGGGAATTCGGCACCGACTGCAGGAAAGAGTTGTGCCAAAATGTTGACCAAAACAGGTTCTATGTATTCTCACATCAAGGTAACATTGCGTGTGCATCAAGAAACTCACTGTAGATTGTTGATCTACAGCAACATATTCTTTGTACTTCTTCAGAAGTAGAATGAGCTGACCTATGTGTGAGGTGTATGTGTGTGTGTGTGTGTGTGTGTGTGGTGTGTGTGTGTGTGTGTGTGTGTGTGTGTGTGTGTGCGTGCGTGTGTGTGTGTGTGTGTGCACCATCAGTGGGGATGGTCAGCTGGATCATGAAATCGCATCCCGTTTGGAAAAGGCATCGCGTGCGTTTGGCAGCCTAGCGGACCCCATATTCCGCAACACGTCACTGTCTCTTGGGACACGGCGCTATGTGTACCAAGCTTGCGTCTTGATGGTCCTGTTTTATGCATCAGAGACCTGGACGTTGAAGGCCCCGCAGCTACATCGCCTGGAGGTATTCCATCACCATTGCATCCGAGTGATTCTGGGTGTGTCACGGGACCAGCAGTGGCAGGAGCGCATTTCTTCTGAGGAACTAGCCCGTCGTTTCGGTATGCCGTCGTCAATGGCGGAGGTCGTACGCTGTCACCGTTTACGCTGGCTTGGCCACCTTGGGCGAATGGAGGATTCCCGTCTCCCCAAGCACGTTCTGTTTGCTGAGGGACTCAACACAAGGCCCAGACACGGTCCCAAGAAACGTTGGAGGGACATTGCCGCTGCTGATCTGAGTGCTCGGTGCGTGACAGGTGACTGGTGTGGATTGGCGCAGGACAGACGAGACTGGCGCCTCATGTGCAATCGTCCCCGGCCGGCTGTGCCAAAGCCTAGAGTGTTCATTTGCGGCTGTGGCAGGGACTTCCGTCGGCCCGACGATCTAACTCGCCACAGGAAATACTGCAACTCCTGATGCTATCATTGCACAGAGCAATGGGCATTCAAAGGTGTGTGTGTGCGTGTGGTGTAGACCAGGCTAAAATCAGTGGCGGTCGATTCATCAGCCTTGCAAGCTGTTGAATGGTGTAATCCCAGCACACGGTGCTATGCTTAACATAGTTTGTTCGCTATCATCGCTTCAGCGATGGGCAGGAGTATGAGTGTGTGTGTGTTCATTAGCCTTGCAACCTGTTGAATGGTGCAATCCCAGCACAAGTTGCTATGGCTTCTGCCGTAGCATCGCTATTATCGCCTCCGGCAATGGGCGTCAAAAAGGTCAAAAAAAGAAAAAAGAAAAAAAGGCGTGTGTGTGTGCTTGTGCATATGTATGCACATGTGTGACAAGTGCATGTGGATGAGTGGCAAGCATACCGAAACTTGTTAAGTTTGGAGATCTCTCTGCAACATGTGCTCAGCGTGGTGCACAAAGGTGATGGTGCCACAACACTACAGGTGATATTCCATCCATCAGACCTCCTGTTCCTGTTAGCTGTTGATATGCTAATAAAAAAGGACTGTCCTGTTTCAGAAACATGTTGCTCAACGACATGCTCTTAATCTCCATTTTGTTTTTCTGTGCGCATGCAGAAAGGTCTGCCGTCCCAAGTACCTCGAGGGTCATGCACTGTACTACTGTCACTTTGCCATCGCTGTTGTTGGTAATGGCCATGTTCAAGGTGTGTGCACGTGCAGGGCAGAGAGAGAGAGAGAGAGAGAGAGAGAGAGAGAGAGAGAGAGAGAGAGAGAGAGAGAGAGAGAGAGAGAGAGAGAGAGAGAGAGAGAGAGAGAGAGAGAGAGAGAAAGAGAGAGAGACTGGGTTCGTGAAAAATAAGAACGGGCTAGGTTAGAACCTTGCCCCCCCCCCCCGTTCGTCGGCACCCGACAGTACTGTAGGCCAGGTCTGCATTGGTCGATTCACATGGCTTCACAGGTTGTGTGGATAGGACAGTTATCTGGCGCTAGTCTTGATCTGTCTTATTCAGATCTTGTCCGCTATCGTTGCTATAAGAGAAAATCTGTGGGTGCACATCCAGTGCATTTGCAGATTTGCGTGCTTCTCTTGCGACTCGGGCGTATACATGGTACATTGTGTGTGTGTGTGTGTGTGTGTGTGTGTGTGTGTGTGTGTGTGTGTGTGTGTGTGTGTGTGTGTGTGTGTGTGTGTGTGTGTGTGTGTGTGTGTATGTGGGGGTTTGGGGGTCATAGGAGCCGTTTTGAATGGGAAGGGGCGAATAGCCTACCATTCGATCACCAAGGGGAAAGGTATATTCTGCTCCACTTACCACAGGCCTGCCAGCTCTTGCAAAGCGTGGGATGTATTGGGAACGCGCCAGAAAAGACATGTCTGCTTCAATCTTTGAAACACTACCCCCAAGGAAGATGGAACAATACGAATTCCAGTAAAGAGAACAGGTCAAACTCTAAATCTTCGAAAAGTTAGGAGGAACCAGCTGTACCATTTTGCAGGGAACAATTCACCAACGACAAGTGTACCCTCCACGGCCGGGCAGGGACCCAATGTACTACTACTAGTTCTCACCAGAGCGCAGAAGCTAGCGAAGTAAATCACACCACGAACACTTCTCTGTAAACTATGTCCATGATGTCAGGGTATCTCCTTTCAAGTTTGCTTTTTTAGAACCTGAAAATAATTAATTATTTTGACTATCGATAATCGACATGTACATGTCACCGATCATTACTTACGTAATTACGCGATCAAGAGAGTTGGTTTTGAACATTTTTGCTGACGTCATTATGCAGTTCGTGTGATCATGATTCGTGAAGCTATAATTGTAATACTTCGAAGGGCGGCAGACTTCAAAAAATGAGAAAAATGAGAAAGGGAGAGCAAAAACAGAAACTGAGAAAAGACTTTGTGTTCTGCCAGACAAAATGTACAGCCTGGACAAGGAGGTGGGCAGTGTGAGATGAAACCCCTCGTAAAGAAACTGACTTGTATTGGAAATGGTGCTTGATCCGGAATGAGCGCGTCTAAACGCCACCTTTACCGCTCAGTTGACGAGGCTCGGGATCTTCAAAATGTTTCGTCTGCTGGTGAATTTCTCAGGCAGGGACAACAATTTAAACAATTGGATGCAGTCTCTCCTGCTCAGGGTAGGCACGAACCTGTACCTGTTACGCAAGAAAAACATGCTGAGCCTGTAAAGCCATCTAGTGCTGTTTCTCCTGGACCGTTGCTGGACTTTGATGATTTGCTTCTTCCAAGAAGCACTGCTCCCAGGCAACATCTCAGCCCTGTGCGAAGTAGGCCTGCTCCTAGTGATGCTCTCACTCCATCTGATGAGGAAGACTTGCCTGACGCGCGGCGGGTTACTGGCCACGCAGCCATCAGCAATGTTGATCCTTTCTTGATGGGACCCCAGGTTGACACTCAGAATCTTCCCTCTCCTCTCGTGAAGCCAGCGCTATTAGATGGGGTGGAGTGCTTGAACAACCATGATACAATAGCTGTGGAGACTCTTGATTCTGCTGTTGGATCTGGTGAAGTTCCAGTGTCCTCCTCAGTCACACGATCACCTGTGAAAGTAGTGCGACATAGCACAGACCGACTTGGGTCGCTACCAGTTTCCCAGGCAGCAGTGAGTAACAGTCTTGTAGAGATATCACATACACCTGCTGCAGCTACGGAGATCACAGACAGTGTGTCGCCGGTTATGGAGCAGGACAGTACAGCAACCCGCAAAGCTAGTAACAAACCTAAAGGCCGCTATGTTGCGTCTCGCTACATGCAAGCTCCGTCTAAACCAGCTGGCAGCAGTAGGGCCGCCAGCACTACAGCTAACAAAGCTACTAAACCGAGTCCTCCCACCAACACTGTGGCCAAGTCCATGGCACGGCCATCAGCTCCTCAGAAAAGAGGCATTGGATCCAGTAAGCCAGGCCACGTTGGTAGTACAGTAGAAAGCTCTGCACAGCGTGGAAAGCCTGTGAAAGCCTTGGCTGGTCATTCATCACGCTCTGGCATTGCTGCATCTCAAAAGCAGCCCCGGGCAGGTCAGGCAACTGTTGCCAGGTCTTCTGGTCCAATGTCCTATCGTACACCCCATCACCTGCCTGCCGAGCAAGCATTGCTGAGAGCTCGGCAAGCAATGGCCGACTCGATCTTCACTCCAAGTCTGCAGCCGCCATCGTATACCACTGGTCATGTGCCGACTGAGCAACACACTGCTCGTCAAGGCCCGACACAAACACCTACAGTAGCCAAGAGCTCAGGCGCACGACCCGCTTCTGGCTCTCGTGTCGGCAGCGGGCAGCGTGGTAGTGCCTCAACACCTGCCGCTGCAGTGCCTTCCTCGACACGTTCTCGGCCATCCAGACCCGACCGTCATCAGTCCACAGCGTGCTATGCTCGATCGATGCAGTGGGCCTTCCTGGCCGCCAGGGCAGAGCATAATCTGAAGACACAGGAGAAGGCAGCTGAGCAACAGATTCATGCCGTGTGGCAAGAGGTTGAGTCGTTGCAGAGGCAAGAAACCGAGTACTTGCAACAACTTGCGTCGTTGGAGAATGCCAAGCTGCTTGATTCTGTCGTTTACAGCCAACTTGGATCACTGCGGAGCATTACTGGATCGCTTGACAAGCTGGCCGACAGTCATGGTAGCTTGGCCGATGCACTTACGACTGTGTATCACCAGCTACCTGTCAAGGGTATCGTGCTACCGAATGACATGACCAAGTTAACCGATGCCTTGGAGCAAACCGAAGAGGTGCTGGAGGGTGCTGCCAGCAGCTTGGTTCGGCCGGTAGGAGAGTCTGGTTATCCTGGCACTGCTCGCACGTTGGACTCACTTAGGGGCTGTGTGGAGGAGGAACTCGTGGAACTGAAAGAGACTAAGCTGTTATTGGAGAAAGCCTGCCGTCTGCAAACGTCACTGGCCAGCCTCGCCATTCATGATGTTCAGGTCCATTCAGAATAGTCCTGTATGCAAGTGAGAGTAGTTCAGGACAGTCAACCTGCCCCCTAGGTCACCAGCTTTCAGAGAGCATAAATGAGTATGTGTGTTGCCTGGGTATGGAAGAACTGCACTAATAAATAATCCGAATCTAAGCATGCTGCAACCATGTCCCACATCATAAAAATCATTCTCAACTTGTACTGTAGCCATGGAAATTCGTTAATTTTGTTGTCTTAGGATTGAATTTGTGGCATTGACGGAGGGCTTCTGACTGCCACGTTCATGATAGGAAAATCACGTTGCATCCATGTATATTTTAGTTTTGAAGTACATGTATCACATAGCTGGGCTAATCTTTTCTGTTCTATTTTAGGTGCTCTCTTTCGTCAATTCATGTAGAGCTGAAGCGTTCTCTCCTCCACTCAGGCCATTGTTTTTTTGGAGACTGAACGGTGTCACCAGCGCTGAGTTTTCTTCTTCTTTTTTCTTGTCCGTATTGCTACTATGCGATCGACACATATCTGCATTCACGCTAATGGATTCCTGCTTCTTGATTCCCTTCACGACGGCAGCTGGACTGTCTTCACAGTGCATGTATACTATCACAATGTCAAATCAATATGAACAGCCTGTATCATGTGTATACATGTATGCTCTTTTGAGAATAGAAATGAAACACTTGTACCGGTATGTCTTTCTCATTTCTACATGGATCTGGTCTATAACTAGTATAAGTATAAGCATACCCCAACACGCCGGCCCGAACTCGTTCTGAAATGAGTTTCAAAGCTCCATTGCAGGTTTGCAAGTTGCATAACCCCATGTCATCGAGTGTGTTACAGTGTAACTAAGGCTGCGTTTACACGACAACGCACGGCCAGTTTTCCGTTTTCAGTCCCGCATTTCTTCTTTCGTTTTCGTACGTTTACACGATCAAAGCCGATCCGAAGTGGTCTCCGTTTGTATCGTTTTCAAGCGTCTACACGAGAGCAAAGAATCCGCCAAAGTTTGTCATGTGCCAAGTGTTGCCGTGGAAGCACCAATCACACTCAAGTAATGTTTGAAAACAGGCACACGACAACACAAGTCACATGACGAAAATTGTAAAAACATTTTTTTGGATTGTCGAATCCGTGTAAACGGCCGAAAACGAAACAAACGTGACGGAAAACAAGGCCAGCACACCGTTTCGACTGTTTACACACCCAAATTTATCCGGCACAACATTTCCGTTTTCAAATTCTTCCACCTTGGCCAGCGTTTTGGTTTTCTTCCGTTTTGGTGTACAACTTTTACGTTTTGCTCCGCGTACCGTGTAAATGAACCATGGATCCGAAAGGATTTCGTTGCGTTTTCGCCCCCAGCGTTGTCGTGTAAACGCAGCCTCACTGTTACTAACTACCTCATACTGTCATAGTAGGCTCTAGACTAGTCAAGTCGATGTCACATCTGTCGTTGAAAGCAGCGTACAAGTACAAGTCAAGTGCGCATGTACACGACTCGATCAGTACTACTTTGTAGCTGTAACTAACTTGTGTACATGGTGTAACTGTAAGACTTTCTCTTATCTGAGTGACTTTAGTTAGTACAGCTTTCGACCAGGTGCACATGCACAGAGCTCGAAAGCAAAATTGTTTTCATGATTCCCTCCTTTTGACTCCCGAGTCCCTGCATGCACAAGTAACTACTGTCTACAGTACTAGTTGCAAGCCATCGACAAACTCATGCTGCTGTCTGATCTATCTACGACTGTCGACATGTCGGACTGAGCGCGAGGTAAGGGTGACTACTTGAAGTACTTCTACGACTACGAGTAGTAGCGGCTATGTGCCTGACTACAATACAGTAGTAAGTACAGGTTGACACTGCGCTGGTAGATCTACAGACAGTACGAGTACAGTGCACTAGTGGCAGCAGGTACTGGTTGATGTGAAGCAAGTCGCCGATCATGGATCAGTGGTCGCAAGTGTGCGAAGAGCGCGCAGCATGAGTGCACATGTGCACTAGTTCAGTAGTTGCAAGAACGCTCAGACTCTGAGTCGCACGCACCGAGCAGCACTTTGTCAGAAACAGAACAGGCACTGCATGCACTGCGTGCATCTCAAACAAGCACCGATAATGTGATAGGAGCCCCACTTTTTGCTTGCACCAGGCAAATCTCCGTGCTTGTCGTTAGTAAGTTAGTTACTTCTCCTTGGCTTTTTCTGTGCGGAGCTGCCATCTGTTTTGGCTTCCGCGCAGCTCGGTTTGGCTGTTTGCCGTCGGGTTGGTGTCCGGCAGGACTGGATCTGGTGTGGCCTTGATCGGCACGATTTGCACCGTTATTTATTATTATTATTATCCACCAGGTACGACAAAATAGATGCTGTGACGACGTTGTCAGAGGGACCGCGTCATTTGAAGAGTAAGTTCATTCCCAGTTTGTTGTAGACAATTTTCTTTACCCTGTAGTTAGCTACAGGTCATGATCAGAAGATCAGCCGTGCCTCAGGCTTTTGTTCTGCAAGAAGCTACTTTGCTCAGTTGTCGTTCAACATTGGAACGAGATTATGGTAGTTTGTTAGTTCGACAGCTCACCCCACCGCTGGCCAGTCAAGTTGTTTCTGGATTCAATCGAAGAAGTCGACTTATCCCGTTTGTAAGTAATTGTTGTTTGATGACCTGAAGCTCAGCGGTACGTCGCCTCGTCAGTGGTGCTTAGCTTTCGATGCGAGGTAGATAGCAGAAACAGGGAGAAACCGGCAATGAATCACATCCTCTCATCTGCGAAAGCCTGTTCAGCAGCATCATCCCTTGGATTGTGTCTCATCCTGCTTCATCTTCTCTGTCTAACTAAGCGAGCCGCTGTAGCCCTACTGCAGTCTATTCGTGACTTAGTCTCCGTTTGGAGCGCTGTAATCCACTTCTCACCGAAATGTCCCCTACCTTTCCCATGAGAGAGTTGCACGCGTGACGAAGTGAGAGTGTTTGAGATACCACTTGCTGCGGTGTGGTAGGTGTAAGCTGAAAGCTGCAGAGAGGTGGGGGCACCAACGGATAGAGTGGGACTCGTGTGGAGCGTGCTGTTTAGGTCAGTTTGACGATAATTTTGGTGAGTTACTTAGAATCGTGGATCCTCTGGTACAGTTTGTGATCGTTTTCTGGGAGCCCTGGCTAACAGTAACACGTTTAGAGTGTAGGTAGATGTACGTCGATGCTCGTTTTAGTGGAAGGATGTATTCGACTGAATGAACTGAATGACCTTTGGGCTTTGGGTCTATGTACCGTGATGAACCGATGTGACTTGCTAGCGCTTTTGCACTTGACCCAAAGCTAGGTACAAGAGCTTCTAGCTCTGCCTCTGCCCTGGCCGTTATCGGCGTGAGCAGGTGAAGTACCTCCACTTCGTGATTGGAAATTCAAAAATGTGTGTTTCTTCAACACGGGACGTGCGAACACGGTACGGGGAGCCGATCAAATGCAGACGTGTGTGCCTGGCTTGCTTTGACGAAAGTCCGAAAAATCTATGTTTGTAAAAGTGTATTTGTAGTCATTGTAGATGCATGGGAACTGTCACTCTGTATCGCCTTCCCTCTACCTTGTACCTGATGTGGTACACGTCTGAACGATGGGCGGCCTGGTATGATCTGATGACCTTCATTTACAATAATACTACCAGTTGCAGAGTTGACGAAAGCGGTCACTTATTTTGCGCGCAACGAAAATAATTGCTGTTGCCGTTGTTGCTACTGCTACAAGCACTAGCTGTCACGGTGTCAGCGGAGATTTCGACTGGTTGGCTTAGCAGAGCAGCGGTCGCCTGTGCCGCTGATTTACAAAGTTTCTCTCGTACTGCAAAGGCTGAGTGTTGTGACTGTGGCGTTTCCGAGCTGGTGACTGTAGACATCAACAGTTAAACACCTCTTGCTGTTCAGCAGAACCGAATTTTTCATGTCAAATGTTATTGTTATCAATATGCAATGGGACGACCACATGCATATCTGAGATGGCACTGACTAGTGTGTTCTGACTGGGTCTGTGTGTAAGTGAGTTACAACTCGCAACATTCTAGCTCACTCTAAACCAAGAAATACTAAGAGACTGGATTTCTTAAAGATAGGAATGTTGTATGAATGTACAGTTGATTGGGTAGGACTCTATGGTGCATGGGCGGACTGGGGGCAGTTCTAGGGCGGCTAGTGGGAATGAAACATTTGAAAACCGTGGACGATGGAAGTGTTGCGGCAGATTCTTGTAACTATTGCATCACGGTGCCACTGTTGAAACGGCACAGAAGGTGTGCACCGGGGAGTGGTACATACGCTGTGTGACTCCCGGGTGTGCACTCCGTGACTATGGGCTATTGAACATGATGGCCGGGATTGCACCTGCCGCTTACTATAATACTGTCATCGCCTACTGTCGGCTATGGTGCTTGCGTCGTTCACCGAACAGCACGTACTACATAGATGGTATACGTTCTCGAGACAGTGCACATCAGTGAGTCGATATGTGCGAACTCTGCGGGAGTGCAGACGCCGCCATCGTGACGCGCTATTGTAATGTGTAACCTACCTATAGAATTCATCACTTCACCGTCATAGTGAGGACGGTGTTGCACCTGTCATGAAGAGCGAACATCTCTGACCTAAAGGTGCGGTTTAGTGTATCAATATAGTATGTCACGTACTCAACATAACTTTAACAAGTAAGGTGGTGGACATAATTCCGAGAGGCGAGTACTGTACTATCTCTTCTTCCGCTGTTGTGTGATTTGTAATGAGTGTTCGTTTTATGTTGACTGCTGGAAAAATGTTGTATGTTTGCCAACGATGTTGCATGTAATTGTACATGTCACCTCTGTCTGCTGCTGAGCTGACCTATGCAAACCAGTAGTCGCAACTGCATCCAGTGTGTGTGTGTGTGTGTGTGTGTGTGTGTGTGTGTGTGTGTGTGTGTGTGTGTGTGTGTGTGTGTGTGTGTGTGGAGTATTTCAGGCGATGCCGGCTTTCCGATGTGTGTTTAGTTTACCACCTTACGACTTGTACGTTGGAACTAACCACCCTGCTGATTAACAGTCGCGTTATCTTCAGATCATGTAAAGAAAGGATTCATCATACTTGGCGAGTGTGGCTGTGTAATCATGTGTGTTGGGTCACTTGTGTGCCAGAACAGACACCTGAAAACATGCGGGCGCTTAAGTTTCTTGTGCTTACCACTTTGGATCTGGGGCGGCTAGTGTGGCGTAAGTTTTTGATTTTAGAACAGATACATCTAGGAATGTTCTGTAATTCTGTGGGCTTTCTTCTCTTCTCCATGCAGATCAATACCAATGCCTCGCCATTGCCGCTCATTCTAGTGCTGAGCCCGTGGAGTAGTCTCGCTGTCAGCTTTGCCAGGCATGGACCGACCAAAGTCACCTGCTCTTGGCAGCCTCATGACAAACTCCGAGTCCATGGCGTCACTGGTATCAGAAAAGAGCCACCGGCTATCTACACATGTTGCGGACAGTGACAGCTGGTCAATTTCATCCAACAATGATTTGCAGATCGTTCAAATTGCCGAGGTGAGTTTTGTTTGGTGCTGTCTAATAGCATGGTAATGTTGATGTGGACGCTTGGAAATTGTATACAGTGTAAACATGCGCTGGGATATTCGGCCCAAACAGTACAACTCTGGGACAGTTCCATCAAGATAGGTTTGCTGTATAAGAAGAGTACTTACATCAGCAAGCGGTGCTAGTAGGCTGTGCCGACCAACACAGAGTGCTCAGCACCCATAGAATGAATGGAAGACCTATTGCAGTGGGCACATCCAGACAGAAGCATGGAAACGCACAATGCAGGTTGGAATGTCGCTGGCTATGGAAGCTGATCCTTTCTGCTCGCTGTTCTCTGTCCTTCCAGGTGAAAGATATGCCGTCAGGTGAAGATCAAGACTCGTCTAGTGTTATGTTCTTTCAAACGGGTAGCGATCAGCCGCCGAATCGGACCGCTGCACCAGCCCCGGCACGTATACCCACATCACACGGTCAAAATGGCAGCTTTCACAGGCCGGGCGATGTTGTGACCACTTCAAGCGGGGATTCTGTCACGACGGCCTCGAAGGAGAGGACCGTTGAAGATGAGGAACTGAGTCGAGGTGTTAGTCAGGTCTCGTTCTCCGCCACCATGAATTCACAAGACTCTGGCTTATCAACGTCCACACCATCATCTTTCGGCACGGCTGCTGGCGGCGGTGAATTATTTGGCTCATACTTGAGTAGTAGTACTGACAATCTTATGGATGAGGTGAGTGTCGGGGGGGGGGGGGGGGGGGGGGGTGTTTGCTTTTTACTCATTATTGGGGGTGCCTCTTGTACACTGAGTGGAGTATGCGGAGAAACTATTATTGCTGTGCTGGATACTGCTGTGTTACATAAGACATGGTAGTCTGAGATGGTACACCGTTTCACACGCTGTGTGCACGTGTGTGTGTGTGTGTGTGTGTTATGTGTTTGTTCATTTGCTCAATTGTCCGAGTAGATGGAGCCCTACCTCATGAGCAGTGTGGTGACTCTGATGGTGCGCATACCAGCGTATATCGCTCCAGGGCAGAAGGGTCGCGGCAAGATCCTCAAGTGCACCTTCTCTCCCCATTCCAGTGTTTATCAAGTGCGCTTTACTATCACAGAGGTAAGCCACTGGCGATCAGTGTCTTGTAATCGTAATCAGGTTTTGTTGTGTGGTGCTGCAGGGTACGTCACCGAGGGACAACTCATTGACGCCTAATACATTAATTTTAGTCCCTTTTCAAGTCTCACTTCGAGCTACTAATCTATATCCACCTAGTGTGGATAGTGTGCTCATCTCGTTTTCTGTATGCATTGTGCTGTTTTTGACTTGCTGCAGACGATCCAAAATGAAACTCCTATATCGCTTAGCCATCTAAGGCTATGTCGCCAGCTGCCGGTGAGCTTCTAAAACGAGAGGCAATGTACTACATGCATATTGACTGTTGCGTATTGCATACCATTGCCAATACTCACTACTAACATGTACTCCAAGAATCCAAGAAGGTGCACCGTTCTGTGATACTATAGGGTAGTTCATGTGTTTTCCATTGGTCCCTCCCCAGACTAGCTAGAACTTCTTCGGTGTGGCACTTACCGTTCATAATGATTCTGGTATGCGTGGCCTAAAATTGATTGTTTTGGTGCTCGCTTAACCCATTTGTTGTCTCTGATCTCGATTTTCGGCCGCCTTTTCCTCAGGATGGCTCGTGGCAGTGGTTAGATGAACAGCGATGTCTAGGTGTTCATGGTATTCTGACTGAGGTAAGTTATTCTGTCACGCAGCGGACATGGTATTAGTGGGGGTGCAGGCAGGTATGCTTGATTAGGGTAAGGTTGCTGAGCTCAGGTCATTCTGAATGCAAGCATTGAAGTTCTCGTATGCAAAGACAGGGTACACTTGCTCGTGAACTGCCTTTTCGGATAAGGTGCAGAATGCTGAACAGTGTAGTCATACCTACACGTAGAGCATGCATAGTTGCATGCTGCTGTAAATTTTCATTGTGAATATATATGTAGCTGTCTAAATTGCCATTTATCCTGTGACGTTCCCATTCAGGCACAGCTGGAGATGAAGGAGATCGAAGCGCACTTCCGTGACGTGATCATCAATATCCCCCAGCTTGGCAATCAGGTGAACTTGGAGTACGACCAGTTTTCACTGGTGCAGGACATTCTGGATGCCGTCTTGAGAATTCACGATGAGCAGCTCAACGCGTCGTCCCATAGCTATGCACTCTACCATGTACGACATAAGACCAGGTGAGAAGCGGAGAGGAGCTTCTGTTCGGCGGAATCCAAGTTTTGACATTAATCAGTTGCAGACACCGCACTCCCTTTGACAGGCAGCACAACCACTGCACCAAGTATTATAGCATGACAGCGTTTCTTGTATCAGGCTTTGGACTGGATTTAATCACGCTGGGTACACGCCAGGTAGAAACCGGGGGGGGGGGGGGGTATGTGGTGTGATAGCGTCAGCTCAAGGTGTTGCATCCCGCTGTGATAACCTTACTGCAGTGCATGTATGTTGTGATGTACTCTCATGTTGTGTAATGTTACTTTGTTGTTCACAGGCTCAGCTTGACGGAAAGCATGGTCTTCTATGAAATTCTGTCCACGGACAAGCTAGAGTTAAAAGTAAGAGATCGTTATCCTGAAGTTCGGTGTCTATTTTCTGATGTTTTGATTTATATAGCAGAACTGGTAGGTTGTTATGTCAGATGTGATATCATTTATTTAGCCGTGTCACCTGACACCTACTGGGATAGACGAGAGTGGTCGGTAGTTCTACGTTTGTGCACATGTAGTGTTTGATGTCCGGTTTACTTTTTGCCTTGCTGTCGCTTCCCTAATAGCCACGAGTGCATCCTTTGTGTTTGTTTTCCAGATGGTTCAGGGCCGTGCCAAGATGGTGGTGCTGACTGTTGATATTCCTGAAGCGAAAAGCCAACGTAAAATTAGAGCGTCCCTTGATCAGACTGTCGGAGACTTGATGAGGTGAGCAGCTCCAGGAAGAATCGGAGTCCATTATCGCATTCCTTTGCACAGAATGTTGATATGGACAATGTTACACGTTCACTAACTGCGGATATTACTGGCCCGCTATCATCTTGGCTATTTTCTGATGACAATGCTCACGTGTATGCGCTTGCTTTTTGACTTTTTTTGTACCCGAATCCGGTTTGGTGAGCAGAGAATGTCCTACACGTGTGTTTGTGTGTCTCTCGCCGTGCAGCACTTTGATACGGCGCCTGACCGACATCAGTGAGCGAGCTTGGCAGTACTTCTCCCTGTATCTGAAACCTCGCACGGGCCGGCGTAGCAAGGGAATGTGGATGGAGGAGTACAAGTTCCTATCCACATACAACCTTGACGAACAGGTACACCATCGCCCAAACATTCTGATGAATTTAGTGAATCGATTTGCAAAGTAGGTCTGCAAGGCACACCACTAGATCTTGAGAGGCAAAGAAAAGCAATCTAAGTTTGGTGTGGGGCCATGACGGTAGATTGCAGTATTGTACTATGATTGAGTTTCGCAGTTTGTCTTCTGGTGCGTTGTGTGAACTGCTTCTATGTGAAGCAGATGCGGGATAGATGCGGGACTGTGTCATAGGTGGAGCCTTTCTTTCTTCAAGTATGAGATGTTGTGAATTAGTGCAACTTAGGTTTATTTACCCACTGTGTGCTGCCCACAGGACGTCCTTGAGTACCGTCCCAAGTATAGACTATTCTCCTTTCAACTTCGAGTCTTTCCACCTTGCCCATCGGTGCCAATGTATAATTCAGACGAAGATGCTCTCCTGTCAGCGGCATCTTCAGGAGGCCTCCCGGGAACTTCCAATAAGCCGGCGTTTGATCCAAACTACCCGCGACTTCTTGTCGATGAGACGACTACAAACAAACAAGTGGTGGAGCTACTCAGCAATGCCTGGTTAGTCCTACATGGATATATTCTTGGAGTGGCAGATAATTATGATCTTTTTGTCCCGATTTCTCTGTGCTGTTCTGACAGGCTTTCATGCCCCGGGTCAGGCTGCACTTTTCTTTCACGTTTTCCAGTCGAAATCATTTCAGGACAGCAGCAGTAACTGCTAACTTCTTCACTAGAGCAGGAGAAAAATTCTTCGAATGACAATGTGTTTTGATGAACTGAACAGACCCGGAGCTGTAAATGACCAACTATGTTGCTCAGATTCGAGTGTGCAACAAGAACTTGTGATTTCGAGCATCTTAACCTATACGTGGGTTGTATTTTTGATACTTCGAAATTGGAGCCTGGACAATAAGCCTTTTACGCGTTGTACAAATGCATGAAATCCCGTAGAATCCCGTAGAACCTAATGGGTGTTGAATGTGCAGGACCCTATTGTGTTTTCTGCTATTTCCACTAAGAAATGGGCCCTGAAGGCATTTCAAACGAAACCCTTTTCTGACAAAGATCTAGCTAGTCATTAGTTCTAACCAAAATGAAGAAGCAGGAAAAGGGATTGTTTGCCATTAATAATGAGGCTAAAATTGGTCAAATGCGCATGCATAGCACACAATGAACACCCAATCGGGGCTGTACACACCTACGCCCTAGTACTGAACTTCGTACATCTGTACAACGCGCAAAAGGCTTATTGAGGTTTGAATTAAAAGGAGTCTTCCTATATTCGTCTGAGGTTATAAGGTACATGTATTCATAACTTTCTCAGAGATCCATGCATTCCTACTACACGTAGTTGACCGTATCTGTCTTTTGCCACGACGTCTCTGTTTTTTTTTTCCTTCAGCGGCTTTGAGTACCCTGCATCCTGGTATGGCCTGTTTGATCAGAATGGTGCTGAGCTGCCCCGGGACAAGCAGATCTGGGACCTGGTGCCTCGCACCGGTGTGGAACAACAGGATGTACGTATTGAGAACAGCTACAGGATGCAGCTTGCCGACACGCTCCACCCTAGCCACCTGCTGCTGCTACTAATGTTGCTACTGCTGTTGCTGCGTATGCCGCTGGCAGTCCCAATGGTGGTTTCTATGCATCATACCGTTGTCGTCTGCATGAATCATACCCGGGTATCAGCCATGATGCTCTGCGGTTCGGGCAGATTGGTCAAGTACAGGAAGTGCACGATATGCATAGATTACATAGCCAAGGTCTCGTTTTACCGCGGAGGGACTGCATCGCAACTCTTAGCTTTGTGATTTCTACAAATCCACGGGATGCGGCACTCCCTGATGATCATGAAAATGCGAAGCGTTGAGTTGAAGTGAATCTTCCTGTCCCTCTGACCTGTGATAAGCTCTGCCTAAGGGCATAGCTATGCATTCCTCGGGCAGTGGAACACTCTGCTGTTTACCCAATGTTGTACCATGCGGATAGAAATGCACAGTAAAACCTGTGTTCACCGGCCCTTGGCCCAAGCGGAATCCTGTCATGGCAGGACAAATTTTCATCCACCATGCTTCAGTGTGCAAGATGTGCACGTCGATACTAGCACTAGTTAGACAGTGAGCTCATTCATCTGTTTCCACACCAGGCTTATAATGATCACCATTCTGCATTATTGTGTGCACAGACAAACTTCTGCATCCATATGCGCTATCACAGCATCAAGGTATCACAAGACGCCGAACCAGACAGGTAAGGGTAAAGAAACTTCAAAGTCAGCGAAGAGGAACAGTAAGAAATTGCCAGTGTAGTTCTGTATTTGTCTAGAAAGGGATTTCCCTGCGTCGGCTGCCAGTTGCCATGACCGACACTTACAGGCAGTTGCATGATTGCACTATTGTCGTTGCCATTGCGCCCATGCGTGTATATACATGTGTGTGTATCCATGCTTTATAGTGAAATGCAGCTATCAGTGGACCTGAGCTGGCCCGTGTCTCATATGCGTGATCTACTCAGTCGACGATGCGGTATTCGTGATCCACATAGCTGCGGTGTACTCTTCAGAGGTGAGTGCGACAGAGGCAATGATCACATTTTCTTGGCATAGGCAATGCTGTTGACATCAGTAGAAGCACACGCACTATTAGTACTAAATGACCAAAGTGCGATGGTTGCAGGGACGTGACACTGATTTCTAGAGATACATCCCTCTCCTTCCAGTGCCCTGTTTCCAGCTTTCAAGCCCTTCCATTGCGCTTGAGTTCAATCCTGAACTGCTATTGTATTCTGGGTTTCTTTCTTCACTTCTGCAGGTAGCTTCTTGCAGCCCAACATTTCTCTGCTGAAGCAGGATGTAACGGAAGGTGCACACGTGACCCTGAAGTATCTGAGTGCCGAAGATCCGGTAGGCATGATTGTGTACTTGAGCCGTAATGAGTGCTATAGGCATTGCTGCGACTTACCGTATTTCCCCAGTTATAAGTCGCACTCCTTTCATAAGTCGCACCCCCATTTTCAGGTTTGAGCCATGTTGTTTTGATAGATTCACTTCAGTAGTAAGTCATACTCGATTGTATGTCGCACCCCGTTTTTACCCTTGAATTTTGGTGTAAAGGGGTGCAACTTGTATTCCGGGAAATACGGTATAATGCAGCTTTCATCCAGCGTTTTGGCCGTGTGTTTTCGATGCTGCATCGGAAAGCAGGTGCAAAGATTGACTTTCAAATACATGAAGAAAGTTGGACTGCTTTAATTAGTGTATGTTGGGTTGGTTTTCTCAGGAGGTGTCTCATATGTGGTGAAAGACATGAAACACACCGTTGTCACCCTCCAGAGCTCGTACTCTTCTGTACTAACTACAAAACGCAGGGGATGAACTTCATATCTAGATGTATTCTGCTCTGTGTGTGTGCAGTGGGAGAATAGTCCAAGCATCGGACCAAGCATTGATGACCCGTATGACGATGAACCGGGAAGCTCCGTGGACACCACGTTTGACTCATCGTACCTTCAGCACGTTCTTCAGGTATGTGCATGCCATGTGTTAGTCTTTATTGTTTTCAACGGCTCGGAGCGTGGAAGCCATCGGCACGAGGAACATTAACTTATGCCCCTCATTTATGGGGTTCCTGTCTAAAGTACAGTACTTGCTACAACACGTACATGTTCTTGAGTTTGGTACTACTTGCTGTCCCTTCATTTGGTGTTGTGTTGCAGACAAGTGGAAGACCGAAGCCACAGCAGCCATCGAACCGTCAAGTCTATGTCAAACCCTGTAAGCTGAGGTGCAGATAGCGGGTTGATTTGGTTACTTGCATGCACAGCACAGTAGTGAAAGTTCGAAGTGGAGCGAAACCGGTCGTTTTTAGAAAGTAATGCACTATTGCCTGTTGTCTGGCTGTGGTCGCATCTCCGAAAGTCTAACCAAGTGCGTGCGTGTGCGTTCTGCTTTCATGATGCACAGCTGATGATCGGCCGTTCTGGGATGAGCCGCCTGACTCTGACGACAACATCCGCTTTCAAAAGGAGAACGGCCGTGATGTGGTAAGTTGCGACGGAGGCGAACGGCCATTGTGAAAGGTTTCTTCATGTCTCACTGCTCAAACAGTTGGACTGGCTCGCATGGGGGATATGAGTCACTGGCACGTAGGCGATTTTTAATGGCTCACACGAACTATACGTGGTTGTTTTGTCCATGATAGGTGACGGCAGGTACTTTCAACAAGCTTGTGGAGCGCCTTACTCACAGTGACATGAGTGGTGAGTTGCTACTTGGGATACCTTTTCTCATCTGTGTTGCACAGGTACATGTATTGGCCTTATCAGTTTCAGTCAGTTGCATATCACTAGAATGATTTCTACTTGTGCCCTTTGTGTATTGGAATTGCATAGAGCTTTGACTACATACGTACCTTTGCTAGTCAAGTCTGACCACCTTGCTGGGCCGGAAACGGGAGTGCATTTTTTGTGGTGTTTTGGTGATATGATACTTCTAGATTTGGACTTTGCCCACACGTTCATGGCAACCTATCAGAACTTCACCAAGCCGGAGAAGCTGTTTAGCAAGCTGCTGGAGCGCTACTCCGCAGTAAGATCAGACAGCATGACCTTCAAGGAGTTCAGTGCATTCAGAACCAACATCCAGGTGCGCACCATCAACGCCATTCGCATGTGGCTTGACACGGCCGGGGATGATTTCGTGAACAACGACAGCCTGCTGCAACGCATTCTCGACTACACAGACGACGTTGTGATGGTGGACTGGGGAAAGTTTGCCGGTGGAATGCGCACCAGGATAAACGAACTGCGGGTAAGTGAATACTTGAAATTCTCTTGAATACATTGATTTTCGCATCATGTTTATCACTAGCAAGCTTTTCTTACTTGGAACTTAACGACACAAGGGATAACCCTGTGCTTGTGTTCTGCTGGTGAATAATAGCTTTCTACTTATCGCCTGTTCTCATCTAATGTCTGCAGAAAGGGCAAACGAAGAAGAATCGAAAGGCAACGTCCCTGGATCCACCTCCAAGGCCTATCTTGCCCAGCAATGTTGGCACGAAAGTCAGCTTGTTTGCGTTCGAACCTGAGGAGATTGCCAGGCAGATGAGCTTGATCGATTTCAAGATCTACAGCACAATCTTGGTAAGTTTCACACCGAAAGACCGAAATCTGGATAGTATCAGAAAAATCTTCGGAATAAATGAACCTAATTGTTCAGGATCACCTCCTCCACTACACTGCGCTCTCAGCCTCTCTCGCACCCTGTGATATAATAAATGAACCAGTACTTTGATTCACCTATCGGCTATAATGTATAATCTGGTAGAATATCTCCTCGTACTGGTGTCCAGGGTTGCCAACGTGCTGCAGCATAAGATATACCGTGTGCAACACTACAATGTATGATCGTATTATGTTGGTCTATTGGATGGTGTTGTTGTCCTTGCAGCCACACGAGTTCCTGAATCAGTGCTGGGCCAAGCCAAAGTACAAGGATCGCGCCGTCAACCTGTTGAGAATGATCGACCGCATGAACACCGTCACTTTCTGGGTGGCGACTACTATCTTGTCGCAGAAGGACAAGTATGGAAGAGCAAAGCGGATCACCAGCTTTCTGCAGATTGCAGAGGTATGGGCAAAACTGACATGACCTGCACTCTGTTTTGTGCTACCCTTTCGAGAGTCTACATGGAAGGATTTTTGCATGCCTAAGTAACTATCGTATCTTGTGGCATTGCAATCCAGCTTCCTGCATGCAGCTTAGACAGAGCTGACTGTCCAAGGAATTCATCACTTTTTGGCGAGCGTTTCTTTACAAAGGTTGCTTACTCTGCTGCTGTTGTCACCTTCAGCAACTACACAAGATGAAGAACTACCTGACAATGATGTCTGTATTGTCCGGCTTGCAACATTCCTCTATCATGCGACTGAAGAAAACGTACGACAAGGTGGACAAGAAACACATGAAGGTAACCTCATACCCATCTGTAGTTTTGTTGTGTACAGTACTGTCGGGCGCCGAAGAACAGCCAGGCTAGAATTTCACCAAAATAAGAATGGGCTAGGCTAGAACCCTGACCCCCCCGTTCTTCGGCGCCCCACAGTACTGTTTGTGTTCGTCTGTATGTAGTCTCTGTACATTGATTTCTTTTGTGGGCGATATTGTAGTGCTTGCAGTAATTGATTCGTTCATTGCCGCTTCTTTTTCCCGGCTGTTTAGGTACTCACTGAGCTGTGCGAGTTGATCATACCTGGCAAGAACTTCAGGCAGCTGAGGGAACTGCAGGATAATGCAGTCCCACCCAGTATGCCGTATATCGGTGAGTGACTTTCTACTAGCATTGAAAACCGGTGCACCTCAACTCTATACAGTATCACAATGAAGAATTGACTTTGTGTTTCTGAAACGACTGTTTCAAGAGCTTATTGTTTGTGAGACGCCCTGTTGCAATAAGAATGGCTCATTTCTACATGCTATTGTGAGCAGCAACACATTTTTTCTCCTCCGCTGTGTTCTTGTATAGGCATCTTCATGGCCGACCTGACATTCATCGACACGGGTAATGATAATCTGCTGCCCGGTGGTCTCATCAATTTCTCAAAGTGCAGACTCATCTACTCGCAGATTCGCCAGATCCTGGCAGCGCAGGTAGGTTGTGCTCCAGCCTGCATGTTTGATGACATTTCTGGCCTCGTGATAAACCGTTGGAATTTCGGGGAGGTCAGTTGTTTCAACTAGCTATTCCGGAATGTTCTGCACGATCTGCTTCGACTCCGGTTTGGATTTGGGGAAGTTGGAGCTAAAACTGCAATAATTATACCGTAATCTCGCGCATACCGGTATAAGACCATGGTCTTATATTCGAATAGAAGACCACCAAAACCACACGAGGATCATCATGGTTCCATAGTACTGGCATTCATACATGCATAGTTGCATACCATACTTGCACATGTACATGTCGATGCGGTGTCCGTCTCTTGAGATTACGGTATTAAAGCAAAATGTAGTGGCAGGGTTAGGACGGGCTTTGGCATAGAAATGTACAGAAAAGTGACGACTGCGGTTGGCCTTGTCAATATCTAAAGAATCACTGTAGCCGCTGTGTGAAGTACACGTTTCAGCATGGCTGGGCAAAATTTACTTATGCTGTGTATTATTATACTTCTGTTGTGCTCAGAACACGCCGTACAACTTTGAAGCCATTCCCAGCCTTGAAGAATCTCTGACGAAAATGCACGTTCTCAATCCGGACATCCTTGGCGAGATGTCACTTCAACGTGAACCCAGGTAAAAGGCACACTTTAGCCTACAGCCAATTCAATTCTGCTGTAACCCCTCCCCCTGCAAATCATTGAAAATACCCCAGACAATTTGAACAAGTTCTTTTACTTATCCGTCAGCTGACTTGCTATTCAACCTCCAGTTTCTTTCTACTCCTTTCCCAGTACAGTGTACCAATATAAATAAACCATGCTAATGTCTTGATGAAGCTTTCTCCCTTTTAGCAAGATTTTACCACATTTTTACCACATTTTATAACAGTTCAGGAGTGTAGGAGTTTCCATAAAGGAGTGCAGGAGTTTCCATAAAAACCCGTTCACTCAATCCAGTGGAGATGACGGTTGTGCATCTGATGTGTGTTTTTATCTGTTTGCTTTATTGCTTTATACGATCTGTGCACTGGCTTATTCATCTTTTTCCAAGGCTGGGCTGAGCAAAATCTTGAGATGTTTATTTTTATGCACATCCAAGTTGTAATTATCCTGCCATCTCCACCACCTACCTACATTTCCGAATGAAGATGTTTGTAAGAACAGCTGTTATCTTTTTGCTTCTTGCCGTTGCTAATTTAATACATGCTCTCCTGCGGACATGACAGCACCAGGCTTTTCGTGGCATTCTTATGAGCTCACACGGTTTGTGTGCAATCCCAATCAACACTGTGTGCTGGTAGTCCACAATACTACTACTGTACATGATTGTACTTATTATGTCTGCTAGAAGTGTGTGGTGCGGCATGGGATGGCATAAGTGTATGCCGGGAAGTCCACAGCATGCTTTTGGGGACTCTTTACAGAATGTGGGCACTGGCTGGTTTTTTCAGTTTGCTGGCAATCGGCAGTGCGCTGGCTCACAGCTCCGTGTCGTGCATCTTCGGTACATGCGTGGAAAAGGGGGAGAGGGCGGCACTACATACACCAACTTACTTGCTTATCTCGCCCTTCACATCGCGAGTGCTGTTTTGTCTGGGAAGAGGACGATGCTGTACGTCGGACACCATGCATGGGGCCTGCAATCAGCATAGCAGCACACTCTATATTCAATAACAGGCTAAATCGCCTGGATAGGATGCTTACACCGCACTACCGCAACACATCATTGTACATCATACAGAGACAAACTCGTACGCCACTGAGGAGAGGGACACGTAAGCGTAGGTCTGGGGAAAGTGAGAATGCCTGATGGATTGGTGGATGAACATTGATTGATAGCGGTATGGCATGATACATGGTGAAGACAACTGCTCAAGTCTCCATGAAATTATCCACAGTGGCTGGTTCTAGTTCCTGACTGAGGGGTTCATGAGCAGAGCACTACATTGTAGTAAGACAGCTCGAGAAACTAAACTCTGCTGTTCAAAAGGAAGTAACATTAGCCATTGCAAAGTAAACTGTACTCCAAGGTACATGTATGCATGGATGGCCACTCAAATTATGGAAAAGGAAGTACTACAAAAAAGTAGTAGGCCTCGATGAAGGGAGAAATGTACTGGAACTTTGGAAGGAGTCTAACATGTGGCCTCCACCAACAGCTCCAGTGTAATTCAAAATACTATTATAATTATAGTATTGCCTAGTTTTTTTCCTATCTAGAAAAATATACGTGTACAAGACACTACAGTTCCCATGGGAACCATGGATGAAACCCAACAGGACATTCACCGCCTAACGTCACTGTGACCAGCAGAAGTGGGATGACAACACTGCCACAGCACAGCGCAGCGTGGCAGACATTGATGTTTGCATGGCACCAGCCAACATCACAATGACTGGTGTGCTCACAACCCAGACTGGATAGGGTGCCGTGCGGCTGTATGGTAGGAGATTATGCTTCATGCTGACACATCAGCATCTCTTTGAAGACATGTTCACTCTTCTGCATGTTTTCCACAATGAGTGCCTCTTCATTCGCCTTCAACGGACGCACTGATGCACATCGGAAAAGATTTAGGGGCTCATGGTAGGTCCCAACACATCTATGCAAACATGCAGACAGACATACATACAGACAGACACATACGGTGCACGTACACATGCAAACGGGGCAAACTTTGGCCATGCATTGAATTGAACAGAATTGTTCAAGAAAACTGCAGTTTAACCAATACCCAATGCCAGGAAAGGAGAGCAGCAGATGAACAGTAATTGTTGCTAACAGTTGCCAACGGCTTTCAAGTAGGTACAGAGTTGGCTACTGAAATCCAACCACTCGCTCAGGAACTGTGACGCGAGTTGCATGGTGGGTGCATGCCTTGAGTTGGATTGACCAGCTGCAGGGTATCAAGGGTGGTTTGATTCAGGCGCAGACAGTGAACCGTTGGTCGGATTTCAATGACCAACTCTGTATATTGTACTAGTGTAAGGCAATGTCAATAAACATGCTGGAAATCGGTATTTATTTCTTGGCTTGTGATGGGAAGTTTCACTTGCTAAAAATGCATGTATTGACAGCAGAAATTCACAAATGTAGAGCCACAACCCCCTCCCTCACCACAATCCTGGATACGCCACTGACTATAGATGTTGACTTTGTTGCATGAATGGGGAACCGATAACATGTAGAGAATGTACGGCATGTCACTTCACTCAGAACACCAGGCTACTGCCAACCAGATTCAACGGTCAATTGCACAATTTAAAAATTCACTGTCTAGTGCCGCGAGAGTGCCCACCACCTCCACCCCTTTGTGATTTAGGAAAGCAATCATGTCCGCATTCCTATCACAATCTATGGGGAGGCACTGTGTCTGGGAGGTGGAGTGCATGAGCGACTCCTCACCTAAGATCATGCAACACTATCACTATACACTAGCAATGCACTGAAGTACGCACAGAGCACTTTATGCGGTCAGCCTGCACTCGAACGACGTACTTTCAAGGCGCAAACGAAAGTCCATGTATCCCACCCTCACCTATAGTTTTGCAGACGACACATCCTTGGTAGGCCCCGATCCTGGACACAAAAGGTCACAAGAAGGTATAATCGTCGAGCGCATAGGCTAGGTATCGCCTGTTTGTAAATACCGACTTTTAACAAATTTAGTGTTTTCTCCTCATACCCCCCCCCCCCCCCCCGCCCTCTCCCCTCCTGAACCCCATAATGAACACACATAATACACTATAACAAGCAGCATTGTGCAGGAGAATGAGTTCTTTATAGCCGAAGTTCATTATAACAGAAATGCACTCGCACTATACAAGCAGCAAGTCATGACTGGCAAGTGGCGCATGACAGTATGAGACTATGACTCTCTCTGTCTATGAGTGCACTTCGTTTATAAGCGGCCATACAAGATTTGGTTCGTTCTAAACGAAAACTGGTCGCTATTAAGGGTCAATTCTGTATGGGTTCAAACAGGGGCATGGACAGCGGTTCGCTATATCACGAAATTTGCTATGCGAGTTTGTTATAAGTGGAGTAAACTGTAATTACGCTTACCATTGCGACGATAATTTTTCACAGTACATTGAACTGAACAGTTACTGAACCCTCCCCAAATACCGTATTTCCGCGCATATAAAGCCATGGCGTTATAGGTGAAACATCGCTGTTTTGGACCAAATTTTTGGAGAAAATAGCCTCGGTTTTAACGCCATGGCGCTAAAAGTGAGAGACGCTTGTAAAGTTCGATCCTTGAACTTTGTTACTTATCTCGAGCACACACACCCAACATGCGAGAGCATTCTATTCTGACTTCACTTCTTGGGAACATAAACAACAAGAACAAAGAAATGCAAATCAATCCAGATTATCAGCACTGGACGGAAGGTGCTAGAAGCAGTAGAAGAAGATAGAAGGATCCAGAACCGGATGTGTACAATACGATGACAAGCTAGACCACATAGGTTGGTTGATCATGAACGCGTGTCATGTGCAGGTAAGCCGTACATGGATGGAGTGTCATGCGATGGCATAGCAAGGCACTAGATGACTGTGCATGATAATTACAAGCAACACATACAACTCATGTGTAGCACATGCAACATCTCCCTCCTTAGAAAAGAAATCGGAGGAATACTCAAAAGAACAAAGCACGATAATATCGAGACAAGAAGAAAAACAGCTGCGACAAACTTGCAAGAAATCGCATGATAACTCTGAGAGAGACGGAGAGACAGTCAAATCTCTTCAATGAGGCGACTGGGGGCATGTCGGGCACGCTGCGGCCGGCCGGGTGCTGGAGGACTATTGGGAATCTCAACAGACTCCGGTGGGCTAACGGGCAGGAAACGCAGCTGATGCCGGTTGCGACGGATCGTGCCGCTGGGTACTGCAATCAGCAGAGACCGATCAGATAGCGCTGACTTAACAGTCCCTTCTCTCTGCTGATCTGCAATCCACACGCTATCACCTGGTTGCAGGGGCTGGAGAGGCTTGGTCCGGTGACGTTTATCAAAGTTGTCCTTTGACTGTGCTCGGCGATGTTGCTCCCACTCCCTCAGCTTCTCACCTGCAGGGAGTGTCGGCAGGAGAGTGGAGGGTTCCACCGGTAGCGTACCACGCAGGCTGCGGCACATCAGTAACTGTGATGGCGAGAACCCGCTCTGAAGTGGCGTACTACGGTAGGTGAGGAGAGCCAGTTGGAAGTCGTCCGACTTCGCTAGAAGCTGCTTGATAGTGTGCACTGCACGCTCTGCTTCCCCATTGTTTTGCGGGTGATGCGGAGAGCTCGTCACGTGATCAAAGTTCCATTGACAGCTTAACCGGGCGAACTCATCACTTGCATACTGCGGCCCATTGTCCGTGACGAGAGTCTCCGGCACACCGTGCCGGGCGAAGATGGCTTTCATAGCGGTGATGACAGAGGCAGACGTGGTGGAACGGAGAGGCAAGGCTTCAACATAGCGCGAGTAGTAGTCGACAACCACCAGGTATGTTGTGTTACCGAATTGACACAGGTCAGAACCAACTCGCTGCCACGGGAGTGAAGGAAACTCAGTCGGTCGGAGAGGTTCAGGAGGTTGGCTACGGTGCTGACAGCATGTGCGACATTGCGTAACAGCAGAAGCGACGTCATTCTTCCAGGACGGCCACCAGACAGATTGGCGGGCCTGCGCCTGGCACTTGACGATACCGTGATGAGCAGACGTGTGCAGCTTGCGGATGACCATATCACGCAGAGATGCAGGCACAACCACCCGTGCACCATAGAAGATACGACCGTTGGCAACAGAGAGATGCTGGCGGGCGGCAAAGTATGGGAGGATGTCAGCAGGGACGTCCTTGCTGTGATCAGGCCAGCCAGACTGAACAAACTTAGCAACGTGCTGCAGGACGCGGTCAGCCTGGGTGGCATCTCGTAGGGCAAGCGAGAATCCAGACGACATGTACTCTTCGCCAGCTGAATCGGCAAGAGAAGCGATCTCGTCGGTCAGAACAGACGAGGTAGAGACGGTGGTAGGTAGTGGTGCTCGAGAGAGAGCATCGGCCACAACGAGATCACGGCCGGGGACATGCTCGGCAGTGACGTCGAAACGAGCCAGTCGAAGTAGCAGACGCTGGCAACGTTGTGGCACTCGATCTAGATCACGGCTGTTTACCAGGGGAACCAAGGGCTTATGGTCAGTATGCACCGTGAATGGCTTGCTACCAACGAGATACTGGGCGAAGTACTCACATCCCCAGACGATGGCTAGACATTCTTTTTCAATCTGCGCATAGTTGCGCTCGGCGTCGCTGAGAGATCGGGAGGCGTACGTGACAGGTTGCCAGCCAGCTGACTGCTGCTGGAGGAGAACAGCTCCCAGACCATAGCCACTGGCATCAACGCGCAGAAGAGTTGGCTTAGAGACGTCGTAGAATGCGAGGCAAGGAGACTGGCTAGCGAGTTGTTTGAGTCGTTGGAAAGCTTCTTCTTGGGGAGCATCCCAACACCAGACCGTGTCAGCGCGGAGGAGCAATCGGAGCGGCTGAGAGACGATGGCCATTTCCGGCAGAAACTTGCTGAGATAATTAAATATACCCAGCACGCGACGTAGCGCAGGGAGATCGGCTGGTGCCTGGAGCTCAGAGATAGCGGCGAGGCGCTGCTGACTGGGGCTGACTCCATCAGCGGAGACGACATGGCCCAAGAACTCAACTGACGATTGGCGAACATGTTCCTTGTCGGGGTTAAGGGCGACACCAACATTGCGCAGGATTGATCGGACCTTCTCCAAGGTAGCATCGTGCTCCTCGACTGTCGCACCAAAGACCAGGATGTCGTCCATGAAGACGCACACCCCTGAAAGGCCATCCAGGTATTGCATTAACTTGCGCTGGAATATTTCTGGCGCCGATGTTATGCCAAACGGAAGTCGACGGAAGTAGTAACGTCCGAATGGCGTGATGAACGTGGTGTGAAAATAACGGCAGAGTATGAACTTCGAGTACTCGTATGGTGCCGTTGCATGTTCATGTCGAGCATCCATATACATTGAATTTTCCCTGAAAATTTCAAATTGAACTCACCTTTAACGCCGGATGCAACTCCCTCCACATTGGATTTTGTTCACTTATAACGCCATGGCTTCATAAGTGAGGGTGGCCTTATACTCGGATATAACGCCATGGCTTTATATGCGCGGAAATACGGTAACAATAAATAATTTTTTAAACTCCTTATTTTACAGTCGACCTCCAGCTAAGACAAGCTTCTCAGCAATAGATTAGTGGAAAATGTGACAATTATACTGCAGGAAACCACAGCTAATATGCTAAAGAAAATGGCTCACACATAAACCATCTCCAGTTTGCACAACAGCAAAATCCAAGTCCAAAACTCACCATTGGCCAAAAGCAGCACCTATCAATCGCAAATACAAGGGGAAAGAGGACAAGTGCATACAGCGCATATTATATTCTCCCATAAAGACACCATTATGCAATAGACATTGTGTGCAACTCAAGCCTCCCGGCCGAAAGCTTGTTGTCTCTTTAAAAACGACATGGTGGTTGGCATAAGTGCCTCTGCCAGACTAATAGGCGATTCACACGACAGGCAAATCCACGTGCACTGGACAATTGCTATGGTATTTCACCTGCGAACAAGAAAAGTGGCTGAAAGCGGCTGAAAAGTGAAAGCGAGCTGGGGGCCCACTTTCACGATAATGGTGACGTGCACGTGTACACTTACACCAAAAAGCGCGAAGCAAAACTTTATATTTTACGCGCCTCTTCTCAACATGATAATTATTGTATGCATGTTTCGAAAATTTGAAATACCCATGGCAACTTCAGGGCTCACAGTAGGCATGCAGGATCGACAAAAGCGTCGTGCGAGGGCGGGTTTGGTGCACGTGAGTCGCGTAACCCCGGGAGAGTACCGATCGTGTACATCCCACGCATCCAAAACAGAACAGAAAAGAGAAAGAACCAGAGTTGTGCTTGTAGCCTGTTCTCGTAGTTTTAGAGCCGATGTTCGCGATATTTTGGAGAAGGCGAAACGCAACCTGTGCTAGTCCCAGTAAATACAACATGCCATGTTCGACCAAAAGCGGATGCTACAATGAGCGATCGTGATGATTCCACAGGTAAGAAAGAAGACAAACAAACGAGTCAGAGCTCGCCAGGCAGGTAACGCCGAGAACATGATGATACCACACGGAGCTGGTGATCGGATGGAGGTGAACGGGACCAGCAAATCCACCGGGCGTTTGTCGAGGGCCACTGAAGACCAGGTTTCCCAGGGTGGCAGTTCCTCCATGATGGCGAAATGCGCTGCCACAAGAACTCCAGCGAGAATGAAAGCAAAGCAACCAACGCCGCGGGCGAACTGAGGAGAGAACACTGAACAATCTGTGCACAATGATTTTCTCTTCGACGGCACGTGTGGCTGTCCTGCTGCATGCATGCGTTTTTCTTGTTGTTTGATCTTCACACATTTTCGCGCAAGCGGTTGCGCGCCGCTGGGACTCGGGGTTACTAAAATCAGTACAGAGCATCTCCCCCTTGGTCGATTTGGACAATCTATGGCTCAAAATTTTCAGGAGACCCTGGCAAAGAAATCTACCGAGACGTTTTTGGATACTCCTTTCGAATGCTGTACTACATCTCACGAGGTTTACGCATATGCTCTGGCATACCCGTGTGAGTAATGAAAATTTGTTTCGGTAAATCTTTTGGAACACCTGTCATCTGTGCCTGGGCCAAGTCCCAGCTTCGTAGAACCTGGCTGAAGTGCTGCTAACTCCTTCAAACACCCCCTACTTCGAGCAAAAATGCGACGAAATGCTGACTGCTGATTGGCCAAGCTGGCATTTTGGAGCACGTGCACCGCCCCCATCTAATCGACGCTTTTCTACGCAACTGTGAGCCCTGAACTTGTGGGTGAATCATTCAAATATGCAAACATGCCTGTCGTAGAGTGCAGTCACTTTTCTCGTGAATCACTCGCTGTAAAACGTGCAAGTGCCTGTCGTGTAAATCGCCTATAAACCTCCCTGCAGGATAAGAGCAAATGCAGCGCACTGAGGGTGAACGTCCTACTTAAAACGTAAACGACATGCACCCTGTAACTGAACAATGCAGTGTGTTGAAGGTTACCGTAGTGACGTGCATTTAAGCGCATGTGCCTATATCCGGGCATAAGCGCACCCTCACCTAAATGCAGCACTATCCCGTGACACACGGACACCACAAAACACCATGTTCACATAGTTTAATGTGCAGTGCGGTATCACACTATCTGCATACTTATGCAAGGTACTGGTACACTAGCAAGTAGCAACTCAAGCGCATGTGCCTATGTGTGAGACAAGACGACGACCCACGGAAAATAGCAAATAACGCAAAAACTCACTCATAAGCGCATGGGCCTTTATGTGCGTCACTACAGTAGCCTGCTTGTGTGCTTTAAAGTTCACTGTAGCGAAGGTATAGGAAGCATCTGGCAAACTTACTTCATAGTGCCAGATGAGTCCTTCAAGAAGAACTCCTGGCCCCCAGTGGCAGCATTTGTGGATATCTGAGAGTTCAACTGGCCTGGAGTGATCAGAACATAGACAAGTACCACATGACACAGAGTGTGAGGAGTGTGTTGTCCTTTGGCGTAGCCATTCTCTTCTCCTCTGCCTGAATATTACAGCAAGTTCGCCTAGCCATGGCGAATATGTGAGGTGGTAGTTATTTGAGAAGAGAGAAATAAAATCAATAGCATAGAGTAGAGTACAAGTATGTTTTATTGTAGCAGCGCGTCTCAGAACGGAATCTGAAGGGGCGATGTGAAGTAGCAGTAAAACGATCAATGGGATATTCATTGAAAGATTGGGGAAACTTTGGATATACTTCGAAGCAGGCATTTGCTATTTTTGGATAGTGTTTATTAGGGGTGAAACGATTACACTTTTCAACTATCAGTTAACCTATCCTTGTATCGATTCGATTATCGATTATGATATCGATTACTGCGTCCTGGAAATTGCCCCGTCAGACCAGCACAAAGCATGCCATGTTGACACATATACATGTACATGTACATGCAGATGAACAGTGTACTCTACACCGTGCAGTGGCACATCACGTGCAGGGCAGACAGTCAGTTTTTTTATTTTAGTTTTTTTTTACTAATAACACAGGGTACAAAAATTGTAGGCCTAGCGCATATATAGCGCCTACTGGAAAACATGTGGATAACAAAAAGAAACGAGGAAAAGGACAAAATACAGTAGTGTGCATGTGTACATGCACTGTCGATCTACGTATAGTCCATCAGCCAGTGGTGCCAAAGTGAGTCCCCTGTTGCACTTACAAATCAAACACCTGGAAGTGGCATCAATCGACAGCAAAAGCATCACTGAATCCGACCTGCCTGCTTTCCCTGGCGAAACTCTTGCACTCCTGTTGCAATACGCATCGGAAGTTCGACAACTTTCTTCTTCTTCGTCAGCCATTACGAGGTTTTCCATCCGCTTTATTAGGACATCCAATGCGTCTTCACTGAAAAACATTGATTATTGTCAACGTTTGGTGTGGTTTTCCGTGGCGATCGAGCTAAATTCGCGAATAAATCGCCGTCAATTATTTGAGCGGAGGTGAGTTTGTTTGGAGCACGTACAGATTCAAATTATATGTGTACATGCTAGGGATTTCCACATTACGTTTTGCATCTTTTTGCATCTTGGTGGTAAAATCACATCGTCCCAGAAAAAACATCTTCCTATTTTTGGGGGGTATTTTCAGCTATTTTAGGCCTTAAAGCATTTAAAATGGGGTCCTTTTGCATCTTTTAATTTTTTTGGAGACAAAACATCATTCCCCGGGAAGATCGAGTTTTGCATCCGCATCTTGCCGTTATTTTTTCGCGTAATGTGGAAAAGCCTAACGAGCATGCGCACGTGACATATTTTCGATTTGGGGATCACGTGGGTACATGTGTATCGCGGCCATGTTGTTGCCATAGCAACGGATGCACTTTCAAACGCATCTTGGCTGAATTTTAGCATCTTTTAAATTTTTTTTGGAGACTGCCCCAAATGGCAAAAAACATCATTCCCCTAAAATATCGAGTTTTGCATCCGCATCTTGCCGTTATTTTTCGCGTAATGTGGAAAAGCCTAGTACATGTACATGCGCACCAGGAAGAAGATGAAGATGCTTGCCATTTTCAAATACCTACAGTCAATTGTACACTACAATTGTTGTAGTAACTTGTTTTCCTTCGGTTGCAACTGCAATGTACGAGTGTGGAGTACTGAATCTCAATGTTGCAACTAGATAGTAGTACAATTGTGACTGTACTACTACCTGGTTGCAACAAGCTCGAAGCAACCTTGCCTTTATTGCAACTGTTTGCTGTCAGCATCCAGAGCTATGGCGCTTGCTAGTTGGTCGTAATGGAGAAGAGAACTACAAGGCAGTCACTCGAACCTACAAACTTGGACGTTTGCTTGTTCTGCCAGAGGAAGTATAAAAGAAAGAAAAATAAGTGCGAGAATCTAAAGCAGTGCCAAACCCCGGAGGCGGGAACCAAGATATACGAAGCTGCACTGATCAAAGAAGACCAGCGTGTGTTACTTGAAGTTCAGGATGGCTCCAGGGACTGTATAGCTGCAGAGTTTCTGTATCACTTCACCTGCTATAGAGACTTCGTAACTCTACCCGCACTAAGGACACACGGAAGACCATCTACCAGCAAGCCTTTGACAGCATAGTCCTGAAAGTGGAAGATGGACTTGCTGATAAAACCCAACTGTGTGCCATGGACATGGGTGACCTGACCAAATCGTACAATGAAAAGCTAGAGGAGCTGAGTGGCCAACCGCACCACTATCGTACGTCGTTATTAAAGGACCGGTTGCAAAACCACTTCAACGATGGTGTAATGTCCGTGCGGTCTTCCGTTACGGAGTGCGAGTCCCTGGTTGCACGAGACCTTAATGAAAGTGTGATATGCAGGGTGCTGGGGGAAAGTGTGTCTGCGTCCAAGCACAGAGCTGCAGACGAGAGCAGCGATGGGTCCGGTGAGGATATATTTATACCTTCTGATAGCCACACCCAGGAGCCCGCCGCGGGAGACTTGTTTCACGTGGCTATGAAACTCCGCCGTGACATAGAACATGCCTGCAAGCATCTCCCCAGTGTGCCAGATATATCACAGTGTACACCCACCAAGTCCATGACCTGGATCCCTGATTCAGTGTTTAACTTCCTGATGTGGACAATTGCTGGCCCTCAAGCTTGCAACGATGGTGAGAGTAGCTTAGGTGACCGAATGGATGCCGCTGATGACAGAGCAAGGTCAAAGGTCATGGCTATTGCACAGGACATCGTATTTGCTGTGTCGCACGGTCGCGTTGTCCCACCCAAGCAGCTGGCACTGTCGATGGCAACCAGGCACTTAACACGCAGTGCACGGTTAGTGTCAATGCTAAATCGATTTGGTCATGGTGTTTCGGACATCAAATTGCATGAGATCGAGACTGGCATTGCTGAACGCACACTAGCTGAGGATGTTCCGCTCTCAAGCAACATCAAGGCAGGGAACGGCACCGTATTCTTCTACTGGGATAACAACGACCTGGTGGAGGAGATCCTGACTGGTACGAGCACCACCCACTGCACCAACGGCATCGTCATACAGCACCCCACTGCAAGTTATGTCCCTGACACAGCACAGCCACAGCTTGTACCTGCTGTGGGCAGCAGTAAGAAGAAGAAGAAGAGGCCAGCCCGTTCTCTTTCTGTGGTACAGCAAGAGCTCCCACAGTATATCATCGGAACGAGACCTGAACCACACACCGTCACTACCACTGCTAACACGCCAACTAGAAGCCAGGAGTGGTTGAGCGGTGAGGATTTTCTTTGGTTCCTGCTTCGCAGCGCAGAGAGCACCAGCAGATTTGGCCGACCCAGTGATGAGCCACAGACGATCCCGTGTGGTCCAAGTTTAATGCAGACATCTACAGCAAGAACAAACCGGGGCAGCCGTCGAATATTGGGTATCTGCCGGTAATCCCGGCTCCTCCAACAGAGCATTCCACGATACTGGAGGTGCTCCGTCGCTCTGTGGCACTAACTCGGAGATTGGAGCAGCAGCACTGCATAATAACCGGTGATCAAGCAATATATGCGAAGGCACTGGAAGTGCTTTCAAAGCACAAGGGCGAGTTCAGTGAAGTAGTGTTGCATACTTCGGACACCCAACAGTAGACTATGTTCAATACTAGCTCATCGTAATCCTTCTGAAGGTATGTATTCGTATGCTCAATTAATTAGAACAACGAAAGAGATGTGTAATGGAACAACACTCTACAAGTAGATGAACAACAATTATTGTACTTTTGAATTATTCGAATCCAGACACACGTGTACGGAAACTGCAATGGTTTACACCGAAAATCTTAGCGATTTCCAAGATTTGTCCCATAATTCACAAAAATTTCAAAGTTCATTCCTGAAACGCGCATGGCACTGATTGGAGATTGGGTTTAGATCACAACAATGGCCGTCGATGAAATGCCAAAAAAAGGTCACTGTGTCGGCTTCCCCTGCAGAGCGTGCAAGTCCTTTACTCTTTTTATTTGCAGATTCGGTTTCCAGGGTACCTAAACTTCCCATTGAGGCCCAAATCAGGTGTTCGATTTCTAAGTGCAACAGGGTGCTTGAATTTGACGACTTCTGGGTTCTTGGCTGATGGACTACGTACGTAACATTACCGGATCCTCCTTTTTTTTTTAGAATCGAGTAATCGAAACAGACACCATACTGTAAAAGCCATTATTCTAACGAGGCGCATATATAACGATTTCCCAAAATTGACTAGTTTACGTGTGCCAAAGGCAACGATTCTCAAAGCTAAATAGGACAGTATATGTATCGATTTCTGTAAGTTAGCACTTCGTTATAATGATATACTGTACGTGTATATGGCTTTTACAGTAATCGAAATCGCTTCGTTGTAATGATCGATTAGACGGATAACCGATATAATCGTTTCAGCCCTACAATTGTAGTGTTTATTTAGCCACTCTACCGGTATATGGTCTGACAAAAATACAAATAGAACTCGGATGTTCAGCCAAAGTAATCATGGGTTAAAAGAAAGGACAAAGTTAGTCATAACTCGTTACATGTGCTTTCTTTTACAGTCAGACCTCGCTTAACCGCACACATCTGTTTTCCACAAAAATATCCGGATAGGCGAGGGAACCGGATAACTGAACACACACACTGTATATGCATGTGGCATGTCATATGCAGTGACATCGTACATACATGTAGACGGGTCCTATGCAGTACAACTAGCGTGCACAGTATGTAAAACAAGCGAGAAAAATGACAAGTGCATGCAACTGAGTGCTGTCCACATGCACCCAGCAGGTCAAGGACCTCATTTGCCTGTACAACTCTCTGATTCTAGCTTCTGCAAGCCACATGCAACCGGATACGACGAAGCTTTTTGTACACATTTTACCCAGTTTGTACACAAAATCATGCACCGGTATGCGGATCGCGAGGTCCGGTTATGTTGTATACATAACATATGCTGCACATCGGTAACCAGCGATTTTCTTCCGGATGGCGAGGGATCCGGATAAACGAGGACCGGATAAGCGAGGTCTGACTGTAATCCATAAATACAAATTAAAATTTCACCAGTTGTAGTCTTCGGGGTGCTGAGTCGAATGGTCTTGGTCCGAGGAAGCTGAGACGCTCCCTTCCTACTTGAATCCCAATCGAACTCGCGCACTTCCACCGAAACTGGGTGACTGCGCCCTACTAGATGGGGATTTGTATGCAAAATGTCACTAAAAGCGCCATTTCGTTCTTATAAAAGCACGGATGACCGCGATTGGCCCATATGTTGTAGTCTTTTGGACGCTGAGTCGACTGGTTTTGGTCCGAAAAGGCTGCGATGCAGCGTTCCTCCTTTATTCCCAATCGAACATGGTTGAAGAAGCGGTCACGTGGTCCTGGGTGCCCAAATCACCTGGTCACCGTGCCTGCAGGGTACAACTTACTAGCCTGTTTGACCTTATTTGGGTGCACTCCTGTCACTCGAGTTGAACTCGAGTTGAACCTTGGTGTGAAATTTGTCGCCTGCTGGCGTGGTGATTTGGGCACCCAGGAGCACGTGACCGCTTGTTCAACCATGTTCGATTGGGAATAAAGGAGGAACGCTGCATCGCAGCCTTTTCGGACCAAAACCAGTCGACTCAGCGTCCAAAAGACTACAACATATGGGCCAATCGCGGTCATCCGTGCTCTTATAAGAACGAAATGGCGCTTTTAGTGACATTTTGCATACAAATCCCCATCTAGTAGGGCGCAGTCACCCAGTTTCGGTGGAAGTGCGCGAGTTCGATTGGGATTCAAGTAGGAAGGGAGCGTCTCAGCTTTCTCGGACCAAGACCATTCGACTCAGCACCCCGAAGACTACAACTGGTGAAATTTTGATTTTTGCCTTAGAGGGGAAGTTAAGGCAAAAATTAAAATTTCACCAGTTGTAGTCTTCGGGGTGCTGAGTCGAATGATCGTGGTCCGAGGAAGCTGAGACGCTCCCTTCCTACTTGAATCCCAATCGAACTCGCGTACTTCCACCGAAACTGGGTGACTGCGCACTACTAGATGGGGATTTGTATGCAAAATGTCACTAAAAGCGCCATTTCGTTCTTATAAAAGCACGGATGACCGCGATTGGCCCATATGTTGTAGTCTTTTGGACGCTGAGTCGACTGGTTTTGGTCCGAAAAGGCTGCGATGCGGCGTTCCTCCTTTATTCCCAATCGAACATGGTTGAAGAAGCGGTCACGTGCTCCTGCGTACACCAGTCACCTGGTCACCGTGCCTGCAGGGTACAACTGACTAGCCTGTTTGACCTTTTTTGGGTGCAGTCCAGTCACTCGAGTTGAACTCGAGTTGAACCTTGGTGTGAAAGTTGTCACCTGATGCGTGAGCAGAAATACAGCTGATGATGGCTCTGCGCTTGCTGCTGCAGTGTTGACTTTTCATGTTTTCCTGACATGGCCATCATCGTCATCACTCTCCCCATCACTACCACGGTCAACATGGCGATGAAACATTGTGTGCTGTGGCTCACTACAACAGCGGACATTAGCTACCATCCTGTGGATTTCCTGACTATCAGCTAGAATAGCGGAGCAGTTCGGTGGCACAGTCACTTGGAAATTGGCCAAAATGATGCCGGGAGGTGGGGGGATTGACGGGCTTGTAGAAGGCACAGGTGAATGCAGGCATGAGATCCGTTATACTTAGCTGATGGTTAGGCCTCACCAGTCACGTGACTGCATTGACACTGACAAATAGTTCCAAGGGAGCTGAACACTGTACAGTCAAGCGGCTGCAACAAGTAGTCCTGTCATGTTGCTGTAACTGAGCAGGAAGATGCCGTACACGACTAAGCAGAGATGACAGTGAAGCAACCTTTGACCCAAAGCATGGTTGTTGAGAAGTTGAATGGAACTGGATAGATGACAACAACCAGCTTCACAACAGATAAGGCGAATACTCTTGCCAGAAGCTTTCGCCATCATGATCTCGCCAGCAGAATGCCTTCAATGAAGTCGCTGGATCGAGCGGTGTCATGGTGCTATATGATCAACCATTTGCCAAGAGCCAACTGCCGTCTAGCCTCTGCTAGTAACCTTCAAGGAACATGAGACACCAACGCCAGTGAGGCCTTGCCTGAAGGTCCGGTTTCTGAACAAGTGGACAATGTCTCATTCGGCCCATGATGTTCTGGCATGTTCTGGCATTGCCATTTTTGACATCAATGTCTAATCTGAGTAGTGCGAAACTGTATCTGCCTACGTAGAGTTGAATGGTCTGCTGACTATGCCTGCTAACGGCTAAGTGAAGCTACTGTCCTCAGTTTGAAGCTATCCACCATCAACGAAGGAGTGTGTTGGCATGTCAGGAGTTATCTGACATCAAAGTAGAGGAGCTCAAAGGAGCGAAACAGAGGCGTAAACAATTATCTGTCAACGGAAGTGTCCTTGCTGTGCTGGTGTGCTTATGCTTCGTGCATTGGTTCGGCTAAGAGCGCATGGTGGTGACGGGTGGAAGACGTAGTAAAAATGTTCTGAGAAAATAAACAACACTAACCCTAAAGCTAAAGCAAGGTTAAGCTGCCCAAAGGAAAGGGGCATAGCATAAATGCAATAGTAAGTAAGCACCAGCAACATGTTTCTTCATGATAGAAACTCAGATTAGACATAGGGAGAGAGAGAGAGAGAGAGAGAGAGAGAGAGAGAGAGAGAGAGAGAGAGAGAGAGAGAGAGAGAGAGAGAGTAGCGCGCGTGCACCGGAGCTTACTTACCAGTATGATAGTGTTCACCGCTCACGGCTACCAGCTACCGAGTATGTGCATGCTGTTGAACCGGGTTCAATCGAGAATCCATGCTGTGGCGTGCCACAATGTGTGTGTGAGATTAGCAGTGTGAGGCTGGTTACCAGAGGTTCCACTGGACTCGTCATTGCAGATTGCCACAATGTGGGTATGAAACATGGGCGCAGGCTTTGGACAGTCACGTGGACGAAGTGTATTATTAGAGCGATGCTCACACACTGACACTCCTAGTCCTACAGACAGTATCACTCATCTACAGGAAGTTAGTTTCTTGCTTGAGGTAGATGAAAGCTGTCGCTGTGCTGCAAGCTGAGTTAGTTACTGCAACATGCCTCACAGTCATATCCGCTGTCATCATGGTCATGGGAGCGAATGACATCGTACCATGGTGTACAAATATTAATTACAGTAGCGATTCAGTGGTTGGCTTTGTTGTTCAAGGACAATTGCGGCTATTACGATGCGCTTCCAGCTGACTTTTCCCTGACGCACTTGCTTCCCTTGAAGGCTTCTGTCCGCAAAGGATGAGAAGTTAGTGCAACCACAAACAGTGGCTGTGAAGCCAGAAATCAGTTTAGGCGACTGACAATCAGAAGTGACTGCTGCTGTAGCTGCTATGGCTGAATCAGTCGAATCGAGCAATCTGAACGAAGCCATCACAAACTGAGGGAAAAACGCAGAAACTAATACTTGAAAGAAGAACTGAGCTCAGTGACAGCTGCTACGAAAGTGAGTCAATGTGATAGCGTTGATACCAGAACAGAAGCATACAGGACAGAAGAGTGGGAACAACTAGCACCGTTCCTGACTCACGTGTCAGTACAACATTCACACCCGGTCTCCCACCAACGACTATTCTTTGTTCTGCTCATACCCGCGTACTCGGGTCGTCTTGGTCCTGGAGCGTACGCGTAGATCTACGAGCTCCAACTCCTTACTTTGACTCCAGTTTTGCATACCGTCACCATGGTCACAGAAGTCGAGAAGACAGAGCTACGCCTGGAAAACAACTTCCTGTTGCCGAAACAAATGGTAGCTACTGTACAGGATCCAGGAGAGCCGAAACTCTCGAACGATAATATTATCGTAATCATACTACACTGTATAGCAATGCCACTTGCCTCTTCAAAGATCAACGGCTGGCTTCAGTGCAGTGGCGGTGGACAGAAAATACCAAGTAGTCCATAACACCAGGTGTTGCGGACTCCGAAACTCGAAATAACTTTGCAAGAGAGAAAAATTCAAACCATCTCCAGACTCCACCTCCGGAGCTCCACGATCATGCCGAACATGCTCAGCTACTTTTTTTGTAGGTGCTCGCGTCCTGCACTCAGTCTCACTGGCATGGTACAGTGCATGCAGGCATATGCAGTGCAAGTGTAGTGCTGGTGATAATAGTGGAAGACCAAAAGAAAAATGGTAAAAAATAAGAGACGCGGGACAATCAGGCCAGAGTTTGTGTACACACGCGAAACCGCGAGTGCGATGGGATTTCGTGCATTTGCCAGTGCAGTTGCCACCATGCTTGCACGGCCCGGGCCGGTCGGGGTTATGTACTCTAGTACTCTACGCGTGTATCTGTGTACGTGAGAGTTCAGTGCAGAAAAAAGCGACTCTCGCGCGACCTTGCGATGTTATCAGGTTCTCTTGTATCTTGCATGCATCTTGTTTGTGGCTTTCATTTTGTGATTCACTGGCTGTTTCGGAGGCATTTTCGTGGAACCGGATAGTGGTGTGCTGTGCTGTGTCCTAATACCTGACTCAGGTAGTCCGCAACGTCCAGTTACTGTCATTCTCTTCGCCTGGCATCATGAGTATCTTCACTGGTAAGGACAGCAAAACATTCAGGCCAAAGAAAAATATTCCCGAGGGAACTCACCAGTATGAGTTGATGCAGCATGCGGCGGCAACGCTGGGAAGTGGCAACCTGAGGGAGGCCGTTGCACTGCCCGATGGCGAAGATGTAAATGAGTGGGTAGCTGTAAATACCGTGGATTTTTTCAACCAGATCAACATGTTGTATGGCACCATTGCTGAACACTGCACTCCAGAGAGCTGCCCAGTGATGTCAGCAGGTCCTAGGTATGAATACCACTGGGCTGATGGGCAGAATGTGAAAAAGCCAGTGAAGTGCTCTGCACCAAAGTACATGGACTATCTCATGAGTTGGATCCAGGAGCAGCTGGATGATGAGAGCATCTTCCCATCCAAGGTCGGTGTTGCGTTCCCAAAGAGCTTCATGAACGTCGCCAAGACAATCTTCAAGCGGCTGTTTCGTGTGTATGGTCACATTTACCACCAGCACTTTCAGTCAGTGATCAGTCTTGGTGAGGAGGCACATCTCAATACGTCTTTCAAGCATTACATCCTCTTCGTGCAGGAGTTCAACTTGATCGACAAGCGTGAGCTCCAGCCACTGGCCGAGCTGATTGAGAAGCTTACAGGCAAGAACTAACAATGTGTGCGTATATATGTGTGAGTGTGTGTGTGTGTGTGTATGTGTGTGTATGTGTGAGTATTTGTGAGAGTATTTGTGAGAGTATGTGTGAGTATTTGTGAGAGTATATGTGTGTGTGTATGCGTGAGTATTTGTGGAGTATTTTTGCGAGCGTGGGCGTGCTTGCAGGCACAAGCAGAAGACTACATGTGTATGTGTGGGTGTCGGGTGATTGCAGGTCGGAGCCTGTGTGTGTACAGGTCTGCCCGTGTGCCTGTATGTGCATGCAAATTGTGTGGACTTATGCTGTGCTGGCGTCAACTCATTTGCCACTGGTCGGGATTCCCCTCTTTAGCTACACTGATCACTGGCGAATACAATCTCGTTTTCTACCGTGTAACTGTTACTTTATCGGTCAACTTTGAGACCACGAATTCCTTCGTTTCGACTTAATTTATTCGCTGATCTTTAGAAACCTATGAATGTTTCTTTGCTTTTATCACAGTGCTTTCTGAATTTTAAGCTTTGGTAATTTTAAGCCTGGCACGTTGAGGTCTGATTCTGCCAGGTATCATTGCTGCTTGAATGCATCTCCAAGCGCGGGGAAATGCTATGTTCATTGCAGATTTTGAAAATCATTGAAAGCGAAAAATACATGTCCAGGTAGATATATGAAAGGGAGAGGGTCATATTGAAATCTGTTGTCATTTAAGTTTCATGCCGATCGAATCATCTATGTGAAAAGCTCTGCGTTCTGCGAATTTGAGCACCTAAACGTACACACCTGCTGCGTCTAGCGGTTTGTTTACGCTACACGGCAAAGCGAGTATGAGCTGAATCCCACTCAGAGCAGCCAGTGAGTTCGAAGGCATCCACTCTTGGTAATTGAAACATGAGAATTATCAGGTTGGGGCACCTGACCCTCTGCTTCTGATCACTTAGACCGTTGGTTCCGTATCTGCTAAATTAGCCCTAAAACCCTTCATTGTGGCTCAATTTGTTTGAAAAGGGTTTGCTCCCCACACTGGAACTCCGCTATTCCGCCGACTTGACTTGACACTTGACTCACTCACGACTACCATCCAGAGAACACAAGAAGCCCATCGAACCTTCGACTCGGCAAACCTGGAAGAAAGCACCACTCCCTGCTCAATACACAGTGTTTCGGGGTGGATGGCAGTCGTGAGTCAGTCAAGTCGGCGGAATGGCGCGAGCTCCAGTGTGGGGAGCAAACCCTTTTCAAACAAATCATCGCCGAAGTCGCAATCACTATTAAATTTTCGTTTTGTGGTTCAATTTGATTCAAGTAAAGGGCAAAATGTTCATAGTAGACCCCTTGATGATATGGGAAGTGAAAAATGCCAGGTATGATGGTTCTTGTGCAGTTAGAGACCAATATCTGATGAAAATCGCAAAAATTAACTAACATTTTGATTTATGACGAACTGTCCACCAACGTATCCAGATCTTGTACAGTCAGTGAGTGCGACAAAATGGCACAAAACTGAGACAAATGATAGTGACCTCCTTGTAGTCCATATACTGGTACACAAGCCAAGGTGCCGAAAATTACAGCGACGAAAGGTAGCGTGCTGCTTTATACCGGTCTGAATCCACTCTAGGGAAGGCAGCCTTTCAGCACATTCCTTTTACGACTTTCTCAGCACTTACGGTGTAATACTGTGCCTTAGTATTGGGTCAAATGCCATGAAAAATAATGGGCCCTAAAGTCTGTAAACTGGCTGAACTTCGCCTTTACTTTTGAAGTACTTTCTACATGTAAGACCTGGGGATGCTCCAGAGTCATTGAAATCAGGAAAGATGTTCACCTGAACCATTGAAAAGACTTCTATTTTTCAGTGCACATGTGGTGTTTTGAATCCAACAGTTTCGCCAGTCACTGGTGACTTCTGGGCTTTGGGACTAGCCCTCTTGCCTCAAGGAATCTTTCTATCGACAGATGTTTCTGTGTTTCCAAGGCAAACGGCAATAGGTGCATTGCCTATCACCTGGGTGTGTGTATGAAGTAGAACAGTGTAGCCCCGTGCCCCTACAATACCATATTATACATGTACACACAAATGGCCGGGCCGCCGTGTTGGAGTAGTTGACAAGCTCTAAATCCGACTCAATGCCTTCCTACAGGGACTACTATAAGCTGGTGTGATCCTGATTCGATTCTGGACTCACACTTATTCAATTTACATAGAACAGTTGTATGGAATGTTCTGAACGAAGGCCATCTGATGACCACCTGGGAGCTCACTGCAGCCTTTCGTGGTTCTAGCTTCACTCTTGCACAGTACATAATAACTGCATGAGCTACAGCAGTATGTCTACAGCACACTAGGATGGGACAAGTGGGCCTAATGCAGCACGTCCACTCCGTTTCCTTCCTCTGCACTTACCATAGACTTCAGCCACAAAAGGAATTGTGTCCTTGTGCTTGCTCCAGTCTTGTACGCTCTGAATGTTACCTGACATGTAGCGGGGCAGACCAGCCTTGTGAGACCGAGAACTCTTCCACTTGTTCTCAGAACTACCCTAAATACATTGATTGTATCAGAGACATGTACAGACATAAACGACAAATTTTCTGTGAAAATGCTCTTGCTAATCATGCTACATCACTTGGTCCCACCATCTTCTTTCCATACTCCAGCTGTCAGTACATGCGTAATTAAAGGGAAAGTTAAGGCAAAAATTAAAATTTCACCAGTTGTAGTTTTTTCGGGGTGCTGAGTCGAATGGTCTTGGTCCGAGAAAGCTGAGACGCTCCCTTCCTACTTGAATCCCAATCGAACTCGCGCACTTCCACCGAAAATGGGTGACAGCGCCCTACTAGATGGGGATTTGTATGCAAAATGTCACTAAAAGCGCCATTTCGTTCATATAAAAGCACGGATGACCGCGATTGGCCCATATGTTGTAGTCTTTTGGACGCTGAATCGACTGGTTTTGGTCCGAAAAGGCTGCGATGCAGCGTTCCTCCTTTATTCCCAATCGAACATGGTTGAACAAGTGGTCACGTGCTCCTGGGTGCCCAAATCACCTGGTCACACCGCCAGCAGGCGACAACTTTCACACCAAGGTTCAACTCGAGTTCAACTCGAGTGACAGGACTGCACCCAAATAAGGTCAAACAGGCTAGTAAGTTGTACCCTGCAGGCACGGTGACCAGCTGACTGGTGTACGCAGGAGCACGTGACCGCTTGTTCAACCATGTTCGATTGGGAATAAAGGAGGAACGCTGCATCGCAGCCTTTTCGGACCAAAACCAGTCGACTCAGCGTCCAAAAGACTACAACATATGGGCCAATCGTGGTCATCCGTGCTTTTATAAGAACGAAACGGCGCTTCTAGTGACATTTTGCATACAAATCCCCATCTAGTAGGGCGCAGTCACCCAGTTTCGGTGGAAGTGCGCGAGTTCGATTGGGATTCAAGTAGGAAGGGAGCGTCTCAGCTTTCTCGGACCACGACCATTCGACTCAGCACCCCGAAGACTACAACTGGTGAAATTTTAATTTTTGCCTTAACTTCCCCTTTAACAATCAGAAGATGATAATATTAAAGGTGAAAAGGCTAAAGCCACTGCTGCACCAATGAGTTTGGAAGAGGTCCTGACTATTGCAATCAGTGTGACTGGGGCATGCCAGTCTATACTGATGATAATGATAGGCACTAGGGCACAATGGCACACAGCAAAATTGTCTGCCAACTGGTAGAGTTTCTCTTCAGGTTGAGCCCCTCGCCATGTCTCCTGTACAGCCATATTGTCTGTCGGTGTAAACTTACTTCAAAGCTATCGTAAAAGCCCGTAATGAGGCCCTGGGTGAAAACATTAGTGAAGGTCCAGAACATGGGCGCTAATGTGGCCCCGGACGTTATTTTGGACAAACGAGATCAGACTGATTTTCACATCAACATGCCATCCTACGTACAGGGTTAGCACAGTGTACTGTACACTACACTACCGTATCGGACATGCAAGTGGAGCTGTGCATGCGCTTTCGCCCATGGGCGTTCACACGGACGTGGGCTAGAAAATGGAACAAGAGTGTTGACACCTGGCACCTGGGCGTGTACACGGGCAGTGGGCGTTAATACGGGCTTTTACAGAATCACTGATGTACAGAATGCCACTGAGTAGCCCATGAAATACTAGTATGGATAGTTTAGGGGTGTCATCGGGTAGGCAACAGTGAATGTAAGAAGTGCGGCTACGTGCATCTTACTGTACAGTTTTCTATGTGTGCACACTCACTGTATACGAAGTCATTGTGGCCATCCCGCTCATGCAATGCTTTGTACCAGTGTACTCATGCTATGTCAAGAAGTACCCGATAATGTACCCGTGCCGCCCAGATAGAAATTCTCGAAATTGCTACCCGATCACATCCCTAACCATTGCACCCCAGATGGATGTGTCCTCGAGTACAGCACTACGGTTGTGTGCAACTATGACACGCGTACACGGGGCTGCAGTTTGCCAGGAACTATATCAGTAACCAAGGCCAATATCATGTTCCATTTGCCGCTACAATCATGTATGTATTGTGCTAGTATCCACGTAGTGTCTTACCTGGTTCAGCTTAGTTCCAGACTGCTTTGTGTGATTCTGGGTCGACATTGCAAGGTCAGGTGGTGTGTTGACTTGGTGTGATGAAACTAGGAATGACTGGTGTCCTTGATGTTGCTGCTGCTGCCTGTTTGGTGCGATGGCAAAGTTCTGCTGATAAGAAACCCGTTCGTGTGCGTCACCTGCTCCGATCACTCGAGCCTCTCTCTTGAGTGTAGGTGTGCCACTGACGCCATGTGGCTGTGCCAGTGACCTTGACCCTTGGTTCTGGCGATTTGACTGTGACCAAGCACTTGTCTGTGTCCTGCCACGATCCAGCATTGTGACATACAGATGGGAGACAAAGTGCTACCGTATGTGAACGGTTTTATCATTCCTCCTCACCAGTAGTAGACTAGTTTAATTTATACTACACTGTATCACTTGCTATTCCTATAGAACTATATGAAGGCTTCTGTGCCAGAATATCCTTACACTCCTCTTTCTATTTATTACATCCTCATTTGTTTTGGGGCCGAGTCAGTTCTCTTTTAGAAGTACTCAGTACGCCCGGTTGAGTAAACCGAAGTAAAAAATACAATGCTGCTCAATGAAATCCAGTCGAATCACTCAAGTACACGCTGGGCGTTGCGTAGCCATAGACCTGCGAACACTGGGCTGCGAATGGTACTAGGCGCAAACTTGACTCACGCGACTGGATTTCATTGAGGAGCAGCACTGTATATACCGGTACATGTAACATGCTACAACAAAAAGAAGAAGATGAAGACTTCGCTGAAACTCGGAGTTACAGCGCACTAGTCATCCTCTTCTTCTTGTTCCAGTCACGGGTAAGTGGCTCTTCCCTGGGACATCAAGCACTCTATTGGACTGCCTGGAACCTTTCTGTTTTTATACCAAGATATTACACCATGCCATGGGGAAGAGATAGTGCGGTACCAGTAGTGGCGTGCACACAGTTCCATTGGCACCACTTCACTGCTTTGCTCTTCCCCTCTCGTCCGTACCTCTTGAAATTTTGTACTTTGCACTGTTGACGCAACGAACTGAAAAATTAAAAACCCAAAACCAACCCAAAATCAAATTACTGCCTTCTACACCCAGCTTGCAGGTGTGAAAGACTAAGGTGCGTTCTTATATTCTCTAGCTTCTCGGAGAAGAAGAAAAGAGAAGTCGAAGAAACTGGTATAATTCAAGAACGGGTCTCCAAGAATTCGGAGATATTTTGCACATGTCAAGCAATATGAAGCACGAAAGGGGCCGGAATCTTGAGTGCCACGAATGTAGTATACACTGCGCGTATGCGAAAAGGGAAATGCGTACACTTATGATCAGCACGTGGCTTTTAGCTGTAGATCGCATGCGCTGATCCCAAACCGCGGGAATCTCGAAGTTTCAACCACCTCTGAAGCTTGGAGAGCCTCCTAAAACTCGGAGAGGATAAAGAACAGCTCTCGAACTTTTCGGGGAATCTCCAACTTTTCCGAGAGGATTTAGGAATGCACCATAACACTTGATATTGAGTACAGCTAGTGTACTAGTAATGGGGACGGGGAGAAGAGGGGAGGGAGGAGAGTACTTAAAATGCAAGCCTGACCAGCACAGCTCTTGCAGCACCTACTACTCCTTTGTTGCCTTTGTATTTTGTCTTTGTCTCTTTCATTACCCCCATTATTTTGTAGGGATGTGCACATAGTATTACAACACACACACACACACACACACACACACACACACACACACACACACACACACACACACACACACACACACACACACACACAATAGTTCATGATGATAATAGCGCACCGAGTCTGTCGTGATATCCTTACCAACAAGGGTGCATAACAACCAGCCATGCAACAGTGACTGTCCTTGATCTCGCTACCAACCAATGCAACAAATCCAATGAGACTTTACCTGGCAATGTTGGTAGGTCCTGGCTTTGGTTGCGGAAGAAACCCAGGACTGCCAGTACTCTTCATTGCGGGGGATTGGCTTCCTCCATGACCTATCCTCGCATCACCCTCTCCCATTAGGGGTGGTTTGAATGATGTTGGCTGCGTCATCAGCGGCTGGCGAGGCCTCTTCCTCTGTCCAAACACATTGCTGAGTACCTGCTGATGGGAGTCTGCCCCAGATTCGTGTAGCCAATTATGAAGAAGCGAGATAGGTGATATCGCATTAAGCAAACAGTGATCACTTCTTCTCCATATGCCCAATACTACCCACCTTTCTTCGACGAATACATGGCACAATATTGATGGGTTCGAGGCAGCAAGCTCTTTAGTTTAGGCTTAGCTATTGCAATTCTTTCCAAACAATAGTTGACTAAAGAAGATGAACGGAAGTGCCAATAGTGGCAATACTGGTAATTTTACTTCGGCCAAGTAGCATCGATAATCTAAAAAGACTTCCAACAGGTTCCATTTCGGCACGCAGCGCATAAGTGCAAGAGTACACGAGTACATAACCATGTACAGTCAACTACTTCGTTTATAACGACATTCGGCGGGGCATCAAAAAAGTGTCCTTATTCGCGAAGTGTCGTTATACCCGAAGTCTCATTATAATTATTACATGTATACAGTTGGATGGAACTTTGCTCTGGGCATGGACATTCTGTCGTTATTCGCGAATTGTCGTTATATCCGCAGTCGTTATTAGCGAAGTTGACTGTAGTCTACTGTTGAGAGTCCATAACTGTTTTGGACTCTTGATGATAATTCCATGACTGCGATTTCCGTCTTGGACAGCCTGGAAGGTACAAAAGGTCATCGGTTCAGGTCAAAGTAACACGCGTTAGTTGCTCCCATGGTCTTGCTGTGCCTTTGGCTTTGTCTTTGACTCGTTTGAGCTTTGTCCCAAGTCGGGTTTCTGGCTTGTTGGCCTGGGCCACATGACAAGTCTTCAAGTCTCAGCCTCACACTGTTGACCGTTACTAACTAACCAGGGAGTCGTATATACGACTCCCTGTAACTAACTAGCTTACTTACTTCTTGGCCTGAAAACAGAAAGAACACAGTAACAGGTCTTGATCAGGGAGTCGTCAAAATAATACCCCCCCCCCCCCCCCCCCCCTTTGGTCTTGATGGTGCCTGCTGCCAATAGTGCAGTACTGTATCACTATCAGATTAGAAATCCAGTCGTGACCCTCGGCGGTGACCTCTCACCACAGCAAGGACTGGTAGATCTACATTAGACTACAACATATTCACACCCGCAGCTGCGGCCATATCGCCCAGACCACATAGATACAGACAGTGCACAATTGCCTCCTTCCATAACTAGTTGTCGGGTGTATCAATAATATCATGGCCTGCCGCTACTGCCTGCCATGCCTACTGCAGTACTGGCGCTAGCAACAAGCATGCAGACGATCTAATGATTTATGTGATGCATGATTGTTATTTTACGCCGGCCCGGTAGATCTACGCGGTGTGCCTGCTTTTCACAGTACCAGTGAATGACTGACCAGGTGGGTGTGGAGATTGTCGTGGCGCTGTCCTTCAAAGTTCAGGCTTCTTCCTCTATAAACTAAGTAAACTTGAATCAATCAGGAAAATGCCTAGCTACAAGGTGACCTACTTCAACGGACGTGGCCGTGGCGAGCTCGTTCGCATGTGCCTCTCGTATGCCGGACAGGAATTCGAGGACAAACGCCTCGACGGTGGCTGGGACGAATTGAGGAAAAGTAAGGAGGACCAATAATTCAAGGGCGGTGTCGCTGCCAAGGTTGCAGCTCGCTAGAAATAGGGTTAGTTTGTGCATACCGGAGTGGTAGTTGTGCAAATCTGCATCGCTCCACACATGGAGTAGATCTACACCATGCTATTGAATGCGGGCCAGTTTTACTGAATTTGTCAGCTGTAGCAATGAAAGAATACAGACTGAGTCTGCTCGTTAGTGCTATCCTGCATGGCGTATACTGTGATACACTCATATCAGTCATCATCTCTTTATCCGGGATGTCTAGGACCGAGCACCGCCCCATTACACTCATATCTCTTTTATCCGGACATCCATTTAGTTACGGGCACCTCGGTCTGTCTACCGGGCAGATCGCTGGGTCGGCCCTTCCCTTTCAAAATGAACGTCTCGGATCATCAGTCAGAGTTCCGGACATTTCCAAGTCAGTATGGGCAGTGTCTGGTCCCAAACCGGCTGGATAGGGGAGATATGAATGTACTGTCTGTATCGGCTATAGAGTGACCGGATATAAGAATATATCGGCTACAGTGATATTGGTACTAAATAGTAAATATCAAAAGCGAAACGTATTTTATGCACCAGCACCAGGGTTTCAGGAATGTTAGATGCGTACGCTCACCACCAGTGCGAGCGAGAGCCACATGCTGTACTCTAAACCCATCTGCATCGACGTCACGGGTGCGGAGATCCGTGACGACGCAATCCTTCCACCGCCGGCGCAGGCCATGTGGCGGGGGAGTGTAGATGAACAACACTACAACAATACAAGTCGGGAGGTAGCCATTGCAGGCTTCGTCTTCAAGCTCTGCGAGTGCTCTACTGCAAGCATGCACGCATGCGCACACTATATGTACATGATAACATCACTACAGTGATGAGACTGACAGGGTGCCAAGCAGTATCTGCTTTGGCAGGCGAATGTCCTCCATGCAGGTAGCATGACCCAACTACTCAAGACAGACATCCATAGAAGTTGGTGTCCCATCTTGATACAGCGGCAATTGTCTCCGAGTCACTCCACCACTCTAGAAGCTGCGCATTAGAGATGCGCTCGCTCCAACAGCGTTGGCAAGAAGAACCCAGGATGGACCGCACACAACGCATGTGGTACACGGGGGTGCACACACACACACACACACACACACACACACGCACGCACACGCACACACACACACACGCACGCACACACACACACACGCACGCACACACACACATAATATATACATACACACACACAAACATACACACACACATACATGTACACACACACACACATGCACACACACACACACACACACACACACACACACACACACACACACACACACACACACACACACACCTATCCCCACTGAACAACACGGATAAATTCCTAGACAATTATGCGCATAATATAATTTATTCCCGTAGCTATGCAGAAGACGTTACTTCAGTAACGTCTGGCGCTAGCCAGGGTCCACACAGCTTTAATTTGGTGTTTGTTTGTTTATTTGTTTGTTTGTTTGTTTGTTTGTTTGTTTGTGTCACGCCTGGCGCTATCCCGTATCTGTCCCGTACTGTACCGTACTAGCAAAGACAGCTGGCCCCAATATTTTTGTTTGTTTGTGCCATCGAAATGCCTGGCGCTATCCCGTACCTGTCACGTACCATCAAGGGTACGGTACCAACAAGATAATGAGTATATATGCGAAGTGTATCGGGGGAATGCATTCAGTGCAGTAACATTTTGTGTGGATTTGTGTGCGAGGCCGAGATCCCACTAGCAGGCTGGCTGGGCCGCCTGTCGACCAGCCCGGGAATCGCATGTCGGCCGATAGCATAATAATTATAACGTATATACAGTCATGTAGATCTTTAGCAGGGAGTCATAATGTAAACGACTCCCTCCTGTATGGGGAGATTTTCTAGAAAGAACTACGAAGTAGGGAGACGAGTAAATGCAATCAGAATGGATGTTAGTTGCCGTCAGTATAATAATAAGAAGAAGAAGAACGTCCGTGATCGGCAGAGTCAGCGCCAGCCCCAGGAAACGTCAGGACAGACATCCCTTCGACTCCAGAACGCCCGTGATCGGCAGATTCAGCGCCGCTCCCCTAGCTATGCAGAACACGTTACTTCAGTATCTCATTGAAACGTTTTTGCAATACAATGATGTAGCTAATCAAAGGAAAAAGCATTTCCATCAGTTCTAACAAATTGCACGATGAGCTAGGCAACAAAGCATAGCGCAGAGCCCTGAGCTTCCAAGCTCTCTCGTTTATAATTATTTGGATTCCCGATTCTCCCATCAGGTGCGCTTAAGGTAGCAGCCTGGTCCTAAATTTCATATTTATTCCCGTAGCTATGCAGAAGACGTTACTTCAGTAACGTCTGGCGCTAGCCAGGGTCCACACAGCTTTAATTTGGTGTTTGTTTGTTTGTGTCACGCCTGGCGCTATCCCGTATCTGTCCCGTACTGTACCGTACCAGCAAAGATAGCTGGCCACAATCTTTTTGTTTGTTTGTGCCATCGACATGCCTGGCACTATCCCGTACCTGTCTCGTACCATTAAGAGTACGGTACCATCAAGAGAATGAGTATATATGCGAAGTGTTTCGGGGGAATGCATTCAGTGCAGTAACATTTTGTGTGGATTTGTGTGCGAGGCCAAGATCCCACTAGCAGGCTGGCTGGGCTGCCTGTCGACCAGCCCGGGAATCGCATGTAGGCGGATAGCATAATAATTATAACGTTTATACAGTCATGTAGATGTATAGCAGGGAGTCATATTATGTAAACGACTTCCTGCTGTATGGGGAGATTTTCTGGAAAGAAATACGAAGTAGGGAGACGAGTAAATGCAATCAGAATGGATGTTAGTTGCCGTCAGTAAAATAATAAGAAGAAGATAAACGCCCGTGATCGGCAGAGTCAGCGCCGGTCCCAGGAAACGTCAGGACAGACATCCCGTCGACTCTAGAACGCCCGTGATCGGCAGAGTCAGCGCCGGTCCCATAGCTATGCAGAAGACGTTACTTCAGTATCTCATGGAAACGGTTTTCGAATCCAATGATGTAGCTAATCAAAGAAAAAAGCATTTCCATCAGTTCTAACAACATGCACGAGGAGCTAGGCAACGAAGCATAGCGCAGGGCCCTGAGCTTCCAAGCTCTCTCGTTATCGCCTTCTTAGTATTTGACCCCACTAATTTCCCTGATACCTAAGCGGTCAAATATATCGCGTATTTGACTGCTAGTCAAATACACAATATATTTGACTACTTATATTTGACTCCTTAGAACTTCTTGGACTTAGAAATTTTCTCTCCAACTTTGAAAGTTGGAAATTTTTGAAGAAAGCAGAAATACACAAGACGGGATTTGAACCCACAACCATGTGAATCTCAGTCACTCTTCCTTACCACCCAGCCACTGTGCTACCGATGCTGAACCTTGCTTAAACAATGACCTTGATCCTGCAATGCCGTACAATGCGGTATATGCTATAGTATAATACTAGAATTACAAGGATATGTCGTATATGAAGAGAAACTATTGCGTGGAGAACACGATAAATAGATTATAGACCTCATAGTTGGTCTATACAGGATAAAAGACCTCGGGGGACCTCGGTCTTTTACTCGGTCTATATATCCTGTATAGACCTCCTAACCGGTCTATAATCTATACTTATGTGGGCAAAATCAGGTCATTATGCGGTATAATGCGGTCATTATTATTATGTCGAGCATATTGGAGCAAGTGGTCTCCAATACCTCCTGCCACAATAATCTGAATGCATGAATTGACAATGGGCCACCGTTGACCTTACCACCCTTTCTATCGACGTTGTAGCACCCTGCTGGTATCGCGCCGCGCAGGTTTTCTTCAAAGTTTGTAAGAATCAGTAACGGTTGTGTCCTGTTTGAATGGATGTGGTCCTTTGCAGCAATGATGCCTCCCTACTTGCCAGTTCTAGAGGTGGATGGTGTGAGCCTGCATGAGACATGCCTGATTGCACAATACATTGCCTGCAAGCATGGTGAGTCCTACATGCATAATTATAACGTTAGAACTAGTTTGTCAGACATGCAATGTTGGAATATCGTGATGTGTACAACATGATAAAATCATTGTGGAATGACGTGAATTACTGCGGACAGACCCACTCAGAGCTTGGCACCTCAGAAAGCTCGTTGTGTTTGCTACCGGAATGACCTGTACACAATGGGCGCACATCCAGACAGGCTCAACTGCACATTCAAACAGCATTGCCTACGAACAACAGCGCCTACAGCGCCATTTCTCCAATTACAGCGGTCAAAATTCAAAATGTGTCATATGAACTCTAAATACAGCTGAATGTACCGTCCAGTCAAAGGGTCACTAGATCTTCAAAAGATTGTGTTGTTGTTCGTGAGTTGTTGCTATACAATACCCGAGGTCGTTATTCGCGAGGTTGGCTGTATGATTGTGTGAAACAACATTCGGTCTTCTCTCAGGCTTTGGAGGTGAATCGGAAGAGGACAAGATCATTGTCAGCTCTTACACATTCTACGTTGAAAGCCTGTTCGCAGCTGGTGGCAAAATATTCAGGGAGAGCAACGAAGAGCGCAAGGTGAGCCAGGCACCAACACACAATGGTATGAAGCACTGCGAAGGCTCATCACATGCCTTTCATGCATGTACCGGTACATGCACTTCGAAGAACTATAAGACTGAATATGACATGAGTTATGATTCACGTCGTCCGGCATAGCAATCACTGTTCGTTTGGGAGGACAGAGGGCAAGTCGAGCGTTCCAGTGACAGCATAGAACTTTGCAACGACCTCTTAAAAGGTCCCTGCTTAGGCATGCCGTGATCCGGTGTATACCCTACGCCAAGTAACCAATTGGCTGGGATGTGAATGTACCAGGCTAGGCTGCATGTTACCAGCATGCTGTTTTCATCATTTTGTTCAACATAGGAGACGAGCTCACAATGTTGGACACAGGAGCCAGCTCTGAGCACGAGCGGCGTGATGACAACACAGTAACACTGCACAGCATGATTCACGAGTTCACCGACTTGCTAGTATCACTCCCAGCACACTGGGTGCACCCTCTGAGCTCCCCGATATCCACCAATCATGCATTTTCTCTTCTCGACCTCATGCAATTTGCCAATTACAGAAGGAACTGAAGACTGTGTTTGACGATAAGACACTGCCAGACTTTCTCGAAAGGATGGAAGGAATTGTCTCCAAGAATGACGCGGGAGTGCTCTACGGGAAATCGGTAAGGGATGCTCTGATCTACTATGTAGTACTGTCATGGTCAACTAACATAGAAATAGGCATGGTATTTGATCAGCGTTATGTTCAAGCGTTTGTGTCAGTGCCCAATTCATCATGTGTGATGGTGATGGGATAACACTCTTTCTTGTCAACATGTTCATACCTGCAAGCGCAATTAATTATTTGCTGCTGCCCCCTTGTTCTCTGCGCAGATCACTCAAGCTGACATTCATTTCTACGTCACAACATCGATGTTCAAGCAAGGCAACCCAGCGGTCCTTGAAAAGACTCCAGCTTTGCAAGCGCTGTTCACCAAAGTTGAGACGTCACCAAAGATTGCAGAATGGGTTGCCAAACGCCCAGAAACAGCTTGGTAATCAGAGATTGCAGAATGGGTTGCCAAACGCCCAGAAACAGCTTGGTAATCAGAGATTGCAGAATGGGTTGCCAAACGCCCAGAAACAGCTTGGTAATCAGTGACTAATCACACTACATACAGGATCATCGCCCATTGCCAATACGGCGAGAAGCCATCTGACCGCGCACCTCCACCGGCATTGCTTTGCTTCTAGCGTCATTTCAGAACTGCTGCTGCTTTCTTTCACCTGTCTTGAACTTGTAGTAAAAGTACCTCTTGCAAAATTAAACCTTTTCTCACCGGCTAACTATTGGGCACGGTAAGAAGCACATTGGTTAATGGTTCAGGGCCACTGGCAAGCGGACAACACGATGAGACAACATCGAGCATTCAGCGCATGTCTGCCAACTACACGATCCACCAAAGCCAACACAGGTCACGGTCTGGTAGTCTTCATTCTGAAACACCTCGCTTCTAAAAACGAGGGGAAATAATGACACGAAAGCCACTGGTTGTACCTAAAATGCATTGTTAGAAGAAGGTAAAAAGAAAGCAAAAAGGAAGCGAAAGCGGGCAAAAAAGCATGACAATGCACTAAATATGTGTAACCGGAAACTAAAAGGCCTCTTCCCGCAAGGCGGATGGAGGAAGTATTCAAACATGATTTAGTTGCACACATAAATAAGGAAACCGCACTGTGTGCATAGTAACGTTATGTCTGTCCTAGTAAGACCGGGTGAGGAAAAATAAGGAGTGCGATTGCAGCGAGGGGAGTAAATCAGGCGTGCCTCGTACAGCACAATGCAACATGTCATCCTGTGCATGTGTGTGCTAGACATAAGTAGATGTGGCGTTAGTCCAGCCAGGGTTGTCTGGGAATGTATGCTATTGGGTAACGGGGGCTCGTGCGAATATGAGCAGTGCACTGGATGATAAAGCGGAGGATACCGGTAGGTCAGGAAAAACAAAGCAGTGATTCAAAAATCAAGCATGCTGCAGTATTGTGTGCTTGAAGATCACTGTCGGACTACACAGACAATACAGCAGCACGAGTCAAAGGAACAAGGAAAACAAAAAAGGCATGCAAAGAAACTGAAAGACAGACAGGTAAACAGACACAGTCACAGAGACAAACAGAAAGAGAGAGAGAGAGAGAGAGAGAGAGAGAGAGAGAGAGAGAAATGGCGGGCGCAACATTGTAATCAGAACAACAATGAAAAAGCAATGCCAGTAACCAAGATGCCAGCATCTCTGGTCAGCAACATAAGAAGTCCATGATCTCAGGTCAGCAGCATAAGCTGTCCGCAAGCCCAGGATATACACCGTGATTAATAAAAGGTAAAACCATGCCTGGTTCGCATTTAATACTCGCAGCAACAGGTAGATGTTACCCCACCAGTCTGGATTAGATGGATTCGGAGAACAGTAGAGGGCCGCTATCGCCCACCGCTGCTCCAAGGATAGATGCCATTATGAAATCTGTGCTGGGCACAGCGTGATGCTATGTGAAGAAGAGAAGGCGCCCGTTGCGGATTTGGTCGGCGACATAGAACCATTTGTAGACTGCTGTTGCGGTATTAACTCAACCTTAACAGTGCGTACATACATTGTGTACTTGCCCGGTGCAAAGAGCACAATCTCAGAGGTGAACTCGCAGGATTCCATGCTCTGCAGCTAGAGATCACCAAGAATAAGTCCATGTGAACATGCACGCACACACACACACACACACACACACACACACACACACACACACACACACATGCACGCACGCACACATGCACGTGCACACACATGTGCGTGCACACACATGTGCGTGCACACACACATGCACGTGCACACACACATGCACACACACACACACACATGCGCAAACACATGCACACGGACACACTTTTCAAGATACATGTACTAAATGGACAACTCACACCGTAGAAAAGAGAAGTGCTTACATTGGCAACTGAAATGGCTGTTCAATGCACTATACATACCGGTAGTAATCTGAGCTTGTACGTTGGCAATAAAAAGCAGGGCACATTGATGGAACACCACATGTACACACAGAAAGCCAGAGCTTTGATACTACAGTACTGTAGGCTGCCAAAGAACTAGGGGCGGGGGACAGCCTTGAAGCCTAGGCCGTTCTTATCTTCATGTGCAACAGTCTGTGCACAGTTGAGTCACAGTGTATATTAGTATCGGTGTGCTGTGCATGGTGATACCCTAGCGTCCGTTCTTCGGCGCCCGGCAGTACTGTACTACAACATACATGTATACGAATCTAAGAACGTATTAGAGTGTCTTTTAGAAGTACCTTGGTGACAGGCATGGTGGTACAACCAGTCACTGCACACTTGCCAGAGAGCTCCGTGTCAATGTAGCCATTGCCCAGCGCCTCGTGCAAACGCAGTTGCATCAGCATTGGGCCTACAGAATCAGCTGCATACATGCACACACAGATACAGCAACAAACACACGCGCGCGCGCGCGCGCGCGCACACACACACACACACACGCATACACACACATACACACGCATACACACACGCACACACACACACACACACACACATACACACGCATACACACACGCATACACACACGCATACACACATGCATACACACACACGCACACACACACACACACAGGCAGCCAGACAGACACATGTACACACAAGGCAATAAAAATACTGTACGTCTTGTCAATTCATGAGCTTTGTAAAGCAGAAGGCATTACCGCATAGTCACATTCAGATGAACCACACTCGCAGCAAAGCAGATACATGCACTACCAAGGACCAGGGATGTAGACATATGAATGATATGATACTGTCAAATACTAAGTACAGGTAGACTCCCTTTAATTCGAACCTCAAATTGCCAGGTCCTAACTTCGAATTATCCAGAACTTCGAATTATCCAAATGCAGCCCATGCACTGATATGTATGTCAAAATGCTTGAAATCGCATGCTGAATATTTTTTGCACATCTTTATTTGCATCAACGAAACATAGGTGGTCGTACCGGTCATGTACAACGCCAACGGATCATCAAAACACTGGATCGACACAAAATCATTTTGACATTATCGTCATCTTCTAGTGAAGAAGTTAGTTGTCAGTCACTGCAGCTTTCCTGAAACAATTTCAACGGAAAAGAACTGCGCTGCCTAATCCGCGTCATGAAAGGCCGTCGAACAGCAGCACGTCGTTCTGAAGAACGGAAGTGGAGCATAGGCATCGACAATATTTACGACAATAGTGTTGTTGTTCGCCAACATCCCCGCGCACGAGCTGGCGCGGCAAGAAAGGCCATCGAGATCCGCGAAGAGAGTCAGCCACCTGGAAGAAGTCGTCTTCAATCAAACCTTTGCAATTTGCCTAGCACGGGCTTGAATCAAATTTCGAGAGAAGGTGGGTTTCTTGAACGCTATAGTCGATCCTGCAGCGGACCATCAATCGATTTTTGAGCTACTCTTGGACTTGGCTAGAGAAGGAGAAAAGAATGAACTTCGAATTACAAGGATAGCAACTCAATCTCACTTCGAAATAAGCGTTCAAAGGACATAGCCAATGTACTGTAAAAAGCTCTTCTGTACGAAGACTGGGTTCGAATTATCCAACCGGCGCACTTTTCGTACTTCGAATTACCGGTATGCATTCGATTTTGACTTGAAGTGACTTGCAGAAGATTGGTACGACGAAAAAGTTCGAATTACACGGAATGTTCGAATTAAACCGTATTCGAATTAGAGGGAGTCTACCTGTAGCAACTTTTTTTGGTGATAAAAACTCGGATGTTGAGCAAATAGTAATATGTAAAGAGAAAAGGACCTATAAGTTACAAGAACTAGTTATGACTAACAGTCCACCAAGGTAACGAGATAATAATTATGCAGTCAGATAGCGTGACAACAGGCTCACGCACATCTTCGTGGCGCATCCCTTCCCCTCATTGGAACTTTCCGCACCTGAGCCTTCCAAGTTGGAAGGTTGTTAGTTTGCGCTCCGTAGATGTGTTGGAACTAGGTGCCAGGTCGTCGAATGTCTCAATATCCTTGTCAGTTTTGTGCCTTGTCGTACTATTTGACTGTATATTATCTCGTTACCTTGGTGGATTGTTAGTCATAACTAGTAACTTATAGGTCCTTTTCTCTTTTGTTGAAGTAATACTTATTTAGCGATAGCAGCAGAACTAACCAGACTTGTTGGTGACACGCACTATGACTGGCACTGGTGCCATCAGAGGCAGATCATCAAGCCGATGCTCTGCAGATCCATTCACAGTGATAGCTGTAACAGCACCATGCATGTGCGGTGAGTTACGGCACACACGCGCACGCACACACACACACACACACACGCGCACGCACACACACACACACACACACACACAGCCACACCAACACACACATAGACAACATACATATTCAAACAATTTTAAAACACACACAGGCAGACAAACACGAGGGACAAATTTCAATCTAATAATGGATTTTACATTCAGGATTTTCAGAAAAAGTGTTCACAACAAATTTTCGCCTTACTGTCAGAATTCCACACATTGTTCCAAAATGGTGCCTGAAACATAACTCACTACAAAGGTACAGCAATTGACACACTGCTTGTAAGACCACACAAACGTAACATCACAATGTGGCTGTGCTGACACTACACTCACCGTAGACAAGAGTCTCCGGTAAAAAGTTATGCAGCAGATGAGACCGTGCCTGCAGCCGTCGGCCAGAGAAGTGGAATGACCCGCCAGCCTCCATTACCTGAACAAGCACTGTGTTAAGGGAAACCATTCCGGGGTTCACATCGCTATCAAGTAAGTTAGACATCTGCCAGTCTACACTACAGCTGAGCGAGCGGCTTAGCAATATCTAACAGTTGCATTGCATAGTGGTGTTATTGCAATCACTCACTATTAAACATAGACAATGCAAACAGTACAACACTGGCTACAATACGCCGTATATACATACACGGATAAGATTGTTTCATCAAACAGCAAAGTCTGAACTAGACATCTACTAGTAGTGAGACTTCATGCCACTAGGCACGGCCACTGTGCACACAGCAGTGCAGGAGGAGAAGGATACGTTGAGCCATTCAATGGCAATGTTTGACGAGAAGTACTCCATATAGCGCTCTGCTAGGCTCTGTGATTCCTTTGCTGACATTAGCGTGGAGACAGTGGCAGTCTGAGAACACAACGCAAGAACGCAAACAATGATTAGGCAGTGTAGTCGTCATCCCAGCAGAGACCGTTCAACAATCTCTTCAGACTTTGTAACTCACACTTCCTGTGAATCCACACAGACGGGTGGGACGCAGCCCTCACTGTAACACACACACACTTCACGTACAAACTAGCACGCGGGGAGCCTCAAGTCATAAAATATTCACTGGTTTGAGGGAAACACACAAATGGGAAAAGTCTGAAGAAAAAATTGACATGTATAATAAGTTCTCATAACTAACCTGAGTTTGTAGATGAAGCCGAGGTATGCTCAACGTCACCCTGCAGCACAACAATAAATACAAGGAGCGATATTCTAAAGGCCACACGAGTGAAACACACGAGGTGGTGTTCTCGACTAACGACCATTACAGGCTCTACATCACCATACAATGAAGCAGCCACCACTATCACAATCACTATCAATACCATCAGCACCGCCAGCATCAATACCATGCTCGGGCTGCCCACAGTAGGAATAACAGCACTAGTCCACTTTCTTTCCAGTGGTGGACTACTCCAAACCAACCTTGCCATAGAATTCCATGAACTGAACAGGCCTTCACGTAAAGTCACTGCAGCTCCCCTTATCCGGACTTCCATACTCGGCACACCTCCCAAGCAAGCATTTTTGAGTCGGTGAGTAGTATTCGTGCCACTACATGTATAGTATACTGTAATGTCACAAATTTTCGGTGCGTCTGTTTCATACCTAAAATTTTAATACACTGAACAAACACTAACACACATAATCCAATAGGGAACTGCTTTTCTGTACCGAAAATTTCTGTTCACCTAACCTGGCCTGTTGCCCTCATACCGAAAATTTCTGAAATTAGAGTACTCTAGGTGTGCACCGTGTAAAAGTTTGTGCAGTCATTGTCAATAGGGTACAGTCATTGTCAATAGGGCACACCACTAGGTGTCCATATGTACAGTGTTTGGAGTTTACAGATTGTTCTCAGTCGCCCACACCCTTTTTATAATAAAATACAATACAATACAATACCCTTCAGTCCAAAGAGGGTTGTGTGTACATTGATAGGTAGCGGTGGAAATACCAAGGGTTGAGTTTTCTTTAAAAGCAATACTACTACTACCCTGAGACGGAACCCAAAGGAAAGACCTCAGTACCTATTGTGACATGCTTACCGGGCTGATGAAAGAGGTGCAATGTCAACAGCTTCAGAAGTAGATGCACCCTCTGGCAGATGGAAAGAGCAGAGAAGACAGGCACTATTACACGTGATAACCAACGATCTAGTGTTGCGGAGGACATCATAGCAGTAGGAGCAGCTGACTGATATGCAACACTTCAAGCATAATACCATGTCGGATTGTGCTTAACACATAAGCTGAGCAAGTCAAGCAGGAGAGCAACACAGCTATCAGTTTTGACAGGGGTGAGAGTGTTGAACCCTGTCCTGCCGGACCTCACAGAATTGTCTCTCCATTTGAGAGTTGGTAGCAGCATGATAGAGACCTGTGCCAGGAGTCCAGGACACAGTGCCAGTGACCTAATCTACAACAGAATGTAGCAGTGACAATGTAGTAGTGACAATGCTGGTAGTGGGTCAGTGGAGCCGCACTCACCTATCTTCTCCCCTTCCCAGGATGTCGACAAGTTTATTTGCGTCTCGCTACAATTCATTGCCATGAATGAGAGATTGAATAGCTCCGGAGAACTGAGCAAAAAGTGAGCGCACAAAAGCACACACAGACACACACACACAGAAAACAGCCACAGTAGCATTAAAATCCAGCGAACTTAGCAAATGGCGGCTGGTGATGGAGAAGAGAAACGACCAAAAAGTTGTCAGGACCAATTGAAGTAAAGAATGAAACAATCTAAGCATCCTACACAACTTCAGTGAGTGACCAAGTGACTGAGCGAGTAAGTGTGTGTGCGAGAGAGAGAGAGAGAGAGAGAGAGAGAGAGAGAGAGAGAGAGAGAGAGGGGGGGGGGGGGGGGGGGAGGGGCACAGAAAAGAGACACAAGGACAATGTTTCAAGGCAGCTTACTTCAAATTGGACTGTGCATCCAGATCGTAGAGTTCCAGAATCGGCAAGATTCTGATCCTAAACTCAACGCGACATGATCGCTGCAGACCTGCCTCACGACCTTCATCTCCAGTGTACATGACTTGACATTGACATATTAGCAATCCACTGAGAAGTTCCCAATGCACGTGTGTAGACAGTCCACCAACAGACACATCACACACAAATGAACAACATCAATTAGAAAATGGCTATTACAAACCTACATCAATTTTTGCATGCATGCACACGCACACACCACACACACACACACACACACACACACACACACACACACACACACACACACACACACACACACACACACACACACACACACACACACACACACACAGTGTTTAAAATCTGCACAAAGAAAGGTGTTGATAAGATCTAGAGATTGATCAAATCACACACAGGCCAAACAGGCCAAAGTATGAAAAAAAGCTTTAGTGCACAGGAGGAACCACCATTGTGAATTTGTGCACAAACCAAGGTGTATACAATTAATAGAACTAAGGCTTCTGACTGCCATTTTACAGACAGGGTATGGCTACCTTGTCAGTTGGCACCACCACTGATTGCCACAGAAATACAATGCGCTAACCATGACGTGTACAGAACCAATACACGGTGCACTGCAGACAACATACCCTGTGCCAGACTGTGTGGCAGCCAGTTGCTGATGCCACTTGTGCAGTTGCACCGTGACGGGGACAACCAGACTGCTGTCGGGGCCGATGGGCAGTGTTGCAGCGACGATGTCCTCGCTCCACGTTAGTGCAAAAGGTGAGCCTGTAGCAACGCAATGCGATGCCAGAAGTGCATGAAATCAAATTCTCAAAATTAATCCGACTGGATTTAAATCTCATGTAGTTAGTGGGAAGCACCCATACACAAGCTCATTGCACTCAAACCAAGCACTCTTCCCTCTCAACGGATGTCTGGGTGGAAAAAGCCACCATAATTTTAAATATACAAGCCACATCTGCAGGCATGACAACAGGCAGCCAGGTACGTATCCCAGAATATAGAGGCTACCTTCTGGTTGCTGTGGCTTCTCCTCACACAGGAACTTGACGGAGGTAACGGGCCGGTCTCCTCGATTTGCCAACATCAGACTTACACACGAGCTGGGTTGACAGCAAAAGACCATACAGAAATTACAACATTTGACATACTGTAGCTGGTAGAAGGCATCATATCAGCAGTATCACGTACAGGTGCAATACATGCTAACCCCATATTAAGTTAGGTACTGTAAAGTGTGAAATTTTCGCGGCGTTTTTAGTTCGCGTTTTCAGAATCCGGACAGGTTTGCGAGGTTTTAATTTTGCGATTACTGAATTTGCTACTGTGGCATTCATGCTAAACCTTTTATGGATCTCCTTTTCACGCTGTCTAAATTTCGCGATTTCCACGCGGTCGCGAATTTCGCAGAAATTAGACCATCACAATAATTTCACGGTTTACAGTACATCTCAGGAATTCCTCTAACCCACAAAATACACACCAAACTGCGTACACAGACAAGCATGCACGCATGCACGCGTGCGTGCGCGCACACACACACACACACACACCAACAAGCAACGGATTCAGCAATGAGTGCAGCATCACCGTTTGCTTCAGAAACTAGCTTACCTCTGTCCGGGATGCAGATTGAGCTCGACGGAATAGACGGAGTGCTTGGCACCTCCCTTCTGTCTACGTAGCACTGTGCTGCCACACACGTACGGCGGTGAGACCCGACCAAGAGCAGTGCCGCTAGTCGACGCGACCGACGTGGAACGAGAAACGGACGGAGAAGAGCTGCTGCCCGTGCCGCTCAACAAGTTTGAAACGCGTGATAGAGAATTGCTGCACTGCAGAGCGTGATTGCTACCGGAGGTGGGCACGGTGAATGAGCTGCTGCGGCGGGGAACGTCCGGCGAGTCCAGCAGGTTGCGTACGGTCAGGAACGGCAGCTGCGGCACTACGCGTATGTTCTTGCTGATGCCCTTGGTGATGGCAACGCGCACCGTGTGCTCCACCTCATAGAAGTGTGCAACGTAGCCTGAAAAAAGAGAGCAGCAGAGACATGGGCACTCATGCTATGACACTACATATATCAACTGAACTACAATAGGGATTGAGGAGACGAAAATTTAACCTCACACAGCAACACATTTATAATTATATTACTCAGTCAACTGCCAAAACACATTCCAGAAGCTTTTCCACCCATGGTTATCAGTGCACTCACATCCCTCTCATCATTCTTCATTCCCATGTATCCGCCGATGAGACCGGGTCGTAAAGTTTTCAGAAAAAGGGTTCAAGAGTTGACCGAGTAACGTAATTAGTATTTTAGTAGCCGTGTGTGTACTGCAATAGCAGCTACGTGTATACAGTCACATGACACAGTACTGCAGGCGTGTGTTCTATCAGAGGCAGACTGCCTTCACTAGTTGCATCGAACTGCTTCACTAGCAAAAGAAGTCCTTCCTCTGGAAACAAAAACTTCATGAATTTTTATTCCCATTCTAAGCGTTAACTGTTTTCAAGAAATCCGGCTCAGTGAACCAAAACCATTTCAAGACAATGAGAGAATGAATTTGTTTGAAGTACTGTAGTACGCAGTCAGTGTGCACACTGATATGCAAAAGAAATATACACCGGTTGAGCCTCACTCGGAGTCACCATCGCTCAGTTCCTCAGAGCTCAATTCACCAGAACTGGCAGGCTGATCGAATTCATGAAGCTTTTTGTTTCCAGAGAGAGAATATTACTCTGAAGTATGCAAAGGTTACCCAGCACACACCATGCACACACTGGCACTACAATGCGCCATAGAAGGTAGTAGGTACCCTCCCAAGCATGTACGCAATTACAAATCGGGCAACAGGTCGTACACACACACGTGCGTGCACACACATGTGCGTGCACACACATGCAAGGACGCAAACGACATACCAAGTAAGGTGACCTGGCCAACTGCTTTCGGAATACCAATGAGTACACAGCTGTAGGGCTCATTGTTAGGTGCGAGCGATATGGATGTCGGCACTGCTTCAAATGCTGCTCCTTCTGTTAGTAATGCCTGCGTATAGAGTGATACATGTAGAGACAAGTTCTCTCGGACAACATTAATGACCAATATATAATGTACAGCAGAGCTTTGCAAATCATCAAAAAGAGCCTGTTACTGTTCAACTTACAACAACATGCTCAAACGAGCATGTAGAGGTCAAAACCTGGCTGCTTAGCTCATGTCTTACCATTTTCTCAATGCGGATTTCACAGGAAAGAGGATTGGTTAGCTCTACGGACACTTCCGCTGAAGAACCTTGTACCCACACCACTGTACAAACAGACACATAAAAAAGCAAGGTGGCTATATCAAGCACATGATCACAAAGGAGAGTATTGAGGTACTACATGTACATGTACGCTGTTCGTTGATCCTCGGCATACAACTGCATCAGGCAACAACACGGAGTGTACGGCACAGGCCAGGGAAATCCAACCTCATGAATAAAATAGCGCCCGGCGCTACGCAGTCCTAGCACTATACACACTCTTCTGCGTACTCAAACATGGTGCTACTTCAGTACTTTATTCATGAGGTTGGATTTCTCTAGCCAGGACTGTAGTCAGCTGGGTCATACATACAATGTACATGCAATAGCAACACACTGTCCAGTCATACATTTATACACAACGCAATGGAGTACGCAGAATGTACACAATCATCATAATAGAACCAACCAGACCAAAGAGGAGATTAAAACACATACACATACACGCGCGCACATGCACACATACACAAACATGAACGCACGCACGCACAAGCACACATACACACACACACACACGCACACACACGCACACACACATTGTGCTTGCTCATTGCCAGAAAAATGGTCCCCATGGGTCTCTCCGGGAGAGGGGAGAGAGAGATTCAAAAGGAATCTTGGAAAGATGACTAGATTGGAACACCCGACGACCGACACCTTCAGAAATCCCCAGACTCTGGGTGGACTCGAAAATGATCCCACTTACAGTATGGGCTCACCACACTGCAGCAATAGGCGGGTGAGAACAAGGTTCACAAAGGACTGACGACATCAAAATATCCGTCCTGGGATTCAACTGTATTTACCCTTGACCCCAGAGAAGAGAATACTTGACGCTAAAGAGGGTTGCTAAATCAGAGTGGATTTGATACAGGCTTCACAAGCTTCATTGATTGTGCAAGTGTACACTCGCGCGCGCACGCACACACACACACACGTGCGCCCACACCAACGCCCACACACGAACACATCCCAGGCAACGTGCAATCATGTACATACCTTGTTCTTCCTGTGATGGCTCGCCAGTTTGACGAAGGGAGCTGAAGATGAATGGTCCAGATTGGGCCTTCTCCTCAATGGGCAGTGGCAGCAAGTGTTGTGGTAATGAAACAGGGCGGAAGGACCTAGGCATGGCAAACATACAAATACTATAGTGTCAAAAACACACACACACAGCAATACAATCTCCAGCACAAAACAGCCAATACGACACCATTGCAGCAAGGTATGACTACAGAACATGATGAAGACCGGGCATGGTGGCATAATATAAGACATGAAGGCAAACAAACAAGACATGAAGGCACACAAACATGACATGAAGGCAAACAAGACATGAGCACAAACAGAATATAACAGTAAGCGAGAAGAAGACAGCAAACAAGAGATGGCAAAGGAGACGCGACAAATGACAGTGAGGACAGAGAGCAGAAATGGATTACAGCACACAGTACATGTACTGGCAAGGCCATGTGAAGAATACATTACTGTGCATGTAATTGTAACAGTAAAGTTACAATGAAACTTGTGCGATGCCGATAGGTGGACTATTTCTTCTCCCGTGGCAGTGTGCCCTTACACACATGAAGCCAAACATGCATGGCACATGGTACATGCCTATGTACCCAGTTCCAATCTGGCTGACAGGGTTACCAGGTACTACTAGTACACACGTACCCGGCTGCTTTTGACACTGCGTCAGTCATGAACAAGCACAATCATACATACTGACAAACATTAACAAGTACAGTGCTCTGTGCTTTAATACCTGCATAAAATGTCAATAAACACAATACACATACGAGTGTGCGGTCGGGTCAACTTACGTGACTTTCGGTAGCTTGTTCAGCATCCACTCAGGAAGAACTTCCAAGCGCATCTGCTGATGAAGGCTGCGTATTGCATGCGTTAGTTCGTTGAGCTGCTTGATAAGTTCGGCGATCTCTTTTTCCGCCATATGCATGTGATGAGCATGGAGGAGTACAAGCGAGTGGCTGGCAAGTTAGCAAGACACAAAGTAACAGAACAGAAAAAAATTCAACGGTTCGCATTATACTCAGCTCGACTAGGTATTCCGCATCCGCAGGAAAGCCACCACCCTCAAGGATCAAGGCACAGAACAGAAAAAGACATTTCAAAGATAGGGATCGCACATTTCATTTAACCCACTAGTTTTCTTGTGTAGTCATCGCTATCCTCTAACCCAAGATAACCAACCCTGAAAACAAACTAACTGAGCATCGGAACAGAAGTGGTAACTGGGTTTTGCTCTACTCAGGTAAATTGGGCAAGCAACGGAAGAGGACCTAGCTACTAGTGCTCGCACGTGCCGGCTTATTCATTCCATTCCTACTTCCCGAATGCGGTATCGTTCACACTCAGCCACACGGTATACTCAGCCAAATGGCCTCTCACCTTATCGCAAGTACTCCATTGCCGGAACGATGTGCCAAGAAGGACAATTCTCGCAATATGCAGCATTGGAGTCGGTGCCAGCCAAAATGGTGGCCTGAAACAGATAAAAAGACAATAGGCATGAAACGCAGAAAGCATGGGCGCAGCCAAACAAAATATTTCATGGTGTGAAGGACAACAAGAACAATGAACATGGAATGGTATCAGACAGATTCTAGGCGCTGAATCAAACGGTGTTGGTCCGAGGAAACTGAGACTCTCCCTTCGTCCAATATTCCGAATCAAACTTGATCACTTCCACCAAAATTGGGTGAGCGCGCCCTTCTAGAAAGGGATTGGGTGCGGAGAATTTCGCTGAAAGAATCACTTCATCCTTATGGCAGCACGGGCGAAGATGAAGCTCTCGGAACCTGTAGTTTTTTTTAGACCCTGGAGCATTCACAGGATTCTGGAGAAGGCCATAGTGCCATCATGATTCCAGCGTAGATGTGTTTGCTCTCTCCAGGGAGCCAGAGTACACCACTGAGGGGCTTCAGAGTTTGCAGGGTGGTGGCAAGAGCCTGTACAAAATGAGGAGGAAGCGTCTGTGTGCATTGAAGAAGCAAACGTCTTGCCACCTAAATATAATTATTCAATTTCTGTGGAAGTGCACGAGTTTAATTCGGATAGTTAGCATACATGAAGGATGGCTTCCTTGGACCAATGCCATTCAATCCAACACCGAGAAGACAACATGCAGTGATATTTCGATATTAAATCATAGTCCCCTACTGGCCACAAGTGTTGTCATACTCACCGTTTAAAAATCTCGGCAGACTGTTGTCAAGGCCAAAACCCTCGAGGCAGTTGCTCAGCAACATATATGCCTAACCAACATAAAGACACAGGGTACACATGGAACTAATAGTTAGGACATTTCAATGGACAGGGTAAAAGTTTATGCCCGAGTGAAGCACAATACATGTTTATATCAGAGTATTCACTAGCACCATGCCTTGCACACGCTGTATGGTTCACTAATCTACGGTTGCATGTAATGAATCTTCTAGCTGGACCTTCGCTGGCTGTTATCATGTCGATAATCAAGGTCCTATCGAATAGAACAGACAGCACAGCATCTGACTTACCTCCTTCCATGCTGTCACACTGGGTCTTGACGACCGCACTCGCTGTAGCGCCCCCAGGCGGAATGCAAAGGCAGCCTTCCTTTCAAAGCCCATTGTACGGAATAACTTACCAGCAGTTATTAGTAAAACAAGCTGAAAAAAGAAAAAGACACATGAAAGAGAGAGAGTGAGTGAGTGAGAGATAGTGTGTGTGTGTGTGTGTGTGTATGTGTGTGTGTGTGTGTGTGTGTGTGTGTGTGTGTGAGAGAGAGAGAGAGAGAGAGAGAGAGAGAGAGAGAGAGAGAGAGAGAGAGAGAGAGAGAGAGAGAGAGAGAGAGAGAGAGAGAGAGGAGAGAGGGGAGAGAGAGAGACAGAGAGAGAGAGAGACAGAGAAAGGGAGAAAGAGAGAGCATACCGTAAAATTACGTTAATAAGCCCCGGGCGTATACTTTGCAGAGCGTCAAAAACTGGGCGTATATTTGGGCATGGGCTTATTTTAGGGCATGGGCGTTATTTCGGACGCAAGCTGCAGAAGATCAATCTATCAGCATCCCACTAGTTTCAGTGAACCACCATTCACACTGAGCGCGGTACAGGTACATCAAACCACATTTTTTGGCAGTTCGCTACATTCCAACGGAACATCGCTGTCCTCGATCTACAACTGTTCCACAGTTTGTACGCGAACGCACGCTCACGCGCTGGTCATTTTGAGTCCACTTTACGCCCTGGGCTTATTTCGGGCATGGGCGCTAAAACGGACTTGAAGTGTACACCGCCTAAAACTGGGCTTATTATCGGACATGGGCGTTATTTAGGGTGGGCTTATTTACGGAATTTTACGGTATTCCGATTTCCAAATAGATCTCAACCAGAAACTGATCAAATTATTCACATGTGAAAAAAGCTACAGACAGGTGTAGAACAAGACAGCGCAGGCCCCAATTGAAAGTAAAAGGGTTCTGTCAATGACCCGGCAGCGAACACAAGTACCTTTTCAGAGAAGTCCAGAGTATAGTCGACACTCATGGTTTCTGAGAGTAACGCAGCTGCTTCAACATTTTTCTGTGGTACACAAAGACACAACAAGCAGAAGAATGGCAATATCTGAAACACAAAGATAGCAAGCAGTGGCTACATGGCAGAAGATGAGCTGCATTTCTTCACAAAGAAGCTAGCCGGAGCACAAATATATGTACATGTATATCATTGAAAAAACACTGGCAACATACCTTGAGTTCCATCAGCAGGCGAACAAGCAGCATGCTACACTCGGCTTCAAACAGCATAGCGCCTTCGACCTACAAAGCACAGAGGATAGCGATGCTATGGTAACAATGAACAGGACATACACACTACATGCAGCAGGTGTTACCTATCCCTATATAACTACAGCTAATGGTCAAACCTTCACAAACTACTAGAAACCAGTAAAGGCTATACTATACAGCCAGCATGGCAATGCCTTGCTTGCACTGGCACATAACAAACAGAGACTTGCTCTCGATTCGCTGGCCAGGTCCACGTACATGAAGAATGTGTACGGGAAGTGCACGATGGCACGGAACATGCCGCCAGCCTCCAATGCATGTTGTGCAGAAAGCATGGTCACCCACAATCAAAGTATATGCGACCATATTACGCCCACGCATACGCAATAACAGGCGCAGGACCCTGGCTTCGTCAGAAGTACTACATCTAATAAATCCCGGGAATAATAGCATCTACCAGGGTGGACTAGCAATCGCAAACATAGCTAGATTAATTCAACAAATACATAATTCCTAGTAGAATCTGGTGTTTAACTAGCATGACAGAACACACACACACGCTGGCAAACCAAGAAACAGGCTTCCGGAGATGCTTACACGAGAAAACTGCGCGATAGCTTCCCTGACACCTCCGTCGACAGTAACAGCCGACTTGCGCCTCGCCCAGTTGTCAGAAATCATGATGGTGCGCACAGGAACGCCGCACACAATCACCGAGGAACCGCTGGTACTTCTGAGCAGGGACGAGTTGATGCCGGCGGATGTGTCGGAGCCGCGGCCAATACCCTCCTTGTGACCGAGTACGGGGGATGAGATAGGCGAAAATGTCTTCAAACGTGGCTCACTCGTTACAGGGCTCGGAGATGGAGAGAGGCGAAGCCGGTCCTCAGACTTGAAGGTGGGTGATCCTGAAGAAAATAGGCAAGGAAAAAGCAATACATGATGATTTTCATTAGACCTCAGGGAGGCGAAAAGGGTAAACAAATGGCTTTCTCGGACTTGCACAATTATTAACATCATTCACTATTCACTAGTACAGTACTGTCGGGCGCCGAAGAACAGCCAGGCTAGAATTTCATCAAGTACAGCATACCAATGTATACACGAGGACTCAACTGCAAATCGACTACTGTAGTACATGAAAATAAGAACGGTCTAGGCTAGGAGGCTGACCCCCCAGTTCTTCGGCGACCGACAGTACTGTACGGCATAAGTCAAAGAGCATGCCATGGACCCGAACACTGAGGTGGGTGCAGCAATTCTAAAAAAGCAATGGATCAATTCAATGATAGTGATCACCCGTGCAATGACCTACCTTCTTGAAACGAAGGGACCGCAGGGCCGTCCATTTTAGAACTGAGCACTTCACCGCGAGCCTCTAAGTAATCAGCCTGCTGCCTTAGCCGATGCAATGCACAGGAATATCCCAGCAAAGCGCCTACACCATGTTCAAAATACACACACACACACACACGCACGCACGCATGCATGCACGCACACGCACACACACACGCACACGCACACGCACACACACACACACACACACACACACACACACACACACAGAAACCATCACTATTTATACTGGTCTACTCCAAAAAGCTTTCAAAGCATTCATTAGCATGAAGGAATGAAAGGGGTTTTAGAGAAGAGCTTTTGAAGAAGTTTTCTTTCTTTCTTTCTTTCTGGCCAATGGCTACCACACGCACCATTTGGACCATTTGACCATGTGACGCCCATCGGCAGAGGCGATGATAGCGATGCTACAGCAAAGCCATAACAGCTTGTGCTGGGATTGCACCATTCAACAGCTTGCAAGGCTGAAGAATTGACAGCCACTATTCAGCCTGGTCTACACCACACGCACATACACACATGCACGTGCACACACAAAGAATAATAACAGCATAATGTACTCAATATGGAAAGCCATAAAGGACACGCATGTCAAAAGATACACAAGCCCTGGGGTGTCTTTTTATAGGGTGAAGTGTACTTCAATGTTTTCCTGGTTACAAAGCAACCTTTTCTGCACCAAAACTCAATCCATGCAGTGTCCACAAACTTTGCAGTCACTCTCATTCAGGGGCGTCGCACACGGTACGGTCACTACGGTATTGACCGTACCACTTTTTGTCCCAAGTACCCTGTAAATCAATAAAATACACACTGATCTGGGATCTAAATTTCCAAAATTTTCGCCTCAGCCACCACTCCCCCACGAGTAAATTGTACTTCAGATGGCTGACCGTACCACACTAAAATACCTTCCGACGCCCCTGCTCTCATTATTGTTTTTGCTTCATATCTCACAGTCGAGAATGAAGTTGAAGGCATCACTGCAGCTGTACTTATGGTTGATTAATAGGTGGTAAACACACACCTGGCAATATGGCGGTAAATACACGCCTGCCCACACACGCTCTCCAGGCTGCAAAGTTGTTCCGGCACAGAGCGCTCCTTCTCATCACCACCACCACCACCACCACCACCACCATCACCACCACCATCACCACCACGGCACCACCACCACGGCACCACGGCACCACCACCACCACGGCACCACCACCACCACCACGGCACCACCACCACCACCATCAACAACAACAGCAGCAGCAGCAGCAGCAGCAGCAACAACAAAATGTAACCAGTTGAGGAGCCATCACTGCCCACATTGACTTACCACCAATCCACAATGAGTCGTTAATACCTTTCAGTACCTCATACGCCTCTGCATACCATGCTATTGCTGCAACAGTTTCACCAGCTAGCATTAGCAAATCTCCTTTCTGCTTCATCAACCGTCCCATACAGCGTTTCTTACGATTGGCAGACCTGGTAGAAAAAAGGCAATGAATAAACAATTCCAGTTGAAAATGCAGACCCAAATCACTTCAAAGACACTGCACAAGCAGCTAACCTAAGAGTTACGCCTTGGGGGAGAATGTTACGGCAGAATGGGTCGTTTTACCATTTTTTAATAAGTTTAAGGGAGTTGAAAACAGGGAAAGTCTGAAGAATAGCAATTGAGCAATTTAGCAATTTTAGCAATGGAAAAGGGGGTGTTTGGTCAATCTTTAGCCATGCCAATTGCGAATTCATACTCAATCCAAACACGCAAACATGGTCTCTCCACTGCAGATGTCACTTCAGGTTCACCAAATTTTCGGGCGTGGCCCAACAGTGAAATTGTTTCGCCCTGATGGTGAGCCATGCCTGAAAATCTAGAGAACCTAAAGTGACATCTGCAGTGGAGAGACCATATCTGCGCATTAACCACACACCATTGACCAGGTTCAAGTATCCCTTATAAACGTGTTTGTTGCCATCTCATCAGAGGATAGAACTTGCAAATGTAAGTCACTCAAAAACGCAAAACATACTACCGTACTGGCAATATATGTTGCCGCAGTGAGGCCATGAAGCGTTACATTGGCACATGTTTGCCGCACGCAGGGCGTTACATGCAAAGTCGCACAGGAGCCGTTACACAGGTTTCTATATTGCCGCAGTCCTTTTTTTTGCTATTGCCGCATCACTTTTTTGCTATTGCCGCATCATTTTTTGCTTTTGCCGCATCATTTTGAGTGAAAAGATCGCCGCACCCCGCCGGACGCGCGTTACGAACTCAACGAAAATTTGTCGCACTAGCCTGGTCGCGCGTTACGCCGCACCCCCCTGCGTTACGCGTTACGCGGCAACATATATTGCCAGTACGGTAGTAAGTACCAAATAAGCAGCCTAGTAAAATAATACGCATTGCAGTGCTAACAATGGGAGACGAAGAGAAAAGGAAAACGAGAGAGTTTCCAGCTCAGAGCTCTCGCGATGCTTGTTCTTTACCTAGGTCATCATATGTTTTCGTCAAAACTGATGGAAACTTCTTTGCAGTACAATAATAAGTACCGGCTATCCCAATTGCCAAAACGATTCCATCAGTTTGAATAACACATATGGTGACCTAGGTAAAGACCAAGCATAGTGAGGGCCCCCGGGGCTGGAAGCTCTCCCGTTGATCGGATACCTTTTCGGATATAAAACGGTTTCTATTCTTCAAGGGCACTACATGGTATCAAGAGTACATAACCCCCCAGAGTGTGCAACGCCGATCCAGCTCTGCATAGGGTCTTGGTCGAGCGGAATCGGATCTTCTGATGTCATGCATACACTCCACACCAGCTCAAGGCCGGTCTCGAGGCAGGGTGCCGTTGTTTTTGATCCGAGAGTACCCGCGACTTCCCGGGTTCCCCCCAGATGTGTACGGTATTATGACGCAAAGATCCGACTACGCTCGACCAATACCCTATGCACAGCTGGATCAGGCGTTGCACACTCTGGGGGGTTATGTACTCTTGATGGTATGTCCTCCAAAATACGTACTAATCAGGCTACCTAAACATACAAAACTAAATTCACCTGTTCATTCTCATAGCATTTCGCTCGACACTTAAGGATACTGGAACCCGGCCAATGGTGTGCGTGGCTAATACGCAACTTGCTTTACTTATAGTGTACACAGGATATCATCACGCATATAGCATGTAACTGAATAGAAAGGGTCACCCACCTAGTGTCATCCACAGTTGCACCATGGTTCTCTGGCGGCGCCCGCAGTAAGACACCCTCAGATCGGCAATCACCGTGTTCCTTGCATGCATCCAACAGCTTGTCCCTCATCGTATTAGCAAAGCTATCTAAAAACTGCTGGAACCTCATTCCATCCAAATCTGAACCTTCGACGGCACCGTTTGCCCACACTTCCGTCTCCACGTCAATGGCAGCAATATTTGGCAAGTTTGTCGGGTTCAACGCCTTGATGGACTGCACAAGCTCGGTGGCATTAGGTGCAGTCACGATCAAACATGAATGCAATGCACGCGGATAGCTGGCTGCTAGTGCCGTAAACACATCCGCTGCACGTTCAACTAGATCAATATTGGTGCAATTTGAAATGCCAATTACACCATGCAAGCGCCTGTGATATAAGAACTCTCCCCACAACTCATCGCTCTGCTTTGGTGCGGACCTCAGGACGCGCAGGGCAGAACTACGATATCTTGATGGACTAAAATTAGTTTTGATAACGTTGACAATCGATTGCTCAATCCATGCAAGGAAGTTCTCGCTAAGCTGTTCACCAACTGGACAGAGCAGCACATTGACCTTTCCATGATCAGTAGTATTCTGAGAGAAGTCCACACGCATTCTGACAACATCAGTAGAAATATCTCCAAGCTCGTCAATAACGTGCCATTTGGCACTTCAAGGAGAGAAATGAAGCAATTCTATCTCGTTTGCACCAATCACCCACATAAATACTGGTTCTGCCTCAGCTCAGGCCTACTGCCACTTCTACAGTTGCGACCAGGATAATAGCTTCGTGTTCCTTCTTTCATTTCACCATGCCAGTGTTGACTTCCCCAACATACTCAAAAGGACATCCAAAGAAATACTGGTTGAACTACTTGTACTTTCGAAGTACATTGCAGACATCGACAGCATGTTGTCGTAAAAATCGTGGCATCTTATGAAATCAGCTGTCCATAATCGTCGCTATTTACCAGGACCGTACAAATCTGGTACAGCTGTACGTGGTTTGGGAAGCGTGCTCGTAGCTTTGCGTCTCTGCATCCGATCCGACTCTCCGGTTGTACATCTTCGTATCGCTGCATGCATGCAAAACCAGGGAGTCGTAAATTTTACGACTCCCTGTGCAAAACCAAACAAACACCCACAATTCAAAGTACAAACGCCTACAATCAAGAGTACATAATTGTATACAATTATGTACTCTTGCTATGCGCTTGTTGTGGCGCGCGCCATGGCCTAGCGCCTGCATATGGCCGCGCCCGCGCTCGCAACTATTACTTGCACTGAATTACAAGGGTTCGAGGTTAGATCCTCGAGTCTGATATCTAAAAGTACAAGACTTTACTGTTGTGTGTGTGTTATGTCTTTAGTACAAGTTTTTTGTAGCTCGTAGATCTACGATCGTGTGGACTGACAGTCTGTGTGTGCATGTGGTATCAAGAGTACATGAGTTCATGTACTCTTGGTGGTGCATGCAAGCAGTTTGTGGCCATGGTGACCTGGTGACTGCACGCATGCAACTCGATGACGAAAATCATGCTTTCACTCAACAAAGTTTAGGGTTCACGGATTGGCATGCTAGCGTCGCCAGCTACATCATGCACGTGACAGGCGCGTGCATATACTGTCCCACACAATCGGTCAGTGCTCAAATCGCATTTTCCCATCAATATCACTCACTTTCAACTCTACGGGATTCATTACGGTTGGCTCAAACTGCCTGAATTTTTGAATCCACACGCACGAAAGACGTTCCAAGACTTCCACCGTTCGTATTTTTTCAAACGAGTTCCGGGTTTTCCAGTAACTTTGGCCAAAGTTCGGCTAAAAAAACAGGGGGAGCCGTTGCGTTTCCGTAAAATACTGAACGGTAGAAGGATAGCCAAGGTCGAGAGCAAAACAACAAGCCATTATTTGTCAAAATCGAACAAGAAACGGCTCAGCGCATCTATTTTCCGTGCACGCGCGCGCGTACTTTGGCCGACAAGGTGTGGAGAATTTCTGAAGAAGAAGAATAACAAGAGCAGCAGCGCTCGGAACAGCCGTGCTGGATACTTCCAATCCCGACGATGGAGCGTGTTGGCTGTCGTGAGCTGCTGAAACGACCATGACATTTCTTTTTCTTTGTATACCCTACATATCTTGACGTGCCCTAGCTCAGTTTCGGCCTCTTTACAGGAAGAATATTTTCAGCGGCCAAACAGCAAGAAGAGCAACAGATCGAGATTTGCAGGGCAAACAAAGGATGCGTGCAGCTACATCTAGTCAGGTTCGATGCAGCTGCGCTTTGCCAGAACCTCAGCAGATAAGAAAAGACGACAGAGTGTCTCAGATGGAACTGGATCTTTCGCCAAGACCGCCACCGCCGCCATCAAGTCCAGGTCAGTCAAATGCAAAGCCCGAGTGAAGTGAAGCCACTGAAGCCAAGGAAAAATTCAAAAAGTACGCTCTCCGGCTAGACTTCGAGTCGATATTTTTTTACTTCGATAGGCGCTGTCGCGGCCTGTAGCACGCGTCCATAATTGTGGATTATACAAGAAACCATAGGTTTTGATGTATAATCCTAATTGCATAAGGAGGTGAAGCGAAATGTAACACTGTAGTGGCCCCTTCGTTTTCTCTGCAAACCCGCTAGAAATACCAGAATTTTTTAACGCCAAACACCATAGCAACCACTGCCCTGGATAACCCCTGTGCCACTGCCTGCCTCCATTGGCCTTGTTTGAACTGCTCTGTAAATCCTGAGCACGCCCCAGTGGGGATGGGCCGGGAGGGACTACAGTGTTACATTTCGCTTCACCTCCTTATGCAATTAGGATTATACATCAAAACCTATGGTTTCTTGTATAATCCACAATTGCACTGCAGAGGCTCCGCTTCATGTAACACTGTAGCTATTTGTCGCAGTAACAAACCGCCCACAAGCAACGTGAAGCGAAATGGTGACAAACATTACATCACCGCAGGCCAAGACCAGTGGAAAACAGGAATAAGTACCTGGCTAGAAAAACCACTATACATGTAGTGTCCAAGGTCAGAATACCATCCGAAATAGACCGAATGGGAGTACAGGCAAGAGAAGCCAAAAGAGAGGAAAAATGGGTTGACAACCCATCATGTCGTCATGCACTAGAACAAGACTAGATAAGAGTCCAGAATTACATGTACAACGTGAGTACTTGCGAGTTAGTATTTGCAAATCCAACTCATAGTCCAGGAACCGGACATAGCTAAGTCCGTCGAAGAACCGTGGCCGTGAACTGATCTGCCGCTGTCCGTGCAGGGCTCGCGTCCACTGGCAACAGATAGAAACGCCGAAAGGTAGATGCTGATGACCAATCGGCTTGGTGCAAGATATCCGCTAAGGATACCCCACCGGCATGCGCGGCCGATGTAGCAGCCCCACGCAACGAATGGGCTGAGAATATCGCTGTGTCCACTCCGGCCGCAGTCATACCATCCTTTATCCACCTGGCTATAGAGGACGATGTCACCGGCTTGAAAGGCTGCCGCAGGCTGAGGAAAATCTGCGGATGAGCAGTCTGACGGTGAGGAGCTGTGCGCCTGACATACTCCTGGAAGCAGCTTGATACGCACAAGTGTGGCGTGCTGTCGAAGACAGGCCACACCACGGTGGGAAGGGACGCATCCCCTCGGCAACCAGGCCGACGCTGCTTAGGCATGGAGGCATACGTCACACGGAGAGACCCATCACCCTCAGTAACATGGGAATGGAAATCCAAACGATGCAAATCAGAAGAGCGCTTGGCGCCAGTCAGCGCCATGAGCAGAGCCAGCTTTATTGAAAGCAGGCGTAGAGAGAGGGTAGAATTGTCACCCAGACCACCCATCCAACCCAAGACATCGGAAACTTTCCAAGTATGGGAATACCGGGGTTGTGGAGGACGCTGTTGGAAGACGCCACGCATAAGCCGAACCACCAGGGGATGTTGGCCAACTGGCGCACCATCTAAGCCTGGCAAAGTGGAGGACAGGGCAGAGCGATACACATTCAACGTGCGGTAACTTCGGCCCACGGCAAACATATCAGTTAGAAACTGCAATACTTGTGACACAGGCGGCTGAAAGGAATCAATCCGCCGTTCAGAACACCAACTGTGCCAAGCTGTCCATGCTGACGAATAGGCCGAGTTGGTGGAGTCCCGCCATGATCCCAGGATGAGGGCAATAGTGCCTGATGAAAGGCCTGCCGCCGCATAGGATCGGGAGAGATGAGCCAGCCGGCTAGTTGGAGATGACCGCCCAGCACCATGGGATGAGGTTGATCCAGCGGTGAGGTGAGGAGCGCTGGATGGCCCGGTAATAGAACTGGACATGCTACCAGAAGATGGAGCAGGAGCGGATACCATGGCTGCGCATCCCACACTGGTGCCACCAGCAACACTCTGCACCCCGGGGACCGGCGCACTTTGTGCAGAACCCTCGGCAAGAGAGCAAAGGGTGGAAACGCATACAGGCATTGATCGGCCCATGATATGGCAAGAGCATCCACATCCAGTGCTCCGGGTTGAGGCCCCCAGGACACAAAGCTGTCCAACTGGGCATTGGTCCGTGACGCAAACAGGTCGATCGCCGGCTGCACCTGGAAGTGTTGGCAAAGGCCCCGGAACACTACTGGATCGAGCATCCAGTCGCTCGAATCGACCCCCTGACGGGACGGGGCATCGGCCGGGTTCTCCGCCGACGGTATGTACTCGGCTTGAACTGTGATGCCACGTTCCAGACACCACTCCCACACCTGGCAGGCCAGCTGGGACAAGTGCGGGGCATGTGTGCCGCCCATCTTGTTGAGGTAAGCCTGGCAAGTGGTATTGTCCACAAACAGGCGAACATGAAGCGGACGGTCCAACGCCACCCGGTGGAAGGCCTGAAGTGCCAGAAACGCCGCTGTCAACTCGAGGGCATTGATGTGCATGGAACGCTCTGCCCGAGTCCACCGGCCGCCCACCTGTTGATCCCTGCACACTGCTCCCCAGCCATCGAGGAACGCATCCGAGAACACCACCAGATTGCAGGGTGGGCGAACCAATGACTTCCCGTTCCAGTCGGACAGTCGCTCTTTCCACCACTGTAAATCCAGCCTGGCGTCGGGTGTCCACTGGACGGTCGCCTCGTAAGACTGGGACTCGCGAAGAGCTAGGATCTTGAGCTCCTGCAGATGCCGGTAACGGAGCGGCGCTGTTAGCAGACCCGGAGAAAGGGATGTCAAGCGCCCCAACAGACAGGCTAACGTGCGAACAGTCACCCGTGGCTGCAGCAGAAGCTTGGTGCACTCCTGGCGAAGCTTCCGGATCTTCTCCGGAGGCACCCGCATCTCCATGGCACGAGAGTCCACTTCGAAGCCCAAGAATGAGATGTTCTGGGCAGGAGTCAACACCGACTTCTTGAAGTTGATGAGAAATCCCAGTTGATGTAACAACTGAATTGCCCGGCGCAAGTGCTCCAGTGCTTCCGCCGCCGACGATGCCATAATCAGCAGGTCGTCCAGATAGATAATCAGGCGCACACCTTGGCTGCGCAGAATCGCCATCGGAACCTTCATGAGCTTGGTGAACACCCTTGGCGCGCTGCTCAGGCCGAAAGGCAAGCACTGAAATTGGAACAGCTGACCTGACCACCGAAATCGGAGCAGTCTCCTGAAATCGTGGTGGATTGGCACCACGAAGTAAGCATCCTTCAGGTCCAATTTCACCAGCCAGTCGTCGGGCTGAAGGAGATCGGGCAGCAGCTTCAATCCTTCCATCTTGAAGTGCTCGTAGCGCACGAACCCGTTCAGCGCTTTCAAATTCACCACGGGACGTTCCTTGCCGGAATCCTTCTTTGGAATGGTGAAAATCTGGCTGACGAATTGATGAGGACACTCCTGCACTCGAGTGACGGCCCCTTTCAGCATCAATTCGTCCACTTCGAGCCGCACAGCGAGCGCTCTGTCCTCCTCCAGAGATAATTCCCTGGGCTCCGTGCGTTGTGCGGGATCGGCCACGAGATCCAGCTTCAGGCCCCGCACCGCATCCAAGACCCACGGGTCGGACGTGATTGCCGACCAGGCTTGCACAAAATGCCTCAAACGCCCAGCGACCGGAATTTGGGGGAGCGGGGGCACGAGCGGAGCGCGCGCCAGCTCGTTGTGGGGTGGACTTGGATGGCCGCGAAGATGTACGTTGAGCTGGGAACGCGAACCATCCACCGGCAGGGTCATCAATGACCCTGACCGCGCCCCCGAAAGGGCCGATTGCCTCCACGCCCGTTTTTTGAACTGGCAGTGGCGGAAAAATGACCCTCTCGCCTATGGTTGTCATGGCGGGGAAATGAGCGGTGGCCCCCACGACGCCCACCAGCACTTGCTGGGTAATAATTATGGCCTCTGAAGTTGGAAGGCCGACTATCCTTGTATGCCGGCTTCGGCTTGGACGAGCCTGACGAGCGGCGAAAAGCGTCAATTTCTTGAGTCCGCTTCTTGTATTGTCTGGTAAAATCCTCGCCGAACAACAAGTTCCCAGACGGGGCCATTTCCCGGAGGAGGCTGGACGGGCACTTGTTGGGGAGCTGCCCCGTCAGTCTTTGCCGCCGCATGACCGAGATGCTATTAGCGGCATCACCCACCAAAGACACTGCGACCTGCAGGAGCTGCGTGATCTCCTTGGTTGGTCGCCCAGCATCCACTGCGGCCCAAGCCGCCGAAACGGGCGCAAACGCGGCACATACCCTAGTTTGCACTGCCGCCATGGCTTTATCGGTCTTCCGGCCAAAGCCCAGCGACGGGAGGTCGCGGACAAAATTATCTAGGCGAGGACACTGAGCCTCCTCCACCTCCGGAAATGGGCAGAGTTTTTTCAATTCTGCCTTCTGCTTGGAGGTGAGAGACCGCCGGGCGTTAGCCCGGAGGAATGCCGCAATATGCGCTGGTGGGTGCCAAGAGTCCTTTGCCCCTAAGCGCGACGGGTCAAATACCTCGTCTCCATGGTCACGGTCAGGTGAGGAGTCCGTCCCACTAGAGGAGAAATCCTCGCACGAGGAGCATGACCGACTACTAGATCCGGAGTCCGTGGATGAGGACCGGGAGCGTCGACGACGAGGAGAGATGGAAACTCTCCGCCTAGCTCCCCCGGTCAAGGCCCGGGAGTGGACGACATCGCCGGGTCCCGACCCGGACTCACTCGACGAACGACGACGTCGCCGTTGAGATCGATCCCCAGTCCCGGTTCCATGCCCTCGTACAGAGGGAGCCCTATTATGGGGTTCCGGTGAAGCCGTGGGGGATCGGTCACGATACCCCAAGCTCTGCGAGCGGGGCCTTATGCGGAAGTCCCGTTGAGGGCGCATGCGCGGACTGCCTGCTCGCGGCCTGGCCTTTTCCAGTCCCCGACGGTATTTTTGATGGGAAAATGGCGATCGAGAACGGGAACGACCGTGGCCGAACTCATTGTCGGAAACAAGGACGTTCAAACCTGGGGATTTGTCCCTAGCAAACCGTGCATGGCCACTGTAACCTACAGATTCGTCATCTGAGGCCCGGGGGCTCTCAGTGGCAACCCTGTGTGACTCAAGCCCTGAGGGTCTCGGAGGTGGTGTCTGCTGTGTGCCAATTTGTGAGCCGCCGGCAGTGGCGGAAGGACCTGTTTGTATACCGCCGGAGTGAGCGGGTGGACCATTTTGTATGCCGCTGGCAGAGGCGGATGGACCATTTTGTAATCCGCTGGTAGGGGCGGAGGGACCGACTTGTATTCCGCTGGTTGGGGCGGAGGGACCATTTTGTATCCCGCCGGTGGGGGCGGATGCAGCTTGTAAAGCCAAACGCACCTCAGGGTGAGCCAACAACGAAATAAAATCCGAAGGGTCCATCGTCGTGAAAGCTACGCTAAGGGAAACTGAATCACAAAAGGAAAAGACACGTCAAAGTCACCTACGAAGAGAGAGAAAAACTTGCAAACCACTCTTTACTTGCAGAGAAAACAAGGCCAATGGAGGCAGGCAGTGGCACAGGGGTTATCCAGGGCAGTGGTTGCTATGGTGTTTGGCGTTAAAAAATTCTGGTATTTCTAGCGGGTTTGCAGAGAAAACGAAGGGGCCACTACAGTGTTACATGAAGCGGAGCCTCTGCAGTGCAATCCAAAATGGAGGCGCACGTGACGGGTGCTTTTACTAGTTTTAGTGGCAAGCCGTGAACCCTAAAAGTAAAAGGCTAAAGTTTGATTTCTTTTTCACAACAACTCAATTCGTCCAGTTTCGATAGGCAGTTTCAAGCGGCGTGAGGCCGATCAAAGTATTTGGTGTAGCATTGACTTAGAGTTTGGTGTGCTGAGAGCTAGGTAAAAGCAGTTGCTGTCTGCAGACTGCTGTTTGGACAAAATGAATATCCGCTGTGCAACGGTGAGCAAGCCAAGATTCATTGATTGGCCCTTTTCTGATTTTTGTATTGACTAGTTTGGTTGCACTGCTGCTGTTTTTTAAATTAATTGTAATACTGGTTCTGTCCACTGGACATAATATGCATAGAACACTAACGCAGAATGGGGGTCTTACTCTTAGACACCTGACATGCCGTTTATTTATATCTCTACATGTAGTTCTGAGTTCTGAGGAAGGATTTATTTTTTTATTTTTTACACCTGGTACCTTGTACTTGTACGTGCAAAGGATCGGGGAGTATAACGCGCACTAAAAGAGCACATTTGTGAAGTTTGTCTTCTACTTCTGAGCTAGGGCTATGGAGTGGGGGCCTAAAGAACAGAATACTGCAACTACTTGCTATGCTTGTGGGTTAGGAATTTTTTTAGAGTGCGCTGCACTTCTAAAAGGTATTGAACAAACTAAAAGTGTATAGCTAGGTGCTTTGAGTTGCACGCCATGAATGTGGTGCTGATAGAGCTGTAGTTCTTCAACGCTCTAGCCGAAGCCACAATGAGTGTTCGGTATTCATAGCCCCCATGAGCTATAGATAATGTACCAGTGCTCAATCTCGGACAGCTAGCTGTTTCAACCTTGTTAAGTCTTGTCAGCAGAGCTCAGAGTTGCTGGCAGAACCGATTGCAATGAAGTCTGATGAACAGCAAAGCATTTTAACTGGCTCAAAGCACCAAGGCCAGAGTACTCTAACTGTGATTAACACGGCGAGCAATAAGGTCATGCGTTGGAGAACTATTTCAGAGTGAATAAGATATGCTAGTTTAAAAGAATTGTCAGTACTGTGCTTGATCAAGAACAGCACCATTTGCAATTGCGATTTTTGTGATGGCTATTTTGGTGCAAAGAATTTTAGAAACCGAGACATGCCAGTTCATGTACATCATGCGCAAGGAATCGCATAAACCAGGAGAGGACACACCACTGATTTCTGAGGATCCCGTTAGACACAGTTCGATATCGGTACATTTTTCCTGATCGTGAGGATCCAGTTAGACGCAGTTCACAGATATCGGTACAATTTTTTTCCTGGTGAGTACATGTACTTCAAAAAAGTACTTCTCCAGACTTGAAAATTCATGGCTCAACTGACCACAAGAAAACCATCTGGGAGTCGGCTATCCACGACTGTTTCTCTTACTTTGAAGTAGTGCTTTTGGCTAGTTGTGGGGTGTGCTGACTACTCAAACCCAACTAAACAGAAGATTGTGAATGCGATTGAAATTTGGTGATTCTTTTCAAGAGTCCTGAGGCTCCCACGAGTTTTATGCGGGAGCTTTCCTAAGAATCGGAATTGTGAGAGACAGCGTCCATACTTTAGCACCCTGGGGTCCTCTCCTGTGTTTGTCTGATGGTTTCTCACGCATGAGAAACCATCAGTAGTAAGTACTGTAGTTGTTGAGTGCTTTTCCACCTCTGAAGTGTTTTTGTCGCATGAGCATCCCCCCTCCGAATTGTGGTTCTGAAAGACACGGGAAGTTTACCGGTATGTGTACGTATGGCAATTTTGTAACTGGACATGACTCACCCACCCACTTACAGTCGTAGCCAAAGAAATCCGACCCGTGAGTCAAACGTAGCGCCGCGTTTCCACTTCAATGACATCATGCATGTTCGCGAAAATGATACGAGGGCCACAAGAGCCTTGGCGCTGCTTTCGGCACATGGGTTGGATTTCTTTGGCAACTAGATCTACCGGTATGTTTATTGCAGACACCGTAGCATGACAACCAAGCTAGGTGTTCACAAAGTTGGTAAAGCACTTAGTTGTATTGCGCACACTCATCTGACACTCGGATGGTGAGCCAAAAAAAATATGGTGAAAAAAGGAGAAGGACATAACTCGTCATAACTCGTAACATTTTGTCCTTCTCCTTTTTTTATCATCTGACACTTACAAAAACGTTGGTATTTGTTGGTGGTGTACCTGCATTATATTTATCACATGTTTGCATGACCTTACATTGCTTTTTAAACTTCTCTGGTTTGTCTGTGTGTGCCCAGCCCGAGGATCTGCTGAACATCCAGCACTGTAATCTGCTATGCTTGCCTGAAAATTATGCAATGAAATACTACATGTACCACAGCCTTTCCTGGCCCCAGGTAAGCGGTTGTGCTGGTACATGTGTACATCGAAGTATGTTACATAGTACTCTGTGGTTACATGGGCACTGTGTGTGTGTGTGTGGGGGGGTGTATGTGCGTGTGTGTGTGCGTGTATGCGTGTGTGTGGCATTACCCTCCCAGTTTGGTTTTGTCTGACATAGTCCTACAGATGTGACAGTCTTCTTTGAGTTGATGTTGGGATATTTCCAATGTTTGCAAATACAATGAAACAGCAGTATGAAGTTCTAGGATATGACATACTTTTTTCTCTTTGCACCGGCTATACATTCATACCCCAGCTATGCGGTCACCGAAGCACTTCAGTCCACAGGGCACACTCTGGGCGAGTTTCAGACGAAACTATACCACTCTTTTGTGAGAATAGTGACGTCATAGGCCATATCTGTGGCCTTTCGAATTTCCCCATTAAAGCGTATGTGATTCAGAGTCTCAGACATTTGAAGGTTACGGGCAGTGTTCGATACAGTCTGCAACATGCTTAGCTATCTCTCACCTTACGTGTAGTTCAGCACAGGATCGGATTGTGGTGGTCCTTTTCTGACGTCCCCTAATTCCCAGGAACTGACACCATCATGTGCCCGTGATTTGCTGCTTCCTTTCAGGTATCGTACGTAGCGGAAGATGAGAGCGGTCGCATCGTTGGATATGTTCTGGCTAAAATGTATGTCACCCTGTGCATTTTCTTCAAATAAAATACTTCTGTTGTTGCCTAGCTTGCTCTTCACTAAACGTGTATGATATGTTTCTCATTACTCCTTCCCAACACACACTCATAATGGTCTCTTTGCTGCAAACAGACTCCTATTCTTCTGACACCAAATGTTCGGGCCTGGCTCATCATCAGGATGTTGAATCAAACTGAAAGCAAACAAACAAACAAGAAATGTAATAGATAAACCTTGCAGTGTAATAGAGCAGTGAATGTTGTTGAGAAACGTGTCAGCTTGGGTGTAACCTAGGTGTGGACAGTAGGAGAGCAGGTAAAATGGGAGGGGACAGAAGTGCGGAGCTGTGTATGTGTGTTTGTGAGGCATGGTACTGCCAACAGGTGTTGTGGCTGGAGACTGCTGGACACAGTGTGATGTGTATTGGTGTGGTAATGGACCTTGTCTTTGAGTGAGATATTGCACATCGTGCTTGATGACACAATAATAATGTGTTTTTAAACTTGTTATGCGCGCTAGCTTGTTGTGTAATGCTTCGCAGCAGTATGTCTTTACTTTTGTTATCACACGTATGGCTCCAGATCCGAATCATGATATTGTTCACACTGACATCCACACACACATACACAGCTCTGCACTTCTCTCCCCTCCCTTTTCACCAGCTCTCTGACTCAACTGGCGCGTGTACTCGTGAAACCTCGCATTTATGCGTATTTTTGGTGGCTTTTGGGGCGTCATGCGTGTGGAAAAACGCCGAAATGGAAATGTTGTATTTCTCAGCGCGTATATGCCAGTCACTTTGAATGGCGGGGTCAAGAAATTAATGCTCAAAGGCTTCGCGCGCACTAAAATAGGACTTGAATTGCTGTTTTCTGTGAAAGCCTCAACGCGCGTTTGGGCGCACATGAACCGCAAACGTACCGCGTACATGTGCCAGTTGTGAACACAGTTTTTCTCTTCACATCGTAGCTGACACATCTCTCACCACAAGCCACTGCTCCATTACTCTTCAAGGTGTATCTATCACAGGTCTTGTTTGCTTGCCTTCAGTTTGATTGTACATCCTGATGATAGGCCAGGCCCAAACCTTTGGTGCAATGAGAGGAGAAGTTTATTCGCAGCAAAGAGACCATTGAGTGTGTGTTTTGGGAATGAGTGATGAGTAGTGTGTAATGGCTGCAGTGTGCGAGTTCTTAGAAAATGGACCATATGAACCCCTTATCTGTGGCTTTGCACAAGGTCAGTTGCTTGTGATTTTGCCACTGCCTCAATCCTTTTGTGTTCTATTCTTTACATCTTGTGAAATATTTTAATTTGTTGTCTCGTTTGTTGTTGTTGTTGTTGTTTTTTGCAACAGGGAAGAAGACAGTGAAGATGCGCCGCATGGACACATTACATCAGTTGTACGTTTCTAGATGTGTTTGTGACCCATTTTATCGGTACACTGAATATTTGGCCATCGTGAAAACTAAATGTAGTCATTGTCGTGCAGATTGAGTGTAGTTATTGTCGTACGGGTATTAAATGTACTTATAGTCTCTGTTGACCCCTTCCACAGTGTCGATAATCATACAATGTCTTTCCATAGTACAGTATTGCTTAGCGTATTGCTCTGCTTTTTCCCTTGTCTGTCTTGCAGGCAGTCAAGCGCTCATGCCGACGCCTTGGTCTTGCACAGAAGATGATGATCCAGGTGAGGGAGCGACTATGTGAATGGGACATGTTAGGTTATGGCTGCCTACTTGTAGGATCTTGTAAATTTCGCTATTTTCACGACCACCACGCATTCGCGAAATATAATCGTCGCTAGCTGCTTTGTGTATTGCTGTAAACACTACACAGAAGCCAGCTGAAGACATAAAATCGCGAAAGTTTCTCATCGTGAACCAGTACAATTCTTGAAAACGCAAAATTTGTACGCAGCGAAAGTTTCTCGTTTTACAGTGTCATGAAGAAGCGATCTGCAAATTCACAAGAAACACCATTTATGTTGACTTTCCTAGCTTCCTCTAACATATCCGTGGTCTCTTACCACCTGGATACAGTAGGACCCACTAACACACTTTAAGACGTAAAAGACAACTAGGACTGGAATACGTCTTTTGCATTGCAGTCGGGCTCGGATGTGGCAGCATTACAATTACAACAGATCCTGAATCATATTGGGAAATGATGCCTGCAGCATATTGTGTCCAGCATGCCAAGGTCAACCTCAGGGACGTGTTGGTAATATGAACATGTTTACTTGACTGCTGGAGCCTCGATATATATCCAGGAAGTGGGTCGCGCTTTGCTGTTTCATTGACTGCTGCTGCGCCTGAGAGTGTGTTTCAGATCCATGTTGGCGTACTGGTATTTGTGTGGTTGAGTGCAGTACATGTATGCGTTCATTGTGTGATATAGTATTATGTCTTCCCTGTCCCGTCAATAACGTGTGCTTGTTTGTGCAGTCCTACCAAGCAATGGTGGAAAACTTCAATGCGGAATATGTATCACTCCACGTCAGAAAGAGGTAAGCACCCACCCCTTGTCCATCGGTAGGGTGTCCCACTCTGGCAAGGCTGTGGCCGTCTGGCAATAATTCTTCATTCTCCAAGTCACTGTTATCGGTAGTTGTATGAGCAGCTACTGTAAACCCGGAAACCTTTGCGATCCGGAATCCTTCAGGTTTGGTACTCCACCAATGTCAAGCTGCAGTCATCACACCATATCATTGCACTGTTATGACCATCATGCCCAGACAATCATTTTTTTTTCAAGCTCTCATTGGCTGCACAGCACTGGAGCGTATACATGTCCATGTACTATTACTGTATCTATAGCATTGTAGGGCTGTGTGACCATGTCGGGTGGCGTTTTCTTCAGGTATAGGATTGAGGTATTTCTACGGGCAACATGGGTACCCTGTCGGGCAGTATAAGTGTAAAAACAGTACATCTCTTTGTATCCTTATACTAAATTACATGTACTTTATAGGCAGAAAATTTCGTCGATCAATAATTTCGTCCAACTCTAAAGAAAGGGAGTTCGCCCGGTTGTAAATTTCGTCCATGGATCATAAGAGTCACTCGGTGTATTGAAAAGCTGCACAAATCGACATTAGTCCGTCATTTAATATAGTCCAAAAGCTCCTTGGACGAAAAAGACGGAATTAAATTCCAGACGAAAATTTCTGCTTGTACAGTATACAGTAGTACAGGTGAATTGTGCCCTCTTGGTGAGTTGGAGTTCATTGTAATCCTCTCTCCAAGAGCTTTCCAGGAAGCCTGCATTAACTCTGCCTGCGTAGACTCATGTCATGCCAGTATGCTAATTTCGTTTTCAATCATTGTCTCTCCCTGTGTATTTTCTCTCTCTCTCTATCTATCTATCTCTCTTGTGTATTTCTCTCTGGCATTCTTGCTTATCAGCAATCGTGCTGCTCTGCATTTATATCGGGATTCATTGACCTTTACGTAAGTTAACTTATCCATAGAAATTCACTTTGAGCGCAGAATTGTGCCTTGATAAGGAAAATTTGAGGGAAGGAGAGTGTGTGTGTGTGTGTGTTTGTGTGCTTGTAGTTTCAACCAATAACTCTATACAGAGCAAGAAGAAATGTGTGTTAGATATCATGCATGTAACACTGAATTCCACTGAGACTGTGCTAGTCATGCATGTAAGGGGCCATCCGTAATTATCGATCTTTTTCACGAAACGAAAAAGTTTCGTTTATGGGTGGGTGGGTAGCGACCGGTTTCGTTTTGAAAAAACATCGAAAGCGGAAAAATCAACGCTCACTGCATGCATTGATGCATGCATACATTGTGTACATCGAAGTAGATCGACAGTAGACCTGGTAGACTCTAGACTAGTCTACGTCGCGCGGCCAAGCAAGTGCTGCATGGATGCAGTGATACCACTCTGTACTCAGTGCAGTGAGTTCCTTTCGTCCTCGGATTACTTCACCGACGAGGACCTAGCAGTCATCATGGTCATTCACTCTGGGACCGACGACAGATAGATAAATACTTCGTTCCAGCCGCCGATGCAAGAGAATTTCAAATTACGGAGTGGGGCGCACGCCAAGTAAATTCTCACGCAAATATGGGGAGCGCCAGCCGCTGAAGACGATGTTGTCGTAATGTACCTGGAAGAGTCTGATCGTGCTTATGGTGGGGAAGCCATGGAGAGCGATCCCCGTGTCGACAGTCTTCCAGAGACGGAAAATTAGGCCATCGACTTTCTACGTACCTGATTGACGGCAGCGCAGCGCGGCGTGTGTGCGACCTTAGGGAGCTTTCCGACAGCGATTCTGGGGCGATGCTGCTCTCATTTGCGAGCGAGGCACGACCACTGAAGTCTGTGATAGCTATGGCTTTTGTTTCCGCTCCGAAGTCGACTTGTTTTGGCAGTATCATGTCAATGTCGGAACTCTGACGATTTGCAAGTGTACAATTCCCGTGTTTAGACGTAGAGGTGCCAGCAGCGTATGTGTGTGGTAGGTGAAAATAAATGTGTCCATGGTCAAGAAGTACCGGTAGTACCAGACTTCCAAGAAAACATAACTGACGTTGTTACTTACTTGCACAATCACACAAAATGTGGCCTCGCTGTGTTGTAACAGCCAATCAAGATCATTTTCTGCACAAAGTCTCAAGTCAATTAATTTTTTCGTTTCAGGGGGGTGGGTGGGTGGGGGTGGGTCATAACTAAACTTTTTCGTTTCGTGAAAAAGATCGATAATTACGGATGGCCCCTAACACTGAATTCCACTGAGACTGTGCTAGTCATGGATGCAGACTGTGGTAGTAATGTTTCGAAAGGCGCTCACAGCGCCCCAGTATTAGAGACTGTGCTAGTAATGGACACCCGCGCTTATAATAGAGAATATACGGTATACGCTGTTGTGGTGATGCATCGCTCTGTAATATACTACCCAGTATTCAGTGTGGGTGGTTTGTGCTTGTGCGTTGCTGGACTGGAATGTCGGTCTTTTGCTTGGTGTTCTCTGGCTTCTTCAGGATCACCGAAATTGAGTCAAAGTACTATGCAGATGGTGAAGATGCATATGCAATGAAGCGAGACCTTTCGTCAGTGAAAGCTGAGCTTGCTGAACAGCGCAAGGCAGATAAGCGAGAGAGTAAACTTCTTCAGCTGGTTCGCCAACGTGTAGCCAACACTGTAAGTTGCTTTTCTGTGTTTTGTTAGTTACCCTAATCCCGCTGCCCCCCCCCCCCCCCCCCCCCACACACACACACACGCTGTGTCACTTCCTAGCATGCTCGGATATTGAATACCGTAAAGTCGCGGATAAAAGCCGGGCTTATAAGCACATAAGCCGGTTTCTGCATCAGGCTTGTATGCAAACCATGCTTACATGCACTACTGATATTTTTGGCTAGGCTTGTATTCACGTTTACTATGCACTGTACATAGTGCATGCACTCTTGACCTACCCGATCCGCGCTTGCACAGAAGCCAGGCTTCTACGCGCGACAGGCTTATATGCATTTGACCCGTTTGATTTTCAGGCTTCTATCCGCGATGTGCTTGTATGCAAACCCGGCTTTTATCCGCGACTTTACGGTATTGATTATGCAAAGTAACTTCTCCATGCACTGGATGCAAGTTGATACTTGCAGTTTTCAAGTTCGCGCTTTACCCGCCGACTTGGCTTCACGCTTGACTAACTTATGACTGCCATCCACGGCACAAGAGAAGTCGATCGAACCTTTGACTGGGTAAACCTCTAACAAAAAAAGCACTATACACGCTCAATACACAGTGTTTTGGGAATTCACCTCTCATCAGTTGAGCTTGAGAAAGCTGAGGAAAGCCTACAAAAGGACCACTTTTATATTGCTTTCATCATGGGTACAGACTTGCAGACACGCTCTGTTTCCAGCGTGACTGACGCCACACACTACACGTCATCCATGGACAATACTAATACTGATCACGCTGCTACAAACGTTTCTGAGAATACGCAACGAGTTGTTGCTACAGCTATGCACCATCGCAAAATTGAGGAAGGCAGAGGTTGAAAAATATTAGACCCGCCAAGTACATCCAGACTAGTACTAGTAATACAGTCATGTATAAATAAATTAATACTGTAAGACATGTTATTATAACGAGTCGCAAATTTAACGATTGTCCAAAATTCATAGGTTAACGAGAAGATATGTTAACGATCTTGCAGTATTCTTCCATATCCACACACAGCATATATGAAGCAGTACGGCCTCAACGGATCTTATTATAACGAAGAAATGTCATCCGTTAAAACGTTAGGTTTGCTTCCTCGTTATATATACATGTCTTACAGTATGCACTATGGCCGGTATGGCCGGTAGTTCAGCTTATTTTTAAAGCTCTTAGCTGTACTGATGAGGCCTTTGTGGCCGGAACAACTTGCTCATGCTGTCTACAGCATTGCGTAAATAAATTAATATGTTGCTCTCTTTCTCTTTCTAGTTCGGATATTGAGCCAATAATAAATGTAAAAGAGAGAAGAAAGCACGTGAGAACGAGTTATGCAGCAACTATCCATGTCTGTTACAAGATGATAAGCAGTTAGAAAGTGCGATAATAGGGCACAAAACTGACAAGCTACTGAGACATTTAGCGACCTGGGACCTAGCTCTAGTCTAACACACCTCCAGTGCGCAAACCAACAGCCTTCCAACTAACGTTACTTGGAACTTTTTGGTCGTTAAACTTTCCGGTTTTACAGTACAGGACTTCTGCATAGGAAAGTACTGACCCCTGACATGTTTGGCTGCTATTCGGACATAATCCTTTTTTGGACCGGTTTTCGGAAGAGCCTTCAAAATCGGACACTGTCCGAAAAATCAGACGGTTTGGCAGCACTGAATTCGAAGCAGCAAAGCAACACACCACCCTTTACTTGGGTGGGTCAGCAATATCAGAGATAAAGGAAGGGGGAAGTTTTGCGAAAATGAATTATACAAAACCAGGTCTCAGGTCGCTGAATGCCTCAGTAGCTTGTCAGTTATGTGCCCTATTATCACACTTTCTGACGGTTAATCATCTTGTAACAGTCGTGGATACATGTAGTTGCTGCATAACTTGTTCTCATGTGTTTTCTTCTCTTTTTTACATCTCTTTCTAGTCATAAATGTAACCATGCTTCCTATCTCTGTGCTTTCTTGCAGCAATCCAACCCAGCAGAAACGTCTTGAAGCTCACCTTCAGTCAGTTTCTTTTACCAAGGCGTCTGCCCCAGCGCGCCCCGCGTGTACAAGGTCCGTTACCAAACCAGACAAGATCACCTCTGTACATACAATTGTACATGTAGACCAGTTGGTGATGAGTTGAGCTTGATTGCTTTACTAATCTCAACCCCCTCCCCCCCCCCCCCCTTTCTACCTCTACTACCTCTAGGTAGATTTCTCTGTCTTGATTCCTGCTGGACATGTACGAGTCGCTGGATTTTTTTCTTATTTTCAAATGCTTCCTGTGCCTTTCTTGCAGCAAGCTGTTTGAATTCTCAGCTCGGGCCTGCAAACGGTACCCTGATATGCACTATCTTTGGCTATGCGCGTGGTGGTGTCTACATTTATCATCAAGAGTTCGTAAACTGGTGTATGCAACTCGCCCAGTGGTGTGGAGAAGCGTAATTCTACGTTCATGTCATTTTTACTTGTTCACCCGTTGGTTCCTGTTCTTCTGCAGTGCCACACGATCGTCCCCTGTACATGCCAGGTCCTGCTGCTCTATCGGGGATTCTTTGTTGCAGCGGTTATTGTGATGTACCCATGTGGTTCAGTTACTAGTACATGTACATGCTTCCAAGTATGGTGGGGGGGGGGGGGGGGCAGGATGTGACAGAAGGGGAATAAACTCTTCATAACCCAAGGAATAGCGGCAAGTACGGAGTTGTAAAAATACTGTATAACTCACTTACATGTATCAGTATGCTTCTTCCTGGCTGAAAGGTCCGTGCCCTGTGAAGCCAACTCCAGAGTCCAGGCTACCCGCTCACAGCTGACTACAATGTAGTGAGCAGGATGCAAGCCCACATTGTTTAGAGGTTTATGCGAATAATTATTTCATGGTGCCGTGGTGAGTCAGCGGATTCGCTTATGGGCGCTATCAAGAGTACATAACCCCCAGTTACGTACTCTTGGCGCTATGTATGCAGCATGAGTCGCTGGCGCTAGTGCAAGTGTGGTGCTGTGCAGCAACTTGGCCAAAGCATCTCAACTGATGGTGTAACTGTTAACTGCATAACCTCTATTGGTTTTGGGGAAATATATCACAAAGTCTTTGTAACACCTGATTACTAGCTTTACCCCGTTCTGAGACTGCCGAGTACTAGTATTTTCGTTGGGGATGCCATCCCCAGCGAAAATACTCTTGCTATGAACGGTCCCCATCATGGGGACCGTTCATAGCAAGAGTACGTAGATCTACGACCCCGAGGGTTATGTACACTCCGAACGTGTCTATACTATAGCCAAACTCCTATTTTACTCACCATAGCCATGCTATGTCTGTGAACCTGGTGAAACCCGCATCAAAAGATGAGTCTGTTAGTGTTAGTGCGGAGCATCAGCAAATCGAATTTTCGATTTGATTATTCGAATGGCAAAAAGAAAATCAGAGAGAAAATTCGAATGAAAAAGAGGTTCAGCATGTAGCGCAGTCCAGTATTTTCGAATCGAGTTTTTTTTAGCTTGAGCAGTTGAGGACTGGGATTTTGAGATGTGAAATGAACGGAGTTGCTGTTGTTTCTCATTGCCTTTGGGGATGACGCGAAGCGGCGGATGCTTCATCCGATTCAGGCTATTGGCGATAGGATCTCTCTTGGAGACCCCTTGAAAAGGCGGATCTCGGCCGAGCTCCTCCGCTATCCCTTGCATATCAGGAGACCCGCGGACGAATAGGTGAGGGTGGGCCCTACACTGCCTCAGCAGAATGAGATCCATGGTAAGGTCGACCCTCAAATATTTGGCACACTTTGAGTTGCCCTCTCCCTGCGGGGAACTCACCATAGACGCAGCCAACGCCAGCAGGGCTACTGCAGTACTGGGAGCAGGAGGCATACCGGGGCTGGTAGTTGGTGACAAAGCCATGATTCCAGGATACTTGAAATGAAACAAAATGCACACTTGATAAAACTTTTCACAGTTCGAGAGAGAGGAAAGCGTCAAGATTGACAAGAAGTCCGGAGTACTTTGTCTTTAGTAAGAACTAGTAGCTACATGCGCAAGAATGAGTACTCGTAGTGCGCCGTGTACTAGAGCACGCGCGGAGCATTCGAAAAGTATTCGAAAAGTATTTTCTGTTTGCGGGCATTTTTCAGTCGAACAAAGCCCTAGTTTCGACTGATTGAGTGCTTTTCGTGACGATTCTCGAATTTCATTCGAATATTCGATTTGCTGATGCTCCTTAGTGACAATGATTATGTGTCTCTGTGAAGTATGAATGATACAATCATGTAGACATCTACAATGCACCCTGCCAGTGCTACAGTACTATACAGTCAATGAGTCATGTACTTGCTAGCCATGCGCCAGGCTACCGGTAGCCTGATGCCAGTGATGGAGTGTTTCTTTCATCAAGAGTACATAAATTATGTACTTTTGCTGTTGGAGTCAAGCCATTTTCGGTCATCGCGTCCGATCCTTTTCAAGAGTAGACCCTCCCATCGCCGATATCGCCTGACAGCCCAGGGTGTCATGACCGGGTCACGGTCGGCGATCTGGTTTTGCAATGGAGGCAGAAATCCCAGCCGCAAAGGATGCATCAACGACGCTAGGCTCAGCTCTGAAAAACTTTCTTCGTTGAAACACGAATCGTAGCGGGTCTAAAACTCGTTGTTGTATCAAGAATTCGAGATGGCTGTTCAAGCGGCGCTAGCCCGACGTCGTGGACGCTTGGCCGCAATGGCAACTATGTACGTTTGCGCTGTGATTCTGCTTAGTACATTCGTTGGGCCGTCGACAGGTCAGGGAGATATTCTGGTTCCTGGAACAGGCGTCGAACAAACGTGTGGTTTTGATCTGCTCGTTAGGCTGGTTGTCTCCAACACTTGTCAGGTAAGAGCAACTGATAATGGTCTTCTAGTCATGAATGGCTCAGCGAGGGTAACTTACTTCGAAGTTTCTTGCAGTGAACAGGTGAAGGGGAATGATTTCCCCCAGGTGGTAGAGAACATAACTAACTTGTCATAAGACTTTTCAAACGCTGCTTGCTGTCACATGGCGTGCACTGATATGCATAAAGCATAACGTGTGATGGCATTGATAATGATACATTATAATTATAGCGAGACAAGATGGGGCCCGGGTTAGCTGGTAACGCCTCCCAGTCCCATGCAGGCATCTGAGCGTAGCAGGTCTGGGACCATATGTGACTTCAGTGGTTTGGGTGTCCAGGCCGCTACAATACAAATCCCTCCCGGCTCTCACTCCATCAGCCATCATGACTCTGATTGGCGATTCATTATGCATGCTCAGGTGATGTCAATCGTAACACTTTACAGTGCATATGAAATAACTCTTCCAACCACAGCATCATGTGTGGCTGTCATTCTAGCAAGGGCACTAGAGAAGCCGTACCGAAATAAAAACAGTTTCGGTCACGGGAACATAAACAGTGCCTCATTGCGAGGCATGCACGTCCCAGAGCTGCCGAAATCAAAGATGTTGCCCGCCACCTAATCGGGTAGACTGGCAACCCAGAACGTTCACAGCTGGTCAACGCATGTAATCAGCAATACCAAGGTTAGCTTCCTGGATCAACTGTTTATGAGCAGACACCGCCCGGTGGTGTTGGGTTGGCACCATGCTACACATGGTAAGCACTTAGCCCCGCAGGATATGCGTGTTACTGTAGCTCCCCACATGACTCGTACGGGCATGTGCAAGCCTGGTGCATGGGGCCATTTCAATCTGTGCTTGCCATGCCAACGGTTGTCATGTGTCTGTACTTGTGCTCGCAGGGGTGCGGCAAGACCTACAACGCAGCACAGACATGGTCATTCCGACTGCTGAACGCCGGTTTGAACTGCGGCTGCGGGCCTATTTGCTCTGTTGCTGGGTACCATCTGTTCTCCATATGCCTGGACACAATTCACGGTAAGCCTGAGAGGCACGGTACACCACGGTACACTACGCTACATGTTTGGTATACCAACCTGACAGACTGAAACAGTCATGCACTTCGGCGAAATTGACTAGAATGCGGATGTACACTATGACCGGCCAGCCTAATGAGTTCGCTGGCCTGTAATGCCTGGCTCTGCACTGTGCAGCCGGACTGACATGCGCTTTTCGGACCGGATGTTGCCTGTCTGAGTTTACTTCACTGGTGATGAATTTAATTGTGGCCACTGAGGTACATGAATCATGCCGGTGTATGATGAGTACGAAAACAAGCTCTTAACCAAAAGCAGGCAGGACCACACTCATAGTATCCTATCTGAACCGGCCAAAACATATTTACACTGAGTGACTTAATCCCTTTTCAACTCCCTCAATTGATGACGAAATATCTACGATTTATACAAAAGAGAAAGACCAAGGAACTACAAGTTACGCTATCCTGTCCACTACTGTAAATATACAAAATTTCGGCGCTGCAAAATTTTGGCACCTCACGATTTTTGACATTTCGGCGGCGATTTATTTTCGGCGTAGGGTAGAGGGCATGGTATAGTGCGACAGATGCTGTGAAAAATTTCATCGGCGTTTTAATTTAGGCGTTTTTGGGTCGGTGCCGAATATAGCCGAAATTAAATAGCTGCCGAAAATTTGTATATTTACAGTAATACCACTTTCTCTTTTGTATAAATTAAACCTTGGCTCTCCATCTGAGTCCATTCCTGCACACCAAATATTTACGATAATAATAATTACACAACGGAACAGTTACTCGGTGATTGCCTAAACATTTTATCAAGTGTGAGTCACAACAATTGATCTGCGTCACAACAGCTTTTCCCTGCTTGGCCATGTGCGATCTGCTCAGGTGGGTCTCTCCAATGGGGCAGGAGACGCCGTGATATCGAATCGGGACCAGCTGCCAACTTTGATGACATGCTCTCAGAGCTGATGTCCAACAGTTCCGTACCGCGCACGGTCACAACTGAGGAGCTCTATGAGGAGCTGCGAGCAGCTCAGAGTCGCTTGATTGAGCTGAAATTAGCAACTGTAAGTAATACTAGCGTGCATTGAACTATTCCATGGCCATTTGGACTTTAGCCACTGGTTGTGACTTCTGACCCCAGATCAGTTGCATCAGTTATGCATATGTCAGAAGACTTACGTATACCGGTAAGGCGGTATACGGGCTGGGATCCCAGACGGCAACACTCATAGCATGTGCTCCGGATCCATTTCAAATGCATTTGTACTGCATTCAACGAAATCCAGTGAGCCCACAGTCTGGGCCTGCAGGGAGTTGTGTGGCTGTCTGCCAGGGAGTGTTATTTTTACTTCTCACGGTGTTGCCCGCTACACACACACACTGGTCATGCACAGTGATGCGAGTATGTTTCCGCTGAGTCAGTGGACCCCATAGCAAACCCATGCAGCACTCCGTGCCCCAGATATTAGCAAGAGTACAGCTATATGCAATCTCAATACATGTAACTACGGTTACTTGTACTGTGGGGATGTGTATGAGTGCCAGGGCTGTAGCCGCTAAAGTGACATAGCATGGTATTCCTCCTTCCCGTTTGGGACGCACCTTTCAAACTGTAGGCGCTACTGTGCAATGCATAGTAGACAGATAGACAGACAGGTGAACACAGGTTATAGATAGCGTCTCTGGGGAATTGTCTCGTATTGACTCTGAATTTCTTCACGGTTTTGCCCATGTGTGGCTCCCTGCAGCATCCGCACCCCAATTCCACGCAGGCCATAAATGCGGATGGGCCACTGAGCGCAAGTGCCAGGCTACGCAGGATAGTCACAAACAAACGCCGTCGACGCGACGCGGCATCTATCACCAGCTGCTTCATCAACTGGGACGACATTCCAATGAATTTGGCGTGCTGTCTCTCATCGGCTGGGTGCTCTGCTCTGGGGATGCGCGAGTATTGCTAAGGACGTGCTTGCCACTCTGCATCGCTGTCAGTACGGCACTTCAACATCACGATCAATACAAGTAGAGGATGCCAATGGTGACTCCGCGTTCAACCAGCTGGCCTGCTAAACCCTCTAACTTGACAGACACCATAGCCGGGCCCAAAAAATGAGATGGTAGGTGACTGGAGATCTCCTGCTGTGTCATGCTAGAACGTTGAATGCTTTTGTAGTACCATAGCCCCTATTCAAAGGAGTACGTACTTATCTGCCAGAGCTGGACGCTGGCCACCTTAGTTATGCTTTTAATTTATTAGTTATGTCTAAACCAAGCAAACCGAGGAACGGTTAGCATCACAATTCACCCAGAGTACCCAGTAATAAGCACAGCTACACCCTCATATACTCAGTAGTTAGTAGGATTCTGAAGTAATATTTTTTATTCATAAGCCATTGAGAGAGTTTAGCCTAGTTTGCCTTTTCACCTTCCGGAATGCATTCAAGAAGCTGTTCATTTGTCTTTCATTGATTAAACCGTACAAGTCACGCATGCCGACAGTACAGTCAGTATTACATTTTTTTGCTAGGATTAGGGGTGAAAGTTGGCACTGAGATCCCGAGTTCGAGTACTCTGATTTTCTCCGATCGAATATTCGAGTATTCGAGTATTCTTCATCTCCTAAAAATTGCACACCAAGGGCCTTAAAATCACATGATACAACCCTGATTGAACCGAGTAGCGGTCATTTTTCTCGGGTATATTGGTTGGTGGGTCATTTGGGCTCTCTCTACTCGTGAACAAATGTTCACCACACAGTCTGCACATCAATATCTGCCGACTGCTGCTCTGAAACTGCAGATTTCTGTGGTTAATGCATGTACCATGTATGAACGAGTACAGTCAGACCTCGTTTATCCGGTCCTCGTTTATCCGGATCCCTCGCCATCCGGAAGAAAATCGCTGGTTACCGATGTGCAGCATATGTCATGCATACAACATAACCGGACCTCGCGATCCGCATACCGGTGCATGATTTTGTGTACAAACTGGTTAAAATGTGTGCAAAAAGCTTCGTCGTATCCGGTTGCATGTGGCTGGCTAGCGCTTGCAGAAGCTAGTATCAGGGAGTTGTACAAGCAAATGAGGTCCTTGACCTGCTGGGTGTATGCGGACAGCACTCAGTTGCATGCACTTGTCATTTTCCTCACTTGTTTTACATACTGGGCACGCTAGTTGTACTGCATAGGACCTGTCTACATGTATGTACGATGTCACTGCTTTTGACATGCCACATGCTTATACAGTATGTGTGTTCAGTTATCCGGTTATCTCGCCTATCCGGATATTTTTGTGGAAAACAGATGTGTGCGGTTAAGCGAGGTCTGACTGTACTCTGTTTTATTCCGAGTACGATTATGTTTGAAAATCCGAGCGAGTACTCGAGTATTCGGTATAATTGTTTCACCCCTAGCTAGGATTGTTTTCAGAGCTGCCCTGCAATGCACGCATCGACACTCATGCGACAGTCTTCTTGCACTCCCAATGCAATAAAAGGCCAAACCAACCGGACTACAAGTCGTGGAGCTTGATCATGAATCGCTAGAGCCACTTTTGATACAATAACAACAACAAAAACCCATGTTTTGCAACAATATGCTAGTTTCGCAAGAATATGCTAGTTTTCTGCGAAACCTGCTGATTATGCTAGTGTAATGCTAGTTTCCAGAAAGTGCTAAATATGCTAGATATAATGCTAGCATTATCCGCCGGGGCCTAGCTACACGCCATGGTTTGCATTACCTACATACAGGAATTATGTCACTGCGGAGTTGCTTGCATGATGTGGCCACTACACATGATCGGTTAGGAGGGACAGACGGCCATCGCGGCTCCTCTGGTCTAGGGCAGCCAGGTGCACGGCAGTGGCACATTATCACAACACGGCACACCAAGAACATGTAAATCGCTGTATTTTGAAACCATAGCCGGGCATGGCTCAGTTGAGGCCAGTATCACTATCAGTGCTGGTAAAATATCGAATGCATGTGCAGGGGAGTCCACGGCCATACTGGCAGCTATTATAATACAAGTGATACCGGTATATTATTATGCGAGGCGCCAGATTGAAAGTACCAGTTTTGGATGCCTGAATGCGCTGTAGCCCGCACAGTTGTAGCTACACAGTGTATGTTTGCAGGCATGTAGCATAGCATAAGCCTCGATCATGGGCCTCCATACACGGATACAGTGTATTGTCTTGTGCCCCCCCCCGCTTCCCAATATCAGTTCACCACATCACTATTTGGCCCCCACCCCGGGTGACTGCCGGAGTCGTCAAGTCAGTGACTCGGACTCCCTTCTCTGCAGTTTTCGTGGCAGGGTCTGTGGGTGTGTCCTGAAAAATGTGGTCTCCGAGTTCGAGGAGGTCTGACCCCAGCTCTGCCTCTGCTGGGCCCTCACTGGCCTCAGCTCAGTGCCAGTGGACCGGATACTGGGACAGCTAGCGCGGCTGATCATCATGATCATGCGTGACTGATATGCAACGCGCGCAGTATGCGCACCTCGCCGGCGGGAGTCGCCGCGATACGGAGCGCATGCGCAATCGCTAATCGCGCAAAACACAACATTAACAGGCCATGAGTCGATCCATGACAACAAGAGTCCATATAAACCCCCCGGGTTATGGACTCTTGTCTTGATGACAACGAAAACAACTCACTGACGTCATGATTTAGGCCTTTTTTCGCTTTTTTTCATTTGATGGGCAATCAATGTTTTCAGTGTACGTTCGTTTTGAAATAAATTAATTGTTTTCAGAAGACTGAGTAATGACATGACTTTGTAGTTATTAATTTTGTTTGAATTGTTTCATTCCATTCCTCTGGCGGGGATATCTTGTTCTTCTTCTTCAAGATGGACATGGACGATATTTACAAGATGTTGATTGTGGGAACCTCAATCAAGCGCAAAAGACCCCCTAGCATCGTCAGTAGTTCGACTGACTTTTCGACGGGAAATGCCGAAACTGCTGCTGCGTTAGATTTTTTCGGTGACAACAAAAGGCAAGATGTGGCTGTATTAGATGAGCAGAAACCAATTTCTAGAAAGCGCTCAGCAGAAGATGACACTCCCTCTTCGTCACCGAAAAAGAAGAAAAGGGGTAAGTCCACACCATTATGATAAATTTTTAGAATTGCGATAAACAGAACGAGCTGACCAGTCATTTCACAAAGGCTTTATTGTGTTCAAAACGAGTGGATACGAAGGCAGTGAAGAACAGCTCGTTCTGTTTATCGCAGTTCTAAAACTATTGTTGCCTCGTCGCTTATTTCCATTATGATTTGTTTCGCATTTGTTCCTACATCTGATGATGGAACTGGACATTCTGATAGAAGTATAATAATGATATTATTATTCCCAATTTTTCTAACATTCAGGAACCCACTACACATGCTTCTCATATGCGTACAACGCTTACTCAAAAGATCATGAGCAAGATACACTGTATTTGCACAGTAGAACTTTTCCACTGTCCTCACGGTGCTCAATACCACAATGGGCAGGGCTTCCTTACAAAGAAAGTGAACGAGAGTTTGCTTGTAACTCGAGCTTCACGCTATGCGATTCTCGGGGAAATTGTAAACAGAAAACGAGAATATTTAAGTAATCGGCGAGGAGTAGGCCTGACCCAAAATTTCCCCGCACTGGTCGATATTTTGCGGCAACATTTTGGCCCCCTTTTCGCGAAATTTTGCTTGGCATTTCCTTTTACTGTCGATATTTTGATTCCATTTTGCCTGGTCATATCAGTTGGACAGCCACGTGAATTTGAATCTGCCGCGAACCGCCATATTTGCCATATTCGCACTCTTCCTCATAGAGATCTCAAATCTTTTTGCACGCATTTCTGTTTGAATTGCCCATGCACTCAAAGCATGCCGGTATTGGTATAACCCAGGACATCAGGAGAGGGAAAATCCTTCACTCGAGATCGGTCACTGAGATCAAGTTTGATTTTGGCGGACATATCGAGCGTGGTATCTCTGGCATGCGACATCATAGCTCTTCAGCCATTTTTGCATTGGAGAGCTGAGGTCTTTGTCTTCTTCCTAGGTACTTTGTGAAAATTCACCCAGATTTAAGTGTGTTACGAATGTTCGAGGACAGTTAAAGGGGAAGTATACCCTAAAATCAAATTTTCACCAGTTGTAGTCTTCTGGGTGCTGAGTCGAATGGTCTTGGTCCGAGGAAGCTGCGACGCTCCCTTCCTACTTGAATCCCAATCGAACTCGCGCACTTCCACCGAAACTGGGTGACTGCGCCCTACGAGATGGGGATTTGTATGCAAAATGTCACTAAAAGCGCCATTTCGTTCTTATAAAAGCACGGATGACCGCGATTGGCCCATATGTTGTAGTCTTTTGGACGCTGAGTCGACTGGTTTTGGTCCGAAAAGGCTGCCATGCAGCGTTCCTCCTTTATTCCCAATCGAACATGGTTGAACAAGCGGTCACGTGCTCCTGGGTGCCCAAATCACCTGGTCACCGCGCCAGCAGGCGACAACTTTCACACCAAGGTTCAACTCGAGTTCAACTCGAGTGACAGGACTGCACCCAAAAAAGGTCAAACAGGCTAGTAAGTTGTACCCTGCAGGCACGGTGACCAGGTGACCAGGTGACTGGTGTACGCAGGAGCACGTGACCGCTTGTTCAACCATGTTCGATTGGGAATAAAGGAGGAGCGCTGCATCGCAGCCTTTTCGGACCAAAACCAGTCGACTCATCGTCCAAAAGACTACAACATATGGGCCAATGGCGGTCATCCGTGCTTTTATAAGAACGAAATGGCGCTTTTAGTGACATTTTGCATACAAATCCCCATCTAGAAGGGCGCAGTCACCCAGTTTCGGTGGAAGTGCGCGAGTTCGATTGGGAATAAAGGAGGAAGGGAGCGTCTCGGCTTCCTCGGACCAAGACCATTCGACTCAGCACCCCGAAGACTACAGCTGGTGAAAATTTGATTTTAGGGTATACTTCCCCTTTAACTTCGTCAATCACAAGTGATTGATTCAAGTACAAAATCACTACTAATGGTAGCTATTAAAGGGGTTCTACTTTCAATCTGCTTGCACTTCGTAGATACCATGGTGGTCTCCCATGCTGTGTGTCACTAAGTGTGTGTGTTTGTGTGTAGCAAGCATGTACTAGTAAGTCAGCAGGGGGAATTTGAGTCTAGGAGGTGCAAATAGTTTAATTCTGCCCATTCCCTCGTAGAAATGCAGTCGTTCCATTCTGGACAGAATTTGTGAGCTTGTATGTACATGTAATTGGACAGGATCGCTCATCTGATTCGAATCCTACATTCTTTAGTACTGGTATATCAGTTCTCCAAAGTCCTATTGCCAGTATTGGGGTAAGTTTGCCAGTTGATTGGGTGCCTCAGACAATGATCTCTCTGTATGTCCAGGAGTTGGCCAGTAATGTTGTGCATCCAATAACGTTGTGCGTGCTACCTTCTCTTCTTGATTGTAGATGCTGCGTCCACGCCAGAACCCACTGAGTCACCCACTGGCAAGTCGTCAAAGAAGAAGAAGAAGAAGTCTTCTGAGCAGCAGCAGCAAGAACTTGTGGCTGCACAGCGTGAGAAGGTAGGTGAACACTTCAGCATTAAAAAGCACCTTGGATAAAACATGCGTTGTGGTGTAAAGTACTGAAGTACAATTTCTGATGATCCTGCTCTATAGCATGCCATTCATTTGAACTCGGATACTAACTTTAGTGTACGATTCTGCAGCTACAAACGAAAGTCCGGTGGAACGCAAAAAAGTGTATATCTCAACTCAACTCTCAACTGTTGTTTTGTTCTTGTTGTACAGGCCAATGCTGTTCGTAATCAGCACGAGATTTCTGTGAGAGGAACTGACATACCTGACTGCGTCGAAAGCTTTGATGAGATGCAAACGCTGTAAGCGAGTCGGTCGATGCGACCTTTCAGCATGGGGTGCATGTACATGTACATGTAGGTGTGTTTGTAACCGGTGGACGTTGCCAAAGCCATGTACAGTGTACATGTGCTTCAAAAGAAGTGGAGCATTGTTGACGCTGGTTATTGATTGCAGAGCCGTGACATATTCATTCTTGTTCTTGGGGGCAACTTTGAAGTACTAACACGAACTATAGGTGTACTGGCATGATTAGATAGCAGGTGTCATTCTTGCAGTGGTGATAGTCTGATTGTTGTCGCATTCGTTGAGCATGCTTTGCACAGAGTGTGGCAGAGCATGCGGCGATGTATTATGAAGGCATGACGTTACTGCTGTGTGCTATTTAATGACGTCGTTGTTCTATTGTTTGTTATTCACCGGTTTTCAGGTATAACTTTCCGCCGTACCTGTTGCCCAACATTCGCAAGTCGGGCTACAGTTCGCCAACACCTGTACAGATGCAAGCCGTACCGCTCATGATGATGGTGAGGGATGACCTTCATAGCCTTTCTGTTACGTATCCATGAGCTCCTTACTCTCCCTGTTTCTTGGGCTTTTTCTGCTGGCTATCTTGGATTGCTGTTCAAGTTCACAGTATTTAGATTTGCACTTGGCAGTATTAGTACAGTCCTGTACATGTACATGACATTGTATTTACTTCCAGTTTTGAGATTATCTGTGCGACCAGGTGTGAATTCACTCAATTCAGGAGCACATTTCGGGTTTAAATCTGAGACAGTCTAGGTTTTGGCAACTTCGTAGTGTCTAGTTGCAACTTTATAGTGTCTACAAAATGCCCCCCCCCCCCCCCTCCCCCCTTCGATGCCAGGTTGCAGCGCTAACGCCGAGACCTCTGGTCGGTCGAGTTGCTCCCTATACATCGGCACGTCGTCCCTACGCCCCCTGTGTCTTGTTTTGTGTTTGTCTCCACATGTCTCTTGGTGCGTCCAAGTGCACACGTTGCATGAGCGATGAATGAAAACGTCAAAGTCTATTGTGCAGTACATGCTAGTATTCAACCCATTCTGAAACCTGTAGAATGGCTGTGCTGTGTTTCTGGCTGGTTTTTGTTGTCAGCACCGGGAAGTACTGGTCTGCGCACCAACTGGCTCTGGAAAGACGGCAGCATTCCTTCTCCCACTGCTGGCTCATTTGAAGGTAAGTTTCAGACTGATCTGCCGGGCAACGGTGTTTGTTCATCAGATGTATTGAGGTTTTGGTGCATGTGTGTGAAAAGTGGTCCAATCCTGATTTTAGGCAAAGGGCCTTTATTTTGATTTGGTGGTTTTGTTGTTGTCTGAGAGTAGCATTGACGCAGAGCTGTCGTTTGTGTCTGTGATTTAGGAGCCGAAGAGAGATGGATTTCGAGCGTTAGTTGTTGCACCAACTCGGGAATTGTCGCGGCAGGTAAGCATTAGGAGTATGTGAGATCACGATCGCAACATACATTGGTTGGTTACTGGATTTGTCTCTCATTCTTCTCGTTGTTGGCATATGCTGTTGTTGATAGGACGTGGGTTTTGGACTGTCCTTTGTGCATAGAGTGCAGTAGTATTTTTGTAGAGAAAAATGCATGTATGTGCACTGCTGGTTACGTGTCTGTTCAGGCCAGGCACTGCAAGTATACCGGTAAGAGTACATACCGCACAAGAGTGTGCAACTGCCTGTACAACCTTTATACAGTGCTGCTATGACAGCAAAACTTCACATCACATGATATGGTTCAAAAGGCTACGCTGGCAAACAGTGCAAAGTGACCACAAGAGAGTTGAACCCAAAGCAGGGTTTGCTTGCAACTCTGTGTCTGTCATGCACAAAGTGCAAATGATGTGTACGAGTTTGTCAGGTGGTGTGAAGTTCTGCCGTTGCAGACCCCATAGCTGGAGTTGCACACCCTTGGGGGTTATGTACTCTTGATACCGGTTACGAGTTAGTTTAGCCATGCTGTGATGTGGTGTTGGCGTACTGTCATATTCGGGCTTGTGAGCATCCCACTCTCTGTACCGTGTTACCTGTTGTTGTTGTTGTTGTTGTTGTTGTTGTTGTTGTTGTTGTTGTTGGGCTTGTTACCTATTTTCATCATTTCACCTTTGTGTTGAACAGACCTTCCGCGAGCTATCCAGGCTATGCGATGGTTCTGGATTCCGTGTCCACGTGCTAACCAAGGCCACATCGTCGTCATTTGGTGCTTCCAGCAGTCAGCGATTTGGTACGTGCTCTGTCAGCCCCCATCATGATCTCATGTGGGCATAGCAGGGTGATAGTCTAGTCTTGTTGGTGTGGGCATGCATGCAATGTGGTGATCTGATCCTGGGATACTGTAGTGTAAATCTCAGGACACACATCATCAGAACAATGTGAGGCAAACGCATAGCACTTTATTTGAACCGTTCTAATGGTGTGCGTGTGTGTGTGTGGGGGGGGGGGGGAAGGGGTGTACATACCATAACTAGTATTAACTACGCAAATTATATTGTCTCCTCGTCGACTTTTCTTACATAGTTGTGCTCTGCAGCTCAATTTATTGTCGCTATAGCCGTTGAGTGTATAAACTGTTGTGTGTTGTACTTTGCCATGGTGTGTGTGTGTGTGTGTGTCTGTGTGTGTGTGTGTGTGTGTGTGTGTGTGTGTGTGCGTGTGTGCATGCGTGCGTGCGTGTGTGGTGTCTGTGTGTGTTGGATTTGTTGGATGTGTTGCAGACATCTTGGTTAGTACACCTAACCGGCTTGTGCATCTACTGGAGCAGGACCCATCGGGAATCGACCTGTCCGCGTATGTGTCTAATAGCTGTAGCTACTTGTTCTGCTGAATTCTCATATGATAGCTAGAGTCTTCCTTCTTGCGTTTTGGGGTGTGCGGGTGACTGGGTGTGCGGGTGACTGGGTGTGCGGGTGACTGGGTGTGCGGGTGACTGGGTGTGCGGGTGTGCGGGTGACTGGGTGTGCGGGTGACTGGGTGTGCGGGTGACTGGGTGTGCGGGTGACTGGGTGTGCGGGTGACTGGGTGTATATAATATATACTTGAAGTATGTGTGTACAGTCAAACCTCGTTAGGACGAACTAGGTTACTTCAAGGGACTGAACAAGTTCGTTTGTCTTATCCGGAGTTCTTCTTATCCAGATCTGACAAAAAAATTGATACAGTCAGACCTCGGTTAACCGCACACATCCGTTTTCCACAAAAATATCCGGATAGGCGAGGGAACCGGATAATCGAACACACATACTGTATGTAAGCATGGCATGTGCTGTACATTTGTAACCAACTATTTTCTTCCGGATGGCGAGGGATCCGGATAAACGAGGACCGGATAAGCGAGGTCTGACTGTATTCATATCTTAATGGATTGTATTTATATGAAGGTGCATGCTGTGGCACATGTAAAGCATTTATTCATAGCATAAGCCAGCAATCGGTACTAATATGTACAATGTGCAATGAATCCATGACGGCATGTTCTCCGCCTTGTAACACGCTGTCAATTCATTTTACCCGTACAAGAGGCCTCGATGTGTGTGTGTGTGTGTGTGTGTGTGTGTGTGTGTTTGTGTGCGTGTGTGTGTTTGTGTGCGTGTGTGTGTTTGTTTGTGTGTGTGTATGTGGATTCATGCATATTGGTGAGTGTGGGTGCATGTATGATGTAACTGTTACGTGTGACCGCCATGTGCGCATGTGCATGCTTTTCTGTTTTTATGTATTTGGGCCATCAAGTAGGGACTAAAAGTGTGCAGATCTAGCTTTGTGCACTGTCACAGCATGTTCTTGCTTGGTTTGGGCACGCACACCGGTATGCATCCTCATCACACTCTGTACTTACGCATATGCAATGCTCACTCACTGCCTTCCTGTGTTATATGTTTTCTTCACTGCAGTGTGCAGTGGTTAGTTCTGGATGAAGCTGATAAGCTGTTTGAGAAAGGAAAGGAGAGCTTTGAAGAACAGGTATTGCTGCGTTTCATACGTTGTACTTGAAGTGCTTGTTGTGTCACTTGGTCGATCATACCACCATTCACCATGCATCCTGGCACTAACCTACGCACAGCGCATGCAGTACAAATCGTAGAGTACAATAGCATTCATTCACTAGTGCATACTCCATTGCAGACCAGCCAGGCATGTACAATCCCACCTGGGAAAACACATGTACTGGAAACAATCAAACACACGGCAGAAGTCTGTTTTCCCTGAAGAAGACTGAGGTTTCAGTATTTGGTGTGACCGCCATCTTTGTCAATCACCTCCTCCACTCGCCTTGCCATCACCAGGTTTGAATGTATCCCATTCGGCTGTTAGGGCAGCACACAATTCCTCGACAGTTTGGCGCTTGTGCATGATGGCGTTACGCTTCAGATTTAAGTTCAGAATCGCCCACAGGTTTACAATGGGGTTGAGGTCAAGAGAGGAGTGAGGTTGAAATAGGATGGAAGGAACTCCATCGGCCAGGAGGAAGTGCTGTGCCTCAGCTGAGCACTGTCAAGTGGCGTTGTCCAACTGTAGTACCCAGTCACCATCACAGAACATGTTGGCCGCTGGTGCAATATCCATCATGACGGTGTACGAAAACGTCCCGTGTTCCAGGTAGGAGCGAAGGGCAATTGCCGACGGTACGAAGGATGCTAATGGCTCCGAGAACATGGACTTTGGCAGGGAACTGACTCTGTGCCACGGTTGGTTTGCCCCGCGATGAGAAAACCACATGCACATTTGCTCGTCTGGGCTGACAGCGAAGCATGCCTCATCAGCGAAGACGATCCGTGTCCCACCCGCCTGTATGGATAGTAGTAGTGGATAGTTGGATACACAGGAAGCATGAGTTTTGAAGTCTGAAGAAAATTGTGAACGGTCGCTGATTGGATGACGACTACACCATAGCATAGTGGTACTCATGCAGCGCTCCCGTCAGTTCACCATATGGCTGCCAACAGGTGGTAGGTTTCTGTGTGTGTGTGTGTGTGTGTGTGTGTGTGTGCGCGTGCGTGCGTGTGTGCGTGCGTGCGTGTGCATGTGCGTTTGTGTGTCAGAGTTTGGGGGGTTCAGGGGGCGTCGGCCGTTGGGCGGTTCAATAGCCCATTGAGTCATCTTTCCAAGGTTTCTTTTGAGTCTCTTGTGACCAGTTTTGGGAGTACGTACAAGTGTGTGGGTGTGGGTGTGTGTGTATGCGTTTGTTTGACTGTTTGTCTGTGTGTCCTATGTGCATAGATCTCTACCGTGCTTGCAGCGTGTACACACGGACAATGCTGCCGTGCCCTCTTCAGTGCTACACTTGGCAATGGTATTGAAGACTGGTGTCAGGGCTACCTGGCCAACTACACACGTATTATTGTCGGCCAGAAGTAAGTGATGCACAGTGGTTACTGTATTGGTAAACTCCGTGATTGTGATGGCTATCAACACACTGTATGCCACGTATACAGTCCTTCGCAGACTACACAAACAGAAATGCACGTGCACACACACACACACGCGCGCGCGCGCGCGCGCACACACACACACACACACACGTGCGCACACAGCTATCGGTCTAGCTTTGGAATGTGTATGGACTGTGAAGACTACACGATGTTTGGATCATGAGCTCTGTTCCATTCATGAAGCGTAACACAAGATGAGGATTTTGTTGACCTCGTGTTGCTTTTGAATATTTTCACAAATACCATTAAATATATAACCTGTATGGAAATACCTCCAAATAGTTGGTCGATTACTGGTAGACTTCAGTGCTGTTGTCTCATGTCACTGCATTGTACTGTGGTGTATGACAGACATGCTATTTCTATTGTGCTGTGTTTGGCCAGGGGTGCTGGAGCTGGGAGCATAAACCAGCAGCTCAAGTTTGTCGGCCAGGAGTATGGCAAGATCCTGGAGATGAGAATGATGGTGAAGCGCGTGAGTTGAGTACCCAATGCGATTTCCTAGCAACTGACATTCATGCTACATTTTTGCTGCTCATCTCTTCACAATTCTTCTAAGTGCTATATCCATGTACATGTACTCAAGTGTACTTCGAAGTACCGTACTTCCCCATATATAAGCGCATGGGCTTATAAATGAAAATTTGCTACAAAAAAGATGTTTTGCTGTGTGAACATGTTCGGGTAGAAGCCCATGCGCTTACATGTGCAATAAAGGTTTGTCTGTGTCCTAAACAATGGTGTTATCACAATGCTTAGCAGTATATTCAGCACCCCGTGGTTCACCAATAGTGTTCACATATAAGCGCATGCGCTTATAATTGGGGGGTGCGCTTATGTCCGGACATAAGCACATGCGCTTATATGTGCGGAAATACGGTATGACTTTTGTTTTTAGATTCTGCATGGTAAACTTTGTCAAAATCGTATCGTTTTGATTATAGAAGACCTTTGCATCCATGCGCACGCTTACACTACTACAACACAAACCACCATTGTCCATTCATCAACTACAAGTTCCGTCGAGAAGAATTATAACCAATACCAAGAGTACATAACCCAAGAGTGTGCAACTCCAGCTATGGGGTCTGCGACGGCAGAACTTCACATCACGTGATGAACCCGTGCACTCTAGTGCATGATAGATACTGGGTTGTACGCAGCCCAGCTTTGGGTACAACTCTCTTGTGGTCACTTTGCACTGTTTGCCAGCATAACCTTTTGAACCGTGTCACGTGATGTGAAGTTCTGCCGTCGCAGCACAGCATAGAGGTTGTGCAGGCAGTTGCACACTCTTGGTTATGTACTCTTGCCAATACCAAGGAGACCCAGACACGAAAGAATGGAAAATAAATTAATAAAATTAATGTTAAAAAAACTGCAGAACGAAAATAAACGCGAAGGAGAAATAAATTTGAGAGACTTTAGAGAAATAAGAATATAGTTTGCACCTAGCTAGAGGTGAGAGCAGCACTGTCAGATAATGGAAAGACGGAGTTAGAAAAGGAGAAAGGCGACGAAGTTGCAGACTGAAACTACAGGAATTTCAAGTAAGACGTGAACACTAAACAATTTATATGCATACTAAATATTCGTGAACAGCAGCTCTCGACACTCCCATCAAACAGAAGTGTGAATGCACTAGAAAGAGAAATGAACAAAGAAGGTTGTGAGCGAAAGGGTAGAAATATAATAGGTTTTACTTACCTTAAAACTGTGAAGTTACAGTCGTCCACCTTGCTATGTTTTGGCGTGCTTTATCGGCAGCCTTGCGCCTGGGACAGGTGGATGATGGCGGTGGTGCTTGCACTACGGGAGCATCATCTGATTGCTGGCTGCTGACGACTGCGGGGGCATCAGCAATTGACAAGACATCATCATGGGTATCCCACTGCAAACCAAGCACCTTGACATGACGAGTCGTAACGATATCATCAGCTGGTAGAGTAGCCTGAGGTGCTGTGCTGTTGGCTGTCCATTTGCGCAAATCCATTGACGCACTGGAAAATGGACTTGGCCTCCTCATGCACGGGAAGAACATCAGAAGCATCAGAGACGCCAATTTACGCATTGTCAACGTAGATGTTCTGAGCGATAAAAGTGGCAAGATCAGTACACTGCAGCTGCAAGTGGTGACGAATAGTAGCTTCCAGCAGAAACAGACTGGCAACTATACCGAACGGCGTCCTGCAGAAGCGATAGACTGCCAACTCGTCCTTGGATGTGGCAGGGTTTGCCGGATCTTGAAACCAGAGAAAACGTGTGACATCTCGGTCATCCGGATGAATGCTGAGCTGGAGAAACGCTTTCTCTATGTCAGCCAACAGCTCAATAGTGTGGCAACGGAAGCGGAGAAGTATGCCACAGAGATTCGGCAAGTTGATTGGGCCACAATGCATGCACTCGTTGAGACACTTCTCTGCTTTGGACGACTTTGCCGGGGCATCATACACAATGCGCAGCTCAGTGGTCACCTTGGAAGGTGTCACGACTGGCTGATGAGGCAGGTAGTGCTTGACTGTGCGAGTTGAAGTGGTTGTAGACACACGTTCAACAATACCAAGCTCAACCTGAGACTGAATCTCAGCATCATAGCGCAATAGCAGATCATGGTCCCTAGCCAGCTGTTTAGCGAGGGATGTCAAACGACCGAGTGCGAGGCCAAAGTTATCTCGCAAGTCAGGTGGTTCAGACTTGCACGGCCAAGCGTTCTGTAGCGCACACAAATACCGCACAAATACCACAGAATCAGGAGCAGAGGCATGCGAGCTGTCTGCGGTGGCTGGATTGGGGTTTCAACTTTCCAGACAACAGATTTCCCAATCGAGATGGAATGAGGAATAGACCAGAAGGCAACCGTGTTGGCAGACCACTCTTGAGGTTATCGTTTTGATTATAGAAGACCTTTGCAACCATGCACACGCTTACACTACTACAACACAAACCGTCTCCCAGTTCCTCGTCAGACAGGAGCGTGCGTAACCTGGCTTGCTCGGAAATCTCTGTCCTTTTTATCAGCTGTTCCTTTATCGTGGTGTACGGATTGACGTTAGGAGGACGTAAGACGAGATCCCTTATTTCCTGCACAAACTCAGGGGCCAAGGCGCTGACAACGTGGTCAAACTTAGTGTGCTCGGTCCGGATCTGCCGCGTGTGGAACAACGCCTCAGCTTGGGCAAACCAAATGTGGGGGTCATGGGGCCAGAACGGTGGTAGCTTTATGGCAACAGCATGAACGGCTGCTGGTTGCACTTTGTCTGTGTTCTGGCCAGGGCACAGGCGCTGCTGTGCAGACAGATACATAGAAAGTGCGTTAGCTCGGCCAAGGCCCGCACCTGTACTGCGTTGTGGGGTGACAGGATTCGACATGTTCGGATGGTTTGGACGGTACTGTGATATAGACGATGACAGACTCGATCCAGAAATTCTAGTACGAACGCGATCCAGGAACTGCACACAAACGCAACACTGAAATAATAGAACGGGGTCACCAATGTAGGGTCCTTGCCCTAGCACACAGATGGCGTAAATCAGTAGAGGTGTATTATTATTGTAATATTGACAAAGCAATGAAAGAGAGATAGAAAGGCAAATTACCTTAGATGAAAACCAAACTATCTACTGGCCTAAAGCTAAGGTTGAGAATCATTATGTCTTGGCAAGGAAATGGTGTACATGTGTAGTAATAGGGAGGTTTCGCTCTACGGAATTACGTATGAAAATAACGTAGGAACGGCACGGAATTTTCATACGTAAAAAAATCAGAGCTGTTGGGTTTCGCTCTACGTGATTTCTCCATAACTGCTAAACATGCGTTGTTGCTTTGGAGACGCGTTGGCTGCATGCGCCCACCGCATGCACCATGAACCGAAACCGCGTTTTCCATTATATTTTGCACGTGATGTACGGTGTGTGTACCTTGTGTTTCGCGCGGCTTGAACGTTGCCATGGACAAATGCGGAAAATGCGAAAAAATATTTCAAAAAGTCCTACGGAGGACCCAACGTAGGAAACAGTTTTCCTACGGAAATCCGTAGAGAGATTTACGTATGAAAGTTGCCCTCGCTCCCCGGCGCGTACGACATACGGATTTTCATACGTAATTACGTAGAGCGAAACCTCCCTAATGACATAGTACAGTGACAGTGTGTAAATGCCATATACAGTATACAGATACGCTACGGTATAAATGCCTGGCGAAATACGAGGATGCATGATAGCGTTGCGATCGCGTGGTCAGGTGCACTGTGATGCCATAGAAACAAAGATGGCGGCGCATGGAGCGCGTCTAGCACGAGGTAGAAAGAAAGGAAAATAAAGTTTAATAAATAAACTGCAGAGCGAAAGTAAACGCGGAGGAGCAATAAATTTGATAGTCTTTAGAGAAATAAGAATGTAGTTTGCGTCTGGCGGAGGGTGCTTGCACCTAGCTACAGAGGTGAGAGATAATGGAAAGACTGAGTTAGAAAAGGAGAAAGGTGACGGAGTTGCAGACTGAAACTACAGGAGTTTCAAGTAAGACGCGAACACTAAATTTATATGCATATTAAATTTTCGTGAACGGCAGTTCTTGACAAACTTGGGACGGCTTGACCGCTTATAATGTTGACTTTGCCCTCTTCTTTGTGCAGGGTATGAACCTCCCTGTCCTGGTCTTTGTACAGTCGAAGGACAGGGCGAAGGCGCTATTCAAGGAGCTCGTGTATGATGACATGCGTGTGGACGTGATCCACTCTGACCGCACACAAGCACAGGTACATGACACTTGGCATGGGTTTAGCGTGCACAGATGCTTTGAAAGTGCCTTGTAAATTTCATTCTCTACCGAAGTTACTTGAAGTACTACATTTGAAGTCATGCAGAATGCTACTGAAACGTTGCGAGTGTGGAGTTCAACATTAGCAGGGTTCTGCAACGCAACAGTCTGAGAGCTGGCATGTCTGAAAGAGGATCATGACCCGAGTAATATTCCGTAGCACCACTCATTCCCGGGCACCTCGTAACCAAAGGGTGTCCGTTTATGAGACTCACCTGTAATTCGGAAATACTCCACTACCATACTGGAAATGAACATCATTCTTTTCAATTCAGCTCACTGAGCCAAGATCGATAGCATTCACATGCATGCGCAATAGGATCTGCAGGTTATGGCCATTCGTGTGATGAGAAATAGTTTAGTTGACTGCCAAGACAATGAAGGCAATCTCCGGACTTGACTGATGGTACCTGCCTGCAAGGTGTCTGGTTGAGCTAGGTGTCCGGATATGAGAGGTCCGGATAAGAGAGATTCTAAGAGACTGTAATTTTAAGTTCTATGGCGAATGTTGCACCTTTCCCTGAAACTAATGAATATTATTATTTATAATGAAACTTAAAAAAATTCGACGAGGAGACAATAATTTTAATATGGCAATAAGTAGGACGAGCTGAAGCGACATGTGGACTACTTTATTAACAATGTAAGCGATGGAGACGATGCAAGAAACAACCTAAAGGGTAAGGAAAAATACATGTAAGAAGAAAAAGGGCAATGGAAAAAAAGATGATTCGAACAAGTTTTCGTACAACACTCTTCAGGAATCACCGTTGTACTAAAGAACAAAATGAGAACAAAGGAAATAATATATCCACTCCACTTCACATCCTTCCACCCAGTGCGCAATCTGAGAGGCCCAAACGCGGGAGGCCTAGGAAAAACCCATCACCTAGACGGCAGGATAGTTCCCTGCCGCTGTCTGCCGCTCCCCCTCTGACATCTGTGTTGGACGGGCTGGAGCTTGGCAGCTCTTTGGAGGTGCGTGCAGAACCGCCACTGGTGCAGCCCTCGGGTGTGCCTAAGTCTGTGCCTCTGGGTGCTTTGCATGGGGCTGTGCCTCGAGTGGTGACAGCACCTCTGCCTCCCCCTGATCCTCCTCCTTCGAGGTCTGTGTTGGTGGGGAGCACCCGCGGCGGTCGATTTGTCCCACCGGAACCAGAGCTGGATTCAACAGAAAGACCAACAACCATGGCTGCAACAACAACACCAGCTTCACATCCAACAACAACACCAGGTTCACATCCAACAACAACAACAACTAATCCACAAAACAAAGCAGCAAATGACAGACCACGGAGATCTACAGCAGATTACAACCGGACCTATGAATTCACGGTAAAAATACAAAGGAAACAATCGGAAAGGACGACGACTGACGTGAAGGCAACGGCATTACGGGTTGGCGTGGGTGGTGAAGGTGAGACGCAGGACGATGCAAGTGAGGAGGAGAGTCAAACCGCGGTGGATGACGGAGCGGGTTCTGATTCCGACAGTGAGGGAGAAGGTGAGCTGAGTGAGGGTGAGAGTGAGTGTGAGGGTGTGCGCGTGAGTCGAGATTGTGTGCGTCCGTCTCGTAATAACAAGTCTTCAGTATACAATCATTTGGTTTCTAGTACTGACTGTTGTCGTACTTATTCTGATTCCTGTTTTTCTGTTTTGTGCCGTGCTCGTCATGGTTATCTTTTGCAGTTACAAGTTTTGGAAGCTGTTTGTCAGCGCATTCATAAGCCAAATTTGTGTGTCCAGAAAGATAGTGTTATTACCCTAAAATTGTTCAAATAATGTTCTGTTGTGTAGTGTGGCAACGTTGTTGCCACTTGTGCCTAAATGTGTTTTGTCACCTTCTTGTTTATTATTGTTACTATTATCATTCGTTCTCACTTTTTTGTTTTTGTTGCTGATACACACTTGTCACGCTTAGTTCTTACTTGTATACCCTTGTTTTCTGCACACTTTTGTGAGAAATCGCACCTCGATATTCCAGTGCTGTCATTGTATCGTGTCACCCTACCTTGATTGCTATATTATTTCCTTTGTTCTCATTTTGTTCTTTAGTACAACGGTGATTCCTGAAGAGTGTTGTACGAAAACTTGTTCGAATCATCTTTTTTTCCATTGCCCTTTTTCTTCTTACATGTATTTTTCCTTACCCTTTAGGTTGTTTCTTGCATCGTCTCCATCGCTTACATTGTTAATAAAGTAGTCCACATGTCGCTTCAGCTCGTCCTACTTATTGCCATATTATAATGAAACTAATGAATATTATTATTTATAACAAATGCACCTGACTCACTGTCCTTCCTGGCTGTCGTTGCTGATGTGCCCTGTTCTTTTCTCTCTTTTAGCGAGACAGCATCATCAGTGCGTTCAGAGCTGGAAAGGTAGGACTTAATGAGATAGTTATTCTTATCCAAGGATTGTTAGATAGTATAGCTGTGACTGCAATGTGCCACTGTAGAGTACCAGGTATGCTGCCAACTACAGTTGTGCTAGGTGAAATGCCGCTGAAATGGCACTCTATTGATTTTAAGTGATATAATCCGACTGGTCCAGTGTGCCAGCAACTTTGGGTTGGATTTTGCCCGGCGCAACTGTATAATAATTATTATACTTGCACTTTAAACTTAAAGTACTATAAATCAAAGAGTATTTCGTACACAGCAACTAATGGAGTAATGCTCTGTTGACAAAGCTTCAATACGATCAAGTACCAGGTGACAGTTTGGGAATGGGGCGAAGCACTCCTGAGAGGACTGCTGTACTTTGGCAAGAGTGGGGAACTGCTGGGTTATCAGTCCTTCATACAGTACGCGACGCAGCGATGCTATCCATGTATGGGTGATGTTCGTCACCATGTTGTCGGGCATAGCAAACCTAACGCTAAGATCAATGTTCGACAAGTTTCATCTCACTTTCATCAGGGTTAACAGCAGCTGATCCTCTACGAGTTGCCAAAGCTTTTACTGTCCAGCCATTGTGGTACACAACTTAAATCTGGCACGTAATGTTCAGCAATCTACAGAATTCACTCACATTGAGCAGGCCAGTATAGTACTGGGCGAGGTTGCCCCCGTTGCTCATATCCGCAAACATGAAGCGTTTGTGAGCAAGCTCTTCTTTGCCCACCTCATATTTCCTCCGGAGAATAGGATATCAAGAGACTGAAGGAAGAAGTCAGACTTCGCAGCATCGTGCTTGGGGTGGGGTGTATGGGGTGGGGGGTGAGACAGTACATGTACATCAGTCACTGGCAGTGCGGCGATAAGTTCTAAAATTGCAGCCTGGCATCACCATCTGTAACTGTCCAACTGTAAATAAAAGAAGACGAAAGCATAGAAAATGACTATGTACGAGTGAGCTGAGAGGCGCATGTCGAATGCAGACAAATCTGTTTCCCTCAGTAGTCAATCCACATACTGACACAAATCATTCGTACCAGTAAGGATGGAAACTACACATCAGCACCTGTACGGAAAAAAGTGGCCACCACCAGTCATCAAATTCCCAACAGTCTCTGTCAGTCCATTGAGATACGCCTAGAAACAGTACAGTACGGTCGGGTGCCGAAGAACTAGGGGTCAACCTGATAGCCTGGACCGTTCTTGTGTTCATGTATGCGCAGTAGAGTCACCTTTCGTTTATCGCTATGCTGTGTTTGGTGAAATTCTAGCCTGCCCGTTCTTCGGCACTACGTTCTTCAGCACTACGTTCTTCAGCACCCAGCAGTACTGTATACCAGTGTTCATAATAATATTCGTGGCTTCGTATATTTTGTCACTTACTGACACATCTTTACCTGTTGAGCTCGTTTTTCCTTGTCCATGGAGAAGCGAAAATAGGAACACCTATTTCTCAGGTGCTGGTGATTACACTCAGTAGCTAAATCCTGTACCATGTAACATATACCGCGAAGAATGTTTTTCTTGAAGACGAAAGACAGAACATTATCCTAGCCAGCTTGCTCGCTATCCAGTCAAAGCTATACTGTGGTCACTGGAAACAAGAAGACCTTTGGGTGACATGACTTGTTTGTCACCGCTTGCTCAGTCAGTATGCGTTGTCAAGAACATGTGACGATGACTGACGGCGCCAATGGCTTATAACGGAGCAACGGTTTTGGGCAAGGATTTCAAGTAGCCAGGTGGCTTGAGCAGATTGTTCATTTTTTTTAACATGCCAGTTTTATATTTTATTTGCTCCATCTGAGCTCTGACTTGCTACCCCAGTTGCTAACACTTACTGGATACCTTCAGACCTTCTCGTGTTGTGCCGCCGTCCTATTCGAAACCTAGAGCTTGCTTTCTCATCTGCCAGCCTATTTTTCACATTTGCGTATGTGTTCGCCTGTGCGTGTGCATGCTTGTATTCTGTAGATTTGGATTCTGATATGTACGGAGCTGATGAGCCGTGGCATTGACTTCAAGGGTGTCAACACCGTCATTAACTACGACTTCCCCACATCAGCCGTCGACTACATTCATAGAATAGGTAAGAAAACCATTTGGTGTCGCAGAAGTTGACTAAAGTTCCACTTTTGCAACGTGCGACACGCAACATACATCAATGGAGTGCAACTTTCTATGCTGAGTTCATGTGCAGTGCACATGCCTAGTTCATACACTGCATTGGGGTGTCACAGAAACCAAACCGGTTGTGAATCATGGGTCGCAGTCGCTTCTATTTTCAGGTGTCGCATGTCGAGCATCGCATAGATTAGGGCCCGGGGTTGACTTGCTGATGATATCCTTGCCACTGTTGCTGATGATGCTGGACTGTGTGTGCGTGCGTGTGTGCGTGCGTGCGTGCGTGCGTGTGTGCGTGCGTGTGTGCGTGCGTGTGTGCGTGCGTGTGTGCGTGCGTGCGTGCTGTTGTATAGGACGCACTGGCCGTGCTGGTCGCAGTGGTGATGCCATTACGTTTTTCACTGAGAGCGATTTCGTCAATCTGAGAAGGTAAGCCTGTTGCTCATGGTGGTGATAACATCACCATCACTCAGCTCATTTTCAGCCAGTATGCCGGTCAACATAATAATATTCTGTTGCATATTCTGTTGACCAGCTCCACTGCTTGAAAGTTAGCTGAGGACACAACCATTTTTCCCGCTATTTTGCGGGCTTGTAGTGTGCGGGTGAACCTTTGGATTTGAATTCTTGCCTGTCATACTTTATAACAATATCAATATCATGTCTTGTTTGTGTGCAGCATTGTGAATGTGATGGTAGCATCAGGCTGTGAAGTGCCAGAGTGGATGCTACAGCTAAAGAAGCCCAGCAAGTGAGTGCCATCGGGGTTTTTTCTCTATTTCCCTCTGTATCGCCGTCGGATCATTGAAAGTGGATACTACGTGCACACGCAATGATGGTTCGATTAAGACATCATTGTGAGAGGGGCATTGCCACTACCTTTCCTTATTGCAATCATGCCCTTTGCTCGTGTCTTTGTTGCACTGTGTTTGTATGTGACCAAGCTATTGTTTCTCACTCATGGATTGTTTGGACTGTGTGTTATTGTTGTGCCCACAGGAGAGACAGAAAGAAGCTTCGACAGAAGCCAACGGAGCGCAAGACACCATCATCTATGGTCAAGCACGACATTACACAGGCCAAGAAAAAGCGGTGAGTGCCAAGAGTATGCCTTGAGGTGGTTGTTGTGCGGATGTGTTTCAAACACGCTAGCTTTCACATACTGATGGCCCTGCTGGAATGTTTGATGATTCAAACCACTCAAAGAAGAAATGTCAGCACTCGTTTCTCCCCTACTTCGAATTGTTCACTATCAACTCGGACCTTATTTAATTTTTTCCTGGGAAACAGCTTTTCGTCAGCCCGGAAAAATCGCCCACTTGTGTCATTGTGATGCAAGGAAAAGCTTTTTTTATAGGAAACACAAGGAAGATGAAAAAATATATTTTTAAAAAACTGGATTTGAGCACTCAACCCCTGGAAATGGTATCCCGGAAAGTCAGAGTTCCAGCCAACTGCTTCTGGATGAGTGAGGTTCAATTGTACCTCACTGCAGTTATTGGCCATTCACGTACGTATGTTATGCTGACCATGTTCCAGCAGGTTTTCCGTTCTCAGTATAGGTCGCACTGAACATCTTCCAGGATGGAATCCGGATAGCGTATGTGAAGGGCCCAATACTGGAATTAGAATGAATCCTTTCTGACTCAGAAGTTGTCATTTATAGATTTTCCAGCCATATTGATTACATAACAGTAGTAGTTTGGGCGGAGTGGTGGATTGTGTTCACGTCATCACATGTAGGACTATGTTCTGAGAGTGCAGTAATGCTTCATGCCATCTTCAATCCATGTTAGTATGGCGAGAAAAATATATTTTTTCAATTGCTTTGCTTGACTATGTTTTGTTTCATCTAATCTTGATGTGCCTCTGTGTGTCTGTGATCATTCTGTTATTTGTTCTCTCCGGTGCAGTGAGATGATAGCGGCATCCAAGAAAAGAAAGCAGCGTGCTGCTGAAGAAGCCTGAGCGGGGTCTGACTGAATTTTGGTTCGTGCCCATCTCTCACTGCCTCCTTTATCAGGCTATTGTCCTGCCATGCTGCTCACATGGTGCTTCCCCTGTGCTCTCTGGTACTTTTCTGTTATGACCGTATCGGCCTGTCACAACCTGCTAAGCATTATGGTATTTCCTGTCACAGCCTCCAACTTCTGCGTGCCTGTACAGCATTTGCTTATCACCGTTAGCAGTGCGGGTATAGGTCTTTGTGTCCACGCACATGTCCTGTATTGGGTAAATGTGCTTCGCTTAACACTACACTGTTGCTGGGCTGCGCTATGATATCGGCTGGTGGGTGTAGTAGTCACATTGGCCAATCTGGAACATCTGGAACGTTGCTGTTTTGTATTTAGAGCAGCTTGTTTGTATGTCGCTCTCATAGATTTTGAAGATTGATGAACTTTATTATAGCAGAATTTCCATCTCTTTCTTTAGTAACCCCCTCAAACTTCAGTTTTGTACCGATCTGCTCTGGTTGCACGAGTTGCCAGAACTTGCACGAGTTGCCAGAACTTTACAACTTTCACTGGTTGTGTACCGTGTACATGTTGGTAACACAGATCATGCTGTCTACTGCATGCGTTGCATTGGGTGTTGAATCCAGAGGGGAACTACCGGTAACTTTTGAGAACCTGAATCAGTACGGTACGCAGGGAGCCGAGAAATCCATTTTTACGACCCCGGACAATTGATGAGACTGTGAGCTATGGTTGTGCTACTTGAGTAGCTGTGCTGTATACCGCTCGCCTGTCAGATAGGTATCATGTGAGTTGCCATGGTGCCGGGTACTCTGTAAATGACAGTGAAACTTGTTACCGGCTCCTGAAGCAAATATGCACCATAATTATATCTACTAATCTAGATCTATGTAGGGAGTCGTAGATGAGTAGTTTTTGCCTGGTTTGAAGTGCACCCTGCATTGTTTAGATATCAGGGAGTTGTAGACAAGACGCAATAATACAAAGAGTCCATTATGGACTCTTGATACAGCAAAACAAGAACAAGGAAGACTGAAAAGAAGTGCATTATTTTGGTCAATATCAAGAGTGCATAATTTATGGACTCTTGTCACCAGCATCATGGACTCTTGATAATAATATGCAGATGTATGACAGTATGTGTTACGTAACGTTTACAGCAGCTGTGAATAATGTGAAAAAAACAGGCATGCAAAAGTGTGTTTGGCAAAATGCAATATTCTAAACACAAACTGCACCATCACCAAACAAATGAACCTGAAGACTTTGAAAGAGTAAAGGTTGGTGTCATGGTCCAGGTCAGCGTCGGTCCGGTGTGCCTTGCATTTGCAGCGATAGGCCAGATCTGGTAACACTGTAAACTCTGGAAACCCATGTTCCGGCAGCGTTCGTTGTCAATACTTGTATTGAAATATTGGCAGTTTCAGTAAAATTCATTTTTGAGTTGATACCAGTTTCTCTCAACTCTAGCTGAAGTGTTGCTCAAGCTCAGCTGCAGCAATGGCAGACAAATTGGAGCCTTCGGAAAGCCTGATGCCTGTAAGGTGGAATGCCTTTCAACGTCACAGAGAAGCTGCTAGTTTGTCAGTTGTTCTGGAATGCAAGAGTGTTTTGTATTCTTTCTGCTTTAGAAAATACGAGCATTGATTGACCCACCTAACATTGAAGATGTGAGGCCAAAGGGGAAAAAGCTGGCGGAACGTGAGGCGGAGGCTGTACCATGGAAAAGCAACCATGACCACTGTGACTTTTGTGGAGAAGGTGGAGACTTGCTGTGCTGTGACAAGTGTCCCTGTGCATTTCATCTGGCTTGCTGGTATGTTATTATTTGCGCCAAAACTATGAGGTGTGGATTTAAAGCTAATGTCTCAGTTTGAGCCCTGCAACTGATACTGCTGGCACCTGTTTGCATTCTACCTCAACATGCAACGTGTTTATCGATGTGGTCTAGGTCAGTTGACGGCTTTTGAATATGCAATGCTGAGATTGTGGATATGAACGGACGGCATACCGTTTCAGTTTCAGTTTCTGTTATCTTATTGTTTTACAGCTTGGCACATCCCAATCATTATCCTCTTCTTACCATGTTCTTCTACTTGTAGTGAGCCACCTGTAGATCCGGACAACATTCCCTCAGGAGACTGGCTTTGCACTAAATGTCGACCTGGTTTGGTAAGTCAAGTCCACACACATTTCTAGTGATATGCACCTACTCTATATGCTTATAGATCTTGTCACATCATGTCTGTTGAACACCTGCACAAATCCGCCCCACTGTGGTGTAGCCAGTCCACGGTGCTATGCCCGCAATGAGTGATATTGCTACAACCATGGCCATACCAGAGAGTGTACAGTGGTCCCTCTATAATCCGGCACCGTTTGTGCCACGGAAATCTGCTGGATTAGGGAGGGTGCTGGATTAACAAATCTGATCTACTGCTGCAATGTGCATGAAGAGGACATTTGGCTACTGAAAATTGTGCTGGTTTATCGAGGGTGCTGGATTATAAAGTGCCGGATTAGAGAGGGACGACTGTATATTTAAATCATGGGCACACTACAATGTAGTCTGCAAGCAAGAGTATCACATGAACTGCTTGCATACTTCAAACTGGGATATGAATCTGGTGTAGATGCTGGGTTAGTGGCTTTTAACTCTATGCTTTTGAAATGCACTACAGTAATGTCAGGCGCCGGAGAACGGAGCGCCGAAGAACGAACAGCCTAGAATTTTCTCGAGCACAGCATACCAATGTATCCACGTGACTCCACTGTCCATAGACTGTAGTACATGAAAATAAGAACGGTCTAGGCTGCAAGGCTGACACCCCAGTTCTTCGGCGACCGACAGTACTGTACAATTGAACAACTCCGGGTTTGTTGGCATGTACCGCGGTTGAACAGCGCAGGGTTTGTTGTGACACGGTATCATGCTCAAGTGTAGGCTAGCGATATGTTTGAACGGACCCATGCCTATCCTACATACGCTGTCAGTGGTTGCAAATCAAACATTGGTTTCTAGCATTTCAAGTATTTTGTTTCTTGTCCTATTCTTTATGTTGTTGTAGACACCTAGTCTGAATGTCATCGCCCCATTTGATGCTTTGGTGAAGCAGTGCCTGAGGCGCAATCCCACATCTTTTTCCCTTCCTCCCGAGTACAGCTTCAATACATGCTTACCAGGTGAGCCATAGATCAAGTGATCTGATGAGGGGTTTAGTTTGGTAGTGGCGTTGCCCTTTCTGCTTGATGCAAATTGTTCTGGATCTTCTGCGAATACCTGCAAAATCAGAACTATATCGAGGTGGTATTGGTGTGTAGGTACACTTGCCTTTCTCTCTCTCTCTCTCTCTCTCTCTCTCTCTCTCTCTCTCTCTCTCTCTCTCTCTCTCTCTCTCTCTCTCTCTCTCTCTCTCTCTCTCTCTCTCTCTCTCTCTCTCTCTCTCTCTCTCTCTCTCTCTCTCTCTCTCTCTCTCTCTCTCTCAGAAAGTAGCTGGCACTGGCTGCCAAACATATTCAGTGTCACATATACGTCAATGTGTACAGGTTTCATGGCTACAGATTTCCGAATCACCCCATGCTGCCTCAACCAGATTGCCTGTCTACATGTACTTACTAATACTCTACTGTATTTACTACTGTAAAAGCCATTATTCTAACGAGACGCATATATAACGATTTCCTAAAATTGACTGGTTTACGTATACCAAAGGTAACGATTCTCACTCATTCTCAACGCTCAACAGCACCAGTTTATGTATCGATTTCTGTATAATGATTTCTATTTTAACGACAGATTTCTCCTCGTTAACTCGTTAGAATTCACACCGTGTTATATGTACCGGTATGGCTTTTACAGTAAGTGTCTAGTAAAGATGTGAGTGTTGTGGTGGTTTCTCCGCACTCTACTGGCATTCTTTGAGTCAGTCTCCCCAGGCTCTCTTGAAAGAGCATTACCAGCACCAGGGTTCCTATTGCTGTAACGTGTTCCTAACTTGCAGTGCTGTGAGAATGAGCTGTGTGGCATTGTTTCTTGTGGGTGGTGTATACTTCTTGTTTTGATACGTATATGTAGGTGGCCGTAAGAAAAAGAAAGCTGGCGAAGATTCTCGTTCTAAATCTAGCAGCACGGGTGTTCTGATTGTACCTCCTTCGGCCACAGCTGGTAACGCTCCTGTGTAAGCTTTCTTTCCTGTTCCATATCCTCTCTCTCACTCTCTCTCTCTCTCTCTCTCTCTCTCTCTCTCTCTCTCTCTCTCTCTCTCTCTCTCTCTCTCTCTCTCTCTCTCTCTCACACACACACACACACACACACACACACACACACACACACACACACACACACACACACACACACACACACACACACACACACGCACACATGCTTGGACTTGTTCGCTACATTAGCATTGTTTAAAAATATCCACTTCCACCAGTTTCCATAACATGTAGATGGTGATGGTGTGGGTATGGGTGTGGATATGTGTGCGTGCGCCTGTGCATGTGTGTGCGTGTGTGTGTGCGTGTGTGTGTGTGTGTGTGTTCGCGCTTACATGTGTGCGTACGTGTTGCGTGCATGTGTGTGCACGTGGCTGTGTATACAGTGCCTCTTCGCCGTCTCCTATCGATGACGATCCTGACTACTGTGAGGGCGATCGGAGTGTGCGCGATTTCTGCTTTGTGTGCAATAAGTAAGTCAATGTTGATAGCCAAAGGTTTTTGGCTGGTATGTTTGGTGACCCGTCCCGGTCTACAGTGCGGATCGGGTATAGGGTTGTCGGCTATAGTAATATACCTCTTATAGTGATCGTATTCTCAAATTCATTTTCGTAAACCACCCCTTTCTATACATATCGGATCGGCTATAGTAATATATCGGCTATAATGATACAATTTCTTTGTCAAAATGATTTTATCGCATACATTTTCATCGGCTATAGTGATGATGATAAAACATCAGGGGCGTACGCCGCTCGCCTCCAGGAGTGGTTCCCTTGCCAACTGATGAACCAACATTCCACACAATTGAAGTGCTGTTTTTCGTATCCTACGGAGTTTCTGCATATTCTCTTCAGACTGGGTGAAATTAACATCCACAAGCTGCTGGAAGATGTCATTGCTACGCATTTTTGATTTTTTTAAACTGAACTTTCCCCGTTTTATGGATGTTTTGTTCAGCATGACGATTGCATGCAGTCTTGAAAGCTGGCTTAATAAGTTTCGAATCATCTGGAGCAAACATCACACAGGGCAAGCAGAAGCCACCATTGCACGCTGGTCAAAAGACTACGCAGGGTAACTCCTCCAACAAGGATAGTTGAAAGCGGCGCTGTTTGCCATCCGTCTGGACACGCCCTGGGAATGAAATCCTTCGCCTTCGGTGGCGCACAATGATTGTCGATGGCGGAAATCTTTTCCGTGTCCGGCAAATTTCGGGGGACTGGATTCCACTGTGGACGTAGACGTTCAGAATATCCCTTCCAACACATATCCCTTCCAACACGCTCCCATGTCACTGAAGTAAGTTTTGGATGATCCAGCAGCTTCCGACAACGGTCACTCTACAGCTTCGCCGACGATTTCTTCCTCAGCGCTGCTCGTTGCATGCAGACTTCGCTTGCAAGTCAGGTGCGTCTGCATTCTCATCTATCGCTTGACCTGAATAGAGCGTTGGCCCTCTCGATGTTCACACTTCTTTTCCACAAAGCGAAAGCATCGTCGAAAACACGACCAACTTTGTCAAAACAAACTGCAAAGGAAAATTTGACTCGGAGATCGAGGAATCCGGCAATGTAAAGTAGCGACTTTGTTGAACCCAGTTCAGTCAGTAGACTCATGGCCCAGTCTACGCTGTGTCCAGGTGTCCCAGTCCCAGCACCACTTTTACACCTGGGCTAGTCACCGGTGCACCGTCCTCGCGGCCTCGGACCATCAGGCGGACTCCAGGCATGCACTGCGAGCGCTGGGCCTGGATCAAAAAATTCTCCGCACCCATATCGAATTTTTTTACTGGTTCCCGGGCATCCCGGGAACCGCCCTGTGTACGCCCCTGAACATTATACATGGACATGGCGAGATCTGATCGCGGCAGTCAGGAAGCGCTGGTACGACTATGATATCCCTTGGAGGAAATTCGAAATGTGTGGCGTTGGCTGTGCTTGTTGTTCCGGGGCATCCTCGAGCGAGAGCGGAGGCAGTAAAAGAACGCATTTGTTGAGCACAGCAACTCCTTGAAAACTCATGTCAAAAAGTCACGAAGTTTTTGTTTCCGCAGGAAGCAGCTCTGCACTGCGCATACTGCACAGTCACATGCACAGCACGCTTCTGCACGCTGCACTGATTCGAATGACACCAATAATGTCACACCATACACGCATATGTCAGGCATACCTAAGTATGCATATCGCCAAGAGTAGATAAACAAGAGTGTGCAACTCCAGCTATGGGGTCTGCGACGGCAGAACTTCACATCACGTGATGAACCCGTGCACTCTAGTGCATGATAGATACTGGGTTGTACGCAGCCCAGCTTTGGGTACAACTCTCTTGTGGTCACTTTGCACTGTTTGCCAGCATAACCTTTTGAACCATGTCACGTGATGTGAAGTTCTGCCGTCGCAGCACAGCATAGAGGTTGTGCAGGCAGTTGCACACTCTTGTTTATCTACTCTTGATATCGCCTGTAGTAATATATCGCCTGTAGTAATATATCGCCTGTAGTAATATATCGCCTATAGTGATATTTTCACGAAAATCAAACACCAACGCTATAGCCGATCTGTACTGTATATGTTTCATGATAATTTTACTGTTTCCTAGCCTCGGTTGGTTTGGATGGTGGAATTGATGGACCGCCAAATTCTGATATGGATCATGCCCTCGAAGTTCTTTGTCCAATCACGGAGGCCTTTGATGTCCTCACCCATGTTAGTGCTGCGTGATGCGTGATGCGTGATGCGTGATGCTGATGCTGATGCTGATGCTGACCGACGTCCCTCTTCACTCTGTATTTCATGTGATTGCAGGACTAAACGAATTGGCTGTATGGTGTACTGCGACTTCTGCCCTTTGGCTTTTCATCTCGACTGTCTGGACCCACCATTAACTAATGTACCTGGTACACTGTGGATGTGCCCTAATCACGCTGAGCACCATGTACCTAGCTTCAGAAACCCACTACTTTCGGAGCGATGTGCGGCTATGGAAGAAACATCTAAGCAACTCAATCGACAAACGGTTTTGCTTGATTTTCTCAACGCCACCAGAAGGTACGCCTCGGGCTTGCTGTAATTTTGACCCTATATTTGTATGCTGTGTTGTGAATGGTTTATGAACGTTGCAGTGGGGGGGGGGGGGGGAGCTGAAGTATGGTGGTTGATTCCTCAGTCCTGCAAACCTTTCTGTGATGCTTTTCCAGCAAGGGGCGTTATATCTAGCTAGTAGCATAGTTTGCGCTATCATCAAATTTAAGTTTTAACGCGTTCTGTTGCGTATGGCTATGCTCAGGGCCCCATCGCCTACACCACCGACTGATTCAGTATCTTTACCGAAGCGCAATGCAATTGAGGTGAGTGGACATGTGGAGGCAGCTCAGGGCCATTTCCCCAGGGTGAGATCCAGCTATCTGGACTCTGTACGCTTCTCAAACACACACACGCACACACAAACACACACACACACACACACACGCACAAAACATGTGCGTGTGTGCGCATACATACACACACTTACTCGTACAATAAGACCGGCTGTTTTGCGTCAAAATTTATGGAACTACATGTACGTGGTTGCCAGACATGCTATGAGTCAGTGGGCCTATGATACTGAGGCTGGTCGCTACTTTTGGTAGTGATAAGGAGGATGGCAGTCAGTGCTCAAGTTGCCAGATGCACTCTCAGCTGCACTGTATCTGCGCAGAAAGCTAGAATTTAGGTCCCATCCAGTGCTTGTGTGTTGATTTATGGGCCAGTGTCCCGCATCTCAAGTCTATTGCCTCGCGCAATTTGCAATGGATACGATCAGCCTCTCTAGCAACCACCCGCACAGTTTTTCTATAGGGCAAGTCACACCTACTTCTGCTGAAGTGATAACTTTGGAATTGAACACTGAGGGCTGCATGTGGTATCCTAACGTAATCGTAATGCTTACCACAGTATTGTTTTGTAGCCATGCTCTCCCATTGGCTTACTGTCTATTTGTGATGTGTGGCAAGGCACGTGTGAAATTGAGGGATCGAGAAAGCTGATAGTAGCGCGAGCCAGGCTGAGGCGACACATTCTGTTTCCACTTGCATTATCACTCACACCGTTGCTGACGCCTTTCTTCGCAGTGCAGCATATAGTGATTTGCAGTCCACTGGTGCTGTTGGCATGTTAGCTGCCGCTTTTCATACATTGCACTGAGATTGGCGCCTGCTTCTGGTGTGAAAATTAACAGATTACCAGCAGAATATGTATTATACGCTCCTTGTTATTCATTGTACTTGATTATGGTCAAGTTGCAGAGTGTTGTAATACTACAGTAATTTTGTTTGGATTCGCAGTGCCTTTTGGAATGAGTGTGTCCACCTGACCAGTCTTATACTTCGATGAAACTGCAAAGAAGCCAAAAAATATCTGACTGTCTTGTGGCTCTTGTCAAGTAAGTACTTTTATCTTTTTTCCAATTTTTTTATTAGAGCTCTTGAAGGTTCTTTTTCACTGAGCGCAGCCAACATATTGCGGGACTAACACAGATTCATGTTGTTTGCTTAAAGGGGAAGTTAAGGCAAAAATTAAAATTTCACCAGTTGTAGTCTTCGGGGTGCTGAGTCGAATGGTCTTGGTCCGAGAAAGCTGAGACGCTCCCTTCCTACTTGAATCCCAATCGAACTCGCGCACTTCCACCGAAAATGGGTGACTGCGCCCTATTAGATGGGGATTTATATGCAAAATGTCACTAAAAGCGCCATTTCGTTCTTATAAAAGTACGGATGACCGCGATTGGCCCATATGTTGTAGTCTTTTGGACGCTGAGTCGACTGGTTTTGGTCCGAAAAGGCTGCGATGCAGCGTTCCTCCTTTATTCCCAATCGAACATGGTTGAACAAGCGGTCACGTGCTCCTGCGTACACCAGTCACCTGGTCACCGTGCCTGCAGGGTACAACTTACTAGCCTGTTTGACCTTTTTTGGGTGCAGCCCTGTCACTCGAGTTGAACTCGAGTTGAACCTTGGTGTGAAAGTTGTCGCCGGCTGGCGTGGTGACCAGGTGATTTGGGCACCCAGGAGCACGTGACCACTTGTTCAACCATGTTCGATTGGGAATAAAGGAGGAACGCTGCATCGCAGCCTTTTTGGACCAAAACCAGTCGACTCAGCGTCCAAAAGACTACAACATATGGGCCAATCGCGGTCATCCGTGCTTTTATAAGAACGAAATGGCGCTTTTAGTGACATTTTGCATACAAATCCCCATCTAGTAGGGCGCAGTCACCCATTTTCGGTGGAAGTGCGCGAGTTCGATTGGATTCAAGTAGGAAGGGAGCGTCTCAGCTTTCTCGGACCAAGACCATTCGACTCAGCACCCCGAAGACTACAACTGGTGAAATTTTTGGAATTTTTGCCTTAACTTCCCCTTTAACTCCTTATCCACATGGCTGCGTACTGCTGGTGTTGTTGTGCTTTGTCTTGTGCAGGTGCCAGCATCAGTGAAGGTTCTGTACCGTCAGCCCATGGCATCCAGTGACCAGTGTACTCTTAGTCAACTTTGCCAAGCCGCCAGCACCTCCAGTGCCAAAGCCGCTAGTCGTGCACGTACGTCTGCACTGAAGGACATTGCTGCTAAGGCTAACACCGGTGCCGAGCCTGGAGCAACTGGCCAAGAGAATCAAGAGGGTGCTGGAGATTGGTGGGGAGATCGACCAACTGTCAACGTCCAGGAGCAAAATCAGGTAAGCCACTGTGCGCAGGGCCTGATTTCTGTTGGCTGTGTGGGTAGTCCTACTGTAATTCTTTGCTAATCAAAACACAATGCCAACACCCTTTTCGTCCTCCAGGTTTGGGTAAACACATGTCATCATTGTGCACTGGCCCTACTCAAATCAGTATGTTTACTGATTTGATTCCAGGTGTTTCTATGTAGGCCAGTCAAATTTCACGTCTACGTGCAGTGGGCCCATGTTGGAAATTAGGCTTGTACAATGAAACAGGCTTCTGTATGAATAGAGACTGGAGAGGAACATATAGATACAAGTACGAGTTAAGACTAACTGGCCACCACTGTAACTAAATACTATCTACGGTCAGAGTGTGTGGGCAGGCGTGTATGTACCGCCATATTGCGAGGTGTGTATTTACCACCAGTCAGAAAGTGCAACAACTATATCCATATCCATTATGTTCCTTTCCTTTTCTCTATCTATCATTGGCTCAACATCCGAGCTTCTATGATAGAGGCTTTTATTCAGTGATTTTTTAAGTGTAAATTATCGTGTCCGTTCCCGAGGGAACTCACGACGGTCGCTGCCACCCGGTAAATCCATATTAGCATGCCTACATTGTAGTAATGTCATCTTGATGATTTTGGATTTGTTTCCAGTGGCTGGAGGGCGTTGTCCGTGATCTATACAATCCGTCAGGACCGTCCGATTCGATTCCAAGTTGTCAAGCAATGTCTGCATCACCCACATCAGGGGTGTCCCATTCTGTTCCTGAATCAGCATCTTCTTCAAGCCGACACTCTGAAGACTCATCGTCTTCCCCAGTTGCTGATGAATCGAGTCCAGCTGATGTTCAAAGATCATCCTCTTCCTCCCCTACCTGTAGCTCCAAGGTATGTGTATGTGTCACTGTGTGTGGGGTGGGGAGTGACACACACACACACACGTACACACGTACACACACACACACACACACACACACACACACACACACGTACACACACACGTACACACACGTACACACACACACACGTACACGTGCACACAATCTTTTGTAGCTAGGTCTAACTCAATGCCTAGCTGCGTACACATTCTTTCTTTTGACCCGCTGTGTGGTTGCTGCCTGTATGTTGATGTTGATTAGGGTGATGCCAGTCCAGCCTCTCTCCCTGTGACGACAAGTTCTTCACCAAGTCTTGCTGCCTCGTCACCCACAGTTGCATCTGTAAGGAGCACAGCTGTGGCTAGTGGTAACAGTAGCAGCGCGGGCGCTGTTGTGACGTCATCACCAGCTGTGGTTGACCGCCATCAAGTGTGCAGTGCCTCCTCTCATCCTGCCACCACCGCCACTAACAACTCCAGCGCATCTGAGCTGCCCCATCCAGCACTGGGGCCTCGTCGTGCCAGAAGAGGAGATCACGAGCCACTATCCACTATGCTGCATGTCCTGAATGCCAACATGCTTCCATCTGTGGCTGCCAAGGACACGAACGCATCTTCACAACGGCATGATGCTATCCTGAACGACCACCTGGGATATGCATGTATGTTTATGTCTGCTTCTTGGCACTTGGCAAAATCAGAAATTTGATCATCTGACCGACTTGTCACTGATGTTAACCTGTCTTCTCAGTAAGCGTGTCCGGCTGCCTTTACACCTGTGATTACTCGTGCCATGTCTTGCACCTACTGGCAGCCATGTGCATGTTGCTAGTATGTATGCTATGGTGCACTGATACATCTGAAGTTGGAGTCTGTTCTTGTCTTTGTCTGCTGTATTATCTCCAGTGCCTGCGGTGGATAGATTAGACTCACGTCTTTTGCATCTTCTGGCCGCCCAGCGTTTGCAGCAGATTGTGTCCGGCAAGTATGTGCATGATGCGGATAATGACACGTCCTCAATAACAAGAGAACATGAGGAGGCTATGGATACAGCGCATGCGCAATACCAGGTAACTAAGTGTGTGTGTGTGTGTGTGGTGTGTGTGTGTGTTTTCGATTGTCGCTTTTGTTCCTGTGATTTTGGTAAAATATTAAAGATAAGCAAGATGATGTTCCTAGTGGCGCAGTCATAGAACCATTCTTGTGCCATTTATTGCTCTACGATTTGGGATTGATGTTTCCTTTGCATTCCTGGTGCTGCAGAGTACTTCGTCAGTCTTCTCAGAGTCGGCCTCGCCTAGCTTTGGTTCACGAGCCGAAGCTGCTAAGCGTTCAACTGCTGATTGCAATGGGGTTTCCCTTGATGAGCAATGGCGCGTGAAAAAAGGTATGTCTTGAACGTATGGCATTCTTGCGAATATGTGCTGAATGTGTCGACCAGGCAGATGTGCATAGTGCTCAGCCTCATTGCCATGTCCCTCTATTAGTGTGCGGCCGCTGATGAGGATTTTCCAGATGTTAGCGGCCATCGTGAGTTCCCTTCGGAACGGAGACGATTTTCTTCTGCTTCTTTTTACTGAAGAGGATGCAACCAGTGCTGCTAGCAGTGAAAGACTACACATGTAGTGGTACCTTCAGGGCCAGTCGATGCGGCTTGAATAGAAAATAATGCTAGTGGTCTGTACGTGGTGTTCATGTATGGCAGGCTGCATCAGATAGCTGCAGCCATGATATAGACTACCTACTGCCACTGCTTGCACAGGCCAGACCTAACTTTAGCAACTGTCCAAGGGAGAAGCTTATCACGGTCTTCGAGCGGAGGTGGTCTCTGAAACCAAGGTTGCCTAGGGTCATTCGGTCGGTGCAAAAGAGAAATGACCGTACAGACCAAGCGGTGCACCAGATTTCAATTGTATATATGTGACATATTATTGTTCTTAGTCCGATGCTTGTGTTTTTGTGTCCTCTGCATTAGATGACCTGCTCTCTGCTAAAGCGCTGCTTTGTCCAGTGTCTTGCAATGGCTCTCCGTTTCCCGTCGCCAATGGATGTGTCTCCATCGGTGTTGGTAAGTTATTTCTTCACTGGAGCTTTGGGGCATACATGTACTTCGAGTACCTGATAATAGTGTGTGTGCTGCTGTGTGGTGTGGACGGTGAAGCTGGTGCTATATGACCAATGCGAAAACTGTGTGATAAGAGATCAACTGTAATTCAAAAATGCTTGAAAGCTGGCCATTTCAGGCCCTGGACCTGTATGTGCAGTACTGCTCACTGGGGCAGTACTGCAGGGCGCTAACTTGACTCGTGCGATCGAATTTCATTGAGCAGTACTGTATGTAGATGGTATTGTGAGTGTGGAATTACTATGAAGTACATGTAGCGTCTACAGTCTCTGGCACATATGATGATGCTGTGGTGTTGTTTTGAAGAACACAGCTACAGTCGACATACACTTATAACGATAATCTCTATAACGATATTTTAGTAGTTTTTTTCTCTTGCTGCAACTGCTGTTGTGTTCTTCAGGTGCAGACATGGACCTGTCCTTGCGCTTCTACTCACCGTGTCTACGTCTATCACGCAAGCATGCTTGCTTGTTCTATGATGAGGTAGGGACTGTGTGCACGCATAGCCATGCTTGATGCTGACCCCAATAACTATCAAGTTGCATACTATCTATCATCTACAGTAGAACGCCCCTATTCCAGGCACGTTTGGACTGGCCACTTTCCGTAACTGGGATTTCCCCAAAACTCAGAACATACCTACTGATTGCATGTGTGTAGTCACTTTGTTATGTCTATCAAGTTATTGTGCCATTTTTCGTTGAACTGCCAAGTTTTGTGACTCTACGGGTCATTCATAAAAGATGAGCGCTGGGTCTGGCGAATTCCCGTATTTGGCGATTTTCTTGATTTTATCGTACACAGTGTAGTGCCGCGAAATTTGAAATTCGAAAAAGGGTCCGAAAAGGTACCTCAAGTTCGAGTTCGAGCCGTACAATGTACTGTTGCAAGTGTAGTGAAACGGCCTGGATTTTCATGCTTTTTCCCAGTTCAATACTTTTGGGCCAAAACCTGGCCGAAATCATATTCTTGTTACGGCTTGCTCTTGGGAGAAATAGACTTCAGCAGCATAATTGGAAGAGCATTCCATGGGATTGGAACAAAATTGTGAAAAAAACTCAAAATTTGATATTTTTATGGCCAAAAGCAAGGATATAATCTTTTTTCTGAATGGACTGTAGAGGAGTCAGAAAGGTAGCCGGTAGACTGGAGATCTAGGGAGTTACATTATATTCATATTGATGGGTTTATGTTGTGAATTCTCATTGCTACTGTCCTATTACTCTATGCACGGTGTGCTCAGGACCAACACCAATACGAACTGCTAAGTTACAGCGAATTTGGCATACACGTGGATGGTGTTCTGTACGGCTGTGACGTTTCGCAAAGTGACTTGTCGCCGGAATCCGATCTTGTCACTGTGGATCATGTTCGTTCGTCCATGGGCCATGGCCCACGCACCAGGCGTGCCCAGCAGCGTGTAGAATCAGCTCGGCGGCGCTGGAAACAGCCACACTCCATGCGCTATCTGCAAGACTTGCTCTCGTATTGTGCAACCGAACAGGAAACTGAAGACGGGTCTACTGTCAATCTCGTAAAGGACTCGTCTGATCGCACAGGTTTTAGTGATAGCGATGATGAAGTGATGGCTGTATCCTCCGCAAATCTCACCAACACGACGGTCATCACTGAAGGTGATTCCCCTCCCAACAACCTTCAATTACCTGGTCTTCTGTCCCGTCCACCTCGCTCTCCATCACCTTCAGCTAGTGCATGCCTGACCCCGATGGAGAACTTTTCCTCGTGGATTCAGAGGCAAGATGCTGTGGTGCGCTCTGCTGGCTTCTGGCTGCCCAGTGAAGCTGAAAAGTGCCTGCCTAGCTGTTCATGTACAGTGGAGAATGGCGGTGTTGCCGTGTCAGGTTGCGTGCCCGGTAACTGGGAGGGCTCTGCGGTGCTGCGGCATGGCAGTAGCGTGCAGTTTGGTTGCCTGCGCTTTGTGTTCAGCATTGCTGGGAAGCCAGGTCATGACAAGCTTGTTAAGTCGCTGGTCAGCGTGCTACCCGACTCCAGTGACAAGATCTCCTCTGATGCACAAGCAACCAATGTAGCAAGCAAACCAACCTCTACTACATCAGTCTCAGGGTCTACCCAGATAGCATCATCAGTGAGTTCTGCTACAGTGTCATGACAGGTGTACACTGGTCATTTTCGTCTCAGTTGCTTGGACACTCTGTTACTTGTTTGTAGGTTTTTATTGTCATTACCAGGTGTTCTATACAGATCTCTATACTCGTGTTCCCGTGTCGGTATTTCGGGTAAGACATTTTTTGCTAGATTGTGTTTAGTCTCGTAGAGAATGTGCTTCGTGTGCTTCATTGATGCTCCGTGAGCCTGGTCCGTGCTCCGTTTGCCGCCTTGCACCAGCATTGCCAAAAGTGTGCTGCGAAATCTGTCCATGTTTGTATTCCTTAGACGAGCCTGCTCGGCTCAGACTTTTCTTTTGTAAATTGTTGGTTTCAGTCTCAACTAATCCTAAGTTCCTAACCTAACCCTAATAGCTCTTGACCCCCATCCCGCAAGAATTTCCTTATTCCATTGAAAATGAATACCAGTGTTGTGATATCAGTCTCTATTAAGAAGTCATGAAAACGATTATATGAGCCGTCAGATGCAAAAAGGTACCTTATGACATTTTTGGCCAAATTGAGTTAACGATTGTTTCAGATACAACCTGGTCAGGAGAGTGTCGTGCAAAAACCAGGTCCAAAAATCTCAATTCATCACCGAGTTACCCTGGAAACTATCCGGACTATCGATCACATATTCACAGAAAATACTTTTTCGAACGCGATTTTCTCAACTGCGAGCAAAACGTCATAAGGTACCTTTTTGCATCTGACGGCTCATATCGCTTACTCCGTTACACACTAAATGGGTACGCAATCATTGCGGAAAAAGTTGTGGGTGGCATGCACTAAATGGGTACGCAGTCACTGCGCAAAAAGTCGTGTATGGCATGCACGACGTTTCTCGGCACACAGCACTGCGAGAGCTGCTCCAGTGAGGCATGCGCCAAGTTGGCCAGACTTCCGAAACTGTCGTAGAGCACAATGGCATCTGGTTATAGTTTGTCAAGGAGGAAAACCCTTCGTGATGTATTTCCCAGTAACAAAATGTATTACAATCAAACCTCGCTTAACCTCACACATCCGTTTTCCACAAAAAATATCCGGATAGGCGAGGGAACCGGATAATCGAACACACATACTGTATGTATGCATGGCATATGCTGTAAATCGGTAAGCAATGATTTTCTTCCGGGTCGCAAGGGATCCGGATAAAAGAGGACCGGATACGCGAGGTCTGACTGTACTACTACACGTTAAAAAATGCAAGAACGACTGCAGAATTCTTGTTTACGCCAGCCATGCTCAATCCAGCCTTGTGAGTTAGTGCATAGCATTGCAATTTTTGGTCACCGCAGCAAGACACAAACACGTCTGTTTTTTTTCGGGGGAGGGGGTGAACAACAGGGAGCCGGTCCTAGAAACCCCTCGGTCTCGAAGAAGATTATGCATGAGTTTACGTTCCTCTACAATGCTGTACATATCAGTAGACCTGAGTAGGATACCATGGCTTCGTATTCCAGCTAGCTTCAGTAGACTGATGACCTTCTCGAGCTGCAGTACGCCACCCTGCTGCATTGTCCTGGCATGGTGCTGGTGAAGCTTTGTCCGCACCTCAGCTTGTCCTACCTGTTTACATGCACATGAACAAGGACATTACAGAATGTCGGTTATGACTGTGTTAGGGCAGTAACCCCTCAACTACAAAAATTAATACAGACCTGCATGATGTCTAGCTCTAATGCAAATTCGCTCATGAGCCTGAATGTATTCAAGCACACCCCGTGCGTATCACTTGTGTAGAGTCGCTCCTAGTAGGCCTACCTTTGTAAGGTCCGTGATAAGTGCCACGCACTCTGCACTGTCTTTCACAAGAGCCATTGCTATGTTTTCTTTGAAGAACCTGTGGCAGAGAAGAGGTATACATGTACGCAACTGTGAAGAGTACTTCAACATGTGTGCATGCGTGGATATACAGCAGTAATTACTCATATCGGTTGCTGAGTTTAGCACAACACCTGCTCATGCAAGCATACACGCATATGAGTGTATGCTGTGCAGCTTTCTATTATTGTTTTGAATGTCTTACCTACGCTGAAAGACGTCCAGCGCAGTATGCTGCTGAATGGTTATCTGCTTGCCGCATACTTGTAGTACAACATAGCAGTTGCGATGAAGTCGGATAAATTCTTGCACGCTGTTTCAAAGGAGAATGCAAAGGATGATGGCAGGTGGATCAGAACAATTCACAGTGGCGCGGCCACCAGGAAGTCATACCAAGCCTGGTTTGGGTCGAACTCACTGGCCTTCGTCACTCAAATATGCACTTCGCGTTGGATTTCACCTAGTGCAACTGTACATTGAAGTGGGAACGTGCACCCCCCCCCCCCCCACACGCACGCACGCACGCACGCACACACACACACACACTGTACTGTACTGCACTTGTTGCTCACTGCCAGAACTGGTCACGTGAGTCCCCCTGGAAGAGGGGAGAGAGACTCAAAAGGAATCTTGGAAAGATGACTCAATTGGTTATTGAACCGCCCAACGGCCGACACCCCCTGAAATCCCCAAAACTCTGGGTGGACTTGAAAATGATCCCACTTATGGGCTCACCACACCTCAGTAAGTGGGTGAGGACAAGGTGCAGAAAAAGGATTGATGGCATCAGGTATCCGTCCCGGGATTCAACTGCATGCAGTTGCCCCTGCCCCCAGTGAAGGTAATATGTGCTACTAATGTGAGTGGCTAAATCAGAGTGGATCTGATAAAAGCTTCACTAGCACCATTGATTACACAAGAGTTAATTTAGCCAGAGGCAGTCCATGGTTAACAGGTATGTATACTTCAAATAGAAAGTATATGAACCCTGGAACCAACAAAGGTGGCAGGTACAACATTACACCTTCAAGCAGCCGAGCCTGTTGGCAACAGACCCAACACAATCAGGCATAAGTGTACCTACCAACCGAACTAGCTGGCACACACACACACACACACACACACACACACACACACACACACACACACATGCACACACACACACACACACACACACACACACACACATACACACACACACACACACACATGCACCCCCCCCCCCCACACACACACATACGTATGCACGCACACGCATGTAAAGTGGCAGGAAAGCAAATAACGCAACCTCCTCGGTGAATACATTTGTGACAATTCAATGTGTACAATCATGTACATGTACCTTTTGACTATTGCAGTATTCAGTTGAGCAACCGTACCATCAGCTAGATTATTTGATGAGCTGGTTGTGCCGCTGCCACTGCTGCTATCCACTCCTACTGGTTGCTTTAGAACATGGATATCGTCAATATTGAGGATTAGAAGTGCTATGGATGGCGATGGTATAATGCATGATCTCGGCAAAACCGAGGTGGACACTACAGATTGAAGAGCACAAGCACGCGCACACATAATGCACTGGTGAATCAACCAATGGAAAAGTGGTCATGTTTGATTGGAACTAGGGCTGAACTAGGGAGTAGTACAATACCGGTACTCCCTGGGTTGAACGATGTATCGCAATGACTCCCAGATCAAGACCATTCGGCTTAGAATTCACACCCAGAAGACTACACAGCACTGGAGTCACCTGGTCACCGCGCCAGCAAGCGACAACTTTCACACCAAGGTTCAACTCGGGTGACAGGAGTGCACCCAAAAAAGGTCAAACAGGCTGTAAGTTGTACCCTGCAGGCGCTAGGCTAGGCACGGTGACCAGGTGACTGGTGTACGCAGGATCACGTGACCGCTTGTTCAACCATGTTCGATTGGGAATAAAGGAGGAACGCTGCATCGCAGCATTCTCGGACCAAAACCAGTCGACTCAGCGTCCAAAAGACTACAACATATGGGCCAATCGCGGTCATCCGTGCTTTTATAAGAACGAAATGGCGCTTTTAGTGACATTTTGCATACAAATCCCCATCTAGTAGGGCGCAGTCACCCAGTTTCGGTGGAAGTGCGCGAGTTCGATTGGGGATAAAGGAGGAAGGGAGCGTCTCAGCTTCCTCGGACCAAGACCATTCGACTCAGCACCCCGAAGACTACAACTGGTGAACATTTGATTTTAGGCTTAACTTCCCCTTTAATAACGTCTCGGCTACATTTTATATGTTTGATCCATACTCCACATGTACTACAATTGGAGACGTTCTGGAGACGTGTACGTTTATTGGGGAAAATACGGTACTTGTAGTAGGGTGTTGTACTGACGTGTCACATCACTGACCTGTCAGTGTCAGAAGAGGATACAAAAATAATGGCGGACTGTGGGGAGTAAGGGTCGTAGCAGATGTGCCGGTTATGGTGGTGATGCGTGTATAATGCGTGTGTGTGTGGGGGGGGGGGGGGTTATATTGAGTCCCAGTGAAAATCACCGCATACCCGGACCCTCGGGTATGACTGTCCGCTACTCCCCGGAAGATTGGGGGAACACGGACCTGAAGTCATGTAGGCAGGGTTCATCTCAAAGAACCCATCAGGCAGTCTCATGCCGTCATGGTACTGACCTCGCGGTTTGAGAACTTCGTGATCTTGCAGAAGCTTGAACAGTTGTCCTTGCGCAAGACTTCGGTGAAGTATCACCGGGTACTTTCGGGCCGGAAACTGCCGCTGTTGCTGAGGATCACCTCCTTCCTCCGATTCCATCAGGCGAGGGCGAACAAGGGACTGGGCAGTGGCGGAGTTGCAATGCTTGAAAAGTACAAACTGTTACTTGTACCAGTAGTATAGGCTATGTAACGTCAAGTAACTGCTGCGCTTCTTCAAAGTTCCAAAATAGAAATGTTTCACATTTAGAAAAGCGATCCTGTCAGCTTTTCTATTATTGTGTTCACATGGCGCTACCTAATGACACCGCTATTCAGACACGTTGTTTACGTAGCTACGTAAGTTTCTACGTAAGAGGCTCGGTACATACATGTACTCATGATCAACACGTGGCTTTTAGCCTAGTTCGCATGCGCTGATCCCAAACCGCGGGAATCTCCGAGTTTCAACCACCTCTGAAGCTTGGAGAGCTTCGAGAGCTTTGGAGAGCCTCCTAAAATTCGGAGAGGATATAAGAACAGCTCTCGAACTTTTAGGAGAGTCTCCAACTTTTCCGAGAGGATTTAAGAACGCACCCTAAATTTAGCTTTTCCGCTGCCGAGGCCTCCTTTTACGGAATACTCGATGACAGGTGATCTCTGAGTTGACCAGTTTCCTTCGATTCATTTGCTTATTATGCTCAGTGAGCCCTTTCACTAAATTTTACGGAAATGTGTGCTGATCTTATTCGGATTTAGATTCATTTTTATCTCTTTTCCCTTGTCTACAGTGTGCGAAGAACGCGAGTTCACCTTCTTGACGGTAAGGCTTATGTTAGATGTGTTGTCGAAATACTCATATTCATTGTACATTAGTACGTTACAAGTAATGCGCTGGTCAGTGGCATACTATCGTTGGCAGTTCCCAATCTGGAGGGAAAGGTTCAAGGACCCATTGACCGAGTTTGCAAAATAAATTCGCATATCGGGGAGAATCTCCAGAGTCTGGGCGTTTTGATTTGTGAGTACCACCGAGATTGCACTGCCCCAAATACAGTTTCGTGCCGCCAAAGCAAGAATCACGATCTGCAATCTGTTTGTAGTACCTGCAAGAATGTGGAGTACATGTACCGTACTTTCTCTGTTGCTGTTTCAGTTGCCGTCATGTTGCTAAAGAAAGGTTCAGTATAGAGAGGTTCTGCGAAACGAAAATTCGAACGAAGCTTCGCGACAGTCCTTGCGAAACGAAAATTCGAACGAAGCTTCGCGACAGTCCTTGCGAAAGTGTGTACGAATTTTTGCACGAACTTTGTGTTCTGCACATTTTCGTAGTTTGCGCGGGCCAAGTGCATGTACGCCATGACCTGATCTCACGAAATTTCCTACGACAGTTCATTTCGCGTTCCCTGCAAGTTTCGCGTCCAAAGTTGCGAAAGTTCGTGCGAAGTTTCGCACTTCATGACGTAGGCGAAAGTTTGTACGCATTTTCGTTTTGCAGAACCTCTCTAGTGACTCATTTGTTTCATACGAGATGAGTCAATGAGTCGGTGTGGCTTAGAATCTTTCGCTGTAGAAGAAATCTATTCGTACATGTATGTCTATTGGAGAAATAATTGTATTCACTGGTTACAAAATAGGTTAAGACAAACTCACAGAATAAATACCATCGGTCCCTTGGTGTTCGTCCTAAAGAGGTTCGACTGGATATCATTCATACTCACCAAAAGATGTGCAAGATTTTATTATTGTGGAGTGCCTTGTTTATCTCTCAGTACCTCCAACCATAGCCTTGCCCCTTTTATCCTCAGGATCAGTGTAGTTGTTGGAACGAGGTGTCGGACTCAGCAATGTATTTGTTTACATTTTAATACATGTTTATTGTTCCTCCTTTGCTGTGTTGTTCTAGAAAATCGTGGACTAACAGTTTAAAGTCATTGAACTACTTCCAAAAGTTGTGTCGACATCAACAGGATTACCATTTCAGTGCAATATGATGCAGGATGACCTTATCACGATAACCCATGATTAAAAACCATTATAAACACAGAATCAACAAAAACATCTGCGACACGCACCTGGCTACATTTCTCAAATAAATCTGATCGAGGGTGGGGAAATCTGAAATATCTGAAAGTAAGACAATTTTATGACAGTCATGAAATTCTGCAACAGCAAGCTGCAACATGCACAGAATGACCTCCGTATAAAAAAGTATCACCACCACCAGACCACTACTCGCATGTCATGTTTCCCCGCAGAAGAACATGCAATTGCATTATGCTAGTGCCATTTTCTGCAAGAAAAGGCTTGCACATCAATGCGTATAATACGGTATTGATATGATGTGAAGCCCATCATTTACTAGGGCATTCCATTGATTGGTACATGGTGACAGAAAAAACAAAAGAAATTATAGCAATAAAAACTGCTTTATGGCAGTTTTCTAAAAAAAGTTATTGTGTTCTAGTCCATGGACCCCGTCTAAAAAGTAAGAAATAAACGAAATGTGATAGCCGAAAATTATAATTTCACACAAAACCTCACAATAATCACACAGAATGAAAAGCTACATGTACTCGTAGAAGACCTTTTCCCCTCGTGATCCTCTTTCCTATGCATGCATGTTGCCAATTGTTGGTGCAGTACAAGTTTAGTGTTGAAAGCAGCATTTCAAGTGTTGTGATTATTGTGAGGTTTTGTGTGAAATTATAATTTTCGGCTATCACATTTCGTTTATTTCTTACTTTTTAGACGGGGTCCATGGACTAGAACACAATAACTTTTTTTAGAAAACTGCCATAAAGCAGTTTTTATTGCTATAATAATCATTGTAGTTGCAGCTACAGACTGTGCAGTAACTGCTGTTATCCCCATCTACATGCACCAGGACCGGCCCTGCTGCAGGGAGCCGTCAAATACTATAGTACTAGTAGTCAAATTATAACAACTATTTGACGATTCTCTGATCTGGACTTTCCGCTGTTCGTCCTCTTCGTTCGATCTTCTGAACTGCGTGTACTTTGACCCCTGACTAACACCAAGACGGCAAGACTAGCCAAGACAGAGTAGATAAACAAGAGTGTGCAACTACAATTATAACTCCGGATCTCTCCCTGTCCCGCCCACGGCCGGCCACGGCGGAATTTTTTGTTGACGTCACCTTTTTTTCAGAAGACCGCGCATTGTAGATGCGGCCAAGTGCACGAGGGAAAACTTTCCAAGTTTAAAATGCATCCCCGGGGAAAAATTGCAACTTGGGGTATACTTTGCCCTTTTCCATGCCCAAAGCATGACTCCTCACGACCCCAGTCGAAAACATGAGGGTGTGTCAAACAGCCAGACCTCAAAACTACCAAGTTCAGGCGCCGAAGATTCACTGATTTTAGTGGAACTACAAGTTACTTCAGGACAATGTTATGTGTCCTTGAACACACTATCAATTTTGATAATGGGGCTGTTAAGTGATGACGTCACAGTTCCTTCGATACGCATAGCAACGATCCCACTGGGGACAAACAAAAGTAGCGTCGTCTCCACCGAACCAGTTGTCAGTGGCAACATATAGGAATCGTGTACATTTCTTCGTTTCTTCTTTGCTGTTTTCAGTGAGTGTTTTGTTTTCTCTTTGTCCTTGATCTCGACGGCGTTGTCGTGCTCATTACCTTACTGAGACGTCTCTTGTGACTGTAGCCAGTGTCACGGAGGATTTTATTGGCGTGACGAGGTAGATCGCCGAGATCGAGCGTGAAAAACGCTCTGCATTAGTAGCTCCTGTAGAATGTCTTCTGGGATGGCGTATCCATGGTCAACAAAGCCAAGGTGCAAGACAGCATAAGAGATCGTGTAAACGATGTGAACTCCAAAAGGTAAGCTCCTGAACAAGTGGAAAGATATGTGTATTTACAAACTCTCTCTTCATCCATCGATTGCCGCTATGCATTGCATTTTGTCTTCACAGATAATCTGGACAAATAAATTATATTGTAACTGGAGAGTGCAATCGTGCTTGGGACCCATCCCAATGTCATCACATGGCTGTGGTGACTAGTGTATACCTGGGAGAATTTTTCCTCAACTGAGACGGAGTGTAGATGGATGGATTATGAGAAATGCGAAGATGTGGAGTAAGTTGTGTCGAAGAAATGTGTAATAAAATAAAATTTACTTTACACTCAAACATACACTGTACATGTACATGTAACATCATGTTAATGAGTCCATCTTCATTATCTCCACAACAGGTACGCCATACGCACCGAATACACGGTGTGTGTGTGTGTGCACGTGCGCGCTTGCGTGCGCGCGTACATGCACACACTCTCATGCGTGGCCGAGTTGGCCGGATGAACAGACCACGCATTTGCACGAGGTGTCCGTCATGTCAATGGAGTGCTGTACTTTATGACTCAGGGGCGTAGGAGGGGTTTTGGAAGTGGTACGACCGAAGGTCGGTGCGGCGGAAGGCCGTGTTAGAGGGGGTCCGCCCCCCCCCCTGGGAAAATTTTGTTAAAACGACACAAAATCCTGCGTTCTGGGAACTTCTGGCGCAGTGTGCAGTCGAGTCGAGTACAGTACTCAGTACGACTGCAGATGCATAACAGATCTACGAGTACGAGTCTAGAAAAAGGTCTGAAGCGCATATGCAAATATCGATGGATCCTGATTTTTTATTATGGTTTTGCACGTTCCAGACGGACCACACTTTTCGAAAAGTGGTGCGGCCATGGTCGTACCAGTCGTAGCGGGTGCTACGCCCCTGTGACTTTATTCCAAAATAGTATGTCGTGCCCCTGTCAAATGGAGTTTGTGTCTATGCTCAGCGGGTATCGGGCCATGACGCCACACTGCAGTCAGCGCTGGAATTAAAATAGCACTTCATGGACTATTTTAACTAATTTCCTTTGCGTTTACTTTGTTGAGCCCGTTGTTTCATTTCTGTGTTCTGTTATGATTCCCCTCTGGAAATAATCGGAGTGGATGTCATTTTTTGTCATATGTGCGTGCCTTGTGCAACAGGTTCAAGGCTAGATGCACTTCACATTCGGCGTGGGATCTCGGCGTCTCGGACCTGATAACGTCTTGGTTGGATGGGTGATCAAGGATGATACTACTCGGCACACCAATGTACATGTCAATGTAGTTTTTACTTTTTCAGAGCTGCACTATTTACGTCTTGATGCTTACTTCGGTGCTAGTGTCGTGTCCGTGTGTTGCTACAATGTCATTATCTGTATTGTATTCCGTCTGCTTATACATGTGTC